GATTTACCTGTGTCGGCACATGCACGAACTTTTGTTGCTCTCATGTGCAGGTTTTGGCGTTTTTTCTTTCCTGAGGAGAGGAAATTATAGGGTGGCAAGTCTTCCACTGTTCTGCATGCAGTTGGCCGTGACAGACTGGTGTGGAAAGAAGGTCTGTGAGTGAGATAACGATAATAGGATGCATGAAGCTGGGCACCAATAGAACACTTTTTGCCACACTGTTTTTATCTCACTAGGAATTCGCGAAGAACTGACTTGTTCTTCCGTCTGTATAGTCTCTCGGTACGAAGCTACAGTACGCTCGCGACAACAAGGCGTATTGTTGTGTGTCTGTGCATTATATGCAATATGGGGCTAGCTGTAAATGGGCAGAGTGTTCAGCGGGTGCAGATACGCACACTTAGTATCCCAATCCCCGAACTGTCGAAACTTTGAAGGTCGGGGGCAGAAAAGGTGTAAGAAAGTTCTATTGAAAAATCCTGAGGGACTCTCAATTAGGCTTGTATACAGTCGTAAGCTATGTGTCTCTCTACCAATTAAACCAATGCAAAGAGCAGGGCTTTAGGCGTCTTTTTAAGGAGACCTTTGCTGGAGCGATACGGGCTGTACGCGGCCGGCATACATGCTTGCACACGGCGTCCATTTCTTTCTGAAGTTCCACGTGAGCCGAGTAAACATGTCGCATTTATGCCTCGCATGTCTAAGTGCTGCAATAAAATTGTCTTTACGTCGATTTACTAATAACGCGATTCCAGGATTGCATGCTGATGCGGGCTGCAATTGCGGGGAAAGGGGCCAGTGCGCAATGGGGCTGCAGCTCACAAAAGAAGCTTTGCAGGGGCGTCAAAAGGGGAGCTAATTCGAAGGCCTCGGGTGGGCAAAACGTTTTCCCAAGGGATATAAGCCTTGTCCCTGTACTTCTGGCTGTCCGGCTTTCTCCCCACAGTCAAGATGGTAAGGCGCTATATCCGCAGGCAACCTCCCCATGTGCAGCCAATTCGAGATTATATGCCACGTTATCTGGCAGTCTGAGTAAATCAATCGAATAAGGGATCTTTTGACTCGAATACAAGCCCAAAGCACGTTGTATTTAGTGGAATTGGATTGCTAGCCTCTCTATCAACCGAGTAATTGACGCCACATTCTCCGGCAGTACGATGAACAAAACTACAGTTTTCCCGGTACATGGAACTTATTGTTGGTTATATAGGCATCGACATGAACTATTTACTGTATTTTGAAGGAATAAGGAAGAGGAGGAGCCTGAAAGGGGAGCCTCTTTGTTGTTGTGGGGCGTCCAGGCATACCGCTTGGGCTTGGGACGCTGCGGTTGTATGGTGTTATTTATGCCAGATGATCTACACGCAGGTTACACGATTGTTACAGAAGCACGTCATGTGTGTCATTTCCATATGAACGCAGGTGGGCATCACTGCTTACGAGCTGCGGCAGAAGGCCCCCAAGGACCTGCAGAAGCAGTTGGAGGACCTCAAAAAGGAGCTTTCCCAACTCCGTGTATCAAAAGGAGCCGGTGGGGTGGCATCAAAGCTAGTCAAGATCACAAAGGTTCGCAAGGCTATCGCCCGCGTGCTGACAGTGTACAACCACAAGAGAAGGGACGAGGCCAAACAGTTTTTCAAGGGCAACAAGCATAAGCCGAAGGATCTCAGGCTTAAGAAAACAAGAGCGATTAGGCAGAGGCTTGATTTGTCCCAGCGTAGGAAGATGACTGTCCGGTAAGTCCAGCATCATGCGTGCACTGGACAAAGTAATCGCTTTCTTTGCGAGTTACATGCTCTTTCGCCACAGTGCCTCTAAGTTAGCTTGCTATGATGAACTGCGAGTGTTCATTTCAGGAGAACAAAGAAAGTACAGAATGTACCCAGGAGGAAATACGCTTTGCTAGCTTAGACTAGCAGTTGAATCACAGGAAGCTGCTCAAGTGCTTTGCAGAGGTTTTTGCCTAGGCTAAAAGTTATCTGCAATGGGAACAGGAGGCATCCCCGTTTTCAAGCGCATGTTTACCCCCGCGCGAGCAGCACGGTGCTGTCGCCTTGAACACTTGTAGAGGGCTTTCTGATCCTACAGACCAATCACAGCCTCAAGCCCTGAAACGATTGATTCTGACTGTTTCCATGTTGATACACTTGGAATTGGAGCTGGCCATCCTGCCCATTTCAGCCCTCAGCACATCTATGGGAACTCGAGTACCAGAGTCCATCTCTGCGCAGTATAAAACCGCACGTAGAAAATGCACTGAAATCTCTAGGCAACGCATTTGCTTCTCCAGTACATCGAGTCAGGCCCCACCAAGCACTACAAATTACATCAAACCAATAGTACGGCAGAATCGCAACAGTTTTTGCGCGATGCCCAGTGGTACATGAGCAAACTGTAGCGGCACGGACTATGCAGGCGTCCCAGGTGTTGACTCCTCTAGCAGGCCCAGGAGATTCGTTGAACTCTAAGTACAGCTTTAGAAAATAGGTAGCCCATGGCACAGTGAACGGAGTCGCAGGTGGCACTTCAACTGCACATGCGCTAGGTGCAGCATGCCTCCGACTGCCGGTCCCTCTGGCGTGTCACCTAGTCTACGGTAGGCATGAAATCTAATGTGCAGCCAAAAAAGTGCAAATGGTCTCCTGTAGCTGGCGCGATACTCTCTCAATATCGTCTATGCCGCTATATACTCTACTACACATTTATTTTTAAAAGACGGCGCAGCATGGGTGGTGTGGCGGCACTCCTGGCAGCAGGTGCCTTGACAGAGAACTTAATAGCGTGAGCGGACGGGCTACGTCCTAGTTGAGCAGTGCCTTTCGATGCTTCTCAACATGCAAACCACGTGGTCCCGCTCAAGACAATAGTATTTTCTACACCGAAGAACGCAGGATGCTCTTGAATGCACGTTATTTCCCGCGAGGCTCCAAAAAAGCCATCGCCATAAGAACGACACAACCTGTGCTGATAAAAACTGCCCACAGTTTAAGCTCAAACTGCGGGCACGTCGGGACCCTTCGCGCGATTGAAGGTCTCACCCAAAAGGAATTCTCTGTCAAAGTTGCTGTCCAGCAGGCGGCCCTTGTCTACCTGGCGACGCTCCTGCCGAAGCTGAAATCACAAGTAGATTCAGACCTCTAAAACAGGCTTCTGTCTTAGAATTTCACACATCCGTGCCACGAGCAAATAGATAAACACTGCGAGTGGCCTTCGAAAGGATAGCATGACTGTAGTATTAAAAGAGCCGTACCTGTTCCTGTTGCTTCATGAGCACCCTCTGCTGTTCCAGGGTGCTGGCATCTCCGGTGCCCCATATCTCAATTTCTTTCACATTAATAGAAACCAGAAAATCCGCTGTATGGCTCGCTTCGGGTTCAGGGGCAGCCACGGTGGGCCATGCTGATGCTGCGCCTGGTGGCCGGGAAGACGACGAGATGTTTGTGCCTCCAACCGCTGAATGCAGTGCAGTGACACTGTCCTGGGGATTGAAAGTTTGTGGAATCGGCTCATTCATCTTCTGCAACATCCGGCCTGGCGAATACGTGCAGTCACTCTTCGTGATATAACACCCCTTCATTTCTGCAGAAAGTAGCAAAACAAAAGTACTTGTCATATTCAAAACCACAATTTCTCAACCCCATGGCGAGAAATAATACGAAGAGCAACGTGTTATGGCTCCTCATATGTTCATTGTGCAGCACACACACACAAACACGACGTACCGTCACCAATCCACAAACGAAACGCCCCAACTTGGCCTCCAAAGCCAAGGCCGATAGGATAGAATTTATTCTTGGTGTTCAAATACACAAAGTTTCTCCCCAAACCGCTGGTCCTGCGTTAAAAACAACCACTAGCACAACCGCGCATTTAAGTCAGGATGGATTGCTCAGTTCACTACGATGGTGGTGCCGTCTTCCAGTACATCTGTAAAGCTGGTAGCCGAAAGGAAAGGCATTTAGCTACATGAACAAATAGAACGTACCTAAGAATGTTTAGCTGCGGTTCCAGTGAAAATAGACACGTGCCCGCATCACCGAAGAAGACATGCCCGCCTTCTTTCAGCTCACTGCGAAGAGCATTGCAGAGGTATATACGAAATCTGGCCCCAGCAACGAAATACAGCTACAGTAGCTCGAGGCGGATACTATTACACTCAAGCGCGTTGCACCGCAAGAAGTCCCTGGTCGGCCTACAGAGAGTCAAACCAATATCGTTACATCACCAAGAAGACCAATGCACGAACAAAGCATCACCTCGAAATGATGGCGCCAAGCACCTGACCCTCTTCCAGCTTAATGACGAGCACCATGGGAGCCGAATAGAAAAAGCAGTGCGCGGAAAGTCTGCTAAAGCTTGTTCCTGAACGAAAGCTACACTAAGCAGGAGTTTACTATACATGTGGATACGTGGAGGAGCGACATGCTCGCACGCTCGTGTATAGATGACAGCGTGTCTTTCGTCTGATACAAAGCGGCCAACAGGAAGCCTGTAATTCCGAGTTACCGTGCTTCCATGAGGCATATAGGCACGTCCATGGTGCCTTGGGAGGAAAGGGGAAAAGCGTCGTGGTTAGCCGCAGCTACACACAGAGCACAAAGCTTTGGCCTTCAGAACCATCAGTGAGAGGGCATTTAAAGATTAGGGGGGCAAGAACAAAGGAACCATCATAAAGGACCAAAAACCCCAAAACTTTCTACTGTTCAGATTTATCTGCTGGTGTTATTTGGTCACCTACCACGAAAGCGTGTTCGTCGGTAAAGCATTTGCTTCTAGCGTCCAGAGGCCCCTCACCATGCCAACCTTTTGACTCTACTGAAATGGCCTCGGCGCTGCTGCTTCGCTTACAAGTAGCGACCCTCGTAGGCATCAATCCATTGGCTTCTCGTCCTCTTAGGGTCGATGTCTCTCGCAGTGACGAGCGACTTCGTCTGCGCCGAGACGCATACACCTGAAACAGAAACAGAACAGCGCGACGAAGAACCTGTGAAGTGCGTGTATACACATCTCCATCCTTGAAAAGCCATTGAGTGCATGCACCCAAGTGTATACGCAATACCGATGGTGCCGAATCCCCCTACCGCCCAATACTAATTTCGTGGGGCCCGAAGGCAACCCCAAATATTTACACAAACGCGTCACCCTACACCAATCAGCCCGCCCCCCGCACACTGTGCGTCCTTATGTGTTGCACCCCTGGCGTCAACAGAGCAACTCGCTGGATCTGCTGCACTCCACTTCAACACCGTCCTAACAATCGCGCCGTTACGCAGCCAACCGCGTAGCGAGTACAGCCGGGGACCGCTGAGACACCACAAGGGACTCACTGAGTACTGCACGTTGGTTGTACTTGAATCGCGTCGCTCCTGCTGAGGCTGCCCGTCAAAGACCGCATCACCTAGCAGGTGTGCAGCAACTCCCAGGGTGCACAAGGCGGGGAGCGCAGGCAGTGCCGCCCTAATCCACGAGAGCACAGCGAACACTTCATGCCGCAGACCACCACTGCCAATGGTGCTAGAGCTTGCATGCAGAAGGGCTCCCGAGGCCTGAGCCGCCAGCTCCACGCTGGAGGTGCGTGCATGGGTACCGTCGGATAAGTGTGCAGCCAACTGCGTCACTGCTACTGCCGCGTTCGCGACTGCAGCTGCCGTGGGAGTGGAGGCGTGGATGGTTGTGGGGGCGGCTGCCTCAGCGAAGGCGGAGGCCATCGCTCTGATGGCGAACGTAAAGTTCAACTCCTTAGGAAACACCATTTTCAAGGCCGGTGCAGAGTCCCAGGCTGAAGTTGCATGTATGCCACGTGTGGGATGAGCCCTGATATGCAGCTCCTGCGCCTCGTTGCAGGTCAGTCCGCTGGTGGTGCGCGCCACTTGGTCTTGGAAAAGAAGGCTGCTTGAGTTGATCAGAAACATCATCTCCAAGTAGCCAAGATGCAGCAGCTGTATGAGGGATACACAGGCCCTCGTGGTACACCCCAACGAAATAAACGTAAGGCTGCGGCGACTGCATGCGCTGCTGATGCTGCCGCTGGCGCTGCGGTGTATCGAGCTCTTCCTGCAGACATGCCCATGGAAAAAAAACTCCCAAGCATATACATATATATATATATATATATATATGTATACTCCTTTGTACGGACAATATCATAAAATGAGGCCCAAAGCACGACTAGTAAGTAAGCTTCATGAGCGTTCGTCAGTGTTGCATGCACTGAGAATTCAAGCGCAAACTGAATCCTTTGGAATGGCAACTGTGTCGCGACGGGTGACTACTTGTAGACGCGCCCCAAGCTGCTGCAGGCTACCTTGGGGCGAGGCTAACACCTCCAATTGTCTCGAGTGCGTTCCTCAGGTGCTCATTTTCTTCAAGTTGAATCCACCGGGGCTGAAAGGCTCTGGCGATTCTACCGAGCATTCGTTCAGTCAGCAGCACTTCAGTTTCAGGGGCTTCTCCCGAACAACAGGAGGAGATGGAGTCAATGATCTCCTGAAGCGTAATGCTGTTTGCAATTTTCAGAGCCTCAACCTGCTTTTTGCTCGGCTTGCTGCAACGAGCACCCACGATATTGGTTGGCACACGGCCGTCCACATCGGCCACCAAGCTGCTACTGCTGAGGGTAGCAAACGACTGTCCATGCGGCTGTGCGGGCAGTTGCTGATGCCGCGCGATCTCTTTCAGTGTTGGCAGTAGCAAAGTAGCATGGCCTTGTAGCACTCCGGGGAAGGCGCGTACAAATGCAAGCAGTGAGATGCGGGCCTTCGAGGGGGACAGCTGCATTCACCCAGCACAGGCAAAGCCAGAGAATTTGCCGCTTTCTCTATGCATCAGGAAAGCGATGGAAGGTAGCTGGGGTACAAAATAGCAGACCCCCATCGTACCTCGTTAAGGCCAAAGTTATTCAGTAGTTGCTGTAGCTGCCTCGGCGTCAGCTTCTTCGGGTTCAAAGGCGCCGGGGCAGCCAGGCGACTGGCAGTTTCCCCCATTCTTCGTGAGGAATTGCTGCCTCCCGCTGCACCGTAGCTAGTTCTGAGGCTGAAATCAAATCACTTTGCTGAAGCACCACTCAGCACTCGCAGGTTCCCGTTGCTCATGCATGCTGTGGCCGTCCGGCGGAATACCTGCATCGGCTCTTTGAAACTTTACAAGAGCGGCCTCAACCGGACTCAAAATCGGCCCAACGCTGCAAAGGAGAGGGGGCGAAAGATGTATTCAAGCGACTGTGAACGTTCACACTTGGCCGCTGCTGCGAGGCAGATGAGATGACCGCCAGCGCAGTGCGTTCCAGCGGTGGCTCCTTGTGCAGCGAACGCATCTGCTGGTGCACAAGCGCCCCAACCGATACGGTGGCTGCAGTCCTAATATGAAGCAGCGCAATCTGACCAAAATGCGCCGTAATTATTGCAAGCAAGCGCCGCTGGATGCTGCGTGGCGGGCGACAACGGGATTAGGTGTGTTGCTGGGAAACAAACTAGAAAAAAAGCGTTGAATTTCCCAAGAGATACTCATAAAACAGCATGATATAGGATCTTGAGGCTGCGCATAAAAATCAGTAGATCCGCTGAGGCAAAACAGCGGCTTCCGCGTTTAGCAGATGGACGAGGCAGGGGAAAAGACAGCCTTGGTGACAGGAAGGTTCCAAAGCAGTCAGCTAACTTTGCTCAACAAGACACACACCTATCCTTAGAAAAATAGACACTGTTGGGTTTGGTGGATGAAGGTAGAAGACCAGTGCACAGAGCCGGTGAATCAACCATAACAGGGCAGGAGGCCGCCAGGCGACAGGGGCATCCAGTTAGTTAGTCAGCACGGCAATGCACAAATATTGCTCTTGATACGGCCTCAAAAGAACAAAATACAAGTGGAAAATGCATGATGAGAACGCTGTGGGACAAGATTCTTTATTAAGTATGCTTTCAGCGCGACTTTGCGGTTCTTCAGTTGCACATACAAGCATGCAGCGCTGCGGCCACTGTGGTCACGGGCACTAAGTACTGCAGGCTGCAAGTATTATTGCAGCGGTAGATGCCTAACAGGACACAGAGGTGCCTCCCTGCATGTCTTCCGGCGTTAATCGTTTGCCTCAACAGCAATACAGCCCACCCTCACCGCCATGGATGCGCACACAAGCGAAGACAGCGGGAGCGGGAGCGAGGGGGCGGGCACCATCAGCAACAGAGAAAGGAGGAAACAGCAAATGCAACGGAAACAGCAATGTCGGAGACGAGTCAACGCATCGAGTGCCGCAGTGCCGGTGGATGCCGCTACCACTTTAGCTGGTCCCACTGATGTGGGTGGTTTTTGCAGCTCCCCAGGTGATGGGTGGGCTCATGATCAACAGCCCCCTATGACATGCGCCTGCAGAGTGGAGTATTGCCCAAGTATGTTGACCCTGCGCCAATGAAACGCTCACACGAAGTGCATCTGTGGGGGCAGCACTGCCACTACTTGTGCTTTTATCACCTCCCTGGAAACGCGAGTTTGTGATGCGAGGACATCAGTCCTGCCAAGTGGAAGATGTGATGTGCATAAGATGACTAATGGAGACTCAGGTAGCCTGCTTTCTTTGTGTTCAGCATGCGGAATGCCGTTCGAGTACTGCGAGTTCTCTGGGGCCGCGTGTGCCAAACAGGAAGAGCAACAGGATGCTCCAAACGAAGGCATGGTGCAGCAACCGGCACATGAAAAGCAGCTGTCTGATGAATTCCAGGAAAAGGCAGCAATTAGCAATGCTAAGCGAGGAGCTGGGAAGACAGTCGGTGCAAAGCCCGTGAGCGCATTCCTGATACTTGAGTGCAACTTGATAAGCCAGCTAGCACCAAAGACTCGGCGAATACTCATGTTCTTAGAAATGCCACGGAGGGTTGCTAATAGGTGTTCTCGAATGTGTCTGCACGCATGTTGTATGCATCCAGCGGATAGTATGTCACCCATCCGTGTGGCCGCACTGTGCGCGTTGATGTGTATCCCGCATCAGAAGGTTGTAACAGTGCAGAAACAGGCCAAGCGAAGAGGAAAATACGTGACCAATATTTGGGGGCTTGAAAATTTCGGTGTGTTTCATGGATTCACCCCTGGTATAACAGCCTTGGTGCTAATCCCAATGTAGATGCTTTCGAGCCTCTAGTGTGCTACCCTCTGGGGGAAATCCAAGTGTGTGACTTGTTTTCCTCCTGCGTTTAGCATCCATTTGCATCAGTCCTCATGATGCGGCATTGCGGGATCAGCGACGTCCTGGTGCTGTGTCTCAGGCGTAAAGCAGGAAGTCGCAGCGAAGCTCGCGAGCAAGCACTTTGCATGCGGATCGTCATTTCAAAAGGGGCAGCCGGGCCAGGCGCCTAGTGTTGAGATTCAGGTGCTCTAGTCGGATCAAATGCATGCATATGACTGCGAATGAGGTTTTTTTTGCAGTGTGCAACTTTTTAACGTCGGTGTGGCTTCAAAGTTCTGCACCGGTGGACATGGTGTTTAATCACTTGCTCCCCCTGCATGCAATACTCCAACAGACAGGAGTTCTGAGCGCTGTCAGCGGAGCATTTCTTGTATGCGCCAAACTACAGGCATTTTTGGTGTATTCTTCAGGGCGATGTCGAGGAAACAGTAGCAGCCTTCCTTTTGAAGAACTTCGAAATTCCCGAAGACAAAGTTGTGTTTCTCCCGGAAAAGTGATCACCGTGTACTGGCGTCCTCGCAGAAGGGAGAAGTGGTGGGGGTGCATATATCACAACAGAACAGCTGCCCTCATACCACATTAGCACTCGCTCCAAAATGCCTTTCAATAGATTTTTCGGGTCTCCAAAGGGCGCTTTACGTATATAGCGCCATTGGCCTGCGAACATCGGCCTGGCATTCGTTCTTCTATTTATACCTAACGGACGTTTTATATTCGAGCTTTGAGCCATTTTGCTAGACCGGGCTACACCGAGAGATCAGCGGTGTACTTGCAACAAGCACAGCAAAGTGCACGAATCGCGTTATATGGAACCGAGACGCAGCTAGCCGATTGAAATTCGAGGATATGAAGAAAAGAATGCGGTTTCGCATAGGTTTTTGCGGGATTAAAGAGTGACCGATAACTGCACATCAGATCCCTTGGCAGCCAGAACAGCGAATCACTGGTTCATCGCCACAGCAAAAAGTACATCCTTGTAGGGGCGCAAAGTAAAGTTTTTGGTCTGGGAGAAGTCTTTCCCGCGGATCTTACTATATCTGGAAATACAGGGGCCCAGCCAGCCACAGGGTTGCAAGCTCACTTGCCGGTGCGTGCGGGTGCGACGTTGGTTAGACCTCCCCCTGAAGTGACGGTCACGAATGCTCTCTCCTTAAAAGATTGGAGGCGGTAAGGAAGACCCCGAACAAAAAGCAGTTTCCCATGCCCCAAATTAGCTGATTCCAAAGGAGAAACAGGTACCATGGTTTGTTGTCGCATATGCCAAGAAACGGTATGTGATGGGCCACGTCTGCCCAGCACCGCCAAGACACGTTTACGTTCAGCACGTCCATGCTGCCCTTTTCTTGTTTCTTACTTTTACGATTTTCGCCGCTTATTCCCCCTTGAGATCGTTGTAGATCCTTTGACCAGGTTTCGCTGGGACCTGGCAGTTCAGGGTGGCAAACCGCGTACGGTGTCACGCATCGCGAGCCGAGAACACATAGCAGGGAGAGCCCCATGGACACTGACAAGCAGCACGGACTGTGCCCTGCTGCGTACCTCAGGTTAATATAGGTCGTAAAAAGTATAAACCACAAGTGGTGTGTCGAAAACAGCTTCTTCATCCAAGGCTGCACCATAGGCAAAGATGCGCACAAACGAAGATACGAACTTTGGGAAAATATGGAATGCATTCAGCGTAAAGCATTAAAGACAACTCCTCTGCCTCTCTCCTTGCTCTGCGCTACCGCCAGTGAGCTCTGTGGTGCGTGACTGCCTGGAGAGCTAGGGTAAGAGCTGCCGAGCTGGCCTCTAATTGTCTCACGGTGTCCCTATTTGTAAGATACTTGGCAACACCGATGAGGAAGCGCCCACGGATCAACAAGTACAGCATGTCTACGTACCATAAGAGCTGATCTGCGCAGCAAACACAGCCTTCGTGAGTCGGAATTGTAACTTAAGTCCGCCTGAGGGAGGCTCAAAGTGTGCTACGCTGCCGAAGCAACGGAGGCACCAGGCTGCAGACTAAAGGTCAGGCGTTTCATTGATCAAAAATCCGGTGAAAAGGGAAAATACTCACCTATAGCGACCCAGCATGAACAAGCGCTAACCAGGAAGGGGATGTTAAGCCAAATCGCTGCAGAAGTAACGCCCGGACGAAAAAATCAAGTCATAGGAGGCCCATCACTTATGAATATGCGTCGACCCTCCAGAAAAAGAAAACAACTCCCTTTGCTCTGCGCAAGACAGGACTCACCTGCAGCAGTTACAATCATCGATGTGTTGCACGCCCAAGCTGCATCGTAAAGCATCATAGGTCCCTTCTCGTACAGCCGGCAGGTGACCATTAGGACCGCGTACAATAGGAGAAACAGTGCATACGCCTGGGGCTGCAGGGTGCCCTTTTCCCAGGAGTATAAAGAGAAAGCCTGCTTTTTATCTAGCAGCAATTCTTCAGGCAGCAACACCCTCCCTAGTGTGCTTCTTGCCCATGGCAAAAGCAGTGCAGGCTGAAGGCCCACAAAGCTTGCCACGGAGGCCAACCCATGTATGAAGCTGAGAAATTGTGGTGACTGGTGCTGCAACCACTCCTCATGAAACTGAGTTGGAGCAGCTAGGAAGGCAGCAGAGGCTAGCACAAAGGACAGCCCTAGGTTGAACCCCAGAGCGAGGGCCGGGTGCAGCCATCCGCGAAGCTTAGGGTCATTAGGGTCAGACACGCAGAATAACCACGACCAGGCGCTGTATAAAGGCCGCATTCTAATAAGGCGGTGGAGCTCTCTGCCTTAGCTCTCTATGCAGTGTACAAGTTATGTTTAGGCAGTTGTGGGAACTCGAAAGTGCGGTATTTCTGCCTTTCACAATCGCGAAATTCCCCTTCCCTCAACATACCGCTAGTTTCATACAAAGACCTCCCATTACAATAGCAGGTGCTGATGTTTATGGCTGCTCTGTTGTCCCCCCAACCCGCGGAGACCTCAAGGAGCGGCGCTTCTTGTGCTCGGCGTCTAGACTATCTTCTACAGGCGGGTTGATAGGAAATAGATTTCGCCACTGCCGAAAAACCATGAAATCAAAGGCTCGCAAAATCTCCAACAATGATGCAGCAGTGAATGCAGGGGCAGGGGCATGGGCGCCGCACTACCAGACACATATTCTCCCAGCTTCTCAGAGATCAGAAGGGGGGAAAACATGAAATTGGAAGCTTTTGGCAGGTCGAGATTAATCCAAATTGACTTGTGGCTAAAAACCATTACCGTGCATGTTCGGGGCCGCATACGCTGCATTCAAGGCCGCCGTCGACCGACTCAACTCCAAGGCCTCGCATGCAGTACGACACTGCGTATCAGCGGTATATATGTCCCCGAGAAGAACACAAGACAGCAGGCACTTCAGGTTTTGTGTAAAACTAGGAAAGGCAGCAATCAAAACATGTCAAAGCGCACGAAATGAAACATGATGTTCCTGTACAAAAAGTAGTGTACAAACAGGGTCACCATCTCTTTGTATTACAGAACCAGTTACACACGCCTTCAAAAAAGTCGAGTGAAACCGAAGCATGCCGCAGAATATGGGAGTCACACCCGGTCATACTTGTGCCAACGAGTCATTGGGATCGCTGTAAGTTAGTCTCAGGGCTTCCGGGACTGTTTTCTCCAAGGCTTTCCGAAGCCGCTACCCCTGCACTTTCCTGATGAAGTGCTTTTTATAATCGGGCAGGATGAGAGCTGCGTGGAACGGGAGTGTTCAATATGAAAACTATAACCCTCCAGAGGTACCCGTAGGGGAACACTTCACTCCAGGCGCGATATTGATGCAAACTGTTAATAGTGTAACGGAGTGCTCTATAAAAGGGCTTTCCCCTCTCCGTGCCTGAACTGATTCGGGCTCCGACATGAGGAAAGAGGGACAACCAGGGCTGGCGTAGCTGCCCCGTCTTAGCACTCTAAGTAATCACAACTATTTTCACTTAGCATTTAGCGTATGCACACATAATATTGCATCCTAGCGCAGTGAGCTAACGCCCTTCTACCGTAGGAATGAGATACAAACAGCCAAACTACATAGTCAATTATCCCCTTGTTGATTGAATATCACCGTGCACTACAAGGAGCATGGCTGCTGCGTGCATTGCTACAAAAGCAGAATCGATCCAAAGCCGTTGAACAAAATGGGGTTTCTCGTTAGATTTATGCCTTCGCTAGCTGCATGCATATTAGTGAGAAACGGGAGTGCAGGCAGTCACTCATTCACTGTTGTCCTAGAGACAAAAAGCTTCTCAGTGACCATTGCCAATCTTCAGTTCCGCAGCTGCGCAGGTATAATGAAACTGGACGTACACCTTTCTTGGTGTTGTGTAGGAATGCGTTTCCATGGGGCCACATACATATCCTAATGATTAAGTAGATAAGTCGACAAAACGCGGAAACGCACAAAAAGCTACTATCTGGAAGGGCATGTAAGTGAAATAATCTCAGGAAGTGGCACCTTGAAATACAGAATGGATGTAGGCGTTGCGGGAAAGGCTAGTGCTGCCTATGAAGAACAAGTGGATAAAGGCATGTGGTTGCTCCTGGGCATCTTTTTCGCCGATTTCTCAAGAAAAATATCAGCAACAGTACTGCTCACCCCTGCTCATCAAGCAAGATACGATCCCGTCTCACTCCCTATAGATAGTAAAGCGCTCTACCGTGCTTCGAAGATGCAGTGGAGCCCGTGACCACAGGCATGTCTGTTCTAAACCCCCAAGATGAAGAGGCCCATGAGTGACATTATTTTATTCGAATGCCAAACGCCCTAGTATTAGCCAGTAGAGTCTCTTAGAACAGTTACTACGAAAAAATGACCCTCTTCCTCGACACATGGTATTGGAGCAGGGGGAAAAAATGGATAGACCTTTGATGCACAGAAAGCCATGCACAAATACCCACGCCAAAGCCTGCGGGCCCAAATTTGGCAATTTCAGTCATTCTGCCTTTGCTCGCGGTTCCCTTGGTCCTCCGGGATGCGAAGACCCTCAATACCGAGAGGAACGGCAATAATTGTTACTAGCAAGTATCCATTGCATAGAAGAGAACTAACTAATCTAGACTGCGTTTAAGACTAAGAGAAGGTGAAATACATAGTAAGGTTTGAGGGTACCTAAACGACAACAAAGAAACACAATAGCCTACTAACTGAAACGAAATGCTTAGCAGCGTCCCAATGGCTCAATCAGTGGGAATTTCACTGCAGCCCTTCTGCAGTGAAATTCCCACTTCCTGTGTGTAAAATGGTGCCTTTGATTTAGGAGTTAGAAATGCCCCTCAACTATTTCGTCCGTACCAAATCGGGCGCGTAACGACCTAATGCGAGCCCTGTAATACGTACTGCAGGTGGCAGATTTTGCGTAAAGGGAAGTAGAAGCTTGCTAACATTTTGAGAAATAGTTTGATGCCGTTGTCCATACAGCTGTGGACGTTTCGGGGGGCCTTTGCAAGCTTGATGAATGACTCTAACGCCCATCTCGACGAACGGCAAAACGGTAATGCCAACACAGATTTCTGTTTAAACAAGGCTACACTGCACCACACATATAACTATCTGTGCAACTTGATGCGCTGCATTCACTCTACCTAGAAATTACTCCACAACAGGACCGCGGTGCCACGTTGCACCCAAAGGGACGATGGACATTTTGAATGGAAAGGCAGATCCACAAACGTAACCACGTCCCTGCGAGCAGATTAGCACATGCACAGAAACGAAACCTAGTGCATGTTCGGATTTTTCTACTCAGCGCTACATCGGAAAGCACGTATGATCCCCCTTCCCCTACGCCCCCCCTCCACACAAGCACTTGCTGCAGTGCTCTGTGTTCACGCTCTAGATGTACGAGACACACTTCCGAGCGCGGTTCAAGAAGAGTGGTATCGGGATGTAGATCTGATTCGCCTTCTTGAATTTGGAGCCTTCAGCTTTGTTGTACCAACGCATGACCATCGGCGGTAGGCTAGATGCCAGGACGTCGGTGACATCCAGACACTGCGCAAAAAAGACCAACACCAGGAAGAGGGGACAACAACATGTGAATTAGAAATCGTACAGGTTCCCGCTACGTCAGTAAATATCTGTGTCTATACCAATTGAAGGCCTTTTCCCTACAGTGGAGAAAGGAACAAACCTCTTCTTTTGGATTCCATGCTGCGCCCTCTACAGTGAGCCCAGTGATGATGAATGACTGATCATCTTTCGCTTCGACATCCCCCACAATAACTTCCGCTACCAAGTCATCAAGAGACCACCCCTTGGCCTGAGCAACAGCTTGGCGGGTCGCGGTCAGGTAAGCGGAGGGAAAGAACATCCCTCCCAGCCATATTCTCGACTGCGTTAGTTCCCCGTTGTCACGCTGCCTCGAGAGCAGATGCATCGCCGCTTCCATCTGTATGTCTTGATCTTGAGTGCCAAATTCGCGAGCTACTAGGGACAACTGCATCAGCCGCCGACAGAAATCTTCGATCCACTCTGTTACAGTTAGCTCTTGAGAGGATACGTACACCTGACTCCACTCCGCAGGAACTTTCGAAGAAGATATCAAAGTGGCCAAGTCACGCAGAGAATTCGTTATTTTCTTCTCGCCCTTGCAAACCAACATAAGCTCGCCCAGAGACTCGCGGATCAGCGCACAAAGCCTGCGCATGCAAAAGAGATATGAAATGCCAACAAGTCAAAGGAAATCCATGCCCATACGAAGCCGAAGCCTTACGCGCATGTCGAGCTCAGAGGGTCGTGTTCTACTTGCATGCATGGCAAGGGCAGCTCGCGTACCTCACACCGACTGTGATTTCACGCTCGAAGCAGCGGAACATGGGGTTTTGTAGCAGATCGTCTGTGCGTTTCAGGGAAGGAAGTTTTTCTGGCAAAGTTGTTAGGCAAGTCTGAATAACGGGGATGAGCAACGCCAGCCAGGAGGTCGCTAAGGAATCAGCGTCCCGTGAACTTCCCTCTTCGGTAGGCGTACTAACACTCTTCTGACTCGTCAGCCCTCCCTTTTTCATCATGCTCGCATATAGAGAATGAAAATCGAGCGTCTCTTCCTTTCCCCGCAGCAGCAGAGCCGACCAGTTCGTGATGCACGTGTATGCTTGCCGTGCGGCCAGCAGCCACTCGGCGCGAGAATTGAACCCGATCCATGCTGGCATGTCGCGCGAGGGAAGCGAGTCTACCCATTCCAAATACTGTTCGTGGGTTCTGTAGAGCTCCGTAGGAGCCACCAAGAACTCGCCCTCCGACTCCTTTGTTTCCGTGATCATGGTCGGCATGTTAAGGCAGAAGTCAGCTTCGAAAGCTTCCGGACGAAACAGGTAATCCACGAAAGATCTCAGCACCCTGAGGGAATTCGGCGCACAGAAACAGATGCAAATGCAGAACTACGAGTATTTTTCTGAGGTCGTGTGGCGTGGCGCACTGGCATCTGCCACTCTGCGCAGCACAACGAAAAGGTTGCTTCTTCACGAGGAGGTGCACCGAATAGAAGAGGATTTGTACGCGCACCTTTCGTCCACAGGGTTGTCCAGCCTCCCTCCGTAACACACTTGCGCTATGAGCATTCGCATTGCAGGCCACGGAAGTCTCTCAGGCGCCACATGGTCTGAAACCGAGTCGCCTCTCTGGGCAACGGAGGCGAGCCAAGAGTCTATGATGCTCAGTGCGCACTTCTGATCGGCCTCTGAGAACTCGTAGAGCTTGCACCACCCCACAGGCGCATATCTGCGCCTTTCCAAGATGACTGCGTGGAGGAAAGCCAGCAGAAATTGCAGCCGACAGCGCGCAGCAGAGGGGGGCTGGACAGGCTGGGGGCTGGCATTGCTCCGGCTTGGCACGCCGCGTCCACCACTTGTCCCGAAGAGCATGGCGTAGGATCTGTAGAGGGAAGCCTTGATCCCGAGAGGCGGCTCAAACATGAAGGTGCAAGAAACCCTCACCAGCGTGGCGGGAACTTTGGGGTTATACTCCATAGTGAGGAAGAGACGGAAGTTCGTGTGCGCTTGGCCGCGGTGCAGATTCTTCTCCAAGTCTTGAAGCCATTTAAGGGAGAGATGGACGTTCTTACAGAGCACCCACGTGCCCTGCCGAGCGGCCTTGGCGATGGCCTTTTCGGCCAGCTCGAAGCCTTCCTTGCTGCCCATCGCTACAGAGCTGAGGGGCTGCTGGACGGCAGCTGCGAGATGCGTGATCAGGCCGCTGGAGTCGGAGCCTGGCGACAAGACAAAGAGCACTGGTGACGTGCTGCTTGCCTGCTTCTCCACGACTTCTTTCAAGATTTCGTGGGAAAGCTCTGGGATGGCCAGGAAATCGCGGCCTAACACGCTTTCACACAGTTCCGTCAAAACGACAGTCACGCGATCCGGCCTAAGGGCCCTAAGAACGAGAAGCTCGCGGAGACGATTCACCCAATCCCCCAGTTCGGTGATTCCCTCAGAGCCAATCTTTTTGTTGGCCTCTGGCAGATGTTGATCCTTGACGAAGGCGCCTTGCGGGAAGCAGTTTTCGGGAGCGGTAGACTGGAGGAACGCTATCCACTGAGACGCGTTCGCAGCCATGTGCTCCTGGAAAGAAGCAAAGCAAGGAAGCGCCAGCAGCTTCTGCAGTGCCCTCATCTGTTCGGCTGTCAACTCATCATTCAACGTGAATGTCCAAGGTGCCGCCTGCGCGGCCCCATGGTCTTCCACAAAGCCTTGAAGGAGCAGCTGCAATTCCGCGATGTCCAGGGATACACCTGCGTCCAGCTCCGTCCGGATGAAACTCAACTGCAACGCGAACACTAATCTGTCATAGTACCCCAGCCCGTAAGCAATTCGACGAAACGTTGTCGAGAAAAGCGCGGACAGAAGGATGGAAAGCCTCTCCGCGTAGTCTGTCTTCTTCAAGTCACTCAGACCGGATGCACCCGTCAAGGTCTCATGAAGAATTCCTGCAAAAAAACAAGCACAGATTGAGCCGAAACGCTGCAGAATGCAATGCTAGAGCGCAGCTGCTACTGACGTGACAGCGACCACGCAGGACAGCGGGCGCCTAAAGATTGAACGCAAGGGGCACCCAAGTAGGCGATCCTGCTCGTGAAGTCGGTCCGTTCAACTCCATGATTGTGAGTGCGAAACAGCAGCGGATGCCTTTTGTATATTCCCAGAATCACGCGGCGGCACCATACCTAAGAAGAAGCGGAGGTCGTACTGGTAGACGGGGGAAACACACGACAAGTTGAGTAAGGTGAAGTAGATACGTCCTGCCGCTAGAGCCCAGGGTAGATACATGTTGCTAGTCTGGTCTACTTCTGTCATGACTTCCTCGGTTCGCGCTGCTTCTGTTGCGATTTCAGCGGCCTGCCGCTTCAGCATTTCCATGGAAGACATCACGGAGTCATCGTCTAGGATGCTGCCCTTCACGTTGGACAGCGCAAGCAGCAGCGAATCCTCCAGTTCGCGTATCTTGACCTTGAACTCGCCCTGCAGCTTCAGCATGTCCGACCGTTTCTTGTCGATGTCTGGCCTTTCGCTCTTGAGAATCATGTTCAAGCACTGGTTGACCAGCGAGGCGGGTGTAAGGGTGAAATTGATCATGGTGACACGGCTGCACAAGTCGGGAGTGAATTGCGCTGTGGGGTCTCGCGTTGCGAGGTACATGGAAAAGGCTGGCGACAAGTCGATTTCGGAGTCCCCTACAGTAATTAGCACCCTGCCTCCGAGTTTGTGAGTTTCTCTGTTGAGAACGGGGTTCAGAATGGGGTCTACCTTCTCCACATCTTGAATGACGAGGGTCGATCCGAAACGCAAACTGCTTTCCAGGTTTTTGAGGAAATTTATGTCCAGGAATGACGTTTTTGAGAGTTTGTTGGAGGACAGGAAGGAGGTCAGGAAGTTGATGGCCTGCCCCGCGGGGTCAATGATGAGAGGGTAGCGAAGGAAACGCTTCAGGATGATGGCATTCTGAATGGAGAGGTCGTCTGGAGGAAGCGCATGAGCCGCCCACTGGAGACGCTCTGAGGGCGTCGAGAGGAAGTCAACAAGCGAAAGATCGAGCCGACAACGGATGCATTCTCGCTGGAGCACAGCCCTCCATTCTTCCAGCAGCCGGTGCCGCTCCGCATACTCGAAAAAGCCGAGGTACGCACAGAAAGCGGCGGCAAGCAAACTGTCACCAATAAACGTCTGAGAGGCCAGCTTCAACTGCTCGAGCTGTTCGAACCAGCGGCTCTTTTCAGAGCCAAGGTTTTCCAGCAAGGACATGGAACGGGCGCACTTCTTCTGCACCTCTTCCATCTCGTGTTTTATGCTCTGCACCTGACTGATCAACTGAGCATAGTCTTGCTTGTACTGCTGCAGCTTGCCTTCCAGCTGCGTGATAAGCGATTGCTGCTCCTGCAGATTCGCCTCATTCTCTTGCGCCTCCGTCTCCAGCTGCGCAATTTCAGTTTGTAAGGGCTCAACCTGCTCGCTAATCAACACGAACTTCACACTGCTCTCTACCCACTGTGCCAAGGGGCCGGCCGCGCGAGACGCTTTGTTGATGCGATCTATATCCCAGTCGCCCGTCAAATACTTGGACTGAATTCTTCGACGTGTTGCTGAGCTGACAGACGCGCAGTCGAAATTCAAAATCTGAAAGCACAACACAGCGCACAGCATCCACAGCAATCATTTCGGAAAAAAGTACATCTTCTGCGCATAATGAAGAGCTTTTCCCTTCTAAATACAACTGCAAAAACTGCAGACAGATAGCAGTTACTAGCTAAAAACCACCAACCCCAAATGTGCACAGACAAGCAGGGCATTTTTTCCCCATGAAACCATGAAAAAAATTTCTTCAAAGGCATCCAAAACTGTGCGGCACCCGTTTATGTGTGCCTGCCGCGTGCAATAACTTTGGTAACTTTACACTTTACGAGCGCAACACTGCTTGGGGAGAAATTCTTCTAGTACTAGGAGCACATGCTGGCAACAGCTGAACTGGCTTTACAGTCCATGGATCTACGCTTCCTGACCTTCGGAATGAAGTCGGTGGCCTTGAGTATCTTTCTCGCATCTTCCCAGGAGACTGCCTTCTCTCCAGCATCGGTGATAAGCACAGCGACAGCCTCCACTGCGAGCTTTGCCATGGCTGGCGGGTTGCTCATGCTTTTAAGCTCGTCAAGACTCTTCTTGGGGATGTTAGTAACCGCTTCTGCTGCTTCTTTCAACAACGGCTCCACTTCGCTCAGCTGTGCCTCTACGGCTTCTCTGCGTTCTTTGATTATTCCGGTCTGCTCGTCGAGCTTGCGTGCAAGGACTTCGGCCACCTTCTTCTTCTGTTCAGCTTCTGCCTGCTGATCAATCATCTGTTGCATTTTCCGTTCGGCTTCTTCGTTCTTCTCGGAGAGGACAGTGCCCTTTTCGGTGAGGTCCGTCCGCATTTCCCCCACTTGCCGCTCCACTTGGGCAAGAGTTTGAAGACCTGCCTGAAGGTGATGTTGCTGCTCGCCGCTTGCATCGCTTTTTTCGGCGACAATTTTCCTGAAGTGGTGCAGGAAATCCAGGAAATCTCGCGGCGTCATGTAGTTCGACTTGCGTCCGCTCCTTGCTAGAGCAGCATTGCTCTTGGACACTGCGTAATAGAACGCTACAATCGCAGTGGCCAGTCGGCTGCGGCGAGCGAGGTCTTCTGCATCGCTGCCTGCCTCTTCATCCGACTGCTCCTCGAGTGTTTCTCGCTGAATGCTGCTGATGGGCTTCGCGCCAACAGTTGCTTCTGGAGAAAAGCTGTCCGCGGCAAGGACAACAGACTCCGTAAAGGCGTACGCTACTTGCTCCATGGCCGGCTGAGTCCAGTCGCCAAACCAGTCGATGACGCATCTGTTGAACAACGCCGGAGAAGTGGCTTGCCGGTTGTAAAAATCAGGATTTGCAGGATTCATCGTAAATATGATGTGCAAATTTCTCTGAACGTGGCGCGTAAAACGCGAAAACAGCTCCGAAGACTCGCCACTCCCTAAAAACTCGCTGCCATACGCCGCCTTGCACTCGTTGATGAGGGCTGTGTACTCGTCGCCCTCAAACAGTCCAGGGACCTCTCCTGAAACGTGCCATTGCAAAGCACATAAATACATATGCGGCATGCACGGTTAAGGTATACCTTTTTGAGAAAGGATGAGCACCGGAGCACCGAACCCCCCCCACACATCTCTTCGAAGAAAAACGAACATACATACATGCATACACATATGAATAGATACATACCTGCATACACATATGCATAGATACATATATATGTACATACATACATACATAGGTGCATATATTACATGCATACATACATACGCAAGGCATCAGCCCCCCTCGAAACGCGCGTTTCGCAACACTACGGCGACGAATTTCCGACTGCCATCCCACCTGAAGCAAGAAGCGCATTCATTCTTTCCAGAAAGGCCGGCCCCAAGGCGTTTGATTCATCAATAACAAAAGCAATCTTTTCGTCTTTCAGGGCTGCACGTTTCATCACCACGCGGAGGTCTTGCTCGAAGGACGCCGTGCTGTAGTTCCGGCCAGCTTTAATCTGGAAGATGCTGAGTCCATTCATCCACGCGACAAACTTTGTGAGAATTGTTTTTCCAGCTCCTGAGGCTCCTACCAGCAATAAGTGGCCAAGCGGCTGCCTGAGCACTCGGTCAATGCGCGCCACGTGGTGAAGGACTTCGTCAAAGAAGACCAACTCCACCTGAAATACTTCCTCGTTAAAGACACGCAGCTTCCCTTGCAGCAAAGAACGCAGAGCTGGCACTGATACTTCACAGTAGTGGCGACTCGCGAGACTGGTGAAGAGAATTGGACGCTCGAGCGCTGCGTTATCAACACCTGGGAATTGCCTAAACAGACATGCAACACAAGAAATGCGCTGAAGTTTTACGCCGCGTAAGACTGCACGCGCTCTCCAACGTGTATGCAGAAAATGGACAGCAAAAAAATAAAAGAGGCTTCGAAAGTTCCCACCGCCACTCTCTACCACCCACTGCCATGCGGGGAGGGAGGAATGCAGCAGCACGCTGTGCGCATCAGTAGATAGAGAGGCCTTTGCAGCAATAGTTTAGACTGGATGGCCCCCGCCTCAAGAACGCGCGAAAAAATTCCCACGCAGAAGGGATTCGGCAAAAAAGACAAGAAAAACCTAGGACGCGCTATAAAAGGGATAGACCATCTCAAGTTGATCGCAGGGTACTTCCAGAAAAGCTAGAACGTGTGCAGAGAAGAGCTACGCAGCCAGCGTGCAAAGTGTCGCACCCTGAGTAGCTCTCTGCGCCCTCTACCCGGTTGCGCTAGAAATTCAAGAGTAGGGGCAGCCAAACGCGGGCACATATATATTTTTAAAAAAAGAGGCTGCTGACGAGGTGCATACATACCTCCGTACTATTTCATCGAGCATTTCGTCTGTTTTTTGTCGCTCTGCCACCGTCACCAGTCTGTCACTGAAGATGCGAAGACCCTCGTGCGCGTACATCCGCACCAGCTGCGTGATGGTGATGTTGAGTTTGTCCAGTGCATCTACCGAGCGTTCTTGGCTTGCCAGATGCCCCTCTCCTCCGCTGTTCTCATAAGAATCCTTCACGGTAGTGTTACCGGCCTTCACGTTTGCCCCGCTTTCTAAGGCCTCTGCCAACGCAAGCTTCCAGCGCGTCAGTTCTCTTGGAGAGTAAATGTAGTGCGGCTGCTGATCCACTGTAAAGGCCGCTGAGAAGGCCAAGTAGAAATCCACCATCGCCAAAGTCAGCGAATCTGCACTTCCAGAAAGCTCGGGATACGGACGCAGAAGGGCCCTGTTGAACGTACTGTAAATCTGCGAACACCATCCAATCCACTCACGCATCTACGTACAGACGTGCAGATACCAACATACACACAAACAAAGACATGCACACTCACAAATACAAACATACACGCACAAATACGCATACCAATACAAACAAACAAACAAACAAACACGCACTGATAAAGATATACACACAAATAGAAACATGCAAACACACATAAAAACATACACATCCGTACACACAAATACACACACACACACACTCACATTAGAATATAAACATACACACATGCTAACCTATACACACAAGTACAAAAACACACATATTAAAGAAAAAACAAACAAAAGTATACACGCAGGTAAAAAAACACACATATACACAAATACAAACCTACACATAAACACAAAAATACAAACACATACAAACCTATGCGCATACACAAATACGAATACAAACAAACACAAACCTATACACATACACAAATACAAACAAATAGAAACCTATACACATACACACATACAAATGCAAACCTATACACATACACAAACACAAATACAAACAAATAGAAACCTATACACACACAAACACAAATGCAAACAAATAGAAACCTATACACATACATACAAGAGCGAATGTGGGGTTTTGGCCCGCATATTTGGGAAGCAGTTTTCAGAAACGTTGAGAAATGCAAGCGCGCCTCTTGTTCCTTGATTACCTGAACAAGAGAGTCTCTGCCGGGGAAATCGACGAATATAATAGGCGCATGGCGGAGGAAGCGGTTGCTCATGGGGTGGCGGCCAGCATCCGTTGGAGGGTTGCATGCCCCTGCGAACTGCACTCCTTCAACGCGGATCCATACCCAAGGAGAGGCCTGTTGCAGCTGCGGCATAGACCGCCAGAAGCCCCCCGACTCTGCGATTTGGCGAATAAGCATGATAACATGCTGCGTGCCGTACTTGTCAGCCGACGGTAAGTTGCATTCGTCACAGAAAATGATAAGTGTCCGGCCTGGAATCACGGGACGCATGACCATGCCTCCTGCGACTGTCTTTGTGAGCTCGCAGTAATGATCAAAGGTCTTGAGCAGCAGATCGGGTGTCGAACCAGAGGAAAAGTTGAGAAAGGCAACATCGAAATCTGTCCGCTCTTTTAAAACTGCCGTTAGAGTCATGGTTTTCCCCGATCCGGGAGGACCGCACAAAATGAAAGGCCTTTTTTCCTCCAACCAGGCCTCCACTACATCGCGATGACGCAGGGTATCGACCGTCTGAATCACGAGAGACGCGTCCTTCACCTGAAAAGGAGAATTTCCATTCAGAATACACGCACATGAAGAACAAATGCCCTTGCTGCTGATATACGTAGTGCGGCAGTGTGTCGGTGTGTATGACGCAAGACATGAACGTGAACCCTTCACACATCCGTGTGCACCTGTGTAGAAAGCATGAGAGAACGAGAATGGAAGCGAGAGAGAAAAAGGGAGGAGAATGAGAGAAAGAGGGAGGAGAATGGGAGAAAGAGGGAGGAGAATGAGAATAAAGATGGACAATGAGAGAAAATGATGAACAATGAGAGAAAGAGAGAGGAGAATGAGAGAAAGAGGGAGGAGAATGAGAATAAAGATGGACGATGAGAGAAAAAGATAGACAATGAAAGAAAAAGCTAGACAATGAAAGAAAAAGATGGACAATGAAAGAAAAGCAAGACAACGAGAGAAAAAGCTAGACAACGAGAGAAAAAGCTAGACAATGAGAGAGAAGGCTAGCCAATGAGAGAAAGAAAAAGAGAAAAATGATAGGCTTCTTTCTTCCCATTTGAAGAAGGCTCGCAGACACACGTACGTGAACACAGTAGGACCCACACAAACAAACATTTACAGACACACATAAAACACATGTAAACACACTCAGAGTCTCGGTAGCAAAAACCGTTCAGCCTGAAGCGACGCGGCATTCATTCCGGTGTAAACCTGTAGGCGGTGCATCTGCAGCACTTTGTGCGCACCTGTTTTGTATCGATGTCCACCTGCTTGACGCGGTCTTTCCAGTGATGCCACTGGCCGTCTTCGAGTGAGGGTTCAAAGTCAAGAAGCGTCTGCGCTTCCCCGTTGTTGGCGGAGAGGGCAGGAGGCAGCGGCACGTCACAAATGCGGGCTACATCCTCGCTGAATGCAGATCTTCCGGCCAGACTTAGAGACCCCCCGAATCCCCAGAGAATGGAGAGAACCACCCACTGCAGCAGGCAGCAGCAGCAAGAGCAAGAGCAAGAAAATGAGCAAGAACAGTAGCAGTAGCGCCATCCTACACGGAAGCATGGTCTCATGAAGCGTGTGAGGGAGGACTCGCTGCTCGACAGCCCGCACGCAGCTGCTACGCAGCGAGAGATCCTAGGTAGGTCACCCGACAGCCATCAAAAAGTGCTGCTAGACAAGGCAACAGGGAGGAGAGTTGTATGTACTAGGGAGAGGAGAGGAATGCCTGACGTGCCTTGGTTATGAAGAGCTCGATGAGTTCCTCGTCTAAGGTTTCACCCGTGGCCCTCATTTCTTCGTTCTTTTCGACTACCCGACGAATGCCCTTCTTGAGGAGGGAGAACATGCTTTCGACGCATCTGATTTTGGTGAATTCCATGATGTGTTGGTGGTGCGCTGCGCGTTCTAGACACTGGCTAGCAAATCTACCGGCCTCGAAGAATGGGTGAAGGGTTTCAACGCAATGTTTCTTTATGCTCTGAGCGACATTTTCAGCGGTGCTTCTAGACCCTGCTGCTGCAGCACTCGTCAGGCCCGCCCTAGATCCGGATCGCGTTGGAGGAGCACCCCTCAGCGCGTCGCTTCCCGTGCCTGAGAAACTGCTGGAGTCTGCTCTGAAGGATTCGCGTGAGAGAATGCGGGAGGGAGCACCGCGTTCGAGGGGCTTTGCTTGTTGCCCCCCCCCCGCGACACCTTGGCGAAGGCCTTCGGAGGTGCTTCCCACGGCTGCGAGCTCCTCTAGGTGATGCATAAATATCACTTCATCGGGCAACACACTGCTCGCAAACCAGACAATGCCGCACCGACTAACCGTGGCGAGGGTGGCATACTTGAGCGTCTCGACTTCGAAGAGGAGCCGCACGGAACTGGGAATTTCGAGACGCTCGCCATTTGGAAGCGTCAGCAATTTGTTGTCATCGAGCGCAGAATTCAAATTTTCTGCCCAATCCGGATCAACGTCTCCATCAAACACTACCCAGTGTCTTTTCTGTTGCGCAGAAGGGCCTGCCTCTTGCGCAGTGGAGATGATCTTTCGCAGCACAGCCGTAAAAACGCCATCTTCCCACTCAAGAGTAGTGGAATCGAGACGGCCGTACAGCTGCTCCTTCGCCACAACTTTGGGGTCTAACACGTACGCCACGCCCTTCACCCCATCAACTTTCTCCATGGCCTCAAGCAGCACACGCCAAGCAGCAGACTTGCCTGTTCCCGTCTCCCCAACCAACATAACGCCATGCTGCAGCCTCTGAATTTGGTAAAGCTGCAACACCTTGCTGATCCACTCGCCCTTCGCCTCCAAAAAGCGCAGCTCGCACAAACGCTCAATCTCCTCCAGCAAGATTTTCTCATCAAGCGACGGAATATCTGCTCCCGGAAACACCCCGACCAGCAGACTGCGCAACAGCGGCACGTCCTGAGCCACCAACTTGGGTACCACCGTGTCTGTAAACGAGCGCAACAGCAGCTGCTGCTCAACTGCCTCTACCTGCGCTACGTCCTCGACGGCCGCCTTCGCAGACTGAGCCTGCTCCTGCAGCAGCTGCCGCTTCAATCTCCCCGCAGAGCTCAAAGCGCTCTTCAAAGAACGCAGTCCAAAGTCGTAATGCGGCTGCTTCGACAGCTGTCTGTCACACAAATCATACAGCGAAATAATTTTACCAGACAACCGCTCCGCAGAACGGAATCCCTGCGCGTACAACGTCACTTGCGCTATCAGCTGCTTGTCCGGCTTAATCATCGACACCTCCCTAAAGAGCTGCTTCAAATTGTCAGGCAAATTCGAACGGCCCGCATAACCCGGATTCATCGTGACAAAGATTCCCACGTCGGTATTCAGCTTTGTAGCCTTGCCAAGCAACTCAATCTCCTTGCGACCCTCGCGCAGGCCCACCTAATATATATACACACATAAATATACATTTACATGCATGAAGGTGCACATAAATACATGATCATGCACATATATATACACATACATAAATATACGTGTACATGCACAAAGATGCACATAAACACATGATCATACACACATATATATACACATATGTACATTTACATGCATGAAGGTGCACATAAACGCATGATCATACACACATATATATACACATATATACATTTACATGCATGAAGATGCACATAAACACATGATCATGCACATATATATATACATACATAAATATACGTTTACATGCACAAAGATGCACATAAACACATGATCATACCAACACACATTCACATGCGCATAGGCATCTATACATGTGCACATATACATATGCGTGCACACACAGGCACATCCACATATATATACATATATATGCACATGCGACCGGAGGGAGACCACAAACACAGCGCGGAGGACAGCCCCTAGGAGTGAGAGCTACCCACGAAGAGAGGAAAAGTGCCTCTCGTCATTCTCACTGCTTCCCCCGGGTGCAATTGAGCTCAAGGCGAAGTGCGTCTGTGTGTGTTCGCCGGGAAAAGCCCCAGAAGAAAAAGTACAAGAGTGCGGGAGTCGGGGGGAGGGGGAAATGCACGAAAGAGACGGACACGGAGCTCCTTTAACAACAGAGCACAGCGCCTACCTGAATGGTGAGGATTTGCTCAGACACGGCGGATAAGATTCTTTCGTCCAGACGATTGAACTCGTCAAAACAGCCCCAAGCCCCCACTTGACACAACCCCGAGAAGAGACGCCCCATTGCGTTGAAGTCAAAAGTTTCATCACAATTGAACACCAAGGTATACCTTCCTAGTGCGCTGCCCAACGCTTTGACAGACTCCGTTTTTCCGGTACCTGAGAGCACACAGAGGCAGAATCAGAGGCACACCACAGGCCTGTCTCTCTAAAACACCTCCATCGTATAGGTGCACCTCCTGACAAGGTACCCCCCATCACCCCTCGAACAGACACCTGTCCGTCCACAGCCTGAGAACAAACGCGCCTTTGAGCAGCAGGCAGCCCCGCACCGCTTTTTCAAGCGGCTGCCTTGCTTTCCCCCCTTCCTCTAAGACACAAAGGACCTCCCCCAATGTTTCTGCAAGCGAAATATTTGTTTGCTCTGCGCTTTTAGAAGCGTAGTGCAAAGAAGACAAAGCTCTCAGGAAGACACCTCTGTATGCTGCTCCAAAGCAGCTCCGCTGCAGAAGAGGAGCCCAGGCAGAGCATCCAAAAGACGGGGGGTGCCCGCTGAGAGGCCGCTGGAGAGAGAAAAAAGTCCTCTACTAGGGGCCGTACACGCGAAAGAATACGCAACCATGTATCGAACTGCCAAAAGCAAGTAGGATCAGAGGGGAAAAGCTGGTTAGGCACCTGCAGGACCGAAGGGATTTCCCCCCAGTTTCATCTTTAGCGCTTGCGTAAGGGTCAGGAAACACTTGTCCGTCAGCGGCGTCTGTACAAGCCGCTCTGCCAAGCCTGCGAGAAGCAGAGGATTATCAGAGTAGAAAGGCAGCATGCATTATGTACTGCAGGCTGGCTGCCTGGCACAATACGCGCGCGCTTTCTCCATGTGCATGCAAAAATGTTCGCCGAAGGCCCCTAGCCGTTTGTCCAGTCAAGAGGTTTCCCCACAAACATGTCTGTGGCGAGCTTTCACACAAAAAGAGATGCCTGCATGGGGCCTATCGAGGAGCAGTTCAAGGCCAGGGTGCAACGTAAGCGCTCGCGTCTACAGGGCTTATGAAGAGGAAAGGGATAGAGGGTTGGTGGCGAGCTTTGTTCCGTCTATCTATAGGAAACCGATATGTGCATGCCTGACGCGGGGTGGGGGGCAGCTGTAACCCGTGGTTCGTGAGAACATGAGGAAAACAAGGCCCCTGCTAGCTATCTCTACTGATCTCCCCATGTGCGCCTCTCCCGCTTTGCGAAAGTATGAATGCTGACAAGAGGCGTGAACGAGGCAGCAGCACGCAGGCACTGCAGCACACCGTACCAAGATATTCGAAACCATAGTCGAATGAGGCGTCCGCCATGCACACCTTGAGAAGGCCCTTGGGAATTAGGGGGCCCCCAGACGGCGGATGTGTGAAGTAAAAGCGCATGCACTGCAGCCATCCGAAGTCCTTCCTAGAGGTGACGTTGTCTTTTATGAGAGATCTGAGATAAACATGCTCAGCAGAAAGAGGCTTGCCACACTGGATAACGCTTCGGCAGAGCAGCGCAAGGGCGCTGCAGGCTGTCCATTTCTCTAAGGGACCCTGCACTCCGTCACAACGTTCCTCTGCCATGTGTGTGTGTACATATGTGTATGTATGTGTGTATAAATATGTGTGCATGTATGTGGGTATATATATGTGTGTATGTCTATATATATGCATTTGTATGTATGTATGTATGTGTGTATGTGTATGTGTATGTGTATGTGCATGGGTGTGTATGTGTGAACGTATGTACACGAATGTGTATGTGTATGTGTATGTCTGCGTGCATATATATACATACATGTCTATATATTATATGCATGTGTGTATGTATGGATGCACATATGTGTGTATGTATGTATGTATGTGTGTATGTGTATGTGCATGGGAAGGACCACGACGGGGGCATGTTGTTACTGCTCTGCCTCGGGAAGAAAAATGGCGTTGCTTGCGCCCGTGTGTGCGCGATCCCCTGACGGCAAGTATGTATGTATGTATATATATATGTATGTATATATATATGTATGTGTGCATATATGTATGTGTGTATATATATGTATGTATGTATATATATATATATATGTATATGTATATGCAGTAAAATGGGCCGCGCATTTTCGCTGATTTGGAATCTGTTAGTAGAAGTGCATTTGGCTTGCCTGCAGACGTCTCGCTGATGCACTACTTCTGTAATTAGGTGTACGATGCGATTGCGTACGAGCACCCCCACATCCTGTACCACGTTGTCTGCCAAGAATGCGAGAAGCGTCAAGCAATCCTTCAAGGCAGGAGCCTCCAGAGGATGGCCAGTGGGGCCTCCCGACTCGTTTTCCTGGCTTGTCGCCGCTTGCTCTTGTTGAGAAGCTTCGCCAGCAGTTAAGGCTGCTTCGCATTTCTTCGTCCAGTGTACGTTTAATGCAAGCAGCAAGGCCTGCAGCGGGAAACTTCCCACCCAGTTGATAAAAGGGTTCTGCAAGGGGCTATCCGAGGGGCCCCCCGATGCGCCCTTCGTGGTGATCTCTGCCAAGTTAAGCTGCTCCAAAGTGCGAAGTGCTCGAGAGACGCTGTCTGCCAACGTAACAGTCATTTGCATCTCAACTGCACTCATCCAATCCTTCAGAGATGGGTACTGCAATATCGAAACCTCACTAACAAACGGTACAACTTCGCCCTCCCGCGAACTGACAAACAAACACACAAACACACATACACATACACACACATATACACACATACACACACATATACACAGACGAAAATTACCACATATATATATATATATAGACATATATATACATCTAGGGATATGAACACATTTTCCTCTACATACATAAACATGTATACCCATATCCATATACATACACATACGAATACATGCATCAACGTATACATGTACCTAGAAGTGTGCATGTATACATACATAGACACCACGGGAGAATGCATATAGGTGAGCTCAAGCATACCCCTTCTACAGTACAAGCCCTTCTACAGACAAACACCCACCCATGTGCAGTTCTCAACTGCTTGAAGGGCCACATATATATATACATACATACACACATATATGCATACACATATACATACACATATACATACAAACATACACATATACACAGATTCTATCTCTTAAAAAAAGAGTCGTCAAGAGGGCTCACACCCAAGGCATCGATTCTCTGCCGCAGCGGGAGCTTGCGCGAAAGACACCCTATGTACTTACCTCATGGCGATGATGGTAGATGGCTCCTCCGGATCTGTCTCGAGCGCTGCAATTCCTGCAAAGAGTTTGCTGACATGTCTTTGCACGAGTTTCACGTCTTTGGAGTTGCCAATCATTTCTAGGAGGTCCTCATCTCCGACAAAGTAGAAGCGTGAGAACTGCTCTCTCTGCTTCTCGAGATACTCTCCAAGCGCTTTTTGAATGCGTGACAGCAAATCCGAAAGGCGTTCCAGCTGGCGGCCAAGCCCCTCGGTGGACGCCATCTAAAACATGCAGAGCAGAACAAAGCACATGCAAGATGCCACCGCACACAGGGGCACATGGGGCTGACAGAAATGGATAAAGGGAAGCAGCAGAGGCCAGCTTTCCACGACAGTGTAGCAAGCGCTTATATCACAATGCCCATTGCGCCTCCCCCAAACATGGTCGATAGGGTGGGGGGTGACAGGCGCTCTACATTCAACTGCAGGGAAGTCTGAAAGACAGTGCTTTTTTGGTATGTTCCTGAAACAGCGTGCTGACGTATTGGGCAAAAAGGCGTTCGCTAGCTATCAATCACGGCGCAACTTTCTCTTCAAGAGGGGAGAGACACGCATTTCATCGCCGCCACCCTTCGCCTTCGACCACGCACCTCGAGGACAATCTTGGTGGTGTCTGCTTTCTTCATTATATTCTTGAACTCCGTGTCGATGCCTTTAAAACGCTGATGCTCGGTCGGGAGGAGCATTTGAATATCTTGAGAACCCGAAAAAACGCCCTCTAAGTAGAGCCACTTGCGCTGTACTTCTACCCAGCTATCCAACAACGTGCGCAGCCGATTCAACTTATCGTCCCATGCCAAAGCCTCTTCTTCAAATATCTGCACGAAACATCAAATCAAGGCAGGGCAAAGCGCCACGGATGCAAAAGTAAAAAGCAGTATCTAGACAGGAACTCCTTCAAGCAGACATCGGAAAAAGCACAAATACATAGATAGATGCATACATAAATTGATACATACATACGTACATACATACATCAAGGGACGGATAGAGACATACATACATACATATACACTTTAATGCGTAGATAGATACACAAATACATGAATACAAACAAATACAGGCAGGCAGACAGCAAACGCATGTCCAACACGCCTTCACACTGCTCATGATTTCCTGATATGGATGAAGGCGCGACGCCACACTCCGAAACCCCACGTGAACACAGCCACCGTGAGGCGAAGGCGCAGTATGCATGAGGAAGTGGCATCAATGTAAAGAGATTTCAAGGAGGAGCCTGATGGCAAACCTCTTGCAGGCCAATGTAATCGCAAGGCAGCACCCAGAGAAAGACACACGCGCATCGAAATACCAAGAGTCTATGTTTTAGAAGGGTATCATAGCATGGAGGGTGCAGCATGGCATGCTGACATTCCTCCTACAGCAAGCAAAGAAAGCCTGCCCCGTTACGCTGCAAGTTCTCTCGTGGCGCCCCCTGACGCTTCTACTCTACTCCCTCAAGTGCTTGGCCTCTCCAGTAGGCCGTTTGAAGCGCAGAGAACAAGGTTGTGCATACACACGAGACAGGCTACATCGCAGCATGTGCTACAACTGAGTTGTTCGCTCGGCAGAACGAAGCCAGCCAGTCTTAGAAGAGCACAAAATGGAAAGCGCTGCTAGTGCAAAGAAAGCGCTGACTTTCCTTCACTCCGTACCTTAAAGAAGGGCGACATCTTCATGGATTGGATAGATGCGAGCTGGTCGTCAATGACTTGAAAGAGGTCTTCCCATCCCTTGATGACCTTACATTTTGCACCGCATGCCACCAACACAAACTCCCTCTCCCGCCACGCGTCCTTCACTTGTCGGAGAAACTCCTCCAAGGCCGACTCGCCTTGCGCTTGCACTAAAATCTCGCGAATTGCTGCCTCATTCGCCTCCAAATCAGCATCTGAGGAAGCGAAAAACAGCCAAAAATAAGCACCAGCCGCACGTCGCTCGGGGTGGCATGCTTCCCGACACGAAGCTAACAAATCCAGCGATAGTAACAGGGGGCGATTTATCGACAATTAGCCATCCACGAGGAAAGAGATATGTCCTAATCATGCATACATAGCAGCGAAGCCCCCACTACAATCATGTGCCCCCAAAATGCCGCTCGCTCTCCACACGCATGCAGTTTTTGCACACGGCACAGGTACTCAGTGACTCTCTATTCCCCTCTCTCCTCCCCCTTTTTTCTCCCCCTTCTTGATGAACCCTTCGCGCTAAGAGGGCACGTCCAAGGGAAAGTAGACGCACACAGACACAAAGCAGCAGCAGGCACACTCCTACATGGAAATACCAACGTCTCAGCAAGCCTAGCAGCAGCATGCACCCTTTGAGAGAGTCAACGCTGACCGCACCCCATATGTTTCCCAGTGTCATATCCACGAGTGACTTCCTGAGCTTCAGCTTGGTGAGGATGGCCTTCCAATGTCTCTCCTTCAGTGCATCGGTCTTCATGTCTGTAATGAGCAGGTTCAGCGATAGAAACTTGTTTATCTTCTGTTTAAGCTCTTCAAAAGCCTCGTACTGCCTGAATCTCGCAGGAATTTGCTTGATTTTTTCCAGCACTGTCTCGAGAGACGCGCGCGTTTGCTTTGGCACGGCTGCTGCCCACAACGTATCCCTTAACGCAGCCACTTCTGCATGCAACCCCCCCAGAGCCTGCCAGACACCCTTCATGTCCGCAATCTCCTCCGCTAGCGCTGAAGGAGAGAAAGCTTCTGCTGGCATCCCAAAGGCGGCGTCTCCCTCGACTTCCAAGACTGCCTTCGCCTTCTCCCCGCACTCGTAATCCTCCGTAAGCTTCTTGAGCTGCTGCTCGTACTTCTTCAGGATGCTCATCGCGTGACCTGGCGCGATGTCATCGCGAACCGGCCTTTGCAGCATCCAGTCCGCATACAGCTGCTGCAGCTTCCCCTGTAGAGAAGCAGTGAACTGCGTGACGAGGGATACGAGCTGCTGCTTGCTCTTCTCGACTAGCTCCGCCTGGTGCCTCAGCAGTTGCACGAACACCTCCATCTCCCCCTCAATGCGATCCATCCACAGCCAGTCGCTGGGAAACGTGTATCGTTGCCTCTCCAAGAGACGCTCGCTCGCTCTAAGCGTGTCCAGCGTTTCCGACCATCGAGGCTCAAGTCTGTGCGCCTCCTGCAGCTTCCCGAGAAACCTCGTCAGATTTCCGACGAGGTTGGAGAGCAAGTCATCGCTCACAAGGCACTGACTGCTGATAAAGGTATTCATTTGCGCGTCAGACATGGAGAGAAAGGTAGCTGCACCCATGGATGTCTCGGTGGGATCTGCGGCCTGGATCTGCTCCTGCAGATCCGCCACCATCGCATGCAGCGCTGAGAAGACAGAAGAGGCGTTCAGAGACACCTTGTGCCCAAAGGCCTGCAAAATATCGCGATGCCACGCATCGTACTTGGTGTTTAACTTGGCTTGTACTTGGTGGTGATCAACTATGGTCGGTCCGAACATCACACGCGTCTCGCTGCTGTCGAAAGGACTCCTCGCCTGCTTTATCTCGTTAAGCAGCTGCTGCCACGTCTCAATATCATCCCCCAACTGCCCAAGAACCTCGCTCACATCGACATCCCACAACACCTGGTAATGCAGCCAATTCGACACGTATGTTTCCACCTTCTCCATTACAGCTGAGCAGGCCGCAAAAGGACGCATGCCATGCGACACCCCCAAATAAACAGACACACACACATATACATATATACATGTATACATATATATATGCATACATATGTATGCATAGGCACGCTACATATATTGGCATCCCCCCCACACCCTCTGCATGAAAGAACCTGTCAGTGTAACGTTCAGGGGGAACCCCGTAAGGAGATGGCAAACACCCAGTGGCAAACCAACAGCACACACGATACAGAAATGCACACATATTTGCACGTCTTGCACCAAAAAATATCTCGGAGCATTCATTTGGACGGTTAAGCAAAGACATCAGAAAGCGCAGGACCACCATCTCGTTTGAGTTTCCCAACTGCACTCAAAACAGCAAAGTGTTCACCTAGAGGGTTGGCAGCCTCTTGTCCTTACAACGAGGCAGCGGCAGGCAGCAACCCCCGCAGCAATGCACCCAAGAGCCGACGCTTATATCGCTGGCATGCGAAAACGGAGAAACGAGATACTCGAAACTTCCTAACTGGCTTACCGTCAATCGCTGCATGCGCTTTGTCGATGACTTCCTGAGGTATACGCGATGCAATAATTCTGTACGTGCTGCCAGCTTTAGGCTTCAATGGATCCGCTGTCGCAAGTTCTTCATCTTCGCTGTCTTCAAACTCCCACGCGGAAGGCTCTCCTCCAAATTTCAAAGGCCGCGAAGTGTTGGTGGTGTTGAAGCGCGGAAGCAAACAGACAGATGCAATAATCCGATGCAGGTTACCCATCCACAACTGCCGAGCCGCCTCCACTGCAGGATGTACTTGCAACACTTGATTTCTCACCTAAAACAATAAGCACGCGGAGAGCAGGCAGTGCAATGAACCAATGCACACAACGCGATCCTCAGGTGCACGAAACAAGGTTTCCCTCTTTTAATCGCCAGATCCTGCGAAATCAATTTCTCTGCCCGACACTACCTCCGCTTTTGCCCGTTCCACGCGCGCATCTCAACAGACCCCTTCATCAGCCGCCTCGTTGATTCGTCGCTAAGCAATTAACGATTCCTCTACGGCTAGTTGATGCAGGGCAGGATGCCATTTTATGACTGCGTAAGCGTGGACGTGAATCAGTGTAGTTGTATGGATATGTATAAGTATATGTATGTGCAAGTATATGTATACGCTTTGCAAATGTATCTGTATTTGCCTATGTATATGCATATGTATGTGTAAGTCTATGTATACGTTTTGCAAATGTATCTGTGTTTGCATAGGTATATGCATATGCATGTGTATGTGTGTGTATATGAATATGTATGAACATGTGTATGGATATATATGCATATGCATGCATATGTATATGTAAATAAATGCATTTTCGCATGTACATGTATGTATATTTGTGTGTATATGTATGTGTATGTGGCGCTCCACTTCGTTCCCTCAACAGCATCTTATGATTGTGACCCTCGCCCTTTGTGAACTGAGACATCTGCGCTTACTTGAATTTCCAAGACAATTCCATTTTGAATGAGCGCCGTGCTCTTGTTTGGCCAATCTTGAAACTGCAGTGTCCACTCCTCAACGACCTTCACGAGGCGCTGTGCAAGGATGCCCTCCACACGGCTTTCGAGCACCTTTCCCCAGCCGCGGATGTTGGAGTAATTCTGCAGCTGCTGCTCTTCTATCAACTTCTGCACGTTTTGCAAGACCTGAGACAGCCACCACGCAAGCGACGCGCCAGAGGGACAGACAGACAGAGTCGTAAAGCTGCTTTTCTATGGAGTGTGCGCTGGTCCTCCAAAGACACCCCAGTATTGCGCACAGAGAATGCATGTCTGTATTTATGTGTGCATGTATGCATAGATAGGAATACATACGTATATTTATGTACTTAATTACATGTACAAATACCCCCTGTCGACGTGTATGCGGAACAATTAAGACAACAAGCAACAGTGACGGATGCCGATGCATTGGCACGTGTGCATAACGGCGTTCGCGTGGGTCTGGATGTGGCTATGGAGGCTGTAGAGATGAGGATTCTGTGTGTATATCTGTGTGTATGTGAGCTTGTGTCTGTGCAGAGCTTTGACATAATACGAAACGTGCTGCCAAGGCGACTTGCAAGAGCTCAATGCACTTTTTCTCGCAAACGACGAGGCGCGTTTATGATGCCCTAAGCTGCATAGAGGTGTGCTTTTGCTCGTGAGAATTAGTAACACATGCGGGTACCCAGAAAGTACCCCTCCCAATTTTGCCCCTCCCAATTTTGCCCCATGCTCAAAAGATTGCATTTAGCCATGCATTTCGACTGACGGCGAGGATTTCTTGGTAGTCTGCATCGATGGGCTTGTCCTTCAGCGTGTCGATTTCCTTCAAGGCCTTGTTGTGCTGCTGCAAAGCAAACTCTGCCTTGGCTTCGAAAATATATGCGATATCGGCAAGGCGTTTCACGTACGTTTCCAGCCTGTCACAATCCCAGCGAAGGCCTATGCCTTCTGCCAGCTTCCCTTGAATTTCTCTCTGGTAGGTTGCCACCAACAAACCAACTACAGCGTCCTCCGAGCTCCCTGCCTCGCTCCCCGAAGGCAAGGCCACTGCAGTTGGCACTACATCTCCTATCCGCGCACACGACTCGATGTAAGTCCGCAGAACCTCCTGAAGCGTCACTGCGAATGGATACAGAACCTTGGCCTCATCCGCCATCACCTTCACGGAGTAAGGGATGCGGAACTGGAGCGTGGACAGCAGTCGGACCTGTATACATACGTATACATATAAATATATATACACCCATACACGCTTCGGCATATACCGCAAAGCAGCACGCATCACCTGGTCGCAAGCTAAGCTGCCTGCAGCCTAAAAGGCAACAACAGCACCCGCTACAGAGTCGTCGCGTTCACGACAACCTCCTCCCCCTTTTCTCCCTCCTCCCGAATGGAGGCAGATGTCCGCCTCGGCGGCTTGCATGCATGCATGCATGCATACACGCATGCATGTATGCGCTGTAGCTAGCTCGCCGCGAAGGCAGCGGCAAACCGGAGAACAACCTCCTGCCCTCGTGTTTCTCCCGCCTCGAGTACCTGCGTGCCCACTCACACACCTCCTTAAATAGCGTCAAGATGTCTTGATCGAAGTTTACCGCGAGCTCGAGCCGTCCGCCTCCCCAGTCTCTCAAGATGAAGATTCTGTCACTCGTGTCCAAGCGCTTCTGGTCACGCACGACATTGAGCCAGCCGTCGAAGTGCTCCTGAGGATTCAACTTGGCGCGAAACGCTTCAATGTCGTGTTTCAGCTTCTGACCCTCCACGTGTTGCTCCCATCCTTTCCCGAGAACATCCTGGATTCGATGAATGAGACCATCAAGGCGTCTTTCGACTTGACGCATCCACACGATGGTGCCGGCGGTCCGTGGCATGTCTCGGAGGGCAGCCATCGTTGCCGACTCAATTTTTTGGTGACCCTCCAGGAACGTTCCTTGCAGCCTCTTCAAGTCTTCCTTCACGACTTGAATTAACTTGGTCTGGTACTCTTGGATGGCACCTCTGATGCGGGGGCGAAAGAAGAGCGCGTTGAACTGGGAGAACACACGAAACATCTCTGCCGACGTCTTCGAAGCTCCCAGCCGATCACGCAACTTGGCTGTTATCTGAGACTCGACGCGGTCGATACGCATGTCATACGCTTTCTGCCCCGCCTCCCAAGCCTCCTCCCCAGTCCGACTCGTGTCAAGCACGTCTAAGGCTTCAATGACTTGGTAGGCAGCGGTGACATCCTTCTGCGCAGCAACCTCGCTGCCGCTTCCGTCCGCGAGAACACGACTGAGAACCTCCTTCAAGCGGTGATGCTGCCGTCTGAACTGACGCACCTCCACAATCCTTTCCTGGAGCACCACGTGCTCACAGACGAGCTTGGAGGGGGGACGCTCATTGAGGCCTCTCTTCTTCGACAGCTCCCTCACGGCCTCCTTGAAGTGGCGCACTTCCTCTTCCCACGTGTGAAAGAGCTCAGTGCAGCCAGCCGTCGTGTGCTCGAACTCTTCGTACGCCATACCCAGCAGATTTTGACGCGAAGTCACGCTCAGCAGCTGAGACGAGAGATCCCGGCTTAGAGCTTCCACCAAGAAATACGCGCGGCTCAAAGGATACAGTGTGGCATTTTTCAACTTCCGCAGGTGGACAAAGATCGTGCGAACGGCTTGTGTGAGCTGCTCTACCGTTGAAGCGCTGCACAGGTCGTTGAGGGGAAAATCCCGCATCAGAATGTTCGTGTTCTGCACCACCTCGCTGGCTTGTTTCAGCCCCGAATCTTGCTCAAAAGACATTGTAGCAAAGACTTTGCGCGTGTGCTTCAAGACCGTCAGCGTAAACTCGGCTTCGGGAGTCTTCAACTGATCTTCGACGTGTTTCAGTGCCCTCTCAAATCCCAGCCAAAAGTTCACCTCCTCTGCGGCAGTTCCAATGCTGGGATCCCTGAAGAAACGAAACGATATGCAGCGCGTTGGCAGGTGTGCAGATATATACGCAGCGATCACAAACACACGCAACACAAATCACGAAAATCCAGAAACAGGAGGGCGCACAGACACACAGACAGACCGCCAAACAAAGGCCCCTCTCTATCTACCCACAGAGACAGAAAGATATGCTCCCTGTGTGCTCCCGCAGTCTACCGCATTGCGGGGGAGGCAGCCCTTGAAACGAACAGACACGCAAAAGCAGTCAAAGCTAAGAGCTTAATAGGAAGAAGGAAGGAGAGGAAAGGATGGAAAAAAGCCGCAAAAACGAAGAAGAGAGCAAGCAGGCAAAAGCGAGCAAACGAGCGAACCAGCGCAACTGAGTCCTTCTCCCGTCCCCCTTCTCCCCCTCCTCTTCAGCACTTACCGTTGCATTCTACAAACCTTCTGGATGTCTTTAATCCATCGGTTCACGTGACTTTGCAGAGCAATCAAATAGGTGCTGTCTTGTAACTGATCCCCCATATCCTCCACCACGGGTTTGCGTTTCTCCGCAGCTGCCTTGAGCACTGCGGCCTTTATGGCCAAGTCTACAGGCAGCTCGATCAAAGGAATGTCTACATTTTGTTGCGCCTGCTTCACAGCTAGCAGCAGCTCCCTCAGCTTCTTGCTGACCGTTTGAATACCGTGAGAGGCCCTTGCAGCCGCCTCCTCCGCAAGGGCCCCCCCGTCCCCCCCCGCCCCCCCCTCTGCCGCAGCGGCAGCGACTTCCTCGCCAGATGCAGTCTTGAGCAAGGGACCGAATCCACACTGTATGTACATTTGCGTCACATCCAGCAAGCTCTCCTCCTCTCCGAAGCCGCAACGCATGAGTGCAAGCTGGGGACCAATAGGCTTGGTGACAACATGAACGGCCCGCCCTACCGCGCTGCCATCGTTTTCCCCCTCGGTGGGAGCAGCTTCATCTGGCTTCTCATCCTCTAATCTGAATCCGGGACGCTTGAGGAAGGCGACACTGCAAGATCTGCCTCCCCCGCGGGGAACGAATCCCAGATCCACGTACAGGCTGTAATTCTCATCGTCTTCAGCGTCGAAAGCCGGTGACGTGTCACCCGCAGTGACTGTCGCCTTCTCGCCGATCGACTCCCGAGAGACCTCCTTTCCAATTACCAAAACGCCAGGCTGTGAATCGACAAGAAACGGTTTCAAGACCGACTCGGATTGCGTCGAAAGCAGCTTCTGCAGCTGCTGACGGCTGCATTCCAAAAGAGGAGGGGTCACCTCCAGAAGAAAATTGATGAGCGAGACTTTCGCTCGCTCGATCGTCCGATCCATCGTGCTCTGCTACCCCTGGGGCCCCTAAGGGCCCTCGGGCGTGCTGGAAGGCGTGCAAGAAAGTAGATGCTGCGAAAGCGGTTGTTCGGCTCTTTCTCTAGAAGGCCGCAATGAAGGGACATGACAGGGGAAGAGAGGGTTGCATTACGGATCGTGGGTTTCTGCTGCTTTTCGCGCGCAGTCTTCAGCTCTGTGCGCTGGGAGAGCGCTACAGCTGGAGGCTTGTTTGTCGGTGTCAAGCAAGCAGCTGTGAAAAGACCTCGGGGCGGACGGCGGTGTGGCACTGCCTGATATGCGTTCTACAGGCGTCCACGTGGACATCCGCTGCTACAGCACGAAGAGCTTCTCGAAGCTCAGCAGATGCCAAGCTGACTCAATGGTCCAGGAGAGGCAGCCGGTAGGCAACAGCAAGCGCTGTCGCAGCTCCTGCACTACTTTGACCTAGCCGGCTTTGAATCTCCCCAAAAATGTGTTTCTAGAGGAGAAGTGGGCAGAAAGTGTCTCTGGAATACACGAGGCGCTGCCCTGAGCCACACGAGAACGCAGCAGACCACATGCAGTAGCAGAGTACAGCAACGAGCAGCGCCGTTCATGTGCTTACAATGCTCATTCCAACGGAAAGAAAACAAGAAGTAGAGGGGCAGAGTTATTCTTACTTCAGAAATGTGCTAAACTAAATATTATCAAGATGTGTGCAATGTCGAGAGCCGGCGGCCCTTCCAGCCCTCTCTCTGTGAAATGCTGCCAACCTGTGGCTATGTGGCACGAGGCAGTTTTTGAATTGAGCTGCAAAGCGCAGGAATAGTATTATCAAACACAGCCATCTACCAATGGAATTCTGTTGCATGCTCGAAAATTCCTTGTTGTTAACTGCCAAATAAGGATCATTGGTGCTCTCATCTAACTATTTAGTTCATCTCGACGCACGAAACCCCAAGAGACAAGACCACCTGGCGCTGGGGCCGCATGAGTGACACTCCGAAAGGCCATAGAGATGCACGGATCAGCACGTTATTTCCACCAGAAAAGCGCTGATCTGAGAATAAAAAGTGTTCGCTACTACAGTGCCACTATACTTCTGTAAGGAAAAGCAAGGGCAGGATACGTAGGAGAGTGTGTGGCTGCTGCTCTCCAAAACAAGTCCCGCACTACATTTAAAGGTTCACCATCCCCCTCATCGACTAGCCGCGTATTTTCTTCTGTGTAACGCCTAGAGGAGTTTCCTGGTGACCCCGCAAACTTGCTCAACTAGCCCGTCCACTCCGTCCTTTTGCTGGCGTAAACGCGTTCCCGCCTTCAGGACCGCTTGCAAGCCAGGCTTCCAGCAAGAAGAATGGCAATCTGCTGTACATGTTGTCTGCGCACGCTGAAATAGCACCCTCCGTCCTGCGACTCTGTAGCGCCCTCATCAGCAGCCACCCAATTTGTATCATTCAGGTCCCCTCTTAATCTATTACCTTCCCATCCCATTTCCTCAGTTTCCGCGCTCCGTCAGCCTTCGTTTCCAAAGCCTATTTGTGCTGGTGTGCGCATGCACGCCTGTTAATCCAATGGCGCCTCGGGGCTCATTACCCGTTGCGTCCTCCGCGACGTTTTCGTGACCGCAAATGCGGCTTGTCTCGCGAGTCTTCGCGCTGCCGGCCCTCTTTCTCTCCCTATCCCTTCTTCAAAGGGTTGTGGAATGTGGCATCCCAGGACTGCATAAATGGTTTAGGGCCACATTCCCCGCCGCTGTGCAGGAGATTCATAAGAAAGATGTTGTCGAGACAGACCACCTGCTCTTCGACCTGAACCAGCTCCTGCACCAGGTGCAAATCCAATGTGCATTGAGCTGCTGCCACCACGTGCAGCGTGATTCGTCCACATAAGTCTGCTTTTTTCCTAGTGCCTCCCCTGGAGAGCCCTCGGCTTCCAGGCCTGTGCAAACACCTAGGGGCGCCAGTCCCTGCACACCGCAAGTCCTCCCCGATCTGATTTGCCTGCAGCTCGTGTCTTCCTGTCTGTTTCTCAGGCCGCTCTGAAATCTGCCACAGCGCACTGCAGGCACAAATGTGGCACCGATCAGAACGCCGATAGCAGCAGCACAGGCCATACACCTTCTGATACAGGAGATCGGCAGGTGCTGCGGGCGCTGTGGAGCATCATAAACAACACCTTCAAGCGCTTCAGGGTAAGAAAGAGCATTGTTTTTGCTATTGACGGAGTGCCTCCGATTGCAAAGCTCGCGATATCCCAACAGAGAAGGCTGCGAGCTGCACGGGCCGGGGTGCTATCGGCTCGCATCGAGGAGTCCTTCCGAGCAAGGCGAGCCAAAGAAGGGATCGCGTCAGGTCTAAATCGCTCCTCAGAGGAGTATAACAGATGCTACACCGATGGGGAAGACTGCGATACAAGCGAAGCAGCAGACGCCCTTGCAACAGAAGGAGCCCCCACCGGAAAATCGGGATACAGAATCCGTAAGCGTTGTAGCACAAACCATTTGCTCGTCTCTCTCCACCTTCCTGGCGCGATGCCGCAGCACGCATCCTTTGTTTCTCCATTTAGGTTGGCTCTCTGCATCTTTCGAGCGCGGTTCTACCCTTTGCGCTGTGCATGCGTTGGCCACCCTTGCAGCTTCCTACTTGCTCTCTCCGGGGACTTACTTCATGCGGCAGGTGGAGGGTCACTGCAGAAAGTTCGCAAAGCAGCTTCTTCTCTCGGGGCTTGTAGAGGCGTCGAAGTAAGCTAGCTACTAAGAACGTCTCTCAATGCTTTGCAGCTAGCCTGTGGCCTTGTCGTATTCGCTGGGGTTTGCCGACACTGCGCAGTAAAAAAGACTCCACTGCCGTCGGTCTCAGGAAAGTGTGTGGCACTAGGGGCACCAGCGCACCGGTCATTGTTGCCCCTCTATCCCATTCAACTCTTTGGCTGAACGCAGACCATCATCCTCTGCGGAGGTTTTAATCCATTTATTGCATGCCTATTCCTACAAGTTGTTCTTATACTTGGAGAATCATCATCTTCCTCCTCTGATGCGTTTTGTCGCTTGCACCCGTTAGCTCCCTCTCCGAGCCGCTTTCCGAAGAGGATCGGAAAAGGCGCCAGGAGAGGGAATCGCAGCCAGGGACCCTCTCTTATGTCCCCTTTCTTGCCCACCTACCGCTATATATTCTCTGACCTCTCTCCGAGCCACTAGGCACCTGTGTGTGGATTCTGGAGCTGCCTCATAAGACACTGTTCCCTCTCCCAATGGCGTCCAAGACGCCACCTCTGTACAACTCCGGCTCAGAGCGCCCTTTTGAACACTTCTGTTTCCCTCTTTTTATGGTCTAGGGTCTTCCTCTCCGGCCCCTCCTCTTACGGGGAGGGAGAGCTGAAGCTCGCGGATTGGATAAATTTTTCTTGCGACGCTGGTCGCTCTCAGACGCAGGAGGCTTCCTCAGAATCCCAGGGGGCCTCAGAAAGGCGCAGCGGACGGAGTGCATACAGCAGGGGACGACCCTGCCCTGGTTTAGGTCTTTTAAAAGTGAAGCCAACGGACAGCATTGTGGTGATTGGAGGAGATGCGGACTTGGTGGTGCAGAGTCTTGCTCTGCCTTTCGCATCGAACCTGTTTGTCTATAATCCGCAGTCGATCGCGAGCTCCAAGACCAAGAGGGGTAAGGGCGCTACTGGGAAGCTGTGGTGTATTCTCCTCTTCGTTTGGCGCATATTGCATGTGGAGTCTGGCTCTTGTTCGCTTCTTTCGTCTATTGGAAAAGCAGAGAGAGAAAGAGAGGAAGGACAGGCGCTGGAATGGCGAGAGCTCCAAAGCCCTGCACCACAATCCTTGAGTGCTGAGCGATTTCACGCCGTGGAAATTACTGATATCTTGGAAGGGGCTGCCAGGGCTTTATTGGATATATTGGCAGCTTATTCGAAAACGTTTGCTTGCGTGTGCCCCCTTTCCCTCGGGTTGCTTCCTTTGCTCTGCAGTCATCTACTCTCTCCGATCCTTACTCGGGGAGCTTGAGAGGCTTTTCCCAGGTAGGAGGGCGTGTGTGTCACGCAGCACGCAGGACTTGCCCCTCTTTCGCTTTCGCTTGCGGCTGCCTTGCCGGAAGGCGCTTTTTGAATGGACGGCTCCTTGTTTGCGACAGTAGGAGGGCTAGGACGGGGGAGGATGTGTGTGTGTGTGTGTGTGAATGTATGTGTATGTAAACTTGCCACCAAATGAGGGTGGAGGTTCCCACGGCAGGACGCCTACTTGCCCCTCCTCATTTCTCCCGCCTTATCAGCCCTTCCCTTAGGCTGCGGGGCTCTCCGAATTCGCCAGTTTATGCTTGTCTTCGCGATTGCAGCAGACACCTCGCCATTCGCCGTTCACAATGGTGGCCTCACTTTCATGCTCGTTCCTGCTCCCGCTGCTGTCTGTGCTGCCTCAGGGCGGTCGCATCTCGCGCGGAATGACTTCGCACTGTTGTGCATTTTAAATGGCAACGATTATTTGCCAAAAATACCGGGCTTCTCCTTTGCGCGTTTCGCCGCCGCTTATGAGGCAACTCGCCGCAGGTGCGTCCCTCCCCGTCCGTGGGGCTCGCAGTGTATGGCCATCTTTCACGGGCATTTTTGCAGCCCCTCCTGCACATTTTTTGTGCTAATAACCCCTCAAGCGAGACGGCTGTGTATAGCAGGCGTCTGTGCGGCCTTCCTCCCCAATTTCCGCCCTACGTTACTCCTGAGCAGTCCACAAATGAAAAACCCTTCGTGAATCTCGCAGCCGCTCCAGTTTTGGTGAAGCCGCTCGGGCTGCAAGGCCTTCACTTTCCCACCGTAAGCGCAGCCCCCCAGATGCTTTATTGGCGCGCTCGCGTTCTCCCTCTGCTTCTCCGGCCTGTGAGCTGCAGGCCAGAATGCGCAGACGGGGCGTGGGTAGACGCCAACAGTCGTTCTTTCGACTGGGGGTTCTTCAAAGTCTTCCTAGAAGAGCTCAACAAGATCCACAGCTTGGAGACCGCGGCACGACAGAGGGAGGAGACTCTGAGGCTCAACGGCTCTAAACCAGCACGTGGCGTTTTTAAGGCATCGCCGCTTCAAATTGTCCACCAGCTTTTTGCCCAAAAGCGCCTTGTGGGGGCAGAGGCCAAAGATAAGCTGCCGGTGAGGAGCCACCCCCTTGCATGAGCGAAGCGAGCGCACAGTTCGCTCCTGCTTTTTCAGCTGTGAGGGGGAAAAGAATTGAATAGGGCACTGCTCGTGGCGCTATAGCACGTGTAGTAGCAGGCGGAACGAGGAGCCTGAGGGCCAAATGAGTTTGTATCTCTGTCTGTGTAGCGTTGTGTATGTGTGTATGTATGTTTGTTTGCTCGTATGTGTATATGCCTATGTCTCTCTGCGTATCTGTGTATGTGTGCGTACGCGCTTGTCTTGTGCTTTGTCATTTGCATCGCTTTCAGTGGCACTTCCAAGAAGAGGCAAACGTGTTCACCTGCGACCTCACCTTCCCGGAGGTTTTCTTACCCTCTGTCTCGGGTTCCCTACAGCAAGGGGCCCCCGAGGCTTCCCCAGAGAAGACTTGCGTTAGCGTTGCTAGCAGCGCTGGCGATAAGAAGACAGCCCAACAGCGAGCGGCGCTGAAGCTGTTACAACTCTACTATCCAGAGTTACTGCACCTTGTAGAGGAAGGCCCTTGGAATGCAGTTGCCGCGGGAGGAGTAGGGAGCTCTGCTGACGCAGAGGAGAGTGCGATACCCCAGCATTTGTCTCCTGCTACATTTTGCAAGGCAGCTGCTGCTCTCCGCGCTACAACCCCTTCCAACACGCTCAATAATCTATGCTTGGTGCGATCTCTGCTTCCTTCTGTATTCATCTGCGGCGTTCTTCAAAGTGGTTGCCGCTCCATTGCCTTTGTACAGCCCCGTTGCAGCTGTTTGTACCGGCCTTTCTTCACACACATGCACCGAAGCAATAAGGTCCTTGTTTGTTCGGCCTCCAATACTCAGGCGGCACTTCACGTGGCCCCCACCTTCGCCTTCACCTCCGAAGCCTGCGCAGCCTCCGTCGACACTGCAGATTTAGACAGCGCAAGCAGCAAGATAACGCCTCAGCGGACGGACGAGGCAACAGCTCTCAGACTTCCCAAGTGTCCAGAAACGTCGGAATTCCCAAAAGAGAAGTGCAGTGGCGGGAGCCGCAGCAGCTCCATGCGCGTGGATGTGTTGGTAGGCGACCGCGTTTTGTTCTCAAGTCGAATCGAAAAGGCGGAGTCTCAAGCCAAGGCCAGACTGAAGCACGCTGCTAGCATGCAGGTACTCAAGGAGCATATAGGGGGAGGAGATTGGGGGATTGGGCAGTCGGTTAAAGCGAAAAGGGGGAGTAGGACGGGGTAAAGGGGATAGAGGGGGTAAAGCGAATCGAGGCGGAAGGCGGAAAGGGCGCGAAGGGCAAGAAACAGCATCCACGCAAGGGATTTCCGGGAAGTATAAGAGGGAAGAACGGCGTGATTCCTTGCCCACTTTGTCGTATTTAATCCGCTGTGCACGCGCGACATACACATTTACACACTTACACTTACATACATACACACACACACAATGAGAAGTCCCTGAGCTTTTTTTTGCACGACGCGCCGGTGCATTTGTATGGGTCTCTCCCCACAGCCCTCTCTGGGTGCGTCCGTTGTACGTTGTGTCTTATCACCAGCGTGTTTTCGCCTAATGAATTTTGCGGCTGTCCAATCTGTTGAAGACAAGCACGTGGCTGGCTAAGACTGCTGATGTGCCCACAGGCTCTCCAGGCACTGGCGCCGGACTTGTATGCCGGCCTAAGAGCCCAGGCCTGGACAAATGACGGCCTCCAGTCCAGTGAAAGTGTTGCTTTCGCGGAAGCGGAAGGACAGGACTCAGCGGCAGCAGGGGAAAGCGCAGTCGGAGAGAGTCCAGAGAGGGCACAAGCCGCCGTTGGAGGGCATGGGATGCACGGAAACGGAGAAGAGGGAGAGGCGTTCACTGTAGAGGCGCACGTGGCTCATGAAGCGGAGAAAACCGCGGCGTATCTTAAAGGTATGCAACTTGATAGAGCACCTTTTTTCGGATGTGTTGAACTTTGCAGCAGCCACCACTTGGGGTGTAAATAACGACATCTTCTCTAGCGCGTGTGTCGGTCCGTTGTCCTCGTGTCTCTTAGTCGCCTGTTGCTCGCTGTACATTTGTCGCGGGTGCCTTTCCCGTGGCCCCCTTACTCTGCCCCTTCTTGTGCCCTGCATGGTGGCATCAGGAGGCTGCCATGCAGACACTCGGTGCAAATTCGTTGTGGCTCCTGTCGCTGAAGCGTTCAACCTACACATCGCGAAATCTCATTGTTCTTGTCTTGGGACCCTGTGCTTCTTGCCTGTTGCGGACAGGGCTTCTTTGGAATCTGCAAATGTACATTGACGGCATCTGCCCGAACAATTTCTGGCATTTCCCCTTTGACTCCGCTCCCTCGCTGCTTGCCATTCAGGCAGAGGTGCAGCGCCAACTTAGAGGAAATACCGCAGAAGGCCGATTTTCGAACTGTGGCAGCAACAACACGGGGCTCGGAGTGGCCACCCCACGAACAGCAGCAGCACCTGCGCCAGAAGCAGCTGCAGAGGACAGTGCATCACTCGAGCAGCAAGCCGCCCCCAAGCCGGTCCCGCAAAGTCTGTACACTGCAGCGCTGCTTTCCCAAGAGGCCTTACATGCCCTGGAATCTCGGGAACGGTGCTCGAAGGAGCTCTTAGGGGGGCCCCCAGGGGGCACGCGGGCCGCCCCTTTGGCTCGGAGGCTCTTGATGGCGAGGGCCTTGCTTGAGACAGTGGCGTCTCCGCAGGAGGACAGCAGCCCGCAGACTCAGACGGAGTCGCAGGGAGTCGGCGGGCCTGAGGGCTCTGCACACCGTGCAGACTCTCAAAAGGCCCTCATCACCGCAAGTGAGAAATGCGAGCAGTGGTACTGCGTGCAGAGGGAGCTGTTTGTGCCGGTTTGTGGCACTGCGTTTGTTACAGCCCTGCTGCCTGCCCCTTTTGCTTTTGGGAACACCCCCCGCAAACATCCTTTGTCGGCTGGACGCGCGAGAGCTTTCTAACGCGGGTTTGAATAGCGCCCTCTTTAGTGCCTTTCTGTGGACCAGTGGAGATAAGGCACCTCGAGTTTGCTGCTGCTTTGCTACGCTTAGGTACTGTGCTAATAGCGTCGAAGCTCCTTGCGCAGCAGGCTAAAGACCGGACGCCTCCTGGAGAGGGGCTTCCCTCCAACGCTTTTGATCCTTCGTATTGCGCCTTATTCGAGGATCAACCCAGCAGTTACTGGACAGTTTTCAGGAAAGTCCCACGGGACAGGCCCTCAGGAGGGGCCTCCTCCGCTTCGGTTGAGGCGGCCTTAGGGGGCCCCCTGGCCATGACGGCTATAAGGGAGCGGAGAGCCCCCATCTTCTGCCCCTCAGGAGCCAACCGCCCCTGGACCAAACCCCCCACAGATCCTGAGCTCTGCAGTTTTTCTCTGAATATATTGCGCAGGCCCCGCAGGGCAACAGCAGGGGGCCTCACAGAAGGAGTAACACACAAGGGGGCCACTGCAAGAGCAACGGAGCTTCCCCAGCTTTGCAGCACGCCGAGGGGGCCCCTTGATACAAGGCCTTCACCCCCACAGTCCTCCACAGGACTGGATGCCCTTCCTACTCGCTCGAGGCCGGCACCTGTACGCCGCTTTACAGTTCCAAGAAAGGCCTTAAAGGACCTTCCCTGGTCAAGCAGAAGCTCCCCTCTGTCGCTTGTTATGTCTGAAGGGCACCTTAGGCCCCCGTCTCCCCCTCGCCCTCGCTGCTTGGCTTCTCCTGATGGCCTCTTCCATACGACAGTTCAGGCAACCCGCCAGCTAGCAGGAGGGGCTCTTGGGGCCCCCTGGAAAAACATTCGGACGGCAGCTCCTACAAGAGCTTTCGGCCTAACCAGGGGCTGCTCGAAACTCCGGGCCGGGCAGCGCTGGTGTGGCAGGCACAGAGTGTAGTAGTAAGAAGCTTGGCGACATTCCTGTATTGTCTTATGGAAAAACGAAGTTCAGGAGGGAAGTCACGACCTCACGAGAAAGCCGTTTTTCTGTAGCTGCAAATATTGTATGTATTGCTGCCCTTGTGCACCTCGATGAATATGCTGTCTAACTGATAGGGGCTTCTGTGCTGCTGATCCTCACGCGCTCACGCTGCCCCCTGTCTCCTTGTTGCAGTCTCTGCTGCCCTCCCCCTCCCTCAGCTTACGGATCTCAAAGGGTGCGAGCTTACAGTCATCACGCTTTACGGTGACAAAGAAGCGTATGCGCTTAATGATGGTGCTCCCCCATCAAAGGGCAGCCCCTCAAGGTCGGCCCCCGCCTTCAGATGCTGTTTAAACGTGCTACGCCAGAGGGCAGAGGCCGAATTGGTCAAACGCCACCATCCAAAACCAACGGCTTAGACCCGTTTGAAAGGCCCCTTAAGAATAGGCTACAGCTACCTCTATTTTGGGGCAAGCCGGACAGTGCATGGAAGCCTCTAATAAAGCCCCATTTTATAAGTCTAAGGGACCCACTGATCCTCAAGGTTCCCTTAAACGTCTCTTGCTAGAATTTTCGCAATCCATATATGGCTTGTCGAGAAGCCCACATTGCTACCCCCAAATTTCGCCGTTTTATCTGCACGTTTCCCTCTTTCTGTAGACCTCTATAGGGCTATGTGTGGGGGAGACCCTGGCCACTGTATGGCCACGGCTCCCTTTTAACGCCCTTAAAAGATTTTCCCTCAGAACTCTTAAAATCCCCCCCCCCCAAAAGGCCCTTTAGGCTCCACTTGCTCGGCCTTTTAAGAGTCTGTCTGACGGGGCGTTTCTGGAGATGCGAGCTGACCGAGTTGATGTCTCGCTTGTTCTTCTGTTGTCTCATCCGGTGTTCCAGTAATGGGTGGATGGGGCGGCTCTGAGCTAAAAAGCGCTTCTCTAGCGCAGGAAAAGAAATCCTCATCGTCTGAATACGCGCCGTACAAATGTGCAGCGAGGATTGCAGCACAGGGATCAAGGATCTGCCTCCGCCTTCTGCAAGATGATCAACACATCACCAATTTAACAGAGGCTGGGCTGAAGATATATTAAGGGGAAGAACACAAACAAAGTACGCATAAAAGCAATTACACATACCGCATGATTTAACAAACAGTGTACAGTACGGCTGCAGTGTATGGAGGCACGTGTTGCACGTTGCGGCAACTGCCCTCTGCGGTCGGCCCGCCGTTTCTGGTGTATGCACTCGAGCACACAATGCAGAATCCAGCAAGATTTTTAGATACTCTTCACATGCAGGGGCACTTGTGATCCTTTTTTGTTGAGCGGAGGCCGAAACTCTGCAGCCAAGGCAAGTGCGAGAGAGCTGTATACAGGTGCCGCGGCAGCGTGTGCATGGCGTGGCCTGTCTGTCTCACCTTTTCTTCCTTCGGGGAATGAACGGAGACGCCCTCCTCGATTCTGCCGGATTTAAATTGGCAGAAACTAATCGCTGGTCGTTCGCGGGGTTATCGGCCTCCTGGGTGGCTGCAGGTAAGGAGGGGGACTCCTGAGGGTCGCCTTTCCGTTTTCTCTTTGGCAGCTCCGCTGGGGGAGTTTCAAATGAATCTGCTGAAGAGGATCTACACTCCAGCCGTTTCGCTGCAGAAGTGCCGTCAGTGTGCACGTTCAGTTTTGTCGAAGCGGTCATGAGGCCATGGACCCCCAACCCTGAAGACCGCTTGCTGCTTTCCTCCATGCCGTACTGTGTAGCCCTCCTTGACTAGCAGAAAAGGGCCTCTTGCGCTCCCGATTCATGGGTGAAGAGAGTGACCCGGGCATATGCGGCAAGAACAACAGGAGAAAAACAGTGCGACTTCTAAGTCGCTTTCTGCTGACTGGCAAGTAACTAGGAATGTTTCATTTTCCAGAAAAAAAAACCTGCGATGACCACTCCGTGAGCATAGGATAACTCAAATATGAGGCAAAAATAAGAGATTTCGAAGCCATGGGAATGCTGTGGAAGGGCTGCTAGCATGTTTTGCAACTCCAGCCCGAGGGGCCCCCCGTCAGTTCAGCGGGCCAGGTACCATGGGCGTGCGTTTTGTTCCCCCTTGACTGTCTTTTCACGCTGGTTCTTTCTTCTCTATTCTCAGGTCTCTTTCTTTTCTTGTTTCGAGGTGTTAGTGACGCTTCTCGTTGCTCAAGTTTCTTTTTTCCCCCTATCCGGGGCCCCCTCTCACGGCGCCACATTGCCGCAGGGCAGACTGCCGCCATCCATAGAGCTGCAGGAGCAGGATCCTAGCAGCTCCTTTTCCCATCCTCCTAGCAAAAGGAGAATGAACTGAGGATGCTATAGGGCCCCCAGACACAGGGAAAATGGAGTACGGAGACAAATTCCTGCAAGACCCTCTTACCGCGAGAACAGCGGGGCCTTCCCCTTTAGACCAATCTGCTTCATCGCCCTCTTCTTCAGCCTACTCTTCATCCTCTTCTTCTTCTGCTTCATCGAGGAGGAATTTTTTTCGGGATGGCTCAGCAACGACCGATAGGCTCCACCCATCGACGAGTGCCGATGGTGAAGGGGCGGCGCCGCACGGAAACCTCCTAAGTCAAGGTCGTGGCAGTCCGAAGGATGCCTCATGCGGACCCCATCTTGAGTCTCCCCTCCTTTCGGATGGCGGTGGTCACATCAGGAGTTGTTTCATATGCCTCGAGGGGCCCCGGAAGGGCCGTCGGGGGGCCCCTCCGAAGCTCTTGCACCCATGTTGTTCGCAGTGTTACGCGGTGGTTCATGAGAAGTGCTGGTAAGGCTTTCCCCGTTTTCCCCGCGTCTGAACGCCGTTTCTGGCTCTGCCAACAGCCCCTAGAGAAAGCGCGTGCCACCCTTCAGCTGGTGAGGCACAACAAGCCCCAGCGGCCTCGCCAAATGTGCATAAAAATCAAAGACTCTCTCTTACGACGCAGGACGGCGTACAGGAGACGCCAGCGTCTCGCTGCCTTCAGAGCTCGGCTGCTTGGGCATAGAGCACCTGATACCACCAGATGCTCCATCTGCCGCACAGGTAAGGGGCCTTTTCCGTTTGTCCTCCTGAGCCTCTGCGGAAGCCTCAGACAGTGCCTCCGATACGCAGGGAAAGGGTGTGTTTGAAACACTGTCGTCTACTCTCAGGAAGAGGAGGCCTCCCTTCAGACGTATCTCCTCATGGCCACGCACCGCCAGTCGGGGAAGGGGCCTCCGCCCTCCAAGAGCAGCTGCTTGCGTCGCTGGGGCGTCTCCTCATTGATGACGAAGGAGTTCCTACGCATCCCTTTTGCTCTGTCTTGTAAGCCGCGGCACACCCTTGCCCCCGCGAAACGAAAGCCTTCTTGCTTCGCGACAGGAGGGCTCCTTGGCCCTTCCTTCTCCCCGCACAGCGTCGTCTTTAAGTGCCTGACAACACCCATGGGACGGGAGAATCCGTTGCGGTGTGAACGGGGATTCGTGGCTGCTTGAAGTGTCTGCACTGCGTACTGTGCAAGAAGCGAGCACTGCAGCGCTCTTGGCTCCCCCTCCGTACAACGCTTGCAAGTGCTGTTCGAAGGGAGGTTCCTCCAACTTCGTTGGGGCGGGGAGGGGCCTTCTTGGCGATTCGAGGAAGCAGAGGGGGGAGAGGGAGAGGTCGTCTTGGGTGTGGGTGTGTGTGTGCTGTGTTGCTGTGTGTTGCTGCAGCTGCATATGCCTAAACATATCTGCATTGCTGTGCTTCATTGTTGGCGGGTGCCTCGTTGCGGCCTTCACGGAGCTTCAAGGTGTCGTGATCTTCCTGTTTTCGCTGTTTTTGTACTACCACTTTGTCCTCTTCGAGGTCGTGTACATCGCCATCACGCACCGCCAGTAAGGAGGGATGCTGAGGGTCAGAGAGGGGCAGCGGATTCTTCATGGGGGGAGGGAGGGAGGACGAAGAAATGCCATAGCCTTACGGCTTTCTCTCTCCTGCAATGCAGGAAGGAAATCGCGGGAAGCACACTTCGTGCTGCCTCTGCTTGTGCAGAGTGATAAGTCGACCTCATCAGGGCAGGGGCCCCCTGGCTGCTGCTGCAGCGACTTTAGGGTGTATGTCGCGTTTGTTGTGTTTGCTGCAGCGAAGCCATGGCCACGTTACCTCCTCCTCCCCCCCAGGCAACACCGAACGAACCAGAGGACGAAGGAGATCGGGAGGGTGGAAGTGCACCGTCCTCTAGGGTTAGCCAAGAGATGACAGAGAATGGAGGCTTTCCTGCGAGTGGCGGGGCCGGAGAGCCTCCTCAAGGCTCTGCAGGGGGCCCCTATCGTTCAAATGAAACGCGTGCAGAGTTGCAGCTAGGCAGTGGCCACTTTGGGAACTTTGCCGGGTGGCTAGCTTCCATATGGCATCGAGACACTGAGGGAGGCAGTGTCTTGCCAATTTCTGCAGTGTCGTCGCCCTTCCTCCCGAGCTCTTCGCTAGCTGTTGAAATGCAGATGTTGCATTCGCGCTCAGTGCCTAGCTAGCGCTCTGGCAGGGGTGTTCACGCTTCGCCCCGCTGCTGCTGCTGCAACTCAGAAGAGCTCTCCTGCCTTGCTCATTGTGCAGGGGAGCACGCTGCTGCCTGCATCTCAAAAGGTCATTGCCTGAGCCGCTTCCTACCTGCGGTACATGTTGGCTTGCCTTATGCAGCCGCTTGGCGGCCACTCTCTCTCTTGTTCGTATTACTCCGATTTCTGCGTCTCCTAGAGGCATACAACAACGCGTAGGCGGCTGCAGGGAAACCCGTATAGCCTCCAAAAGCTGCTACTGCAGTCGCGTGGGGAAAGGGCTTCATGGAAGCTCGGGAGTGCCTGACCGAATATTCCGACAGGGGCACTAGTAGTGCTGCATCTGACGTCTTGGGGTGCATGTTCGACGCATTGTGCTGCTAGCTACAGCTCTCTCCTTTTCTTTCTGCGATGAGTACGCCTTCTAATGGCGATTCGCGATCTCACAAATAGGTGTTGGCACCATCCCCGTAAGCCAACTCCTGGCGCCGAGCGCAGCCGACGTATGCACATGGCGAGAAAAACGCGCGGGAAGTCGTCTAGAATACCTGCACATGCAGGCAGCTACGAGTTAGGCTACAATGGTTCGCTTGCTGCAGTTGCTGGGTTCTGCACACCCGTTTAGTACTCTCACGTCGGTTAGGTGTAGGAACACAGAATTTTTTCAGAGAGCACTCGGATTGGTGAAAATTTTTCGAACTTGATACAGCGAGAAGGCTGCTGCATAGTTACCTCTTGCATCATATTTTTAACGTAGCCTTCCCACGATGTGGCGGGCTACGCTATACTTCGGCACTCCTTAGTACACCCGATATATTCAAGGCGTTCGAATGCGCAGTTATGGTAGTCAATTCCTTACGAATTGCTAACTATCTGCTGCCGATTGCTGTCAGCTCGATACAACAAGATTCGGCGCTCTGTGCGTGTGTGCTGGATGCTATGTGCCACGAGTTGTGCATGCCGCACGTATTAAGAGAGGGTGCAGCTCCACACATCCTCGCAGATCCGCCCCCCTCGTTCCGGCAGAGTGGCGTGGGAGAGGGAAGAAGCGAGCTGTGCCATCTTAATAGCATTCGAGAACTTCCTCTCAAGCTTGTAAGGGGTCTGAAGTGAACCGTCTCTCTCCGGAAACCTCAAAACAAGAGTTACACAAGGGGGCTGTGTCTCACCAGGTGGTTGCTACTGTAGATAAGTCGGCAGTTCCCTCCGCTGCGCATACCTGTGAGTGGCAGACATGGGAAAGTTCTGAAGTCACAGGGGATTGTTCAATCCTCAGCAGATTGCCACTGACTCGTGCCTCCTGCCTCAACAGAAGTTCGACCTAGAAGGTGGTCTAATATCCATCCACCACGTTGTCAGGGGAGGCAGAAGACGGACTTTTGAGTATATTCCCGAAAGGCACTTGCTTGCACTGCCGCAGACAGACACCGCCCCTGCGGAAGTGTCGGCAGTGTGTCGGTAGGGGAGCAGCATGCAGCCCTGGACGATGGACTTCGAGGTGTCCTTCGTGGACCCCCCGGGGAAAATTCAAGAAGGCGAATACCGAATTTTACAATAAAAATAATGCTTTAATTGGCTTTTTCTATACGTTATCCTTTTTTCTCGTTGTCTTTGCCTCTAGGAACCTGGAAGCCACCCGCCGCCGACTTCCGGCCCCACGGGAGGAGAAGAAGGCCTCGGTGTGATCATCGACACCCCTGCATCAAGCCCTCTGTGTAACAAGAGGCCCCTCATCCTTTTTCTACGATTACTGCGAGCTTCGTAGTCCCGCAGCAAAAACGCCTATTTAAGGCCTTGCGCTATCAAACAACTGAGTGTTCTTTGCCCCCATTAGTTCGGCCCCTTGGGGCGTTTTCCCACTGTACGTCCTCTTGCCTTTTCCCCCTCTCTTTGGGGAGAGGCCTTCATAAGTAGGTCTGTGTCAAGCAAGTCAAGAGCTAACAATGCGGGCCTCTAACGCATTGGCTCGCGTGGGTGTGCTGCTCGTGTTGGCCGTTTTTTCGCGCCGTGTCACAGCGGTGAGGGTACACCCGTAGACTGTCTCTACAACACGTCCTTCTTCAAGTCCTTCCACAGCCTCTGTCTGTGCGCCTGTCCTCCCATCAAAGCCATGGTCTCGATCTCCGTGTCTTATCCACGCAGTCCCATGGGGCTGGAGTGCCTTTCCTCCTGCCCTTTCGTGTGCATCAGGTCAACTTGGACTTCCAGAGCGAGGCAGAAGCGCTCTCTGTCCCCCGAAATAGCGCCTATTCGGCGTGGCGGGGGGCAGAGGGGCCCCTCTTAGGGACCAGTGTCGAGAGACATCTGGCGGCAATAGTTGCCCATTCGCCCCCCACCGCAGTGACGAATGCCCCCGCGACTGCTGATCCGCATGTTCCTCAACGCACTAGAGCCCGCCGAAGATTCCGGTTCGTCCTCGACCGCCCGCTAGGCGCGTGGCAGCATCTGAGTGCTTAGAAGCGTGCGCGGGCAGCAACAGGAATGTGGGGCTGTAGGCTGGCTGTAGCGTTTCCCTTATTGAGCGAAATGCCCCTGTCTCTGCCTTTCCTCTGGCTGCAGGGAGGGTGAACGCGCAGGTCCTGTAGCCTTTGCTTCGCGCGTTGGGAGCAGCGAGCTAAATAACGATGACTTCGACGTCGAAGTGACCCGGGTGCGAGATACGCACTTCCCCCTTGTCTCCTGTGGCGCAGCAAAGGCCCTCATCTGCATCGGCGGCATGGCAGCCCTCGGTACGACTGAGCCCCTTAATCAATCGGAAGGCCACATCGCGCCTCGAGCCGTCCCCCTAATGCCTTTTTAAACCCTACTTTAAAACCCGGAAGACAGCGCCTCCAAACGCGCGTTTTCGACCACCCTTTGTGCTGGACAGAAGAAAGACTTCTTCAAGAAAATGCTGCCTTGCGTGGCAGCGTTTTCATTTTCAAACTGGCACTTGCTCATGGTCCGCCTCCTATGCAGGCGCTGTAGGGGTGCGCTTAACGCGTGACTTTCTGAAGAAACGGCGGAGGGCACGTCTGGGAATGCCAGGACCGTCGTCCCCCTTTACCCGGCTGCTTGGCCACGTGCTGCTCTCGAACAAACAAAAAGATCCAAAGCCCGAGGGTTTCATTGCCAAGCTGACTGGCGGGGGGGGCCCCGAGGAGACGACTACGGCGGAAGCGCTGGGAGAGCCAGGCAGCGTCACTGCGCTGTACTTCACAGGGAAGGGCGTTGAACAGATTCTTGAGGTGAGCCTCTAGCTAGGGAAAAAAGGCCCTCGTGTATATATATATATATCGGGTTCTAAGCGTGTACACGTCACCAAGTCGCCTTCTAACCCGCCCGTGCTAGGTGTCGCTCTCGCAAGCATCTAGTACACTAGTGTGCCCTCTCTCCTGAAGCACACGTTTTCGGAGGCTTGTCGAGCTTTCGAGAGCCTTCCGTTCTCTTGCGGTTCAAACGCCTTTGACGCAGAGCAAAGGTTACGTGCCCTTCACTCCCCGGCTCAAGTCAATCGTTGATGCCGCAGCACACAAGGGCCAGAAACTTAACGTCGTCTTCATCTCAGCAGACAATACCGCCGCTGACGCTGCTGCACTCTTCCAAACAATGCCATGGTAAAAGCCTAATCCCGCTCCCATCCCCCGTAAAAACCTTCCGAGGTGCCCTTCAGTATATCGGCGTGTCCGCAATCTTGCCGTTGCAACGCTTACTCAGAGATCAACGGTTTTGCGCAACAGGACGGCAAGGGTCACCTCTCTCCCCTTGTCGTTTCCCGTAGGTCATTGGAGTACCTTCTGCATGTCTGCGTCTGTAAAATTATGTATATGTGTATGTTTATGTATATATAGATATGTATATAGATGTATATTGCTATGCATATAGATATGCATTGTATACACACACACACACACACATATACCAAGATCCAACGCGTGTCCGCTGGGGTGTCTGAACAGGCATGCGGTGCCATATGACGACTCTGAGGGGCGCGATCGCATCCGCTCTCTCTACAAGAAGTTTCGAGTTACCTCTTTACCTCATATTGTGCTCCTGGACGAGCATGGAAGGGTGTCCAACCCACAGGCGTACACTGCCATGCTTGCAAACCCTCTGGACTTCCCCTGGAAACGAAAGAACCCTATCCAGTTGCTTGGAAACAAGCTCGTAAATAATAAGGGAGAAACTCTAGACCCTGTGAGGCACGGACAACACTTCAGCAAACATCCAATGTCTCCGCGCGTGCACCGACCCGTTAAAACAAATGCAGCGTTGGGCTTTGTGGGTGCATAGATGGCCACGCAGAAGTACCACTCATGTGTGCGGAGGTGGAGGCGGATTGCATGCATCCAAAGGGCCCTTGAGGCATGCAGCTATGAATGTTTTAATAAATGTTCTAAGGGCATGTATATATAGAGAGAGACCTTTATCGCCTCTTGTAGCTGCGTATCTCCCATCATGGCATTCAGCTATCTATCAAGGATTCTGCGTGCATATATATTGATGTAGATGTAAATACGCACTCGTACATTTATTTATATGCATATACACGCAAGTAATTCCATGTGTATATGGCAACCCACATGCATATCGAGCAAAAGAAGGCATCGAAATTGCCATCTCCGCAGCGCCAGTGCGTTCCAAAGCAATGCACCATGGAACTTAGTCCAGCCGCTAAGGCGTTTATAGCGAATCTTTAGCTTGCATCTTATTCTTTGGAGCATGGGAAACTGTGTGTTTGATGCGGGCGCAGGCTGAGCTTTCCGGAAAGACCGTCGGAATTTACTTCAGTGCCTCCTGGTGTCCGCCTTGCCAGAGGTTTACACCTAAACTGGTCGAGACTGTGAAGCGGCTCAAGGAGAGGGGAGAACAGGTAGAAATTGTCTTTGTTTCAAATGACAGAGATGAGGAAAGCTTCAACAAATATTTTGCAAAGATGGACTGGCTCGCGGTGCCATTCAAGGAGGTCTCGACGCGAGCTGTTGCACAAGTCCGTATTTCGTCATGCTCTCCCTCAACCGCCTGTTGCTCTCGTTGTGTTCGTTCCTGTGTCTGAGTGCTTGATCTTTCTGTTTGACTGCACGATACGCTAGATGCGGGCGCGCATGCGTTTGCAGAATTCGCAGGACTTATCTACGTGTGTGGATATATTTCTTTTTACCGTACCGTTTTGCATCTGTGTGATCGCAAAAACTTTAATCGTAACCCTTGCGTCTGTGCTTTTGTGTGTGGTTGCCTGCAGGATGCGTTGAATGTGCGCTCCTTGCCCACATTGCTTTGGGTGTCCCCCTCTGGGGAGGTTCTGACTCGGCGTGGCGTTGCTGCACTCCTCAAGGACGAGGAGGGCTCCCTCTTTCCCTGGAAGGAGAAGGCCGTCAAGGACCTTGACGAGGCCCTCGATGCTGTGTCTGAGCAGCCTGTGCTGCTCGCATTCCTCGATGCTGCAGACGAACAAACGCACCAGAAAGTCAAGGAGGCAAGTTGCAAGAGCCTTTAGAGGCTAGCCCTGAGGGTCTCGGATGTTGAGGCCGCCCAGTTGCTAGGGCAGTGGTCGAAGCCTTGTGCGGCGAAGTGCGAAAGGGGTCCGGCCCTTCGAGGGCAGAGATGCAGGTTCCCGATGTGTAGTGGAGGGTGCGTTTTGTCGCATCAGGTTCTGGAGGAAACGGCAGCAGCTTTGGAAGAAACCGAGGGTGGAGAGGCCCTTGGCCCCGTTCCTCATTTCCTAACGGCACGAAAGGGTTCCCCGAGTACTACGGCGCTGAGACAGATATGCAAAGAAGGTTTGCCGGCCGAAGGTACAGGCCAGCAGGTCTCTCTGGTGAGATACTCGTGTATAACTTAACGGGCGGCATGCTCAGCGCTAAGAAATGGGCAGCCAAACCTCACACGGAGCGGCCGGTAAACTTTGCACTTAGCGGGTATACACTATGGAAGCTACGGATAGCGCTAGGGCTGTTGAGCGTGTCTTGCGCAGTTGATTTTGGACGCGTTTAGCCAAAAGGTGTATGGGTACCCCAAGGCCGCCGAGGCGGTCACCAAGGAGGACCTGTTGGCCTTTATCCGTCAATTTCGTGAAGACGCGCTTGAGGGCAAGCCTATCGCCCTCCCAGAGTAGAAAGCTTTTTACGCTTTCCTGAGGACCCTCTGGGGAGTCCCCGGAGGAGGGTGCCTCTGCAGAACAGCCTCCGTGGGGTGTTTCGAAGAAAGCGGTGCTTGTGCGTATGCCCCCTAAGAAGCCTCCAGAGGGAGGTACAGTAGGCAAAGAGGACGCGGACAGCGGGCGTGCAAATCGGAGAGAAAATGTGCGGAGTGTCAGACACAGGTTCTCTTTGGTAGATTGTGTTTGGTGCCTGCCCCGTTTGTCGTCTCTATGGGCTTTGCCAGCGCTCTGGACTCGGGCTTTAAAGCCACGAACACCTACAATCTGGCCGCAAAGATCGGAGATTCGTGTGCGCTTACTGAGCAGCACGTAGCCGTAGCACCTTTTGCGGTGACCACTGGAAGGTCCCCCTAGTACCAACTGCTAGAGCAGCAGGAGCACCCTCCCAGAAACCAGTGCAGCGCAGGTATATAGCCGTAATGCGTGGACTGCTAGAGCGTATTTTTGGCGGAAGAAGTGCTTTACGTGCCAAACTAGACTTAACACCACCACTGGTGTCCTCGTAAGAGGCGACGCTGCGTGTGCAGACACCACCTGAGCAGACCACAGGCGGGGCGTGCGCGTTTTTAGGAGGCGCATGTGTGCGCATAGTGTCTGTGTTCCCCGCGAGCTCCTAGAGAGCCCCCTGTCTAGCGTAAAAATTAAAAAGGGAGGTCGGAACCACACAGACCGCACGGGGAGGGCAGATCGCTGCGAGGTAAGAGAGGGAGCCTTCCGGAAGGCCCTGCACACGCAACGAGTAAGGCGGCTAATTCTTCTTAACAGAAAAAGCCATGCGACCTAAGACGCATGCAGCCCAGAGAGCAAACGCAGTGGGGTAGCGAAAAGAGGGGGACTCAGCTACACCTCCTCCAATCGGGGTCCCCTTGTTTCCCTAGGGATGCTTCTCTCCTGTTGGGCTCCCCGCTGGGCAGCTCCAGCTTGCAAGGCTCTCTTACTGCTCCTAGGGGGAGACGTTTTGGGGGGTTCCGCCGTGAAGGAGGTGCCTTGCGAGCGCAGAGACTTCCCCCTTAGCCATTCCCCAGCCCCCAAGGCAGATGCCATTTTGCTGAAGACTGGCAGCCCCATGAACTCCGACAGGCGGGACTGCAAAGCATGGAAGGGTTGACTCCCCCTGCTGCTGCTGCTGCTGCTGCTTGTGCTACAGCGGAAAGGAAGGCCGCGATCGCAGGGGGCCCCTCGAGGGGAACGCCCTTCCGCGAGCAACGACCCCGCAAAAGGCCTTCCAGAGGGGCCCTCAGGGGGCTCCCGCAATCCCTCGTGTAGCTGCGGGAGGTGTGCAGCTCTCTGGTCATCGCAGTTGCTGCCGCCAGCGTTGTCTGCTGCAGCGGAAAGCGGCCAGCCATGTCTGTTCCTCGAAGGGCCCCAACAGGGGCCCCCCAATGTGGCGGTCGTTTCTGAAGACCCCAAGGCGTGCCCTCCTTCCTCAAACGCGCGAACATCGTTACTTTCTTCTAGAACACCCTCAAACGCCCCCACATTATGCCTTGAATGGCCTCGTCTCAGTTCTTGAGCCCCGGAAACGAGGTACTTGTGTGAGTGCAGCCGTCTGGAAGACTGCAGTCGCACCGTCCTCGGGAGGGAGCCCTGAGACGTAGGGGCCTTCCCGCGTTCTGAGCTTCCTCCCCGCATCGCCTTGTGCTGCCTCGTGTTGGACGGAATCCCCCCGGATGGCGGGAAGTCAGAGGCCTCCCTAATGCTCCGACGATGGTCCCGCCAAGTTTGGAAATACCCCTCGAGGGGGCCCCCGCAGAGCTGCCCCCCCCCAACTCTATAGTCTCCAAACTGGTCTCTGCAGGCGCAAGCACCCGATGCGTCCCCTGCCGCGTGCCCCCGCAATGTGTCAGTGGCAAGAGGACCCTCTGCGGCAGCCTTTTGGCTCCTGGGGGAGGGGAGGGAGACTCGCGGCGAGGCTTGCTGCAGCAGGGGCCTTGCACAGGCGGGGAGACTGCGCTCTGCAGGCAGGACGCCTCCCATCTCGGCGCGACGTGGAGTGGTGAGTTCAGAAAAATCCTTCTCAACGGCGTCTCCAGAAGAGGCACTCAAGGTCACTCCCCCCACGCGATCTTCTCTTGAGAGAGACACGCTTCCTGCGGTGCCGTTTGTCCTTGCGGGTAGTACGCACTGGGGGATAACAGGGGGGGCCTCTTCCGTACAATCCTCGCTTGCGTGAAGGGAGTATGATACGTGCAGCCCTCCAACGGGATTTCGATCGAGAGAAGAGACTCCTTGAGAATCTTCCATGCCCCCTGCCCCTCCTCTCAGGGGCCCCCCTCCCGCGGCATCCCGTGCGACAGCCCCGTACCCGTAGTAGGGCCCCTCATGCAAACCCCCACAGAGGCCCTCAGAGGGGCCCCTGCACGGCGACTGCAGGGGCCCCTTCCAAGAGCTCTCACAGGGGGCCTCAGCGTGGAAAGGCGTGCGACTCCCCGTTGATTCGAGTGCGCAGACTTCGGGGGGCACTGAAGGCTCGCCGCCAAGAATGAGAGACAGTTTGGGAAGCTTTCCAGGCTGGAAGGGTGCAGCTGCCGGGGATGCCAAAGTTGAGACGCTGGAAGCGGGGTAGGCTGGCTCCAATCCTGCAGCGGGTAAGGGGGGGGGTGTTGCAGTGCTTCCTGCTGCCGCTGCTCCCGTTCTCGGGGACCCCCCCCCCCCCTCACGTGTGCCTTGTTCTCTTGCATGCGCTCCTTCCTGTGGGGTCGGGGGGAACCTCGTAGGGGCAAGGCGGCATGCTTCGAAGAAAGACCTTCTCTCGCATCGGGTGACTCCGCCGGATCGAAAACCTCACTGACCATCTCGGGCCGGGGGGCCCTTGAGGCCCTCAGGACGACGGGGGCCCCTCCCTCTCCGGAGGCTGCAGCAGACAGCACCTCTGCTCCACAGAAAGACACAGCGCTGCTCTGCTGCTGCTGCTGCAGAGCCCACTGCGCAGCAGCCGCCAAGACATCCGCTGTAGCTCTTGCTGCAGCCACTGCGACGACTGCGGCATCTGCGCATGCGTCGGAGGAGACTGCCAAGGCTCTCGCAGTCATGAGGTCCTCGCTGTTTTCTTCTTCCGCATGTTCTTGTGCGGTCCAGAGCGGCTGGCCAGTTGGTGGGGTGCTCTGCTTCGTCGTGGCGTCTTCTTCACCCCCAGCCCTTAGCGCTGCAGGAACGCTCGCAGCTGCCGCCGTTTGTATGGCCCCCCCCATCGCAGCCGCCTTAGCGGCAGGGGAGTTCGTGGTATGGCCAGCCTGCAGAGCAAGCGCACAAACTCAACACCAGCTCCCCTGTGACCCCTCTCCACTACCCCGAGCCTTCCCACACAGGCTGCTGCGCGAACGTCTAAGGAGCTGCTCTGAATGAGAAACGGAGGCGTCGATAACAGGATGCTTTGCACTGCTCCCTCCCTGCTTCTTAAGAGAACCACCAGGCCTTCGAACGGCAAAAACAACAACGGCTCCCGCTGCTGCCCCCGTTTTTCACAGGAATCAAACTACGATGCTACACAAGGCTGCTAGAGGAGCCTCTCCCGCATCTTCGCCTTGTTGGGGTGTGCGTGTCCTCCCTGTCGGCTTACGGTGTGGTTTGGCGGTGTCTCTTCACGACGGCATGCATGCGGCGGCTCTCCGAATCCTAAAGCAAAGTCGGCCTGGCCCTTATTGTGCCCCTCTGAGGATACCAACGCGCCTCCAGGGGCACCTGGTGGAGCGCTACTGAAGTAAGAATCGTTGGTGTTGTCGGCTTGCGAATTGCCGCCTCTCAGAGGCTCGAGGCGAAGGCCTCTCAGGGCCTCATCAAGCCTCTGGATGTCTCTTTTCGGCAAAGGGGAGTCTCTCGCGGCGCAAACGGAGAGCAGCTCCCTCTCTGCGCACTGCTGCAGCAAGCTCTCTGTCCTGGACTGCACCTCTAGCCGATCTGAGGATCCTTCTGCCAGGTTAGCACCGCCATCTCCGGTTGGCAAGGCAGCATTCGCTGTTCTCGGCTGAGTCTCTTTCTGTGCTAAAGGCCTGCTGATCCTGTAGAACCACGGGTGTGTCAGCGCCTGCACGGCAGCGCACCGCTTGGTGGGCTGCTTGCAGCACATCCAACCGATCAGGTCCTTAGCAGAGTGCCCTATGCCTGCCCACCGCTGGTGAGCGAAGTTCAGCTGACATCTGAGGCCAAAAATACACCGCAGAGCAACTGCGTTTTGGGGAGACGCCGCCAAGAACGTACCACTGCCTTGGAGGAGAGAGGGAGGAGGGAATAGGGGGGGAGATAATGAGGGGGGAAAAGGCAAATGTTATCAGGCATCCAAGGAAATGCAGTAAGCAACATTGGTGTAAGCGACATTGGTGTAAGCAGCATTGGTGTAAGCTGCATTGGTGTAAGCTGCATTGGTGTAAGCAGCATTGGTGTAAGCTGCATTGGTGTAAGCAGCATTGGGGTAAGCAGCATTGGTGTAAGCAGCATTGGGGTAAGCAGCATTGGTGTAAGCAACGGATCACGCCAAGAGGGAGAGGCCTCACTTTGACAAGGAAGCCCTCCCCTCTTGCAAACAGACACATGGGATACCCGCCAAAAGCCCTCTCTCTTAAGACACCACTCGCATGGATCCTCGAGACAAACCCCCTTTTGGCTGTACGCACACAGGCAGCAGGTGTATACATACCTGAGGTTTTTTTTGAGTATGTCCTTGACGTTCTGGCCCCTGAAGGGAGGGAAGCCAGCGAGGAGGGTATACAAAATGACGCCTGAGCTGAAGACGTCCACCTTAGGACCATAGGGTAAGTCTTGCAGGATCTCGGGAGCTGCATGCACACACATGGAAATGCGAAGTTCTCATCTTGCTGCGATATTTCAGCAAAAACAAAATGTATCCGAGCTGCAGACTCCTCCACCGACCCTCCAGAGTGCCTCTTCAAAGCAGCTTACGCAAGCCGAGCATCACCTTACCAACATATCCAGGAGAGCCGCATCTCATTTTCATGGCAGGACTGCCCATAGTCGCAGCAAGGCCAAAATCTATAAGCTTTATTGACGCCGGATTACTCGAGTCTTCAATGATAAGATTTTCTGTCTGAGGAACAAACACAAGAACAAACGTTCCACAGATCTCCAGCAGGGGAACGCAGTACACCCAACACCATCAAGCGCAAGCGCCCTCTGCCTTCCATATTTTTCGGCGTGACTGATTAACGTATATATATGTATCTATATGTATATATGTATGTATAGATGTGCATATATGTATGTATATATGTATATATAGGTGTACATGTATATATAGATGTATATTTTACGTATATACATATATATGTATGTATCTCTGTATGCATACAGGACTGAACTCATATCAAGCAATCTTTAATTCTCTATGTAGTGTAGTGGTTTAGATCATGGGCTTCCCTAAGCCCCTAGCACATCGCCTCCGCCACCAATTACCCCCTCGCTTCTCCGAAAAACCAATATGTGTATCGCTATCTCTGACTTTATATCTCTGCAGCTATAATGATTTGGCGATGCAAATACCGCCGCTCTCCCCCCCTTTCCAGCACTGCTACGCGTGTTGGCGTTGCATGCGAAAGTTGGCTTGCCTTGAGGTCTCTATGAACTATTCCTTTTGCATGCATCGCTTGGAGGGCCAAGAGAATCCGCCGCATGGCATACCGCGCCTGATCCTCCGAGAAAGGGCCGTTAGTGCTCAAGTAATCAAACAACTCACCGCCACGAAGATACTCTAGTACCAAACAAACAAAGTCCTCTGCGCCATACACATTACACGTATCGACTTTCTCGATAATTTGCCCAGTGCAAAGCACTAGAAAGACCACGATCCTGTACACGTGTGTCTGTATCTGTATCTGTGTGTGTACTTGTTGTCGTCTATGCCTTAGCGCCTCGGCTCCTAGCTGGTGGGTGGCTCTATGGGTGTCCTACGTGTGCTGTCTCTGTCTGTCTGTCTGTCTATATATATATATATATATATATATATATATATATATATATATATATATATATATATATATATATCCCTATGTCTCTGTCTCTGTCTCTCTCTCTGTCTCTGTCTCTCTCTCTTGCTCTTTTGCTCTATCTCTGTCTCGCGTTCCCATTCTATACGCCTGCTGTCTAGCCTTCCGTTTTAGCAGCGGCCTTTGTCCATCCGCCCTCTCTTGGGTTGCGTGTTCTAAAGGACGCGAGGGCTATTTCTGCAGCGATGACACCCGTGTACAGCCTGCCGCTTTCTCCGTTAGCCTTACCCTGTTCGTATGCGGCATAAAGCCGCATAATATAGGGGTGAGAGACATTCCGCAAGACTTCGATCTCCGTGTAGACGTTGGACTCCACGACCTTCTTCTTGTCAACTGCCTTGATTACAACATCTTCGCCAGTCAACATGTGACGTCCAATGTACACTTTTGCAAAGCTGCCCTCTCCTGAAGCGCAGGACAGTCACGCAGGCGCACCGAAAAAAAACCCCCAGCCTTGTAGAGGGCCCCTAACAACGAAAAGGCAGACACACAGGGAGGCTATCCCTCCCCCCCGGCAGGGAACCTCCGCCTTTCCAAATCTTCGGCGAACAACACGGCTTTCGGAAATGACGCGAGACGCACACCACACACGCCACGAGGGAGACATTCCAAAGCGTGCTTCGACAGACACACTTTGCCGCTCCAATGCAGGAGGCAGTCTTAAAAAGTGCACACCCCAGCATGCGTTGCTAAAAATGCCTACAGCATCCGCTAACGCTGCGCTGATTTTCACGAGTTTCGGGGAAATACCGCAAGCCACACGCACTGCATCGCCATCGGGTTCTGCCTCCATAAGGGGGACTGTGGGGGAAAAAATCGTGCGCCAGCAGCGCTCTCTCTAGAATTGTATCGACCCTCAGAGCACCCGAAAAAAATCCCTCCATCTTCCTGCATCCGCTTTTGCAAGCTCACCAATAAAACCAGTCAACCTGTAAAGATCCGTGAATCGCAGGAGCGAAGCGCCATGACCCTTGAGAATGTTTATCCACTCCGAGCAAACTTGCGAGTTCGGGCATTGAAATTCGAACTCTCCTGTCGCAGAGATGATGTACAGGCAAGGCCTGAAGCGCATAGCACATCCATGTGTAGTAGACGCAAGCGCACCAGGGATCAACAAGTGCAGCAAGTGTCTGTGCTTCGCCCCTTCCAACTAGCATGCACATCCCTAACCCCCATAGAGGCGCCAAGACGGAGCGCAGCAGCAGAGGGACAGCGAGTTTTACGCATGCATGCATGCGTGCGTAAAACTCAGGAAGCGTCAGGGGAGAAAGAATGCAGGAGAGACAGGGGGGAGAGACAGGGGAGGGGGGGAGCAAGAGCGAGAGACGCTAGCACAATGCGCTAAATATAAATACACAGACACCCGAAGAAAGAGGAAGCAAGGCCACTTGCTCCCCTTTCTCTCTCTTCCCTATCTCCTCTCCCCTGTCGGCAGATCCTATGAAGCCTGGAGATCTGATTGCTATCTGATTTGGAAGGAGGCACAACTGACGCTAGCCAGGACCAGGAATTACAGCGCCTGCCGTATAGTCAAGGGTGCATGCAGCCCGACCGCAACACGCAAGAATCTCCTTAGGGCGTAAGAGAGGCACAGATTGAGAGAGAGAGAGAGAGAGAGAGAGAGAGAGAGAGAGACACATGTATTCCCAGAGCCTCACATTCCGCCGCACAGAAACTCGCAAACGCTCAGTCGCTGCCCTTTCCCTCCTACCCTTAAGGCGTCTGTGTTGCGTAGGATCAAGGGAAGGAGAGGAGAGGAGAGGAGTGGGGGGGAGCGGCTCGGGAGCGCACATACCCCGCAGTGAAGCGGCCATCTATATACACCTATATGTATGTATATCTGTATATGTATATCTCTACATGTATGCATACAGACGACTGGGTAGCGCAGCGCATGCCTTCTCGAGACACACGTGTGTTTGTGACAGAAGACGCAGCACTTTTCACACGCGCTCGTAGAGCCCTCTGCCCCACCCTTGCCCCCCATCCCTGCCGAAAGATCAGAGGCAAAGCAGGCAGAAGGCTGCAGGAGAGAAGATCAGCCCAGTGTCAGTGGAGTAGCAGCCTCCAACAGGAGGCTCCTGTAGGAAGAGGACTGGCCAGATCGCCCTTTGGCTTCTAAGAGCGCACGAACGACTGCCGCTCACCCAAGTTCGGTGATGTTGTTGACGACTCTGCAACCCTTCAGGGGAATGTAAAACTTTGGCAAGACGGAATCCACCTCCTCCCAGCAGCACAGATACGGCGGACTGATGGGGCCCTCGGGGCCCTCGGGTGGGGGCCCCCTGGGGGCCCTTAGCTCAACGGACACGAGACGCGCTGCTCCAGTGGCCAAAGGCAGCGCAACTCTCACCCCCGCCTGACAGCTCAGCTGCTCCATATGGCTTCCCTCTGCAGGCTGCTCTCAGAGGATAGCCCTCCAGCCGAAGGGGGAGCGGGGGGTTGAGACGCACGCGAGCGACCCTCTGCGAAGCACTGAGCCACCAGAGAGGACGGGCGGGGGAGAGGGCTAACACGCGAGATGAAGACAGGGATGCCATCACATTCCACAGCGGTTCGCTACACACACACACACCAAATGGGGGCCCCTCCGTGGTGTCTTTGGTGAGGCGCGGAGAAATCCGAGAGGAGGCACTACCACGGTCATGAGGTAGGTTCTGCTGCTGGGGGTGGGAAGAGGGAAGAGAGCAACTGTTAGCGCTGCTGCTGCTGTTGCTGTTGCTGTTGCTGCTGCTGCTGTTGCGTGCAAGGCTCTTATTCTCCTTCCTGAAGAGCTCGTGGGGCCTTTGCGTTCCTCCTTCCCGTGTGCATCTATGCACTTGTACAGAGGCAAGGTACTAGTCACACAGACCGACGCGATACGGGAGGAAGGAGAGGGAGGGAGAGAGGGGTTTGCTTGCTTGCTGCTTCAGGTGCTGCTACAGATGCTGCTACAGATGCTGATACAGGTGCTGATACTGCCTTGAGGATGCTGCTGCCGACAGCTCCGCTGTTGCACGCAGGTGTACAGCAACTTATACGCCTTTGCGCTCGCTTGTGCTGCTGGGGTGTAATCGCTTGACACCACCGTATCCTTCACGTTCGCAGGCAGCCCAGAAACGTGTAAAAAGCGCTTGAGGCTAGCACATACCAGCTCGCATTTTGGTGCAAAGTGGAGGGCAGGTGCAGATTCAAAGGGGTAAGAGCCAAGGATCCACGATTTCACACGGCGTCGGCTGCGGTGCGCGAGCGACAAAGCCAAGTGCCGCCTTCTGCTAAGAGAAGAAGGCTAGCGCACCAAAGCTGCAGCAGGAGAGCAATAACCTTGCCAAACAACAGCCAAGCCCCTCTTGCTCGGCTAATTTGTGCTGCGGATGCTGCTGCCGCCGTTGCTGTCGGCTGCGGCTGCTGTGCGCTACTTGCTTGCCAGGACTGCGGGAGACAAGCAGCTGTGTTTCTGGTGCTGATGCCACCCTAGGATGCCCACAGGAGGCGCTGAGATAGGTGCAGATATGGTTAAGGGCTGGAATATAGCGTGGAATCCAGCGCAGCAGCACCAGCGGCAGCGGCAGCAGCAGCAGTAGAATGCGCTGCTGCAGCCGTAACGGCGGATGCGAGCAGCAATACTGCAAAGCCACGGGCAGCAAACTCAGCGGCTTTAGGCCTGCGAGTAAAAATGAAAATCCCAGAGACTTGTTGTACAATGTAACAGCGCCACTATTTGCAGCAACAGACCGGCTGTTTGCTGCTGCTCCGAGGGAGCAGCAGCAGCGCCAGCGCAGCCATCAGCACTGCGGCCGCTGCGTAGTTCTGTGCGCTTCGTCTGTATTTATAGCAACTGAATACATATCTATTCTGCGTATCTGCATATATACATACTCGGAGGTCAACGACGCGCCGAAGTTTGGTGTGTTGGGGGCTTCGATTTAGGGGTCTCGATTTCCGGGAGTGTATGTAGCCAGAAGAGAGGGTTGTATTTAGTGCGGCATGCACGCACTGCTATCTCAGGAACAGACGAACACACTTTTCTAAAGGCAGCTGCTTATGTGGGGTTACAATTCTTGTGCCGTTGGTTTTGTCCGGAGCTCCTTTCTGTGGAGTGCGCCCTGGGAGACGGAGTTGAGGCTGGACTCCATATCACCAGATCATACACAAATACCTCTATGAGGTCATAGCTCACTCTTGCTACAGCTATTAGGTCCGAGTTGCCTCCTAGATCTGCTTCTTTGGCTTCTTGGTCGCGCTGACGAATCTTGTGTGTCCTCTTTGTTCAACCCCGGACCTGGTTTACCTGAAACACCGCTCTTCTGTGCGCCCCCTTGCACCTCCCAAGTCTTTAATATGAGACATCACATGGTCCTTTGATTGACTTGATATGCACCCTAAGCGGCTTTAGAGCCTCAAATATTGCTGTTTATTAAGCGCTGACAGCAAGTTTACAGCTGCTTTTCGAATAGCTGAATGTCCTCGAGCGGCTCAGGTCAACCTCCCCTCCTGAAACTGCACTTTCTGCATCTAGCTGCAGTTTTGATATAGCATCCTGTCAGATCGCCATTGTTGGGATATTTACAGCCAGTCAGCATAACAGGGAATCGTTGTTGCGCGGGCTGTTGTGGCTCGCATAGCCGGTTCCGCATTCGGGTTAATGAAGAAAAGTCTTGAACCTGACAGCGCACTCTAATGTGATGTGTCTCGATATGTAAGTAACTCTCTTTTTTAATTGGATCTCAAGCTAGCTCCCAACACGGCGCTATCACTTAGAGCAAACAAGTGCCCTGAGGGTCAAGTTTTGAAAGAAAGGAGAAGCTGTTTGAGAGCTGGAGCGCTAGCTGTTATAAGTGTGGACCGCACATGCTAGTGAAGGCCTAGGAAAGGGGCCTGAATAATTCAACTTAACGGAGCGATGTTCAGCGTTGCAAAGGTCCTCCCAGGTCTACAGTGTACTGCCCTCTTGAAAGGGAGATGCAGGTGGGGTGGCGCAACTCGTCCCATTTAAACATTGAAAACATCTGCCACAAAAGAGCAGCCATGCATTTGTATGAGAAAGAAGGAATCTTGCCTTGAAACCACTTTGGCTGCGTGAGGAGAAGGGCAAAGCCCGCCGAGTGACTCCTATGCGTGGGCAAGGCTGAATAGCCTATTCGGAATCAGCACGCTCAAATGCCTAAGCTGTAAACACAGAATAAGGTAATGCTAGTCTTAAGAATGCCTAAGTGGAGGAGTTAGAAGCTTTTAGGCAGAAATAAGGCTCGACGTCAGTAGAGTACGAGGGTCCCGTAGGGGCCCTTATCACCTATTGCAGTTCTTTTCAAAAACGTCGCAGCCTCCAGCACAAGCAGCACTCGTAATTTTCCCCTAGGGGAATAAAGCTGATTGTCGGCTTCATGCTAACAATGGAGCAGTGTAGGCGTCTATGTTACACTTCTGACCTTTTTACTGATCCTATGCACTCAAGAATTAGCGAGGTGTGACGGCAGGTATGCTTGGAAGAGACCTGCTGTAGCACATAGGAGATGCCACTCATTATCGGTCATTGAATTGAATTTATCGGGAGTGATCTGCACTGGAACTGCTCTCTCGAGGTCTCCTAGTTGGCAACGCACTTGTCAAAACGAGAGTGATACTGTCAAAGGCCCTGCTCGTGTTGCTATAGTGTAGTTTGCCTCTCGCAAGCCTCATCATATGCCGTATTATCTACACCTCCATGCGTTTGCACTACAAAACCATCCATGCCGACTTCCACTGCATGAGGGGTCACAACCTACGTTTGATTTGCGAGCACCCTCGTTGCTTTTGCACTGCACTCGTGCCCAAAAAGGCAGGCACCGCTTGGTAACGGCTTGCCTGCTCCCCAGGCTTCCGAACGACTACGGGTCTAGGTCAATGCTCTCTTTCTGCATTGTAGAGGACCCTTCCACGCGCGCTGGTTCTCGACACATGTGGGCAGTGGGAGTTGTCGCATTCCTGCATCAAAGCTTCAAGCACCGTGTGCCAATACAAAGTGTGGCCCCTTCATAGTCTCCTTCTGGAAAGTGGGAAGCGGTCTCTCATTGCAAGAGAGGTTCCCTTTTGCTATGGTGTTGCTGCTGGCTATGCAGACTCACCCTACGCGCGATTAAGCTAGGCCGAGAGGACACATGGCTTCGGGTTACTGCACAACTGGTGGTACCGAGCAGAGCGAGCGTGACTCTATCCGTGCGGAAAGTACAACTGCTAAGGTGTAAATTTTGCTTTGCGTTGAAAGTGGGTTGCCATGTAATGGTGTTTCAGCTGTCGTCAGCTCCCGTGGCTCAGCTGGTTAGAGCGTTGGTCTTATGAACCGAAGGTCAGGGGTTCGAGCCCCCTCGGGAGCACTTGCTGTCTCTGCACGTCCAAGTATATGCTTTGAATACAGCTGTGGCCTTCTGCTTGAAAATAAGATTTTTGCATTTTCTTAGGGTGCATACGCCTGTGTGCAAGAGCCGCTTCGCCTGTATGGCTGCCCCCCGAGGGAGTACGTGGGGGGGCCTCCAACCCGCTACCCTGGCCCCTCCATGTGCGAACAGCAAGCAAGCGGTCCATACACGCCGTAGACATTGGCACTATGTCCGTATTTCTGTTTAGCACTCTTGAGCATGTAGCGTGTGCCTTTGTATTGTCTGCATTCTAACTCCAGCACCCTTTCTGTTGCAGCCGCGCGCACAAGCACCGACTTCGAGACCGCAAGGGCCCTAATCCCTTCCTTTGGAGTTCGTACCACGCCGAAACAACCGAATTCTCGCTCTTTTTCTGAGCTTTCTCCTTTGAATGCGATCTCCTTGACCTCACGTCCTGCATCCTGGGGGCCCCTAGGGGCCCTTCGCCGCGATACTCGACCGGTTCCCTTCAACGCGTAGCGCCTGGGCGCCCCCGCTTCCCCCAAGAGGGGCCCCTGCTGTGCGACATGACCACTTTTGGGCTTCTTCTGCTGCTAGGACTGGCAGGGGTCGCAACGGCGGGTAGCCTCGTGGGGCCCCTAAGGGCCCCTCCACCGTCCCTGCCCCCCGAGTTTCAAGGACTGGACGCAGGCGTCCTCTCGAGAAATCACCCTCCCCGACATGCCCGTATTCGCTCGCGCTCTTGCGACTTATCGACACATCGGGCATCAGCAGTGCCACAGTACACGTCGTTCCTTTGCGCTTTACAGCTTCCCCACGGCAACAACAGGAGCACCCGCGCCTCTGCAGCAGGGAGAACGGGAGTGGCTGTTCCCGAAGACATTCGGGGTTTTGGCCGCCTGAGGATATACCACTGGCTCAAGCCAACGGTTTCGCAGCAGCAGCTGCAGCAGCAACAACAAGAACGGCAACAACAACAAGAACAGCAACACCAACAGGCACAGGAGCAGCAGCTTGGAGGGCTACTTGGTCCTCTCAGTTATTTCTACGACTTTGATGTGCACCTGCAGCGCGTTGGCGCCGAAGTGTACTATGAAGCAGCAGCGTCTGCAGTGGTTGCACAAGCGGAAGCCGCAGCGGAGGCAGCACGTGAGGCAGCAACAACTGCATCTGCAAGGCCCGTGCAGCAACCACCGCCATTCTGCATGCAGCTGCAGGGAGCCTCAGAGGGCTCAGCGACTCCAGATGGCTGCTCAGAGCAGCGCGAGCAGCAGCAAGCGGACATAGAGGAACCCCGAGGAGGGGGCGTGTTACTGGAGGTGTGGCTGCCAGGAGTCTCCCCTCGAGATATTGCGGTGCAACTCTCCCTCGTAGGGAGGCACCGAGAGGCAGAGATCATACCGGGTGTGCGAGAACGGCGTATTTCCTGCTGAGATTCTGCTTCCTCCTCTGCTGCGCTGTCAACGTTTGTGCTGTTGCTCATGCTCTTGCCGCTTGCTTGTGATGTTGTGGGGGTGGAGAGAAGGCTCCCTGCACTCAGAGAAGGCTCTTCCTGCCGCGTTGTCGGGGTTGCGCATCGACAGAGAGATCTTTGTTTTGTCGACCTGCCTTGCATTCAGAGGCGCGCCCTCCTTGCGGTTCGGTGGCTTCGACACCCTCTGTCGACGAGCTGGCATCAAACTACGTTTTGAATGAGGATTTCCTATGGGAAGAGACCGTAGAGGCTGCAGAGGAACGCATCGCTAACCGCAGGAAGCCCCCCTATCTCCCTCCGCCTTTGCCTTGTCTGATTATCAACGCCCCCAAAAGCACTCGTGCCCTTAAGTGGGAAACCGAGACGTTTGTACGCAGATTGAAAAGCTCCATGGTTCTCTCTTAGGAAACTTTTCTCAAGAGGCCGCCTCCCCCGATGGAACCTTACTGCCTCGCGCTTCGCTTGGTCGTGTGCATCTTCATGCCAGCACTGTTGCACCACATTTCGCTTTCTCTTCTTTCTCTGTCCTTCTCTGCTGTCTTGTCTGCAAACAAACTCCAATGCGCACCTCTCCCCCTGGCCACTCCAGAAAATACCGTGACCTAGTCCATAAACCCCCCCCTCTCCCATCGCTCTCCCTCCTCTTTTGCCCCTATTCGTTCTTATGCGGCGCTCTGCTGCGGCTCGCTGTATACCTCCTTCCGCATGTATGCGTGCATGTAAATATATATACATGTATATATGTATCGATACAGTTGTGCCCATGCATGTGTGTGTATTCGGAGCCCATCACTGCGCCTTGCCTCTCACTTGGCCTGCTGCACACGCCCTGCCTTCCGTCTGTCTTTACCATGCTCTGCACTTTCGCTTATCTGACTTCATCGTGCGTGTCGAAGTCTCCCAAGCAGACGAGGGAGGGACTCTGAGGGAGGTCGATGTTAGAAGGGCATGTGGTAGGAGGCAGGCGGAAAATCTGCCCTTTGCAAAAGGGGGTAGTGTTTATATCTAGGCTTCGTGATACGGCTCGGTTTGCGCTCTGCAGAAAACACGATTCCGCGATGGCCGATCGTTGGATTACCAGAGGTATCAAAGGGCTCTCAGACTCGCCTGGTGTGTGTCAACCCCACAACCAGCCATCCCTCTATACCCTCTCTTGTAGCCAGGCACGGCCCCTTCAATCCAGAAAAGGCCACAGCTGACTAAACATTCACTGTTTCCCTGTCTTCCAGGGAACGACCTCTAGATAAACATTCATCGAGAGGTCTTCTAAAGCCCACTCTTCTTACATATCTGCACGGCTTCCATCTCATTCCTTCGTGATGTGTATGGACATTACTCCCCACGTCTATATATATATATATATATATATATATATATATATATATATATATATATACATGTACATGTATGTACTATACGCGTATGATCTGACGACTTCCCACACCTTCTTTTAACCTATATATCCCTATATACATGTAGAAACATAAGTATATTTCTACACCTCAACAGCTCTACGGATATGTGTATGAATGTAAGTATTTTCTTGTAGTATTTGCGTGGAGGGTCGGAGGTCGACTCTAAGCACAACCTGTATTCACAGCCACTTGCGGTCCGTGCTCGGGTATGTCTCAGGCCTGCAGACTGGAGCCGAGCGGAGGCGCGGTTCGATTCTGGCCGTCTGTTGGTAGTGATTCCCCCGCTGCCTATCGATGCTCCTCCCCCGAACTTGCTGCAACAGCAAGACCTCTTTCCGCTCGCCATACCCGTACAAGGTAGCCAAATGGTCCGGTTCTGGGCCTTTCCACAGAGCGCAAACAAGCTGCTGTGTTGCCTTGCAGAATTCCCTATCTCCTTACCCACTGCTGTTGAATTGTAGGAGATACCTGGCCCGCTGCGCGCTGCTAACACGGGAGTGCGTCCTCTTCGGCTACTTGCTTCTTTGCGTCCGTACTGTGTGTGTGCTCTCTTCTTCAGAGCTGCCCACCCCACTGCCACCTTTCCCAGGGTTCACAGTCACCAACACGCGAGCTGATTGGCTCTTCAACTTCGCTCGCTTTCCACAGCTGTACGATGTATCTGCGGACTTTGAAGCGGCGAAAAAGACCCTTAAGCTACCACATACATCACAGGCAGCAGCAAACCCAATCAAGCCCAAAGTCCGAGTCCCCAACAAAAAGAATTGGAAGGAAGCGTGAACGCACGAGACCGCTCCCACACATACATACTGCTGCATTGCTGCCGTCGACCCTCTCGGTGATGCAACTAGTAGGGGTGTGCGCCACAGGGGCCCCTACTGCTACTGTGACGCCGCTACTTGTACTGTGTCGAATTCGCTGCTCGACAACAGCCTGTCACATTTTTCAATTTTACGGTATTCAGAGCACGAGGGCCCTTACGTCCGATGGCCTCGATTTTAGAGCAAGCCGTCTCGGTGTCTAGCCAGATGCGGAGGATCGCTAAGATTCCCCTAGTCGCACGGTGTCCGTATACATTCACTCTACGTAGCGGTAGGAATAGGCAGATCAGAGGGCGACGTAGAATTTGTGCTATTTATTTGATCGGATAGCGGCACAAACTTACGTACGCGTGCACACACACACCCACGAGCCGGATGATACGGAGAGCGAGGCAGGCAGGAAGGCGAAAAGCAAGCCAAAGAGAGAGAGAATAAAAATGGAAAACAGATGTAACGAGCTACAGATGGCATCACTGCCTGCGCAGTCAGTCATCCACCTAATAGGGGGCAGGGGCCTTTTTTTTGCGATACAGCTTGCCCAGCAACCTGCTAGCCGCGAGCCAACGAGCTAAGCAGCTAGCTACCAGCTCACTGCGCAACAAAACTGCAATCGAAATTCGCAGAGGCAGCAGGCTCGTCAAGCCTCCCGCGAAGCTGCAAATGCAGCAGTTAGTGCTGCCGCTCACAGCCATAGTACTGGCCTTGCTGCTGCAGCCGCCATCTACCAAGCCGCGTTTGCGTCTTAGACAAGGTTTGCTTCACCCTATAGGAGTGGCAGCTGCAACCGCAGCGGTGGCACCCGCAGACGCAGGGGAGAAACACGTTCTACGGTGTCACTCCTGCAGCTCGTCTTCTAGGTAGATGTACTCAAAGGTAAAATCGTGCTTCACCCGCGAACACCAGCCTGCAGAACCAACAGCAGCAGCGCGTCGTGCAAGCGCTTCAAGAAGAAGAGCTAAATAGCAGCAATCCACGCACCAGCGACAAGCAGAACGGAACCAGCAACAGCAGCAGCATTGGCAACAGCGAAAAACAGCAGACCGTTGTCGTAGTCGAAGTAAATGTAGGTGCCCTGCTCGTATTTGTCTGTAGAGACACGGGGTTCCTCAAGCCTCTGAAACCACGTGAGAAACTTCTTGTGAAAGCGCCAGGACTGCGCCTTCAGTTCCTGAGCCGCGTGCAGCTGCTGCACTGTCCCCTGCAACAAAAAGACACTACCCAAGAGGCATCGCACTGCACGATTGAAATATATACACCCACCCCAAGAAATCGCGACTGCGACTCTTCGAGAGGAGCAAGGCACAAACTGAAAGAGAAAGCTGGAGGAAAAAGCACAGAGAAGCACAGAGAAGCACACACTGCTGGCAGTGCGAGACGCTCCCAAAGTCCGAGGTCTCCCACACGAAAAGTATTTACACATACATACATATACATATATACATACATATATATATATATATATACAAATATGTACATACATATATATACATACATATATATATGCACATCTATGTAAATAGAGAAGGCAGCAGGGAAAGCAAGTTGGGAAGAACCTCGGATGAGGCACCTCCATGGAAGAATCTGAAGGTAATGAGAGGCAAAGAGGGAGAAGCGTCGGAAAAGAGAACCGGGAGGAAGTTGAGCGGATTTATGAAATGGCAAAGCGGAACACAAATCGAGAGGTTTTGTTCTCCCTTCATTGGCCTTTCCTATTCGGCGAGCAACTGGCCACCAGACATTTAACCTTACCCTCTGGAAGTAGAAAGCAAAGAAAAGAGCATCTGTCTGCAGGCGCTTGAAAAAGTCTCGACTGTCTGCGGCAGCAAAGCGACCCTTCGGGAAGCAGTCCGGAGGGCCAAGCGGCGCACCAGAGCCGCTCGCTCCTTGGAGGCTTCCCCCTCCAGAACCCGTGGAGGGGGCCCCCTGGGGGCCCCCAGAGGGCCCCCAGGGGGCCCTTAGGTGGAGGCAAGGCGGGAGCGTATCTCCCCTGGGAACCCACGGTGGCCAGAAGAACGGCGACGAGGGGGAGGCAGATGAAGAAAAGTCGGCATCGCATGGCAGCGGACGGTCACTGCATGAAGCAGCGACGAGTGAAGCCACGAGAGAGACTGCATGCAAAACAGTGCACCATTCGGATCCAGAGGCGCAGGTTAAAAAAGGCGCTGAGAAGGGTCTTCGAAGGGAGGGAAGGCGGAAGCGTTGACTAGGTTGCATCGGCATGCAAAGTGGCCGCTAAACGAGGCACATATATATATATATATATATATGAATAGCCATATATAGATGTATGATAGACATGTAGACCTTTCCAGATGTAGATAAATAGATATGTCAGATACCTAGATATACATATCTATATAGATAGATGGTCAGCGGGAGGAAGAAAGAAAAAAGTGATGGAAAAGGATAGCGATTAAGACAAGGCGGCAAAAATAAGCGCGATAGACACCCCCTCGCCCCTCCGGCCTCAGCGGCGGATCGAAAGCTGCAAAACAGCCGTCTCCATGCAGCCGCACAACTCTCTCTCTCTCCCCATATATAAACATTTTCCTCTCTCCCTATATATATATATATATCTCCCTCTCTCTCCCTATATATATATATATCTCCCTCTCTCCCTATATATATATATATATATGTATCTCCCTCTCTCTCCCTATATATATATATGTATATATATATATATATATACATTTCCCTCTCTCTCTCGCTCTCTCTCTCTCTCTCGACAAATTTCCTTACGGTCTTCAGTTGCGGCCTCCGTAGGAAGCTGGTAAGATCCTGGAAATCCGTAGGTTGAGGGAGAGCCGCCTGCTCCTTCAAGTGCTGCTGCTGTGTTGCTTGCTTGGCTGCTGCCGCTGCTCGTGCTTTCAGCAAGCGGCCGTTGCTCTAGTTCCTGTTGCTGTTGCTGTTGTTGTTGTTGTTGCTTGCCTTGAGCCTTTGCAATACCCCCTCCCCCTGCATCAACTGCCGTAGCCGGCGAGGCAGTAACAGCAGCTGCTGACGCTGCCTTCGCCTTCCAAGGCGCAACGCTTGCTGCTGCCAACCCACCGCCACTCCGCTGCTGCTGCTGCTGCTGTTGCTGCTGCTGCCGATCTACCGCGGGAGGCGTCCCTACATTTCTCTGTTGCTCTGCAGTCACATGCAGCCTGCCAGTCTTCCATACGTTGCCCACTTCGGAAGCTCTGCGACTGTTGCTGCTGCTACCGCTGCTTTGAGTTGCTGCTGCAGGAGATGCGGCCGATTGCTCGCCGCGCCAAGAAGCAGTAGCAGCAGCAGCGCCCAGGGTGGGATTTTGTTGCTGCAGAACTGACGACCAACATGCAGGGGAGGCTGCTGCGCTTCCTTCCATCCCCTTCACCTGCTGCTGCTGCTGCTGCTGCTGCTGCTGCTGCTGCCTGCTCTTCGTGGCAGTGCTGCTGGCAGCGTTGCTTGGACTGCTGCTCCGCCTGCTGCAGTTGTTTTTTGAAGCGATGTCAGGCTCCTCAGAGGCACTCACTGCCCGCCGACTGCTGCTGCCGTCACAACTGGCACTTCCGCAACTGCTGCTACTGCTCTCTGCTGCCGTTGCTTTACTGCCATTCATACTGCGTGCCCCTCCGGATGCAGGACTGGCCCCCTCCACAGCGCCACTCGCAAGGGTATCCACCGCTGCGTCGCCACACGAGACGCACAATGAGCGCTCCAAATAAAAGCGATCGCAACCTCAGGGGGATGCAACAGACAGCGCACGCCCTTCAAAAATGACCGCTGCACCCGCAGGGTGTACATCCACTGTACCCCCGTCCTCCAGCAAAAAAAACCATGCAGCCCCTCTCCGCTTCCACTACCACCATTCCCCTTATCCTCATTCCCCTTCCCATTGCCAAGCCCCCACACACACACACATACACGTACACAAAGAGCAAAACCACCAACACCCATCACCTCCCACCTCCAGAATCCCCCCTCTCCTCCTTGCTCCTCTCTCTATCGTCTACCCCCCCTCCCCGCCTTCCCGCCGGCCTCTTCGTTATCAGCCCAGAAGCAGCAACAACAGCAAACACCGCAGAGCAAAGACAGCAAAATTCAGACGGCAAGGAGCGCTCTACAAGCCAGCAAGCACTCAAAGCTTTCTGATGGAGGAATGAGGGTAGGAGGACGATGTTTATCTCACAGTGCGCAGTATCGGAATTGCTGTCTTTGATATCGGCTTCAGTATCTGGCGCTTCGCTGGTGATGCATTCATACACACTTGCATCAAAGACATAGTCTGGATCTGCGCTGTTCAGAAGGTATTCCTTCAAAGCGCTGCTGATGGCTTCTATAGACTCCGGTTGGAGCTCCTCCTTATCCCATAGCCTGAGCACCAACTCTACTTTGTCGATGTGGTGCTTGTGCTGCTCAATCTGTAGCTCAAGCCGCTTCTTTTCACGTTCCCGATCTCTGTCGCGCTTGCCCTTCCGCGGATTGAGCGCTTCCAGCTCTATCTCATGCGCCTCCATCTCCCGCTGCAACTGCTGCAACGCATCCACCAACACCTCCCGCTGCTTCTCTTCTGGCCCTGGATTCTTTTGCCTCGCCGCAAGCCCCTCCTTGCTGAAGGCTTTGATCTTGCTCTCGCGCTCGCATTGCTTAAAGGCTTCCATGCCTCGCTCAATGCGCTTCCTCGCCTCGTCGAGAGGCGCTTTCTCCTTGATGTCTGCATGCGCCTGCCAGGCCTTGATGAGGTCTCTGAAGCGCTGCAGCTTCTTGATCTCGCGCTTCAGCTCGCCCTCGATCTTGGGGCTTTGCTGAACTCGAAATTTTCCGTGGAGCTCAAAAAAAGCATCGCAACCCTCCTCCACGCGCTTCAAAGTACGATCGACTTCCTGCTGCAAACGGCGTTTTTCTGCCATTTTTAAGCTGCTCGGTGGTCCTCCCTCCACGCTTCCAGTCCGTCGGGGTTGCGCCGGCGCTCCTCAAAATTCTCCTGCGCTCTCAGAAAAGATGCTGCGCGCTTCACGGCCCTGTATGCGTGGCTGTTGACGCTGCGGATGGTGGCGGTGTACAGGAGAAGAAGGAGGCTTTCGTTCCTGTGATGAGGGACGCTCTGGTGGACGGTGGGAGAACGTGTGTGTGTCTGTGTGTGTTTGTGGCTGCACACAAGGGTGCTCTGCACGACCGCCTCCCCGTCCCAGAGAGTTGCTTCCTCTGGTGCTGCTGCTAATGATGCAGATGCAGAAGATGATGATGATGATGATGCAGATAATGATGTTGCAGATGATAATGATGCTGGTGGTGTTGATGATGATGATGATGCTGGTGGTGTTGATGATGATGATGCAGATGATGATGTTGCAGATGATGATGATGCTGGTGGTGTTGATGATGATGATGCAGATGATGATGATGCTGGTGGTGTTGATGATGATGATACAGATGATGATGATGCAGATGATGCAGATGCAAATGATGATGATGCGAAGTTTCTGCAGAGCGACACCCCCAGTGGCGCGCGGTGGCGGTGTGGTGAGCGAGGCTGCTCGCCGATGGAAAGAAGAGATCGCGCGCAGGTGTGGATAAGGTGCCTGGATGCTCGAATTCCTCGCGCTGGTGCAGCTCCTTGTGATGTGTACTTGGGGCAGTGGCTTCGTAGCGTCCGCAGTCTCAATGTGGCGAGCACCCTGGTCAAAGAGGCGTAGCCGCGCCTGCGCGCAAGGGCTGCAGTGTTACAGACAGAAGAGCGCGCTTTCGCGTGTCACAGCTCTGCGGAAGTTGCTGAGGAATCCCTGCTGCCCCCCTAGCAAAAAAAATGGCGCTGTGGTTGCAGCAGCTGCGGGTGCAACCGCGCGCGCACATACAACGATCTTCAGCCCCCTGTCTACGCGGCTCATATACTTCCGAGGCGCTTTAAGGCGCAGTGTCCGCGCGCCGATTGGCTAAAGATTGCGTGCCGGCGAAGGAATAGGGCAAAAATGGGCCATGGGAAGCAAGAGGTTTTCCAGGCGCTGCCTGTTGGACATGGCAGCGCCGCCTTCCTTTGGGGCTTGGTCCTGCTATGCTGCTCGCATGATGGCGAAGGAACGGCGTCAAATGCGCTTTGTGCACCACTTTCTTCTGTTATTGAACTGCGCAAAGGGCGTATTTAGGCGCATGTCGCTTCGGCGGCCTCTTCCACGAAGGGGCTCCATACAGCGCTTCCGCCTTCGGGCTGCGTCCTCCCGTACCACCTCGAGAGGGGTAGCGGGAAAGCAGAACGCTGTGAGGCGGAATTACGCTTCTTCATTGCTCTCTGCGGATGACACCTTGGGGAGCACGGGCAACCCTGGAAGCTCCAGACGCTGCTTTTCGCGCACCTCCTGTGCCCCCCAAGTGAGAGCGGGGGCAGCGGAAGTCAACGCCCTTGGCAACGCCAGGGAAAATAGCGTGGAGGTGCAGCGCTTGGGTGGTCATGAACAAAAAGCGTTGCGAAAATGCGTATGCGTCATGAGGCTACCACCCCTATGCGCTGCACTCTCCCGCCAATGCGCGTGTGTTGTGTGGCGGTGTATCCCTCTGTGCTGCAGCTCGCCTGCGCGCAGGCTGCGGTTCCCCGCGCTGTTCTGTGCACCTTTCTGGGTATCCCCTGCACAAATCGCGGGCTTGTCCTATGCAGCGGGAGAACCCCAGTAGGCAACGGGGACCAGCTTAATAATCACCCCACCCAAGCTAGGCTTGAGAAGAGTGTATGAAATGCAGCCGTTTAGAGGAGGCTGCTTCTTGGCCTCAGAGAGAAGGCTAGAGAAGGCTAGGGGCAGAGGCGAATCACCACGCCCCCATAGAAACAGGCTGCTCAGCATAGCCACCAATTTGCATAAAGGAAAGCAATTGTATGGCCACCTTCTGTAGAGGCCGCCAGCGGAGTGTCTGTCACTTCGCTGTCGAACGGGCTGGGTGCCGCGCATGGCGACCCGATCGAGGGGGAGGGGGGGGCGGGGGAGATTAACTGTGTTATTTCTCAAGGCCTCTGCTGGCAGATCCCTCTAGGTAAGCTGCAAGCGCAGCCAGGCCCTCAGACAATGAGGCCAACAGTACGGGGTCGCTGCCGTTGGTGCTTTGGGGGGGACGACTGGTAGTTCAGCTTAGCGCGTGCTTCTGCAGATAACGACGGCGCGTAGGGAAGGGAGGGAAGGCAGGTAGTGGAGGAATTAGCAGAGAAGGGGGCAGGCAGGAAGGAACAGAGCAGCATGGAGAGGCGAACCTAGTACGAGGATCCCGAATTTCTCCTCAGAAGGTACAGGAAGCCTCTCAGTGCAAAAGAACGGCAAGTTGCTCTAGGCGGCAAAGTGGATGCACCCTACCCTACATTTTTTACATTGGCAAGAGGGGCATAAAACCACGACACCAAAAAGCCGTGTTTTTTGAGGTGCTCTACCTCCTCTGCGGCTGGCTCTGCGACAGCGTCTGCTTGCCCGGTTCGGCGGCAAGACAAGCGTCCCTCTGCCACATGTGTGGAAGTTTTATGTGAGTGCTGCACGCGCTCACTCCGTTGCCTGTGCAAGGTGCTGCTGTTTCTGCTGCAACGCAGCAGCAGCAGCGCCTGCAGCCGCGGCAGTAGGACTGTGGGACTGCTGCAAGGGGGGGGGGACGGAATGTGGGGGTATCGAATCGAGGGCAAGTGGGTCGTTTTGTCTGTAGAAGGCCACACCCTCCTCCCCCTGTTGCTTGCGCCTCTGCCTCTCCTTTATTAAAACTGGCACTAACAGTCCCACATCCCCAAACAACGCGTCGCAGCAATCGAGGAGGCGCGTTGCTGCTGCCGACGCAGCCGCAGGGTGCTGCTGCAGCTGCTGCGGCAAGCGACACCCCAGCGTGGTGGGCGGAAGCAGGGACGGACGGGGAGTCCTCAGGCAGGGGCCTGCGTTCCCTGTTGCTCCTGATGTTGGCTTTGTAGGCGCATGCGCACTGCGGCTGCCATCGACACCCTTCCCTAGAGGCGAGTAAGTCCGCTTTCTTCGCATGCTCTTCGTGCGAGAGAGGTCCCCGATGGACGGGGTTGCGGAGGGTGACGGCGATGCAGCCGCAGCAGCAAGAACAGAGTCTGCGTCGGTTGCTGTCGCTGCTGCTGTCAAAGCCTCTGAAACGGCCTGGATTGCTGGCCGTCTGCTCGTGTTGCGGCGGCTGCAGCTACGAGGCTTCCAGCGGGGAGAGAAAGAACTCTGGCAGGCATCGTCGGTCTGCGCCTTCGTGCACTGCTGACTCTGCTGCCGTAGATACGCATGAGAAGTCACCAATTCCTCAAGGGGGGGCCGTTTTGCCGGATCTCGCTGCAGACAGAGACGCAGAAAATCCTGCACGCAGGAGCCGCACCGCAAGGGAGGCAGTCGGGGATTTTCGCATGCATTTTCTGTGTCTCTGTCTGCAGTTGCCTGCCCAGTCCGCAGGCCGATCCTTCGCCGCGGCAGCGAGGCATTAACAAACAAACGCAGGCACGCCCACGCCGCCACAGCGCCACTAGGAGGAGGAGGAGCAGCAGCAGCAGAAGCAGCAGCAACGCGAAACGCATGGCAGAGCAGCAAACTGAGCGGCGCAGGTAGAGACCAGGGCACGAGGAGCCTCACCTGCGTCTTAGGGTCGTCTACCTGCTGAATGGCTGCATCCAGCTGCTGCTGCGTTTCCTTAAGCCACCGCTTGCTCCTCCTGCGAGATCTGTCAGTCATGGCTGTAATTTGAAGCAGCACAAGCCCTAGCATCCAGGTGTGAGCCTTACTCATGGCCTCTGCATTACCCACGCAGCAAGCGCCATCGGAGAACTCCGGTGGCAAGTTGCAACATAAATCCTCTGCCCACAGTTCGTCGGCTGCAGTCGGCAGTCGCAAAGAAGAGAGAAACTCGTACGGCAAGGCCTGGGCTGCTCGTGCTGCATGCGACGCTACGGATGTATCCTCTCTCCCTGCAGCAGCGTTTTCAGGTGGCTGCAGCAGCATGGAGAGGGGCAACCCCACAGCAAAGAGGACCCTGTCCCTTTCGATGAAGATTCTGGAGAGCTTGATGGGCAGAAGGAAGCGAATAGGCCCCAATGAAACGATGTGGCTAGCCAGCTGGCTAGCGACGCGCTGCGCCCTCAGTAAACCCTCCGCGTTGCTGTACGATACGCCTGAGCGGAGGACCTCTTCCAGCGAAACAGCTGCAGCAGCGGCGAAAGGCAGCAGAAGGCATATCTATGAAGGCGAGTTAAAGGAATAGTAACGCTGCAGGTACAGGGGCCGACGTCGCCGATGCTGCCACTGCTTTACGAGTATACTAACATTCAAGAAAGGGTGTGACCTCTAGGAGGTGGAAGCCCTTGATTTCCGCATGCGTTGCGAAGATGATCGAGCGTTGCGACGGAGCAGCAAGCTGCCGCAAATGGAGCAGAGCAGCCGCCACCCTCTCCCGCAGCAGCAGCAGCCCTTGCTGCTCTTCTTGCTGCTGCTCGGCTGCATGAAGCCGCTGCTGACCAGAGCCGCCAAGCACCGCCAGTGCGGCTGCAGACAGCGCGTGATATTTCATCAGTGCCAAATCGACGGACTCCTTGTGCAGCAGCTGCCAGAGAATACCGCGTCCAGATATACCCATGCAGCGCCACAGCATAAAGCCCCTAGGAACATCTGCACGCAACGGCAGCCGCATGCAGGAGGGGGAGCCCGAGAGGAGGAGATCGACAGCAGAGAGCGGCGAAAAAGCAACAAAAAATATGCAGGGCATCAAGCGCACAGCCAACAAGAGAAAAAGAAACATGACCATGTCTGGCTACCGCTCCCAATCCCTTGATCGTGGAATCCCCCTGCGTACAGTCTTCGGCGGGAGGAATGAGACTGAACTCCGCTGCAGCCTGCCTCCTGTCTCTTGCGTCTTCTTCGCGCGACAGTGCTACGCTTCGCTGCAGCAGATCTTGCAAGGCCTAAGCCACAAACCGCGAACGCGCCAAACGCCTCCCAGGGCTTCCAAATGTCTCATCGTTCGCATGCAAAGGTGTCAATCCAACAGCAACAGACGCAGCACACTCTAAACCTCTCGACACACACTTGTGCATAGAACTGCTCTTCCCCGCCAAGGTCGTCGACTCCGCTTCCCCCGATGGCGAAATTCTCCCCCTGCTGCTGTTGCTGCTGTTGTTGCTGCTGCTGCTGTTGCTGTTGTTGTTGCCGCCACCGGCACAGTACTTCCCGAGCTCTCGGAAGAACTTCTTCGCAGTCAGCAGCAAATTCAGCCCCAACAAGGCCCTGCATGCGCAGCACCTTGTTGTTGCCGCTGCTACGCGTGCAACACACTTCATGAAGCGCGGGAGGTTTCCTCGCTTCTGCTTCTTCCCCAGGCGGCACCGCAGCAGCAGCTCCCTGCCAGTGCAACATATTGAGACGCCTTCCATGCAGGACGGCCTCTTGCGCATGAAGAAAGGCAGCACCACCTCGCAGCATTCGAAGGTACTTGGGGGCAACAGAAAAGAAGTTGAGCCGCATCTGCATATGCGCACAATAGGAAGTCACGCCATCACTCCGCTTCTCGCATGCAGAGAGAGGAGAGAGAGAGAAATACAGACACCCCAGCAGCAAAAATAGCCACCAGCAAATCCAGCACCTGCCCGCCAGCGTTTGTTGCAGAGAGGCAGCAACAAGGGATCTGCATGCAAAGGTGTCAGCTGTAGCACCAGCAGGGTAAGCAGCAGCTAGCCATAATCTGAGAGGGCACAACCGACTGACCGTTCGCTCCAATTTCTTGTGGATGGCATGCTGTCTTTGTATCCTCTTTTGCTGCCGCAGTCTCCCCCTAAGTCTTCTTTCAAAAGCCTCGCACTCCGCAAGGAGCCAGCCTATGGCGTCTGTCGCCTCTTGGCAGTAACCGACAACCCCACCCAGTAACGCAGCAGCACCTGATGTTGCTGCTGTTTCCAGGGAGGCTGCTGATGTTTTCGCCGCCTCAGACGCTGATGCGGCAGACACCACGGGCACCACGCGTCCTTTTGCCCGTGCTGATCCTCTCGCTTCCGATGGCTCCCCCGTTTCTGCTGTAGCTCCTCCTGCTGAAGCAGCAACAGCAGCCGCAGGCATTTCACCACCATCATCACCATCATCGCAAGCATCAAGAGGTTCCTGGACACCTCCCGCTACCTGCAGCAACCTGAAACGCCAGCAAACAACACAGAGGCAACACCCCGCCAAGATGAAGCAATCACACAAAAAAAACATACACAGACAAACACACATGCACACAAACATATACATACATCCATACATACACACAAACATGTACATACATCTATACATACACACATACATACACACATACATACACACATACACACACATACATACATACACATATATACATACACACATATATGCACACACACATACATACATACATCCACATACATATATACATCTAAATACGCCATGAGCTCCCTGTTGTCAACTGGATGCCCCGAACAAATAAAGATCAAGGCACAGAGGGTTGAGGATGCGCTCAGACTTCTCAGCCTCTCTCAGAAGAAACATCCGCTTGCAAGCACGCGCGCGCTAGGAGCCAATAGAGCAGCCGCTGGCATCACTATACGTCAGAGCACACGATTCAGCAGACCCTGTCTCTCGCTCCCTCCCTTCCTTCAACGCTCTGCCAACGTGTCGAACGTCTGTAGGCAGGCTGAAGAGTCTGGAAGCGGCAAAGGAAACACAGAAATGGAGGCGTCAGAAGAGCAGGCGGTAAGCAGGACAGAAGGGGGATAAACAGAGAAGCTCGATTCCACGTACTCTATGTATTCGCCAACAGGCATGCCCACCGGCCGCTGACACCAACTGCGAAGCACAAGAAAACATCCACCTCCACAAATGCCCTGTTGGGGAGAAAGCAACCCCTGCACAGACAGATAAATGTGCAGCCGAAGCGCCTTCTACTGCTATGGGCGCCCTCCTAGCCAGGGAGGCCTACAAGACAAGCTCTCAGACGGAGCGAAAAACAGCCGTTTACTGTTCACCCTTTCCAGAGACAAGACACCCAAACCCCACCCGCTGCTGTAGGTGCAAGGGAGGCTGGCAAGTTGTAAAACGCAACGGCCTTTGTGCATTTTCTCACACAACAAATTCCTCCAAGGGCATGTCTGCAGGCTTCACTTCCAGCATATACTCCCAGAAGGGCACATGGCCATCCGCAGCTGCTGCAGCTGCTGCGGCGGAGGCAGCTGCGCTGTTTCTGCCGGCAGCAGCAGAAGCCGCCTGCAGCTTCTCCGGCTCGCATCTGAGCGCATAGTGTTGCAAATCAGTATTACTGCACCACCGCAGGACTTGTTCTTCGAGGGTGCACAAAAAGCTAAGCAGTTGACGCTTTTGCTGCTCCTGCGACTCCTGATCTTCTGCAGCTGTGGCTTCGGCTGGAGCTGTCGAGGCTGCCGCGGCAGCTGCCTCTACTCGCTTCTGCTGCGCCTGCTGCTCTAGGCTGGCTTGCCTCAAAGCTGCAGCGGGAGTCATGGCGCATGCAGAACCCGCAGCAGCCGCTCCAGCAAACCGCAGGCATACGCGAGCACGGCCCCTCTGCAACTCCTCCCGCTGCGGCGTAGCAGCAACACAAATATGCCGCAGGATAAAGAAAAATGCATTTTCTAGAAGTGATTTCATAGCACCCCTAGGCGTTCGAGGCATTCGAGATCAACATTCACACAAACACAAACACATACAAAGACAAAGACAAACACACATGTGCATACGCCAAAGACTTTTTTCCCAAGCAGCGCTCATTTTATCAAATCCAGAAGGCCAAACAGATTCCTTACAGGTCTAAAGGCACCCGTAGGAATAGTTATGCGCCTCGCGGGCAAATGTGCTGCTGCTGGTACAGCCGCTGAGGTCACAAATTTCAGAGGCGGAAGTGCTTCAGGAACGACTTCGACCACCTCCGTTTCTGCTGCTGTTGTTGCAGTCCCTGCTGCTGTTGTTGCAAGTGTTGTTAGGGGTATCGGTTGTGATGTGGGGTCAGACTGGACGGCAGCAGCAGCAGCAGCGGCAGCAGAAGGAAGCGTCCTAGGGAGTTGCCGAGATATGTTCAAAGAATACAAGGCACCCCTAGGGAGAGACAGGGGTATTCCCCCAGCTGCTGCCGTCGCTGTTGCAGCATTTCCCTGCACAGCCGCAACAGTCGCATCAGTAAATACCGCAACTGCCAAGGGGCCCTCCTTCAAGCCAGCGCATGAAGAGGGGGAGCAAAGCACCAGCACCAGCAGAGCTGACAACCCCACCGAAGGGATGCAACCGGATAGCAGACAGTCATTTGGCGTGCTCAAAAAGCATTTTAAGAGGGAACTTTGTGTCGGCATAACATGCATGCCGTCCTCCAGGAGTACGACATGAGCGTCCCTTGGATTGGTCCGTCAGTGCATATATGTATGTATACATGCATACATACATATAGGGTTATATACAAATGGATTATCGAGAGTACCTTTATCCATACCCGCTTGTACATATGTGTACAGATATATTTGTGTGCATATGACGAAGTACCCATCTATCTCTGGATACAGGCACAACGCGTACACGGCGAGACGGCGGGCCAGACAAGAAGAAAGGGAAGCAAAGAAGCAAGACAAGAAACGGGGGGTCTGTGAGGCTAAGTCTTGAAAAGCAGACAAACCTGCGAGGCTGAGAGACTTCCGGAGGGTTCCACCCATGCCTGCAGCCAACGGCCTCGTTGCATTCCAGGGAGACGCAGCTGTTGCTGTTGCGCGATGGCGAGAAGCTCCTTCTCTTCAGCCTCGGATAGCTTCAAGGCCTGTGTTGCGACAGGCAGAGCATCAGAAGGTTTGGCGGAAAGCGCTAACCAACGGCAGTGGTCATGCCATTCGGGTGAAAGCAAGAAAGGCGCGCAGCCAGGGAGAGGAGAGTCTGAGGCACGAAAGTGCCAAGGCCTTATCTCACCTCATTGATTTTATCAAAGGTTCTGAGCCTTGCAAATCCAACCTGGCGATTTGTGCGCAGAGTGTGATAGACTCCGGATGCCCTCTGCAGCTGCAGGGGCGACTGAGCTTCCAGCGTGGCAGCAGCAGCAGCAGCAGCACCAGCCGACGAAGAGAAAGGCGGACCTTCAGAGGTGAGAGCTCCCGCCTCTGAATTCAGCGGTCCAGCTTCTGAGGGCAGGAGTGCCGCATTTGTCTCGACAACATTCCCCTCCCCCGAGGGGAGTAGAGACAGAGGGAATAGAGAGGCTAAAATGCCGCTGCCGCTGCTGGCGGAAGCAGCAGCTGCGGAAGAAGGCGTAGTCGTTGCCTCCCCCGCCCGCTCTTCAACTCCCGCAAGAGTTCTTACAGGCCCTCCCGAGGGGCAAAGAATGGCTTCAACGCGTCTTGGCGTGATACGACGCAGCCGAAGGGGCGAAAGGGCAGCGTCTCGAAGCCGCTGTGGACGGCTGTTGTGCTCCCCTGCAGAGGCGGCCGCCGTCGCTGCCTCGGCTGTGGGAGAAGAAGAACATCCTGCTGTACCTACAGCGCGTGGAGGGAGGCTGCGATCCTCCACGCTCTGAGGCTCCGGAAGGGGGAAGGCACCATCCCCCGTAAAACACCGCGTGCTGCTGCCGCTAGTGCTGCGCTGCTGAGGCGCGCTGCTCGCTGGTCGCTTCATGGTACCACCTCTCGGCAGCAGCAACAACGGCAGCGGGGCAGCAGATGCTGCCGTTGCGCCTGCCCTGATGACGCAACGGGGGGACTGGGATAAGGCTGTACGTGTATAAAGCGGTTGACACTCGAGAGGGGGCAGCCGAAGACCACGAATCTGCAAAACTCAATCGGCAGCGTTTCAAAGCCGCAGGGGCTGCGGCATCCTGGCCTTTCAGCGGAGAAACGCTGACTCCTGCGGCTCACAAAGATTCTTAAATGCAGAGGAGTAGTCCTCGGTAAAGAGCATCAGGATCCGGCGACGCAGCAGCGTCCTCCCGACTCTGAATTCTGAACCCCTCACTGCCCGGAAGACACGAATCCGCGCACATATATATATGTATATACATACACAGGTACGAGCGGCCACAACGACGGGCAGAAACGCAGGAGATACTCTGGAAGCCTCAGAATTTACTCTACCGAAATTTTGGAAGCGACGAAATATGGCCGAGGAAGGGGGCAGCAACACGGGGGGGCCCTGTGGGAGGGGCTGTGCGCGGTGGGGGCAGGCTGCTGTCTGTTGTTCTAATGCCGCTGCTGTGAGGAATTTGCGGCGCTCAGGTCCATCTGTGTGTGTTTTTCGGCGACTGAATGAATTCTGATTCCCTGGGATATCCTGTTGCTGCCTCCTGGGTGGCTTCGTGACCTCTCTCTTGCCAGCTCACCGTTGTCTGCAAGCAGCGCAACGTGGCGTGCAACAGCCCCCTCTCAGGAAGCGCGCTTTCCAGCATACGGCGAACTACAGCCGGCCTTAGCTTTAGGACTGCGAACCGACAGAAGCGTACCATGGGGTCCATAGAGCAGCTACAGCGCCAGCTCGGTGGCTTTGACTTCAGCAACCACAGCCGCAATGTCTCGTTGCTACTGCGCGCGGCAGGGGCAGCCACAGGGGCAGCCGCAGCAACACCAACAACTGGCAGCGGCATGCCACCGCTGCGCAAGACTGGTACAACAATTTGCGGCGTTGTTTTCCAGGGGGGAGTTGTCTTAGGCGCAGACACCAGAGCCACAGAAGGGCCGCTAGTCGCCGATAAGAACTGCAACAAGTTGCACCGCATCAGCAGCAACATCTACGCAGCAGGAGCCGGGACTGCTGCAGACCTCGACCACATGTGCGACTGGTTAGCCACTCAAGTTGAACTGCATAGGCAGAGCACTTACGCGAAGGTAAGGAAGAATTGCTAGAGCGTGTGTGCTGCCTCGCGAATGCCAACTCATAAGCCCGAACTGCAGCGCGAGCTGCTACACACAGACTTACCGATACTCAAGCCTCTGCTTCATCCTGCCGTTCTGCACCCTTTGTCGTTTAGCCCTTGGGTCGTCCGCCATCTTTCTAGCAAACGCCTCTACATAGGATTAGAAGGGCAGGCTGACACGATTTCTGACCAACCAACCTCCCCAAAGGGTGCTGTTGTCGCCGCAACACCTATTCATTGAATGCTCCGTCGTGTTGCGTGTTTTTTCGCTCTGTTTCTTCTGCTGCAGAAACCCCGTGTGGGCATGGCCGTTTGTGCACTCAGTCAGGAGCTCTTCAAGTATCAAGTATGCGAATGTTTTCCCTTGCCACACTACAGTGCCACCAAGGTTTCTCCGTATTCCTTTCCTCGCAGGCTTACCAGGCCTTGGTTTCTACTGCAGCAACTAGAGCAGGTTGTGTGTTTTGTCTCCTGCTCATACATGGCGTGGTTTGCTGCTGCCATTCTGCACGGCTCTTGCCGCTCCATCCTCCTGTGCTTCAGGGATATCGGGGATGCGCCGTTGTACTAGGCGGAGTCGACCTTAGGGGCCCCTCTCTTTACAAGATTCATCCACATGGCTCCACCGATTCGGCCAGCTATGCAGCGATGGGCAGCGGCAGCCTCAATGCCATGGCCGTCCTGGAGGCTGGTAAGCAAGGACCTCACTTGTATGGGTTCGATGCTCTTTTTGGAGGCTTGGAAAACAGACATTTGACAAGTGGCGGTTCTTTTTCTCGTGAAAAAACTCGCTGTCTGTTGCATACAAAACAGGGGAAAGGGCGGGACTCTTGGGTAGTAGCCGTTTTGGGAGGGGAAAGGGGGGGAAGTCTTCTATGTTGAATATCTCCGTGTTCGCGGCGTTGTCTGTGTCTATCGGGAGGCTTTTCCCGGAGTTCATGTGCATATTTTGCCGGCTCATTGGGGCCCTTGATATAGATCCCCTCGATTGTCAAATCTCTCATTTTGTGCCTTGTGGGGGATGCGGGCATGGCCCTTGCTTTCACGTTCACACCCCCACATGTCTGCCACTTTTTCCGAATGTATAACTCGCCGAAGTGCGCTCTCTGCATGGTGGCGCCCCCCCCGCCTTTGTCTTTCTGCTCCTCGAATGAGCACACCAGGCAGGCATACACAAAATTTCGGCAATGTGCTTCTTGAATGTCTGTGTGTGTATGTGTAAGGCGTGAGGCCCTTTGCTGGTCGATGCCATTGGGGCTGTCGCGCTGCAGGCTGCTGCCTCTCTTCAGCCGTGAAACTGCTGCGTTTGCTGCACGTGTGTGCCTCTCTGGGGGTTTGCAGGATACAAAGATGGGATGAGCGAGGCAGAAGCCACTGCTCTGGTATGTGCGGCGATTACTGCCGGTGTTTTGAACGACCTGGGCAGTGGAGGCAATGTGGACTTGTGCATTATTAAGGAACACGAAACGAGACACATGCGCCAGTTCTCTTCTCCTGCCAGAGTCGCAGAAAAGTCTGTGTATCCTCCCTATGAAATCGGCACCACTCCATTCTTCAAGGAGCATATTGAGCAGGTCAAGGAGCACGTCGCGGTAGAACAGGAAGTAGAAATGGTGGAGGCCCTCTGAGGGGCACCTACATGGGTGTTGACTCTGCATGGGTGGTCAAATGCGTGGTGTGCCTGTGGGATTTCCCCCTTTGCTTCTGAATTCCTGGCAGTTGCGTCGCTACACAGTGGGCCAGCATGTGGCAAAACACCAAAACGTATGAGGGAGCATAATAACGGACGCAGGGCCTTCCCCCCTAGCAAGGGGGGCCCTGTGCGTAAGCACCGCACTTTAACGCTTCCCCAGCCAGAGCCGTGTGTCTTTGCAGACATCATGCGCTAAATAAGGTTTTACCCATGAGAGAACCCAAGTATAAATATATCCACATCTATTTGTTCAGCAATTTTGCATAATAGATTAGCAGGGCTGAACAGCAGTGCCGTGGCATAATACCGCGACGCATCCGTAGCACCAGATTTGACTACCGCGTCGTCATGCCTCCTTCGCCTGTATAGCCCATACAGCAACTACACGTCTAAACCTGTGAACGGACTGCAGAGCCTGCTTGTGCCTTCCCTCTTGGAAGTTCTCTAGTTCGAGGTGTTGCAGAGGTTGCTTTGCCTTTTTTATGCGAGCTCGCCCCCCCCCCACTTCGCGTTCCCACTGCGTCTTCATCCCTGATACATCCACCTTAAGTTAAAACGGTGTAGATTTCAATGGCTGGATGGGGGAAGGGATGAAGTGGTGGAGGCACCACCTGTGCCCTCCGGGGGCACTGCTGGTGGCGCCCCTCCTTCAAGTCTTCCCATATGCCACGAGTGTACTTTCAACTATTCCGCTCCTCGTCGTGTGGTCGCTGTGTGCATGTTGCGTGCGAGACGCTCCGGACTATCCTCCCTTGTTGCAGGCTGCGGTGTACATACAGCCCGTTCGACCCACATCCCAACACAGAGCGCCGTGCATCCCTTGCAATGCATCCTGGCGCCCACACAGGCCACATGCGATGGCAAGCTCCAGAAACTAACTGAGCTTAGAAAAATATGCGGATCTGGAAGCTCGGGAGTGGTTGAGCTAACAGCCAGAAGATGGCGGCGCCGCCACGTTCTTCCCTTGCGGGGAGTCGCGTACATGAATGACGCGCGCAGCTATAAATATCTGCATTACAAGCTTACGCTATTGACTCGCTGATCCATTCGTTATTCTGATCGACACCAATGGTGGGGCACGTAGAGTAAATTCCTCAGCCCCGTGGCACTAACAAAAATGCATGCATACACCGAGGCGCCACGTTTTCTTCCCGTTTATTTCTCTTCCTTGGGAGCCAGTATGCTGGCGTGCAATCTACACTCGGGGCTCTTCGCCCCCATGAGCTCCGTCACCTGATCTACGAGGGAAGACGACCCAACAAAGAGGGGCACCCGCTGATGCAAGTCCTGAGGTATTATATCCAGAATCCTATCGAAGCCATCTGTAGCGCGGCCCCCTGCCTGCTCGGCTAACATCGCCATAGGATTGCACTCGTACAAAAGCCGCAGCTTTCCCTTCGGGTCTGCCACAACAACATCCACGAATCATCGGAGCACCCTTGAGGCGCCAGCCCTTTCCCTCCAACCACCCTAACCTGACAACTTCTCTGCGCGGCAGCCCCCTCTACGCACACCAGCACGCTGAGATTAGATCTAGCAGACCCGCTAGACGATAGTTTAATGATCACCTTTCTTGGTCGGTGGATACATGTAGATGCCTCCCTGCAAAAGATTTCTATGAAAGTCCGACACCAGACTGCCGATGTACCGAAGAGAGAATGGGCCCTTCTGCAGGCAGCGCACGCATGCATGCATGGCCACACATGAAAACTAGCGCCCCCTCAAAACCCTCACCAACCGCATAGCACACGCATCATCGCATTCCCTTTAAACCTGTGCCACGTTGCGGGCAGCCTACGCATCCGCATGCAGACGAGGGAGATGGAAAACTCATAGCTTTTGCCCAAGCAAGCCCATTTGGGAGCTACCAAAAAGCAACAACGCCACAGCCCCATCCCCAAGGTCACCTCTCCTCCATGTGCAATCTCAATAAAGCTCTTCACACCCTCAGGAAAGGCCTTGTAATTGCCTTCGTTCACGCTGTAGATCTTGGCCTTCTCCTGCACACCACGCCAATGCCGTCACCCCTCGACCCCACGCAAACTGCAAGGTCAAGGCTGAAACTTTTCCAAGTGCAACTTTCATGTTGAGCAGTTTGATTGATTTCGGCCTTGAAGTTTATGCGTGGAAAAGCCTACTGGGAAGTGCATGTTGGGATGAGAAAGGAAAAATGTTCCGAGCGAGGGGTCGAGGGTAAATCCATGAACGCCTGATCCCGCAGTCATGACCTGCCATCGCAATAAAGAGCGAACATGACAGAGAGAGACGCGCTCGTTGATGCGCAGAACGAGAGAGGAATTGAGCGAATGCAATGTCTTCGCTTGCTTGTGCTAAATCATCTCGGCTACTTTTGGAGGCGATGCCTACGAGATGCCTACGTACAAGCGATACAAATGTGGCTTCAGGGGGGGAAAGAAGACACCGGGAGGAAGGGGGCCGAGGGGTGTGTATGTACGTTGTGCGTGTGTATGTGTGTGTATGTGTATGTGAGCGTATGTGTATGTGTATATATATATATATATATGTGTGTGTGTATGTGTGTATGCCTGTTGTAAAATGTTGGCGCCTTACCAGCATCGTGCTAGAGCCATACAACACGTATCCAGCAGCGAGTTGTTCCCTTCCAGGTTGCAAGAAGTCTCTCTTTTCCACTGGTTGACCTACTGGAGAAAGCCGCTGGAAAATCGAAAAAATAGTGCCCACCGAGACGTTCACATCAATGTTAGACGAGCCTGCAGATGCACAGACACTGCAATGCTGCGGCACCGCTACCATATCCATTGGTGTACCCGAATTGCGCCACTACTGCTCGAGCAGCGATTGCCTTGCTGTATGCACGTGTATCTGTGTGTTCATACAAAGCCATATACATGTAAATATTTTTGTTTACAAGAGCAAACCACGGAGTATAGCCGCAGCGCCAAACGCAGCAGCAGCGTAGCGAAACAGATTTGCGGCACTGAAGTCATAGCCCTAGCGGTGGAGCTCCCGCATTGCAACATTATGGCCGCAACACAAAGCAAGCGGGAAAAGATGTATTTTTGTCGTATATTCGAGTTTATTTTTTGACGTTAAGAGTGTGTTGGTACCGTCTAGAGGGTCCATTAGAAGGACCAGGTGGCAATTGGGGTTGACAGCAATAAAGTCGTCATCCTCTTCCGTACAAATCCCACAAACAACTTCTCTATTCACGAGTGCCTGAAGACACCCATCGAGTCGTTAGTCCCACATCCCCTGGCGATGACGTTGCGGTTCTTAAGCACCGTTTGTCGTGGCAGTAGCAGCGAACTGTGAATAACGCCAGTTGAGTACAACCGGGCTGTCTAGAAAGACGTGAGCGTGAAAGGCAGACAAACAACACACACACAGAGAGAGAGAGAGGCAGACGGCAGAACAAAGCACCTGGATAAATTTCCGGTTCGCAAAAATATCCAATTTTTGTTGATCCTCGCCTTGAATGTTTTGATTACCCGCTGCCCCCAAGATATCCACTAAACCCGCCATGTTGATTTCGCGGTTTACCACCTTCGCCGCCAGTTTTATTGCCGTCAGCAATCTGAAGCACCGGCAGCACACAAAACGGGAGGTAAACAATCAACACGCAACCACACATCACCAGCACCAGCGCCTAGCGCATGGAAAGGAATGCATTCTGCATCACTGCGAAGATTGCCAGACGAATCCTATACATACATCGATACACAGCGCGTTCTCCGCAGATGCAACGTGAACCAGCTCCCTGTTCACGGGGAGAGTTGGACGCAGATTCGTGGCTTCCAGAGAATACCCCCATTTTTGGTGAAAAGACACGCAGCTGCTCGCGGAAAGCCTTTTTAACAGGACTAATAGTTTGAGGCCATAAGGGGGAGAGAGGGGCAGCGTAGAAGGTCCGGGAGTGCAAGAGATCGGGAGGATTCAGACTGGCGGAGATTGGAGCAACACAACCACGGATACACTACACCTCAAAATAGTGCGCCCCAATGCGCAATAACGCATACACAGCAAACAAGGGATGGCTTCGAATATCTAGCAGTGGAAGGAGCTACACAGGCACAGAAGCACAGCCTAACAGACTGTAGTTTAATTGCCGCCCCTAACGAAAAGCCACTGGTGTGCAGCGGTTCGCATTGAGAGCTTAGGCTGGTAAAGCCGACTTGTTCATCTCTGCCTCGGAGCCTTTTTTCTTCAGCTTGTCCTTGTTGGCGATAATAAACTCCCCGAGTTCGGGAATGGGGGCGCCTGGAGGTGGCATCTTGTCGGGGAGGGTATGTGGAAGAGGGTTTGATGCTTAGGATAGAACAGCTAGGGCCAGAAAAAATCTAGGCTGATTTTTGTCCCCTATTGAAACAAAAAAATGGCCAGCAAACAATATTCGTAATCCGGGTAACCCTTGGGGGCTTGGTGCTGTTTGGAGGCTGCTAGCAGGGGGGCGCAACGGGAGCGTTGTTCCCAGGCCAAGGATTTCAGGCTTTTCTTGGCTTTAACTGTTATTCTTGCATCTTCGGGACCCAAACGGACCCGATGAACAGATAATTTTATCTCAAAATGCCTTTCTCAGGTCCGTAGGCTCTAGCCCCCCCCACCCCCCACGCATAGTGACACCTGGTCATTCGACAAGACGATGAGAAGCCTGCTCCTGCCATTTGCTAGTGGGGATGTCTCATCTACGCACTCAGACACACCCCTGCCTAAGTTGGATTGTTTTTCTGCTGCCACAGACACAGGCGCGCACACCGTGGGAGTGCGAGCGATTTGGTCATTCTTCAATGTTGCAAGCAATGCTCTGTATGGGTGGTTGTGACCCGTAAACGATTTTATATCTAATGAAAATTCATCTAAGCATGAATCGTGAGCTTCTATTGTTCTTCTACCCTCCCTGGTGTGGGCCGTAGTTCGCTCGTCACGCACATATATGTGTAGGTGTGCCAGCTTGCTGTTTGCACGGTTGCGGACTAGTGAATGCCCAGACTACTCACAGGGTGCGGTCACTTGCATCCCAGCTCTCCTTCCTCGTAGATATAGGAGGCGTCGTAGGTTGAAGGGCAGAGTTTAGTACAGCTTTTGTCGGGGGAACCGATAAAAGCTGTGTTGTAGTTGGCCCTGCTGCGCGCAAACACTGTCTACAACACTAGTTAAGTATAACTAAGAATCGGTAAATAATTGACTAATGCTGTGCATGGAGCTTAATTGCAGAGCACTGCTCGCTTGGCACAACGAATCGCAACGTTTTGTGCGTGTGCGCCAGATGCCCTATGCAAACCGCTGCGAATGCCTGGCGTGCTTAGAGAGTCCAGCTACCCGCACCCTGGCTGTCCCTGTCTTCGCATGTCAAGAATTCTGAAACGTGCGAACAGGGCAGAGCGGGAGCATTTTGTGCATTACTCATTGACTTTCTTCGAGGTTCGTATTCAGTGTGACACAGTGGCTCCCTAGCCGAACAGTTCGCGTGTTTTATTGGCTGCAAACTACACTTATTTGGTTGCAAAAAGAAGAGGTATTGTTTGGCTGCCTGGTAGTTGCTAAATGCAGCTGAGAGTTAATGCACGGAATACTTTCACCATGCAGCAACGCGCATTTATCCGCCTGTCACTCAAATGCCGGAAATTCCGGGGGTGATGGCGTTAAGTGTCGTTCCATTGAAGACTGTAACTTCTTCATCTCATCGCATCTCTGAGTTCCAACATGAGAGGAGAGAAACAATTAGCGAGGACGACCCATGCTGCACTCTTCAGGCACTCGGAACATTCCACAGCTAGTTAATTGTAGCGCACAAAGCACACACTCAAGCTACACTGATACTTACCATATTGAGACAGCGCTAGCTTCTTATAAAGAAGATGTAATACCGACCAATTCAAAGTTCGATTATTTGCTAATGCATATTTTAAGATTAGAATGCTTGCGTAGAAAGCGTTTATGTGTAGGTTAGCCCACCAAACGAAAAGTCAGACCAGATAGTCAATTCTTTACTAGCTCTCATATAAAGGCAAACACCGTAATTGAATTTGCCGAATTATTGCCTAAGTCTCTGCAGGCTTTATTCGTTGGGTAAAAACTTACACGACCAGCGCGTGATGCAGGTGTATCCAATTCGCTTTAAGGCGTCTCATTTCAAAGCTTATTTAAAGGCTTAGATATCGTAGTAAAAACGAAGAGGTGCCTGTGAAGCACATTCTGTGTGTGTGCTATCAGAGAGGCCTGCGTGACCAACACTTCCAGGCTTGGGTGTTTTGAACAAAGCTAATTAAAGCCTAGACGAGCTTAATGCTTTGACACTCCAAGCAGGGAGGCTCTGGCAGCCGATTAGAATGGAGGGCTACATGTTTGGGTGCACACACACCGTGGCAAAAGAAAGTGAGACTAGGAGGCACGACCATTTCATAACCAGTGCAGTTCCCGTGTTTGTAATTTTTGTCGCTGTCCTGTTTCCAGCCGAGTCTGCGACAACTCCAGGGGCTAGGTAAATGGACTGCGACCATGAGAAACCAGTTGTGTGAAGCTTTCATGGAAGCTGCATTTGAACTGTCGGCGGACCTGGCATCGTGGCAACACTGCAAACATGAAAAGGGCCAGGCCTAGGGAGTGTGGTCGGCATCAGGCGTATCAGTAGCAAGGCACTTTTAGAAACCGCCCGCGCTACTCTAAGAGCCATATCTTTTACAAGTGAAAGCGTGCCTGTGAACCAGCAACCTGGCTGTTTGCAGTTTTCACATCACTGACGGACGCTTTTCGAATGTGCTTGTCAATGGACAGGCTAACGTTTTCTGTTAGTGCTGAGTTGGAAATAATCGACGCAACGCATAGCCGTTAGCGCAACTTGTTCTAACTGTTGTTCACGTCCCTCTCAGTCGGTGTGAGGCTGAGCTGGTGCGAACAGCCATTGTGCAACTCCATCCAAACGCATAAATGCGTGTAGATTTAATGCTTGAAGAATGTTGTCATGCATACCAACGGAGCGGGTCCACAAAACAATATCTAGACCCGCAACACCCAAACCCTAGGTAAGACTGCTTGTAGCATGGCAGAAACGCTACTATCTTGGTAGCCATGATTTCATTTGTACTCCCCGTACTCTGACTGCCAAAACCTTTATTGGGTCGCTTGTGGGAAAGGATGGCATTTTGCTTGGCATCTAGCCTCGGTACGTAAGTTGCGAGAGCTAGAAAACGGAACAGGGCATATAAGCTTCCAGCCATGGGGTCAAAAAACGCGAAAACGTTCCCACATAAAGGGGAGTTAATGTGTCAGTGAGCAGATGTAGCATAGCATGGCGACCTTTTAGAGGCCTTGCTGAATCGACCCTGGATATGTTTCTCGAGCTCTTTAAGAAGGTCACATGGCAAACTATGAGGGGCTTCTAGAAGGAGGGTTGGCTTGGATAGAAGCTGCCCAAGACACCCGACCAAGAGAGTGTGCCTTGCATGGTCCACAAATGGGAGATACTACACGCTTGGGGGACCCCCAAATCAGAATGAACTCTTTGATGCTATAATGTCCATTTGCTATGACGGAAAAAGGAAAAAGCCATTATTGGGTCTCCGTATTAACCGATTTGGACATGAAGGCACCGCAGACCCCACCGTGTTGGCAGTGGCACTCAGAAGGTTCCCCCTGAAGGTTCTCGACTTGAAACCGGTCTTGCTTGAACAGGGAGTGCCTGTTCATTTGCAGGAACTTGTACTGGCTTGTGGGACTTGTAACAAAGGAGTAGCGTTCATGCATACGGTGGCTCAGTGCTAGTTTCCTTATCTCCAAGCAGATTAGTGGTAACAGCATTCGCAGAGGACCTTTAGAGGGGAGCTGTACCATACCGGCTGGTTTTCCCTATTGCAGAGTGGTAAAGTGTGAATATGTCAATGGGCTAGCGGGTTACATACACGTAGCCAAGGTGGGTTTGCTCACGGGCTCAGCGGAAACTGTGCCAAACCTTGGAGGGGTTGAGCTGCTCATGGATAGCAAGGGCTTCGCACAGCGACTCTAGCTGGCAGGCGTCTACTGAAACAAGATATCTTTAAAAATCATCCGTTTTATCCATTCATTCCCCTGTGTAGAGCCACCGCTGCAAGCGCGCCTCACGAAAGCAGGTCATAGATATACACAGTCAGAACTCCCAGGGCTGCTATACAGCTATTTTCTTCGGACCTGAACTACTCACAGCTCTCGCCTACAGGCCAACCTACTTGGTGAACACCCCAGAGGGTCCTGACAGTGTGCATGGTACCGTAAGCTCCCATGATATGAGGCCAAGAAACAACTATATCTCCTCAGTGGAGTGCTGCAGGACGAGTTCGCCAAACGCAGAAAAAGAGAAACCAGCTTCCGTCCTGGCAATGGTTCTTGCGGATACAGACAGTTCATCAAATTGACTTTTGATCCGGAGCGCACGGCCACGACAATATATTTAAGACATCACTACCATCGGCTGTTTACACCAGACAAGCCCGCTACGGTGAAGATGATTCCTTCCGGACTCTTTTTCAACATTTCTTCGAAATACAGCATATCTCTTCTGTTTCATCACAATTCGGTAATCCGGCTGCGCACATAAACGTGCTCGGACGGGGGTGCCCCGATATTTGTCTGCCGCTTTGGCTTTTGGAGTCCGATCCCATATTGCCACAGACCGCACTTCCCAATAGAAAAGTTTCGTCCTACCCCCACCACAACAGGTTTGCAAGAGCGCTTATCTGAATGCCGACCACCCACTTTTCCCTGTATTTCTAACAGCGTATGCGCAAGCTTATCTCGATCCAATCAAACTTGGTGAAGGCCAATCTTGTCCGTAACAAAGCGCCCACCCTGAACTGTGGGGCCCGAAGAACCCTACTACGGCGCGCTGCAATGCTTGAGGGAACGAGGACTCAGCGAGCAACTTTCTCTACCGACGGGACCCTACAGTGTGCAGATCGCCGCATGCACCGCTTCACGCGCGGCTGCACAGGATACAGTGTGGCAACGTAGTTCTCGCTGGTGAACATGAAATGCCTGCTTCTAGCTGTAGATGCCTTCTCATGGCGCATTGGCTAGTCCCCTGAAGGGGAATTCCGAGCAGCTGCCGTCGTTTCCATAGCTGCTACAACTTCCCGTACCAGCTAATGCCATAGTGTATATCAACACCGCAAAGCTTTTGCTACCCACGCCTACCGATCCCTCTAACTATGCGCATCTGCCGGACTGGGCACCTTAGGGGCGTTATTGAGGCGCATGTGCCAGACAAGTACGTTGGTAGCGTATGCCTCTTCTTGCTGGTATTCCAAATGCACGTACTTTAGGCATGCTATTTCTGCGTGTGTCGTGCAAATATCTTCCTGTGCAAGCCATCCAATCCACCTCTTTCCCGTACTACGCTGTTGCTACGTCGGCTCTCCTTGAAAAGCGAACATTCCAATTGTGTATATGTCTTCTAAAGCCAATATTCGTTACACCCAAAGAACCTCTACAGCTCCTCCAGCCTCCCCCACAGCGACGAGTGTGGGTCCCCAGGCCCCAGGGGTCTTTCCCTCAGCTGACGCTTCACCTAAAGCGGGGGCATTCGCTGGCCAGGCAGATATGTACCGAGGGGCTCTAACAGTGCGCAGACGCGCTCTGCTGATCTCCTCTCTCTTAATACAGTCGACGAGACGAACAACTGCTCCACCATCACCGCCACAATCCGCAGCATCACTGGCAGACGCGGACTCTACACCTGCCAGAAGGGCAAGGCCAGTATCGTCCAATATCCCACAAGTAACGACTCCTGCTGTCGCACCAGGATGGATCCAAGCCCCCGGCTGCCCCCTGAAGGGGACTCGGCTGCCGCCTCGAAGCTCCCACAGCTGCACGGGGAAAGGCGCATCTCCTGCGCCTGCTGCCTCAGCTGCCGGTGCTGCTCCAGCTGCTGCTGCTACTGCCCCTGCCTCAGTGCTGACCGCTTCCGCTGCCAGCTGCTGCTGATCTGAAAAGCCAAATGCTTTCACGCCTACTTGTTGGAGTTGCCGTTCCTCCTGGAAGTGGAGAGCAGCGGCTGCCCGCGGTGCATGCACCAGTGCGGCGACTCTGCCCCCCTCTGCAAAGGAGCAATCCTTCACAGGCCCTGCCAATTCGTTAGGGCCCCCCTGAGGCGCTTCCCAAACACAGGGGGAGGCGCATCGCAAGTCCCACAGCAGCACCTGACCGCTGGCTGTGCCCGCAAGGACTAGGGGCCCACTGGCTGCTGTAGCTGTCACCTCTGAAAACGGCTCATCGAAGAGCCGCTGCAGCAGCAAAGCAGCTGGTGAGACACCCCATACTCGCACGGTTGCGTCCGCTGCCCCAGAAACCAGAATTCCATCGGTTTTTTCGAAGAAAAGCGACAAGACGGAGTCGATGTGCCCAATCGCTCTTTGCTTCTCTTTGCGGCCTCCACTTGGTAGTTCATAGAAGCTTGAGCAGCCGGCGCTGTCATCAGCGCCGCTGCTCAAGGATGTGCGGGAAGGCATCACTTCGCGATGAGGCAAGGTCTGCAGATATATGCTGCCGTCTGTACACCCAAGGGCCAAGAGCCTCCAGGAGCCGAGGTGTGCAACGCTGGTGAGAGGCAGCTCGGTGACCTTTCGATGGATTGCCGATGCATATGCAGACAAGGAGAGGCCTTCCGATGGGGTTGCTGCTTCAACCGATTCCAGTGAGTGTAGCGCCTGTTCCTGTTGAAAGAGGCCGCCTTCAAGGGCGTCGAAACAGCACAGTCGTCCGTCTCGCCCGATCACTGCCAGCGATCCTCTGCAGCACGAAAGACCAGAGAGGCCTAACCATCGGCAGCGAATAGCCACTTGCTGCTGCCGCCGCTGTTGTTGCTGTTGCTGTTGTTGTTGCTGCTGCTGCTGCTGTACGGGAGAGGACGTTGCAGCAGCGCCCGGCAATTTACCGTTGCTGCTGGCATGGCTGCTGCAGGACCAAGCAGAAAACTGGCGCCAAGGAGAATTGGCAGTCGCAACACTGCGGGGAAAGCGGCCCCACATTCGCGTTGCTGAAGCGGCAGCAGCATTCCTTGTCGCAGCAGCTGGGACTTGCTGTTGCTGCTGCTGGGGAGGAGCAGATGCCCCTTGGAGCAGTAATTGGAGCACTTGTTGGTCCTCGTTTTCTGGCTTCGGTGGGTGCCGCCACACAGGGGGCACCCTCTGAGCAGCAGCGCCAGATTTCACAAGCTGCAGCTCACGCCTCTGCGGTCCGCCTGAGGCTTCTGCCGCTGCTGCTGCTGCTGAGGAGGAGGAGAATTGATGCAATCGCACGGCAGGAGAAAGTGGGGTTGGACTCAAGAGGCCTGGAAGCAGCTCGGGATGCTGTTGAATGAACAGAAACCATGGTGTGTCTGACCACATGGAAGTGCCGGCTTCTATCCCGTTTGGCGCCGCTGTCGCCGAGATGCAGAACCTATCAGCCGTCAGCAGATGCCGAGGCGCTGACCGACCAAATGCGAATTCCCATTCTACAGGGTCGAATGGCGGTGAGGAAAGCCTGCATGCGGATTGTCAGCAAGGCGAGCTCCAACACGCAGAGGCATGTGCGCGAATAGTGGCAAAAAGCGGTGCAAAAAGTTCGGCAGGGGAAAGGTAAAAGACTGTAACAGACCTCATTGGATGCGGTTGCGAGAAAAGCTTGATTGGCGTCTGACCAAACTCCTGAAGCTGCACATTACGCACGAGGGGCGAGAGCTGCTTCAGCAGCCTCGACAGCCCGAGGGAAAAGACGTCTCCTTGATTTCCCGTGGGGCAGCAGCTGCCTGTTGCAGCGGCAGCAACAGCGTCTGCGTAGGTTAGCGGATGGAAGACGTTGTGTGCCGCACGGGCTTCCTGCAACAGTGTATCAAGAGCATCGAATAAAGGAAGACACTCAAAAGGGCGTGCACTGCATCCTCTGAAGCTAGGAGCCTAATCACGTAGTCGTCTCACAAAAGGCCTAGCCAATAGGTCGTGCTGCTGCTGGAGAAGGAAACGAGGCGCAGCAAAAGAGGCCCTGTTCCCAGCCTTTTCATGCGACTTCACACTAAACGCGTTCTTGCGCACCTGACCCGTTTGTTTATAGCCAAAGACAAGATCAATCCACCGATGGAGGGAGCTGCTGCAGTAGCTGCCTTCCAGAGCTGCACGGTGCAGCAGCAACAGCAGCGCAGGGTCGCCTCCACACCAGGCGGGCAGATCGACATCTCCCAGTGTTTCTGCTGCTGCCGCTTTCGCCACTGCTGCTGCGCTTCCTTCGAAATCTGCTTGTAGCGAGTGTCTCCCCTCGGCAGCGCTGCCGCTTTCTGCTGCTGGTCGAAAGAGGGGCGCACCAGTCGGCTTAGCGGACAGACGTATGGCCAGTCTGTTGCAGAGGAACGAGGGGTCATACGAGTAGAACTCGGGAGTCAGCTCCACGAAAGTGGACTGCCCGCTGTAGGCTCCTGCATCCACCCCACAAAAACCAGTGCAAGCGCGCGCAAGGACGCTTAGAGAGCAGCAGGACGTTTAGAAAGCAGCATGACGTTTAGAGAGCAGCAGGACGCTTAGAAAGCAGCATGACGTTTAGAAAGCAGCATGACGTTTAGAGAGCAGCAGGACGTTTAGAAAGCAGCATGACGCTTAGAGAACAGCAGGATGTTTAGAGAGCAGCAGGATGTTTAGAGAGTAGCAGGATGCTTAGAGAGCAGCAGGACGTTTAGAAAGCAGCATGACGTTTAGAGAGCAGCAGGATGCTTAGAAAGCAGCAGGATGTTCAGAGAGCAGCAGGATGTTTAGAGAGCAGAAGGATGCTTAGAGAGCAGCAGGATGCTTAGAAAGCAGCATGACGTTTAGAGAACAGCAGGATGTTTAGAAAGCAGCATGACGTTTAGAGAACAGCAGGATGCTTAGAAAGCAGCATGACATTTAGAGAGCGATAGGATGCAAACCGCAAAGATGCGGGAAATATCTGGGAGAAACGGGTAGGGAGTGCTTCAGCTGCCCTTTTGTCCACGTTCCCCAATCCTTTAACACATGCAATTTCTGTACACTGCTGACGATAAAAAGCAAGCGCATGAGCTCCAAACGCAGCAGCCGCATGCATGGCAGAACGGTGGGGGATAGGAACGACAGGTATACGTTGCCTTACCTGCCCACGCGCCCTGCATGGATCTGAAGATTCTGTGCGGGCAGTCAAAGCGGCCACAGTGAAGCCTTAGCAGGCATTCGGGTAAGAGACGCACAAGGAAGTGAACGGTGTATGCGGGAGTGCTGTAATGGCTGCCGTAGATATAATTGAGGTCAGCTGCTGCTGCGTTAGATCCCGAAGCTCCTGAATCTCCACTGCTTGGTGAGCCTGCTGCTCTCGGAGAGCATCCCACTCCGCCTGCATCCACCTGGACGCCAAAGCCACGCATGCGCGCACACTGACCTTAAGAAGAAGGGGGCGGGGGGGCTGGAAGTGCAACTGGAGGGCCGTTGTGCCTGCTGTCTTGGGCCTTAAAGTCGTGCATGCGTTCTTTGTACGTGCTCCGCTAGGAACCGCAGCTCTCTACGCATCCCGCGCATGCAGACTCTACGCTGGCTGCGGCTTTGCACACTCAAGCAGCGCTCCACCTGGATGTCTTTCATGCGCTTCAACAGGCCTTCGAGTCGCTGCGGATTTAGGGCGCCAATCGGCTTGCTCAGATCTCTATACGCAGCTGGATCGCTTAGCGGATTTGCCGCATCTGCTTCGGAGTATCTGTGGAAACGCAAGCCACACCCCCCGCTGTATTTTTGCGCGAGCTGACGCCTGCCGCTCCCACTGGCGCTAGGGGCGCCTGCTGAGGCGCAACGAGAGGCATCCCCTTCTTCAAAAGAAAACAAAGGCAGCAAGAAGATACACAGATGTTCACTGGACTGCACAAGCAGCGCGCAAGACGCAGAAAAAACTGGTGAATGCGTGCCAGACCTCTGGATAACCCATGGGAAGACCGGATACGCCGAGAAGTTGCTGGTGCTTCTGCCGGCAGCGCTGTTCAAAAACTGCAGGTAATGCAGCGAGGAAAGGCGGCCCTCTAGCCACCTTTGCTGCATGCATCGGAGTAATTCGTCGGATGCTTGCAGCATGAAGGCCCTGCGGAACCGAACCGGCACGTATTGGCAGTCATGTAAGAGAAATCTCAAAAGCGGCGGGAGAGCAGCAGCTGCTGCCAGAGATGCGCGCAGCGGCGCGTCATGCTGCGGATAACACGAGGGCTAAGAGGCGCTCTGTTGCAAAGTTCTGTCTCAACTGCCAACAAAAGGCCAGGCACAACTGATACGTTTAGCGACAGCGAAAGCCTGACTGGGGTTTGAGCTGCTCCAGAGCGCAAGCAACTCGCTCTCTTTCGGTGAGATCTGCGAATTCAAGGAGTAGCACTTTGTAGTTTTTCTGATGCCGGACACCAAGGCCGTCCTGTTGATCTGTGGCAGCATTAGCGGGAGAAGAAGAGCGAGGAACAGGAGGGGGGAACGTTCTAGTGGAGGTATGACTGCTGCTGCTGCTGCTCCCGGAGGTACTGCTGCTGCTTTTAGCTCCAAAAATGAGCTCGAGAGCACTTGGACGCAGACAGCGGACGCGCCGCAAGACATGAAGAAGCGCACACAGGGGGTATCTCTTTGCAGGCTTGTTTGTGAAGTTGGGGTGAGGCTCCAGGTAGAGGAAGGAGGGTGTGAGTAGCATGAGGGCACGCTGAGACATAAGGGGCCGGATTCTTGACACCCAAAAGCCTGCATGCAGAGAACGGAGGTCATGGAGGGGGAAAAAGACGTGCAGGCATTAGCAACAGCAGCCTATGGGAAGGCGTTCAAGAAGGTCACCAATGAAGGCACACACACGCACTACACGCGAAAGCCAATGGGGAGCTCTTGCCCGCTGGCTGCATGCGTTTTTATGGTGTAATACTGCACTCAAAGCCCTGTGCGAAAGGGGCGGCGTGTTGCAGAAAAAGGTCCAAAAGACATCGGTCCAGGAAACTTTCGGCGTGCGGTTTTGATGCCTCTGGTGCGGAGGGTGTACCTGTGTTGGTAGGAAGAAGAAGCTGTTCTCTGTGATCCAGCTGCGAAAAACTGAAGCGAACATGCTGCTGCAGCTCTCGCTGCACTGAGATCGCGAACATCTCGGGTGTCACAAGCTGCTGCAGTTGTGGTGGCTGTTGAAGTTGCTTGTCCTCATCTGGTGCTTCTCCGTCTGCGAGAAGGGGACGCATTGGCAGGCGCGCGAGAAGTTCCCTGCCGGCAGAAACTCGCCACATGTTGAGTAACAGCAAGGTTAGCTTGCGGCTGCCTGCAGGCTCAGCTGCTGCTGCAGCTGCAGCCGCTGCAGCGGCCGCATTAATGGTAAGGACAAAGCAAAAGATCCTGCTACGTTCCTGAGCGAAGGATGAAGGGCTTCGCTGCTGTTGGTGTTGCTGTTGGTGGTGTTGAGGGAACAAGGGGGGTGGTTGGGATGCTGTCGCAGCAGATTCTTGCGTGAAAGGCGACACACATCGCGTTTTTCCATCAATGACTGTTAAAGACACGCGCATGAACTCTGCCACGCCGAGCAGCAGTCGCACTTCTCCCGTTGTTGCTGCTGCGGGGCCAGAATCAGCAACCCCCCTCCAGCTGCTGCTGTTGCTGCTGGGAAGCTGTGCAATGAGGATGATGCGTCTAAGCAGCAACTTGAGGATATCCGCTGCTCGCCGATGCGGGTCTAAAATGAAGCTCTTGCTGCACAAGCGAAGGCGCCCCTCCTCAGCTGACGTCTGTTGCTTCAAGCCAAGAAGTCTCGCCAGCAGGGGGTGGACAGGCCCTTCATCATCACTTGCCGCTGTTGCTGTCGCTGCAGCAGCAGCAGCAGCAGTCTGGTCACCTGCTGCTGCTGCGAGAGCAGCCACGGCAGCGCGAACATGGGAAACTGGAAAGGCAACCGGATATGAAGTGGCGATTGAGACTTCGCAGTCGGAGAGATACTCTTCCCCCTCCTCCAGGATCAGCGCGTTGAATACGCGCTGACCTCCAAACATACTGCTGCTGCTGCTGCGAATTCGATCTCAGGCTCCAGCAGCTACCGCTGCCGTCGCGGCGGCTGGGAAAGACACAGATATCTTCGTGCCTGTTGCCGCTTTTCTGTGCCTGTTCGGTTTGCAAAGGTTAGGAGGCGCTGCTGCCACGATCATCTCCCATGCAGAAGTTTGTCTTGTAGCTTGGCTATCTTCGCAGTGCGCTGCCTCTGCTGGACGCGGTGGTAGTGCTACTCGTGCTGCTGCTACTGCACGTAAGGATGCCGCTATTGGTGTTCCTGCTGCTGTAACTGCTGGGCAGGCGTGTTACCACGAGGCTGCGGGTAGCTAGATGAAGGCGCTAAGAGGGGCGATAAAAAACGCTCTGTCTCTCCCCCCGTATGTTGCCGTTCTAGAGAAGTGATCCTCCATCTCACTGCGTCTCATTTTGTGCCTTTGGCTGTTTCTCTTGTCGTGTCATGTTGCAAGAGGGCACGGACGACCGGGCTGCATGTGCCGGTGGTGTTACTGCATGAGCTGCCGTGATAGAGATGCGCGTCTTACACATTTCGGTGTTTCTTCTATTATTTCCTCTATTATTTCTTCGGTTTCTGCGTGCAGAAGCAACAAGCGCTTCAAGCCGCCTCGCACTGTGTGACCGCCGATTTTCACGCCTGCAGACGCACTCCTCACTGCCGCTCGCTCTTGCACTGGAAGAGCATCTGCCCGGCAGCCGAGTGCAGCGACCTCTCTCCCATCGGACTTCAGGTGTCTTTTTCCCATCTTTATACTTGAAAAGAACCTCGTGGACTGAAGAAGAGGGGCTTTTTCTCCGGTGAACCCCGAGGCCGGTGCCTTCTCCGAGGCAACACATCATTTAACCACGCTGCTGACTGCAGCCTCTTCTCCCCTAGAACCATGGGAATACGGCACTGGGGAAGACGCTGTGGCTGCACTGGACTACCGTAGAGCTGTGGCACCAGGGAGAGGCTCTGGACAGTTGAGGCGAGCAGCAGCAAAGCAACTGTTATCTCCCAAGAGCATCAGCAGAAGGACCTTAGGCAATCGCTGTCTCGCAACTCCAGCAGCACACACAGAACCTGCGGTTTTGCAAGGATCGATTGGCCTCTTTTGCATTCTGGACATGCACCTTGTTGTTGTACGGCTCACGTTCAGCCTCATCGACCAGAAGACGCGAAGTCTGCAGCCTTTCTTCTTGTCACGAGGCTAGCAGAGCCGAGCGTGTGCATGCAGGAGAAACAGAACCAGAAGAATATCAGTAGGAGGAGGCGCGACAGCATCCAATTTTGCGCGTCGATGCAGAACTGCACAGCAGCAAAGCCTCAGACAAAAATGGAAAACAGCGAGACCAAGGGATTCGAGCTGGGAGTGCGTTACTCTCAACCTGATTCGGCTCCAACAGGAGCATCAGCATCCGCAGGAGATGCAGCTGATGATGCATGCAAAGACGTGAGCATGAAACGGCCTCTGAATCCTCAGCATGCAGACGCTTCATCTGAGGAGAGGGTTGGTGGGGGGACTGCTGCACGGGGAGCACCGGCACCTGACACTGCAGTATCACTGGAGGCTTTGGCACAAGATGCGACTTCCTCAGCAGCAGACCTTAATGCATATCGCCAGTTACACCGGCAGCGCTATGCGGAGAGGCTGCAGAAGGAGGAAGAGGTGGAAGACGTCATTCGGAGACAGCTTGAGGAACGGGTGTGCCTTATCTCTGTCCTTTAGATGCATGCTTGCACACGCATAGCTACCGCTTGCGCAGCGCAGGCTGCATGCTTGTGCTGCCTAAAGGCGTCGAACTGCTGCCTCTGCTGCTTCTGCTTCTGCTTCTGCTTCTGCTTCTGCTGCAGGCTTGCATTGAGCTCGCCAAGCGGCTGCAGCAAGAGGAGCTTGACCGACTGGCTATGGATAGAGCAGCACGGCAGGAGAGGCAAAGGCAGCTGCTTGAGGCTATTTCTGGACCTACCACGCAACAACCCGCTGCAGGCAGCGCGGCAGAAGATGTTTATGCTGCGATACCGGCAGATCTCGAGACGACAGGAGTAGATGCGTGAGCTGCTGCTTCTTTCTCGCCCAGGCTGGCTATTTTACCTGTTGCTGCTGCGTCCAGTATAGCTGCGGAGTCTGCTTCTCTGGCCGCTTTCGTGACAGGTTGTTCCGAGACTGCTGTGGTGCAGCGTGCGGGCGCCTTTGCGCACAAACTACGCTGAACGGCTTATCGATGACTCCCCAACCTTGTGGACGGCCTCACGATCAAGGGCTCAAAGGTGTGTCGGTGCTGCCGCTGCGTTGCTGCTGCCGCTAAGCGGGAGCAGCGACGCATGCTGCGGTCTCCCCAGAGCTGTTGCCACTGCAGTGCAGGATGCTTGTTTCCGGGGAGGTTGCATCCTAAGTGTTCTCTCCTGGAACGCAGCAAACACCTGCAGCAACAAAGATGCCGCTATCGACGCTTGCTGCGCATGCTGCTACAGGTTGTTGGGTGGAAATGCATCGCCGAACGGGCCTGCGCCGAGTGCGGCCTCGAGTCTCTGGGGCTTTTTGATGATGCGAACAAGGTAGGGCGATCTGTACGCAGTGTGAACTCTTGCCGATGCATGAAACTCCCCCTCTTGCTGCTGTTTCCGAGCAGTCGATGGGTGCGAGCAGTGTAATGTGCGCCTGTTGCTCTCATTCCTGCAGGGGGGGATTGGGAGGCCGAGGCGAGGCTCTTTTCTGCGGCCTTACGATGGTGCAGCTGATTTCGTTGTGCTTGTGGCTGCTGCTGATGGCTTTGCCGCTACTAGTGCTCGTCTATGAGCTTTGCTCTTTGCAACTAGCTAAGTAGCCGTCTTGTATCAAAATAGATGTACCTAGGTAGTGCGAGGCTCCTCAGCTTCGAAGTTGCTTAGCTCCATTCGCGGCGGGCGTGCTCCCGGATTCTTTGTCTAGCAAACGGAGCAGCCAGTCCTTTAGCTAACCGACTAGCTGTATAGGCTGCTTGTGCGCCCTGCTTCCATTGAGGCATCGGAGAGCTTTGGACCCTCTATGGGGTTTCAGTATTTTTGGTGTCTCTTCCTACGCTATCCTCTGACCCCCCATCGCACCGTTTATCAGCTGTATGGACGCTGTGCGGTACGCCTATCCCCCTGCCCACCCAGCCCACCTGCCGTGCCAGCCTCTCTCTCCCTTTCTGCGCTATAATGCCCGCCGCCATGCTGGCAAGTATCTCTAGCCACCGCGATATTGAGCAGACACGTCAGTATACAGCTACTCCGCGTCAGTGTACAGCTACTGCGCGGCCGTCTGACCAACGTTCATTCCAGTGCTCTTGCCCGTATTTTTCTTAGAATGCGGGCAGAAATGAAGTCCCCCACCTTGCTGCTTCGTGCATTTCCGCAAGCACTCACCTAATGCGGGAATCTAGTCAGCAGCGTTGCGAGTCACCGAGTGCGTATCCCTGGTCCTTTCCTAAGGGGCCTCTAAAGTCTCCAAAAAAGCGCCCTCACAGCTGCTCTTTTGCAAGAGCTCGACGAGCATCGCGCACTCTTAGATGCGGCTGTTTCGGTTATCGCGCTGCCCCAGGGACTAGTTGTGGCAGTAAGGGAACTTGTTAGCGGTTAGGATGGAAAAGAAGATGTCGCAGGCAGCATCTGCAGGACGTCAGGGTTTGGTCCTACAGCAATGATACAGACACTGCCCTCTGAGAGGCAATGCTTTTTGTGTTGTGGAAGGTTTCCTTCCGTTAAGGAAGGAGCAGAACCTTCCATCAGGTGTACATAAAGTCCACTGGAAAGGTTCTGTGGCGTGCCGTCAGGCCTAAGTGCTGCTGCTTCTGCTGTTTGGATCAAGGAATCGTCCCCCGGCCTCAACGGCTTGCTGGCGTATCTCTGGGCAAGTGACCCGTGGGAGTCTCCCAGAGGAGTAAACTCTCTGATGAAAGAGCGCAGCGCAGAGTCAGCTTCCTCCTTCATGACTTTCTGGTGCATATACACCGCGTGACGGACCTCATGGCTAATCAAACATAAAAATGCGGGGGAGTCCGTAAAATCCCCCAAAGTGTCACACTCCAGAGCTGTGCGCGCTAGGGTTTTTATGGTCGACGCGAGCGCCTTCGCAGCCTTATCAGAGAAGAGAACATCTGCTGCCAGAATCAGATTAAAGCGACTCTCTAAGCCCGCTTGTGGAATTGGTGTTTCCCCGGCGGCCGCACGCACTTGCTGCAGCACGGCTGCTTCATTGTCGGTCCATTCAAGGGGCCCCACAGACGTCCTAGGGTTTCCCAAAAGTGCATCTAGCAGCTCCGACACACACAACTGTTTCTTTTGGGGGTACTGGCGACATCGTATCTCTCCCAACGCACGCACTGCCGCAGAAGCCAGCCGATCTGCTGCTCCTGCACTTGCCGCGTCGGGGCCGATAGGGGGATTCAAAACAGAAGAGAGGCTCAGGTTGCAGCGCGCAAGAGAGAGAGCAGCGGCATCGTGGTCAGTTGCGCATACTCGCGCGGCACCTAGGAGGAAACAGAGACAGCTGGGAGCCCCCAAACCGCAACCCAACTCCAGCACCCACCGCTGTTGCAGCTGCAAGGCTTCCCGGTTAAGCAGTAGATACTGCAGAAGCTGTGCTGCAGCACGGCACCAAAGGTCGGCGGCAGTGGTGTCCGAACAATTCGCTGCGGGCATGGTCACACGCAACGACTGTCTTGTGACAGTCTTCCCCCCTGCCAACGATCCTAGAGGTACCCCAGGTATCCTCCGTAGCAGAGGCAGCAGCAGCAGTGCTTCCTGACGCGCTCGTGCAGCTCCTGCTTGCTGCTGCCCCCCGGAGCTTCGGTGCAGCTGGTGCGAGGGCAACACTTCACCATGGACCCCAACGGGCTGTACAGTGAAGGCCCCTCCTCGCAAGAGCTCTAGCAAACACAGCTCCACCTCCATGATACCGTACAGCCAGATATTGCAACAGCTACAGCAATGGTGACAGCACCAGTAGCAGGACCAGGGGCCGCTGCACGGCTGCAATGACCCTCTTTTTATGCCCGTAGTAGAAGCCGCTTAACAAGATGGCGCTGCCATAGTCTTACCTCTCTGTGTGCCTTCTCTGAGAGAAGCATCACAGTAAACCGCAGACGGCCCACGTGGGGCCCCCAATACCAGTAGAAGGACCCTCCTCCCTAGGGGCCCCCTTTGCCTGAGGGGCCCCCTTCGTCTGAGGGGCCCCTAGGGGCCTCCGGGCCTGGCTGTATGCACGCGTGTCGAGGGGCCCTGTGGGGTTACTGCGAAAAAACAGTCATAGTTTGGCGTTGGCTTTCCACGATTTGTTTGCTTCTGATCCTAAACACCTGCAGCCCCTAGTTTGTTGGATGCCTGCCTGCATGAACTGGCGCTGCTAACGACGAGAAAGGTGGCCGCGCTATATGGGCATCCCCTTGTTTTCTGTTGTTTCTGGACTCTCCCGGCACAAAGTGTACGAAGCTGTTGAATTTAGGAGGGTTGCTTGTCGTAGAGAGCAAGAGGGCCTTCCAGGCTTTCTGGGGCCACCCCAGCCACCCTACACAGGCATGCACAACTCCTAACGGAGCAGCAGCGACGAGACTCGCAGAAACGGCTAAAAATGTCGGTCACATTAAAGACAACTCACGGGGACCTCAAGGCGGAGCTCTTCTGCCAGCAGACGCCTAGGACCTGCAAAGTAAAAATCCTAGGAGGCCTTTGCCTACGCGAGAACGCGCCGCATTTGCGCATGCAGCTGCTGATCCTGCAGCGATGCTGCCTCCTACTACGCTGACTGCGGATGCTCCTGTGATCACTGCCGCTGCTATCATGGCTGCTTCCGTTGTGTTTACTTCCTGCGTTGCTGTGGTGGCTGTTGCCACTCCGTTGTGCGTCCGCAGAACTTTTTGGCGCTCTGTGCCTCTAACGCGTACGACGGTTGCATCTTTACAAGGTATGCGATTGCTTTGCTAACCTCATCTCCCTTTCGCATGCGTCTCTTGGGTTGCTTAGCTTACCCTTTTGCGCGGTGCCTCAGGGCCTTTGCATGCGTGCTACACCCAGTTCTGGCATTCTCTGCTGCCTCGCGAAATATATATAATCGTCTCCGCCTTATTTGCACTGTGACCTCCAGCGTCTTCTTGAGGTCTGACCGACACGTTGCGGTCCTCTTTTTGGTATGCACGACAGCTCTTTGTGCATCCACTTAAAATGTGCCGCGTCGTGCTTGTGCCCTTGCTGTCTGCTTGCTTTCCCCCTTTCCGTGTCTTTTGGTTTTATTATCGGCCGACCAGTTGGCGAGTACAACTGAGCGGAAAGTTCGCAGCGTTTTCCGAGAGGGCTGCACTCTGTTCTGAAACTCAAAGATGCCCCTAATTATTCCTCTGCGCGCCTTTCCCCTTTCTGTGAACTTGCTCACTCCCCCGATCCGTACCTGCACGTACTCTCCTGCTTCAAACTATTTTCTTGGGCATTATTCCTCAGAAACATAAAGGGCTTCGCGGTGCAGACAGGTGACCCCACAAACACCGGGAAAGGAGGCGAGTCCATTTACGGCGGTTTTTTTGAAGACGAATTCGTCTCCTCTCTCAAGGTACGTTTACTGCTGCGTCCTCGGGGCCTCTTTGGAGGAATTGGGAAGTGGGAAGGGAAGGGCCTTACCGTGTGTGCCACGTGCATCAGCAAACATATGCCTTAGCGCGAGGCCCCATAGGATTTGCTGGGCGTCTCGGCTCTGTGCTTGCATGTGTCACTTAAGCTGACGATCGATTTGCAGCTCATCACGTGGCCTGTTTCTGCTTTGGTTCTCCCTTTGCCGTTGCTTGCTCTGCGGACTCTTGGAAAGGGCCGCTCTTTAGTTCCACAGATAGGGGATCCCGTGTTTCCTTAATTGTGCGCGGGGCTTGGTGTGTCTGTGACGCTTTCCCACTGTCTAATCCTCACGCAAGTATATCGCGGCCACCACGGCGATGTTCGTAGTTGCGTATCACTACTCTACTAGTGGGGCAAATTCAAGGGCTTAGAGATGCTGCTTCCAACTCTGCTTGCAACGGACGACTTCATAACAGTCTCTGTACACTTGTTTGGGCGCTAAATAATGCTGCATATTGCACCATACGTAACGCTCTGCTTGTGCTTGCTGTGCTGTTTGACACGATAGCATGACCGCCGAGGCGTGCTGTCCATGGCCAACCAGGGGGCTCCCAACACTAATGGCTCACAGTTTTTCATCACGTATTCACGGCAGCCACACTTGAACGGGGTATATACGGTGTTTGGAAGACTGATTGACGGCATGGACACCTTGGATAAGATAGAGAAAGAACCCGTGGGAAAGAAAAATCGTCCTATCAACGAAATAAAGATTCTCAGTGTCGTCATACACGCAAATCCAATCGCAGACGCTGAACAGCTGTAGGGCCGCATGAGCCATGGAGCGTCGCCAACGGGGTATTTTTTGCCTTTCTGCGCCCGTTGGACCCGCTGCACGCGTTTCAGTGAACTAGTCCTCAATCTCTACATGCCGATGCGCAACACTAGAGGCGCACGTGTATATATCGTTTTTGCCTTTCACCGAATCATTGAGGCACTTCTTATCCCGTCATGTGTTCGGAAAGTCAGAGAAAATTACTAAAACAAAAACACAACGGCGAAAACCTGTGCGTTTTGTAGAGCCAGTCGTTAAAGGAGAGCCTTTGGTGATAGGGAGAGGCATATGCATGTAGGAGATTCAGCGATCCTGAAATGCGCTGGTAGGCACGCGGAAACGCGGAAGTGCAAGGTGCCCAGTGCTCCATCCTCTGGCCCTCCGTGCTATGTTGGCGCACTTTCAGTAATGTTGATGCCTGATGGGCCCTAAGGCTCACTCTGCGAGGGGCCAATACCCCATTCGCAGGGAAGTACGTCCTCGCGGGCATTCCTGTGTGGAGCCGTCTCTTCGCTAATAAGAGCGCGGATAGGCACACACGCCACGTGCCGCTGAGTGGCGATGCTGAGGACAGCTGTCAGAAGACTTGGCATTGTACCCATGGCTTTATTTGAAGGTGATAGGGCGGTTTTCAGCCGTACGGCACCTTTCCACTTTAAGCCCGCAGCTACCTGCAGCAACCGCACAACGATTGTACGCACAAACAGTCTCGCGTCTGTGGTTACAGTAGTGAGAACATGTAGTACGCTCAGCAGGTACTGCGCGACTAGAGCATCAACGGGGGTTCCGAACCTGTCCTGGAGTTGACTCTGCGACATCCACTGATACTCCGGGAGGCCCATTAAGTGCCTCTATCTTGGCGGTGACTCGGCTTCCCTCAGTTCCAAGGAGACGTGCAGACACCCGACAAAGTGTAGACGATCCCACAGATACCACCCCAAAATCAATCAGTTGAGGCATCACCTCGAGGCCCCCCTTGAGCCCACATGGGGGCCCAGAGGCCTGCACGGACATCAAGTCGGAAATATTTGCGTTGCTCCTCGCCGTCAGCGTGCTCATACCATATTGTTGTGCTTCTTTCCAGTCTGGGCTGCAAGGCCCATGTCAAGCAGTGGCCTCAAGAGGCCCTTTTGCTCTCACTGCAGGGATAGGTTAATGAGTTTGAGCAAGCACCCAGATCCGATGCCTTTGTGAGTATCCACATTTGAGGTACCGGCCTACAGCTATAATATACATGCGGAGGAGAGGCCTCAAATGCAGTGTAAGTTAGCAGTCAGAGACGAACGGGACCATGCGATTTGATGCATGAATTTGTTTTGCGTGCAGGCACAAATTTCGTGGCATTAGGTCATACAAACCACGGATCGCTATCTAGGATAGGTCATCGAGAAGGCCAAAGAATCATTTCGGGTACCCCCGGAGTAACAGAAACAGTCAGGAGTGTACGACAAGCAACGAGAGCCTTGAAGCTGCACCATATCGATAGCCTCAGGAGCAACGGTTCAAGACGATACTGCGACAGCACTGCTACTATGAAGCACGCTTCTTACAGTGAGTCCCTTCTGGGCCTCCGGCGCTGTAGAAGCTGTGAGTGCACGCCGCCCCACTGCAGTATCATACAGAAGGAAGGTCTTGTTTGGCTGAACACGGAATTGTTGCTCTTCTTGAGGCTTGTGCTCTTGCTGTGGCTGGTGCTCTTGATTTATCAGGCTCTCCTGCGGTCTCTCACGTGACTCTTGCCTCTCTGGAGATGGCTTTCTTTGTGAATCTTGGCGTAAACTAAAGGCATCCTGGGGGCCTTGGGGACGCCTGGCGGAGCTGCAGATTTCCCAAATTTCGTTGCTGGCGGATTCTTGTCGCACCCTCACTTCTGTAGTAATCCGACAAGCAGGATGAGACTCGTGGAGGTATTATAGTGAACTTTTGTTTAGTACAGCCCGTGAAAAATTAAATATATTACTGAGCAAGCCTTCAATGTGCATGGTATATGGCTGCTTTTAACGAGTCGGGGTCGGTGGCCTGCGGCTTGAAATCCTAGAAGTAGCGTTAGTGTTTGGACCCCTGCACCGCAGGTAGTTGCACTTGGGTCCCTTCGAGCGATCGAGAGAGTGTTACATTTGTATTGGGAGCTAACAAAAGACTGACTTCTGTGCCGTTCCGTCAGAGAGAGTGCCTGAGACGCCGCAGCCGCCAGAGTTTCCCCCAAAATGACAGCACCGGTCATTTCCTCTGTTGCTGCACCTGCTGCTTTAACGGGAGCCATCCCTGTAGGAGGCGTCGCTGCCTTGTGTTCTTCATCTAAAGGGGCGGCCCACTGGCCATCAAGCTCCTTTACACGCAGTTTTTCTTCTGCGTTCGCCGCTTTCGCTAGTGCAGTCCGCCGTGCACAAGCAGCCCTAGCGGCGGCTGCGCTGACCGCTCTAGTGGATGCTCCATGTAGCTTAAAAACAGCCGGTGTCGGCTGGACAGCCTCAAAGCCCCCATCGTTGGATGTGATGCGCTGTGAAGTAGACGGCTGTGGGCTGCGATCGTCTTCAACAAAGTGCTCTGCAGTAGTGGGAGAGGCAGACCTGCAGAGGCAGCCGCACTGGCACTTCCAGATGTGTTGAGGTTTCCTGCGACGGTGTTGGTACAAGTGTCTCATGCCTGGTAAGCCCAGTCGTCGGTTACATATACTTGAGTTTCCTGGTTATTATGCAACGCCTATGGCGGGAGACACAATAATGGCCACAGGGCGTTTGCTGAGATCTCTGGAGTCCAGCTATGTTAAATACAATTCTATAGCAGCGTTTCGACACGTTCTGTCACTACACAAGTCCCTGCATTCTCAGTTCCCTCTTCTTCCTTTAAGGCCACCTCACCCTATCATAAACACATGGAAAAGCATGATACTAAAAGCAAAGCAGCAGCACGACAATAGAAATGTTCACGTTCATCAGCAGTTGCCGCATTGCGGGCAGCAGCAGCAGCAGCAGCGGCAGCAGACCTCTGCAGCTGCGCTGCAGCCTTGGCGCGGTACTTGAGTGCACTAAGCTCTGCTTGCATTCGCCCGGGTAGCGCCGCCAACGACCCGCGAGAAACAACGGAGGCCCGGGCTGCTAGGAAGCCTGACAAGATACCACCCGCAGCAGCAGCCAGTGCAGTAGCAGCAGCATTGCTTTTGCACACACATAGCACTAGGGACTGCGTAGTCGTGCCCCATACTGAGGCATGAAAATGGGATATTCAGAAAACGCCTCTGTTCCTTGTGCTTGCAACGAGCAGCCCAAAATGTGCTTGATACTTTGAGCGGCGCAGCTTCTGTGGGTATAATATTAACATAACAAAACGGTTTCATTTTCCCCGAACGGTTCTGATACCCCGTTCGCCCCAGAGTGCTGCCGTTCTGGAAAGTTTTTCAGGCTTGCACATGGGGTCGAGCTGGCGAAAAGTGGTGTAGTAAGATTTCTGCGCTGCACAGTAAGCCTAATGCCGCCGTGTCTGTTGTTGCCGCTGCTGGTGCTGGCGCTGTTGAGGCCTCTGCTGCAGCGGCCTCTGCTGCAGCGGCCTCTGTTGGTATTTTTGTGTTACTAACCATCGCTTGGCTTTGATCTTTCCTCTACTGGCAGCAAGTGGTGCAGCAAACCACTGTTCATTCCCTCCCAGGTCTGATATGCAGCGTAGTTTCGCTCGAACTGCCGAACCTCGTGAGACCCGAAGGGCGGAAAGAGACGAAACGTTCTGCCAATACAGAAGCAAAGTCGCACCCTGTAAACGCTAGTGTCAAGGAACTTACAAAGAATCACACACATTCTCGACTGTCATGCTTTTGGCAGGGAGTTGGAGGTGCATCTTCAGTCGCCAGAGCCAGGAAGCTTGCATTGTAAGAGTTGGTGTGGCATTTTATATGCAAGGTTCAGTGCTGAGTATTGTAAGCCACTTAGGAAAAGCCTAGGGCAAACTCGAAGCTCAATACTTGTGGAATAACTTTGGTATTGATTTAAAAGCGATTACAGCTCCCAAACCCTATGGAGTCGTCTGATACCTGACTGTAGTAACGGCCTCGGGGCTCCCCTCTGTCTTCATCCAGTCATGTTGTGGGAATCGCCATGATGTAGATGAGCCTTCCTCTGCACCCTAAAAATGCAACAGCAGGACAAGCGGAACGTTCTGCTTATTCCCACTTTCCCTCTTGAGAAGGCAGTCAGCTGCTAAATTGGGCACATAAGGGGCGAAGAGAAACCGGGAGGCCTTCATATCGAAATGCATGTGATCAGGTATGAAAATGTTTTTTTCAACAGTGGACTAGGTGGCAACAAAAAAGGTACCAAAAACTCAGGAAGCCTCGTAACACGGTGAAAACAACAACAGTCTTTCTTGGGTCGTATTGCCACCAAACGCATATCCTCGCCACCTTCAAAGGGCCAGGGACCCTCCCAGTAAGCCCCCGCTTCTGCTTCCGTTTCTTGCCTAAGAAATTTGAATTGCCTGTATCAGCAGCAACCAATGCCACAAACCGCTTTACTTGAGACGCACTACCGATGCGTTCAAACACATCCCAGCCGCTCTCTTCAAGATTCCGTCCCCCATTCAGGTGGCTTCCCATCCGCAAGCAACAGCGCACACCTAGGTAAAAGCATCCACGTATCTAGTTTAGGCGGGACAACAGGGGGAGACAAGAAGAACCGTAGGGGCACCTAACGCCATAAATGAGGAATTAAGTTCAATCTTACTCAAGTGTCAGCACCTCTTCGGCTTCTCCTGTGTTGCCGCATACGGCAAACAACCGCGGTGGCCACACAATGTCCTCCGCTCCTTCTGACTTGTCTGTTTGTGATTTCCCTGTAGCAGTAGAGGAAGCGGCAGCGGTAGCGGTAGAGAGTTCCTTGCCAGGCAGGACCTGCCCTGAGCTGTCCCGCGGTATGCCGTCACTCCTGCCTCAGCAGTAACAGAATAGCTGCATGCGCGTAAAGGAGTTTTTCTCAGAGGAGTCGTATGCATACTTGAACTTTGAAGAAGTTTAGATGCTTTTAAAAGTCTCTTGAAACAGCAGCACCCAATCCACAACGTCGAATCAAACTAATTCACTGACTCACCCAACAATGCACAGCTCCTCGTCCCCCTTCAAGCCCCGCAACTCGCCAGTAAGCAGAGAGAACACCACTGACACAGAGTTACCTGCAGCAGCATCAGCCATACCTAGCGGGATGTGCATAGAGGCAGCTATCCACGGACTTTACCGGGAAAGCAGCTGCAACAGGCAGATCAAAAATACATTGAAGAAGAAGATCATCAGCAATAACAACAGCTACAAAGGTTGGGTGTGCCTGCAAACCCTCCGTGAGAGATGTCTCCGGCGGCCGCACGACAACCTGCAGCAAAGGACGCAACGCCACCAAAAAGGGATACACCCTATTTGTCGGTAACTGAATGGGTAAAGGCAATTCAGCAGCATCAACTGGTAGCAGAGGGGGAAGAAATAGCACCAAAATTGTGTCACCTGTGCGGAGTCGTCTACTTTAAAAGAGGCCCCACGCTGTTGATTGACCTCAACCGTTGGATTTGCTCCGGGGGCTTTTCTGAGAAACACCAAGGCACTCGCATTGTGGTAAATGCTTGGTTCTTGCTGGCGATAGAGGGATGTGCCGCTTCAGCCAGAAAAAGAGGCAAGCAGCTCAGGTAGAGAGGAATTGGTCACAGGTGTAACTGGAGTGTCAGTGGCAAATGCCTGCCTCTACACCAGCAAGAGCAGCAGCGGGTCGTAGCCGCTTCACGATAGCCTTATACGGCAGCAGCCGGCCGTCGCACCTGATGATAATCCGCGTGCCATTACCAAAGGAGGCTTCCGTCTCATAGGCATCGATGGCCTTCTTTCCTGCAACCACCTCTGCAGCACCATCTGCAGTAGCCGGCGCTGATGATGTCAGCAGGCTATCGGCCCCCCAAGCGGGTGATGCACTACAGCAGGGCTCTTTTGCAGCAGTTAGCTGCGTTAGGTTTGCTGCTGGGGTAGGCGTAAGAAGTATAAACACTCGAACGCGTTGGGGGTGCTCTACTAGGACGCTCTGAATGCCTCTGTGGTGCTTCGTGGTGATTTGAGTTTCGTCGGGAAACACTACTGTTTTGTCCTGTAGAGCAACAGTGCAAAACAATGAAAAATACACCACGCATCAGCTACTGCGATAACTAATGATGCAGCGAATAAGGTATCGATGCGCGCCCCTTCTGCAAGTCACTGTAGGTTCCAAAGAGGTGGACGAGTCATCGGGAAAGGCTTAAGGCGGCTTTGTCTCTTTACACAGTTGCAGCTAAGGATTAGCCTTGGGTCTATTGCTTAGGGTCAAAAGTAATTTACCTCCTTATGCGTTTCGCGGGGTTCTCGGCCTTGAGGTATGTTCAACCGCGAGATTGCCCGCAGACTAGTGTTTGTGAAGGAAAAGAGCAGCCCCCTGCGAATATCCCTTTTGCTTGCCGAGAGACTGGGGGATAGGCGATATTCCATCCACTGCTCAGCAGTGGTGGGCCCTGCAACATTTCCTGACTCCAAGGAGAGAAGGGTGCGGAGCACGGACAGAACATGGTCTTCAGCTTCTTTTGCAGCGTCAGCCAAGGCGACTGGATGGTAAAGCAACACAGTTAGAGACAAAGGGGCACAGGGGAACCACCAGCCATTGGAGATTCCTTAAGAAACCAACGTAAAGCCTCAGTTCGGGCAATTTCAATAGACTTCTGAGGCTTCTATTGGCATATAGCGTAGAGAAACTTTCTAGGTAAAAAGGATGTACAGCTCAGGAAATATCGCTTGTAGAAAACCAAGCATCCCAGCAGCGGCACTTAAACGATAGCCACCATAGAACTCAGAGGGTAGGCTCTTCATCAACGTAACGCCTTCCCCCTCCAAAGGAAATGGGTGAACAAGATTGCAAGCATGGGGCACCTTACCCGGCTGGTGCCTGAACCTGCCAAATCGCTGACCATCTGAGGTGCAGGTCAGCCAATGGCCCGGGAAGCCCTGATCTTCCCTGCCTGCGTAACAACAGTCAGCATAAAATCTGAGTCCTTAAAGCCCACAGTCTTTATGATGGGGCATATCCGGTCCACAGTGCCTAAGCAAAGTGGATGCGGCAACGTCAGTTGCAAGGGATCATAGTCAGCCATCATCAAAGTGCAAAATTAGCCATGCAAGCGTAGATTGCTGCAGCTCTTATGGGTCCGATTTTTCCATCAGGTTGTTACATATTTTGCAGGTACCAATGTACTGCTGCTGCTGCCATCGCTAAAAAGGACCCCAAGGCAGTACCGGTTCCAAAGGGGTCGCCCAGTACAGCAAGCGACAGCTGCTTGAGGTCCTGCAAGCCTTTCTGGCAACCGGGGGGGAGACAGTTGTAAAGGTTTCCAAGACTCTTAAGAGCAGGCGGCAGTCCTAGTGAAGCGCAGCGGGAAGCAAATTCAGATTGGAGAGGCACACGAGAAACGTAGTCTCCGTTCTGCAACAAAGACAGCGGCAAGGCGCAAAACCAAACTCGTTGACTCAGCAGCTTTAGCAAAGTTTGATCTAACAAGTGCGACCGGTGCAGCAGCAGCTAATGCCAAAGGCGGCACTTTGCTAGTCAGGCAAGGGTGAGCCCCACTGGCATGAAGATTTCCACTCTGCCGGTGAGTGTTTCCCTGATCACTGCTCCACAGGGATGGACTCGTCTGTGGACCTCAGTGTCCTCACGGCAACCAAACCAGATGCGGGCGCTCCCCTGGTGAAGGAACACACTGTCTTGTGTTTCCACTGGTGCACTGATAGCAGCACTGGCACCAGCCTCGCCCTGTAGAGACGGATCCTCAGCAACTTCCGCAGCGTCAGCACAGGTTTGGTGACTATTGTGGATATGGCGCTCCCACAGGGAGCCGTCTGAAGTCACTTGTATCAAGTGACCTGAAAAAACGTCATGCAGTGCAAGCGCGCATCTCGTAGACTCTTTTGTATGAAAGGTGGCCAATAGCGGCGTACCTGATGCAATACCACACGCAGCTACTCACCTGACAAACTTGCTACCTCCACCAGCGTTTCCAGACAAGTTTCCATCAAGGTCCCTAACGTAGGCCTTTCTTTGGGTTGCTCCTCTTGTTCCTGCCTTGGCAGCTGATTCAGGGGCACTTGTTGCTCCTGATCCTGCGGTGGTGGCTCCTTCCTGTGCTGCTGTGCCTGCAGCCTCGCCTTATGGATCAGGGTGCAATCCTCTGATTGAAGGTCCTTTGGCTGCGGCGTTAGCCGTCGCACGGATGGTTTCAAGCCCCTGACTACGAGGCGATACCCACCCAGTAGCTGAGCTGCAAAGAGAGACACTTGGTCCGTCAGTAGCAGCCGCGCCTTTCCAGCTAGCTCTTCTGCTTGCTGCACTGTTTTTTCTGATGGCACCTGCTCTGCTTCCTGCTGCTGCGTCTGCTTCGGTTGTAGAGAGGAGATATCATTCAACCAGCTTCTCCACCGAGAAAGAAGAACCTTGTCTCTTCTCAAATTACAGCACGCGCCCGGCAACATCACCCGGCAGCTCCTCCACTCCCTAACTGGTGGAGGTGTTGCTGTATCCTCTGCAGCAGTTGCTGCTGCAGAACGGTCACTCGTGGAGGCCGTGGCAGCGAGAGATCCTCTCCCTGCGGAGGTACAGTTTCTCACAACAGGCCGTTTCCTTGGTGCAGAGGCGCTAGATATGAATCTAATCCTAATCCAGCCAGCCCTCTTGCACCAAAGTTTCAGCGTGCATGCTACCTGACAAGGTCTAAAGGGGCCCGTACTCGCTCACGTGCAGGCAACTTGAGGGGAGCTCTAGCCACAGGCGCTTGCGGTTCTTTCGAGGCCCAGGCAATGCAGGAGGGTTCCACAGCAATCCCAGTGGCATATGTAGTGGCAATGATTGTCACATGCTCCCCTAGATGCACATACACTTCGTGGGTGCGAGGAATTCCATGTCTCTCAGGCGGCAAGTCTATGAGACAACGGAGGCCGGGGGGCATGTTCGAAGCCCCAAGGTAGCGCCTCCACTCCCTGAAGCCCCTACGGGAAAAGGTGGCGGCAGACTTCCAGACATCAACGGAGCCTCTTGATGGACCGGTCCTGAAGCATAGGCAGTCCTGCTGTAGTTGGGTATCGTGACACGTGTGCTGCTCTATCCAGCAAGTCCTCAGCGAGGCATTAAAGTGCAACTGACTAGACAATTTGATAAGTATTGGGCCTCCCCGCGCATTTAGGCGCCTTCATCACACGCCTCTAGCGTGTGCAGCGTCTAAACAATGTTAAGGTTTTTGTAATTTGACTCAGTAGGGGTATCCAGGTGACCTAACCTGTGGGTGAGAGCAAGCAGTAAGTGGCCTGTCCTCGGCAGCACACGCCCGTCTATTGCAAAGTCTCTGCTGCGGATGGCGGCCCCAAGGAGCTGGGCAAAGCGATCGGCAGGGATTGTCTCCCTTACGCACCATCTACTTGCTAAGGGCTCTCCCGAAGGCCATACAGGGGCTCCTACAGGGGGTCCTCCGGCAATGGCGGAGAGGAGGCCCTCGAAGGAATGCATTTGCAGCAGATGCTCGACGTGTGATTCGGGGACGCCGGGGAAAAACGCGTAGGCGCGACACTGAAGGGCTAGTCTATAAAATTACAGCAAAATAAGTAACAGCAGCAGCACGCATTGCGAGGAGGCGATGCCAAGGAAAGTGGTGGCCTTCCCAGTGAAGATGGGAGGAGAGGGAACAATCATCTAGAGATCGACACAGCTACCAGGAAACGGACTTGCTGAGTTGCGGCTTCAAGTGAGGCCGCAGCTGTTGCAAAAAAACCCGGGGAATTGAAGTCTCTGCGGCTGCAATTGCCGCTGCTGACGCCTCAAGCGCCTCACGGAACACAGGATCTGGAGAAGGGGTGGCCGAACGTCCGCCTGTCGCTGCTTGCTGCTGTTGCTGCTGTTGCTGCTGCCCTTGCTGGTCGTCTATATGCTGTTGCTGCTGCTGCGGTTTGTCGTCTAGCGGCGCCTCAGTTTGTGCGCCATGAGCCCCTAGCGTCCTTCTGAGGGCCCAGCAGCACAACATTAGGCACATCCACTGGAGTTCGTGCGAGGGCAGCAGATGCAGAAGTGCCGACGGCCGTGGCAGCAAAGCTTGCAGGATGGGGTACTTGGGAAGCCCAACAAAACACAATTTTGTGGCTACACGGGTCAAGCCAGACACTTGGCCACTGGTGGGAGGCCCCTTCATCAGCTAAGCGCCAGTGTACAAAGCGGCGGCTTACTTGGCTCCTGCATCAGATGCTGCTTGCTGCAGCATGCAGTGCAGCAACAGCGCAACCGAGGTGTCATCGGGGTCTGCAGCTCCGGTTAGGGAGTTGTACAATCTGCAGGCAGCACTCATGACATGACCCTCACCAATGCAAAGACGGAAGCGGCAGAACCAGAAGGCCAGTGGGGTCGAACATGCCAAAGCTGGCTATAGGAGGGCTGCAGAGAAGTCAATGCACTGCACAGCAGACAACAGACTTACTTGGGGCGTTTATGTTCTGGCGCTTTTGCTGGTTTGGAAGGCTTTTCTCGCTCATGAACAGCGCCTTCTCCGCCCTCCCGTCGAGCACCCTGCCTCTGCTGCTGATGAGCTGGAGGTCCTTTTGCTGGGCTTGAAGAGGGGAGGAGGACAGAAGCAGCAGGCGCTTCAGCCTCTAGTGGTGCCGGAGCCTCTCGATTCAGTGCTCCAAACGTCTCTAGGGGAACGTATCCCACAAACTGGCGGTATTCTTCCCTCTGCTTACAAATTGTGGCTGCAGCATCTACAAGCTTGAGCAGCAGGAGCTCTGGATTATCTGCGTGTTGCCTGCAATCACAGACCTCAAGCCTTAAGTTCTAGTCGACACAGCAAAACTGGGCGTAGACTTGAGAACACGAGAATTTTGCCGAGTAGCCTTAAGGTCGGCACTTAAGCCAAGAGTGAAGATGTAGCCAGGAACAGAAACTGACTTATTACAGTCTGAAATTGAAATAAGCTCAGCAGCCACCGTGGAGTCTTCTGTCTCTGCTGCTTTTAGGGCTGCAGCGAACTGTTCTGCCTCAGCTGCAACAAGGGCAGCTGCTGCGTCGGCAAGGTTTGCAGCGGTTAAGGCAATGAAAACCCCCAATCCCATTCCCGTCGCCTCCAGGGCTAATAGGAGTCCAGGGCACCATGAGAGACCGCAGAGGCATAGCAGGAGATCCAGGGATGCACTTTGGCTATCGTCTTGCTCTGGCAGTTTTTCCGCCGTTCGCTGTTCATACAAGGAGGCTGGGGCTGCGGTGGCAGCGGCGAGTGCGTTAGCCTTCTCCTGCCTGATGGCGGTTCCATACTCTGTTATTAGGGCGAGGACTATACGGGCCACATCTGGAGGCTGTATAACGCAATCAACCAAAGCTCGCAAGCTCTAATTCTTTAAAAATCACAGCTCAAGCCCTAATCTTCATACTATTACCGTGAGCTTTCAGCACTAAGCCTGGGGGCACGAACACCAATGTCGTCCTACTTTGAGATCTGCAAAACTCCTGGCTTTTGTATCAGATAGCACTGACTGTCTCTTAGCGTATAAAAAGAGCTCCTCTGGCAGAGCGACCACCACTCGACAGCTCCGGATCTCCTGGACATAGAATAGCACGACAAGGCCCCAACCAGAGATGAAAAATGAAGGCATATAAAGTCTCTAAGGGTTAGTACGGAGCGAAACAGCAGGGAGGGAAATACGAGGAGGCATTCAGACGTGCAGGGCTCTGAGGCATTCTCTTGCGTACAGGGGGATGACCCGTTTTGTCTACCCGCTGTTGTGATGCGTCTGCTAAGTCCAGAAGCATCTCCAGACAGTCAATATACTGCTGTTGATTCTCAGTTTCCACTCTCTCGGAGGCGCCCTTAGGTGGGCGAGGACTGGCGACAGCCCCAGTTTGTGCAGATACAGCAGCAATGCAGAAGCGGAAGGGGAGTGCATCTGCTTGAGGTGCATTGGCAGCAGCAGCTACAGGAGCAGCCCCTAGCCTCCTAGGAACCCCTTCCCTGGGTCTTAGTCCTCCAGGGGCCGCCACAGGCGGCACTGTTTTCGCCGCAGGAGTAGAGCGCACAGAGGGGCCCACCGAGGGCCCGCCTGCCTTCCCCTTTACAGGCATGACGGAAAGCAGAGCAGAGCATTCATTGGGTATGCGTCGGTCCGGAAAGTGGAAGGCGCCTTACACGATTAAGAACCCGGAGGACGAGTCAAGCCCGGTGTCGTGTGTCCTTAACCTTTCAATAGAATATTTCAATACGCCACGGCAGCAATTCGAAACTGGATTCTTACTCCCCGAGGATTCTTATACGGGGTAAAATTTGCTGGTTAGTGCCCGGAGGCATCGGGTAAGCGGCGATTTTGTGGGACGGGCCCCGATGCACATGCCTGGTGGCGGAGGTCACTTGCTCGTCTCCTCGCTAAGGGCGCCGTAAATTCTGGCTGAAGAAATTCCTGTTTTGAGGCTTTCAAGGAAATACAATTGCATGCATTGAAATTTGCATATCAAAATTTTTCTTTCCAACGTTTCCGGAAAACTGGCAATTCACAGCTCCGAGGATTTGGCTGGACGCCCGCTGATTGGGCCTTCAAGGCACGTGGTATAGGAGGATCTAAAGCGCAAATCAATTTCACTGCACTGGTATCCGTGTAGCACAAACCTCTTAAGGCAGAGGTGCTGATGCCCCCGCGGCCGATCCCGCGGTCAAATCGCCCGTAGAGGAGTCCGGACCATGCTTTGAAATCGAGAGACTCAAGGCGACCCTACAGTGCGAAAAGCAGCTATTAGAATTTACAACAATCTCCAGCTATCTGCTCTCGTTCAGGGTGCAGGAACTATCAATACAGGCATTTCGGCATATGTATGAGGTATCAGCCGCTTGATTACGCTCTGTGCGGCTGTCGATCCTCACCAATAGAGACCTGTTCTGTGCCAATATCACCAAAGGGCAGGAGAACTGAGGGCATTTCGTACACTATTCAGGTAGGCAGGTTCCTCTAAGCCTACTTAACATCAACTGCTTGGCCCCAAATGTGGGGCTAAACAGTTCCTTGGTGTGCCAGCAGTAAAGCTGCAAACAAGTCCAAGTTTAGGCTGCATACAGAAACTAAAACACTCCGTTTGTAAGGGTAACAGCAACTGCCAAGTTAGACCGTGTATCTTTTTCGCTGGGCTTTTTCCAAGGGGTGGACTCATCGGCCAGCCCCTATTCCACCCAAACACTCTAACTCCTTTGGGGACTCCTCTACACGCCCTCATTTAGATGTCCGTCTACCACAGTTTCTAAGGGGAGTAAAGATTTCCAGCAAGGTCCAAAAAAAGGAACGTTCCCCCAAATTCAAAGGCGAAACTCCGGCTTTAAGACAATAAACTTTTGCTTGTCTTCTGTGGCCTCCATCTTGCACACTTTGTGGACTACCGCCTAAAAGGATTTCCACAATCCCACCCCAAACCGATCGCCCCAGAAAATCAGTATACCATACATACATGTACCCTACACCCTGCGGCACAGCGGCCAAAGCCCTTATGGCCTTACGCCTTCAGCGCTAACTGCTCTGGTTCGAGTTCGATTGCAGCAGCACTGCAAGCAGTCCCAAGCTCAGCTGTGGCCCTTACCTGGATTCGCTTAAACTCCTCGTTTTTCTGTTTGACCTTAAACGCGCTCATGAAGTCCTGAGCAAATCAAGCGCGTTGAGAAAAACGCAGTGCCCCGTCAGCATCCCCCCGGGTTTACTTCTAAGGTTCGGGGCCTGCAACCCTGGTTTCGATAAAGTCGTTGCATTGATTCGTTTATGTACATGAGCAACCAAGGCCTTAAAGCAAGTTCTGACAGAGGCGAAAAATTATACACCACGGAAACTGGAAACAGTGAGTCAGCCATACCTTGACGGCCATCCTGCCCATGTGCTGCTGCATGACCCGCACCACCTTGGCCTCCAAGGTTTCCCGAGTGTCCTCTGGCAGTTGCGAAATCCTGAAATCCACCGACTGTTGAAGCGGTGCTGCTTGAGACCCTCTTGACGCAGAGGATACAACCGAACGCTGGCCTACGTCGGAGGGGGGACCGCCCGTAGGGCCAGGAGTCGCAGGCTGTGCGTCTTGCACCTTTTCTTCTGCGCCTTCCTGAGAGAGTCGGCTCGCGCATAACAACGGAACGAAAAGAGACCATGATTCACTTATCCGGTACGAGGAAAACCTACCAATGCACTGATGAGGCCGAGAAGCCTCGTGGGTGGCAGGGGCAAGCAGGGCTAAAGCAGCCTCTGCGCAGCTCATCTGGCTGTAAGGTCGCCTTTTCAATGACGAGGCACTTGAGCAGCTAGCGTCACAGCCTTGCATCAATTCATTAGCACCGACTCCTGCTCCTCTACCACCCAGTGGCTAGCCGGCCTAAAAGCCGGGAAGCCGCGCATCTAGCTGGCTAAGTTTGGCGCTATACATCTGCTGTGCTGGTATGGTGGGGAGGTGGCAAGTCTGCAGCCAGTCACTAGCTGTTTCATAGCCTCCGCAGGCAGCAATCTTCGAAAGCGCATAGCGCTTTCTAATGGGAGGAGGGTGGTCCTGCAGCTTACTTCATCGTCATCATCAGAAGCGTACTGATTAAGCTCTGCGTCTGCTTCTTCGTCGCGGGCTTTCTCCAGAAGGTTTTTCATTTTCTGAAGAGCCGCGGCGGAAACAAAGGCACCCGAAGCAGCAGGCAGTGGCGTGTGCATCGAGCAGACCCGTGGCAGCCGCTACAATGGCTGCTGGCAGCACCAGCAGCCACTGCAGTCACAACAAAATGAATCGCACCTGCCCAAATGAGGTAAGAGGGTCCTCAGGGTCGTCATCTGTCTCCGAGTCTACAGGCTCAGCCTCGAGGGTATCTGCAGCGTTGTCTTTAGCGTCTTGCGGCGCCTCGCCTCCCTCATCATCGCTCCTCTCGCCTTCTTCAAAGTCCCAGGTTACCGCTTCTTGCCGTAGATTGCCGATACTCAGTGCTCTGCAGCATCCGAAAGCGTCGAAGCAGAGAGAGCAGCATTTGAAGGAGGCGAATGGAACGTGAGCAAGCCTTGCTGCCACCGGAAGCAAGTAAGCAGCGCCCTTCTCCTAGGCGCATGCTGTATGCAGATGTTCAGATATACAATTTCCATTTCCCACGCAGCTTTAGGCTAGTGCAGAACCCACGAATCTATGTACTCATTGGCAGCGCTCTTGCCGCCCCTGTCCTTTAAGAAGCCCTTGAGCCTTTTCTTCTTCTGCCTGAGAACCCAAATACGCAAATCGCCGTGCAGTCACTTGGAGCGGTTTGCACTCCAAAAGCTTCGAATGCCACTCCCGATCGCACATCGTGCACAGCCCGAGATAACACAATTCTATGTGTGCATAAACCAAAGAGGCTCCCGAGCCCACATGTTCCGCATGTGCTGAGAGTATGCATGCATGGACGCACAGATGTAGATGCATATGCATACTCTACAAGACCCCACACGCCTCGTGCAGCAAAGGAATGATGTAAAGGTAACGCCCTCAGCTGCAGCTAATCCCGCAAAACACCGAGGTGTACGAATAGACTGCCCACAACCACACAGGTCTACACGTAGGGTCGAAGAAGTAGGAAGACGATTGGAGCTTAGACGCCTGCCTTTCGAGTCCTAATTCGTCTTCAAAGAGACTGCTGCTGGCTGCAGTCCCCTGCACGGCACCCCTGCGTGTCTCTTCGTCGCTGTCGCTGCCTCGGCGAAGGCCAGCAGCCCTCTGCGTCAAGGCGGCCTCAAGGGAAGCCTGTGCCTTCGACTGCACACAGCCATGACATCCTCACGCTACAGCGTTTAAGTTCGAAGGTCGTAGTAAGCAGCCCTTACTGTACGCGCTAGTGAGGTGTATGCTCTGAGGGGTGACACAGCGCTTGAGAAGGCGACGCACAAGAGGAGAGGCTGTGCGCAGTTGCCTTCGCGAAGGGAGGGAAGAGGAGGTTTACTAAAAGGAGGTCCATATATATATACAGAGAGCAGCAGCAACAGACGTATTATTAGCCGCAGCAGCAGAAAACGCACCCGTTGTTCGATTTCTTCGGGGGATGGCTGTTGTGTCGCAAGGGTCCTCTCGAAAGTGAGCCACTCGGAGACTGGCAGCACGTCGATGACGCCCTGCAACACCCCCGACAACCACAAATGCACACGTGTTGTTATAGGACTGCTGCTGCTGCTGCCGCCTCTCCACCAGGGGGAAGGAAGAAAAGGAGGAAGGCAGGGGGGGAGGGGGGGGGCCTGCTCAGCAAACGTAAGTAACCTGGTTTTCCACGAGAAGGAAGAAGCAGGAGGCGTCAACTTCGTTTTTTCGCGTGATAAACGTTTTCTGCTGCGGACGGCGGGGGGCCATCGACGGTAGGGTCGAGTCCATCTCCCCTTGCTGCTGCTCTGTCTCTTGGTGGTGCTGCTGCTGCTCTGCCTGCAACTGCTGCATATCAGAAGAATCCCGCAAGCGCCAAGGAGCAGCAGCAGCCGCGGCAGCGACTACATGCGCCTCTGAACCGGGAGGCAGCTGCAATACGCCGCAGAGCACACCAAAGATAGAAAGACAACACACTTTCCTAGGGCAAGCGAAAGGCCCAGCCGCAGCTCTTGCCCCTTGTTGCTGTGAGGCTTCTCAGCTACACCGGCTGCTCTCCTTTAAGAGTCGCAGCGCTGTCTGCCGCCTGTGTCTTTGCTCTTGTTGTTGCCACACATGTGCGACAGCGCATTTGGTACGCGCTCTCCTTGTGTGATCACACCAAGAAGAAGCAGCACTAGAGCAGCCAGACAACCTATATTATGTTTTTGTGCGGCTCTAGAGGGCTGCCTCTGTCAAGAGGCATGCTGCAGCAAGCCACGATTGAAGTCATGGCGACCATTTGCCTACCCATGGCCTCAACAACACCCCACCGCTCCTCACCTGCCCCCCTTCCTCCCCCCCCCCTAAATGACACTTACCACAGGCACATCTTTAGAAATGCAGATCGGTTGCTTGAGAGACCTCAGCCTCTCCGGCAGCTTTGCGACAACAAGAGACTTGGCCTGACGGCCGGCATTAAAGCGCAAACGGCGTACTGGCCCTGATGGTCGCAACCCGCACGCACACAAAAAGCCTCTCAGATGCGTCACAAAGCGCTACAAAGCGAGAAACAGAAGGTGCACACAGTCAATCAACCTTGTGCCAGGCATGCAAATGTACAGAGAGCTCACCTCCACTCTGCAGCAGCTGCTCTGCTACCAACTCAAAAGGGACAATCTCCGATGACGGGGGGCCGCCTCCAATAAATTGGGAAGAGGGCGGAGTGGCTGCAGGCCCGTACGCGCGCTGTACGCCTCCTCCACTACTACTACTGCTACTGCTACTGCTGCTGCTGCTGCTACTGCTGCTGGGGTAAGGGCTATAGCGACTGCCAGAGGCGTTCGCTGGTTGGCTGCTGCTCCATGGGACGAGCTGCTGCTGGTGTTGCTGTTCGATCTGCTGTTTGAGGCTTAGCCCTCGGCTCTGCGGTGCTTGCGCTGGCTGTTGTTGCTGGTGCTGTCGGTGCTGCCGCTTGCGCTGCATATCCGGGGTCCGTAGGGGCTTCATTAGGGGGCCCCTCATTTTCTTTTGCAGCTCAGGAAAATCCCGCTCAAAAGCGCCCTAACTTAAAAGAAAAGGTAGCACTCAACTCAAGCTATAGAGGTGGGGCATCGGAATATCCTCAACGAGAGCAGCAGACGCTGCAGTGACGGCGAGTTGAGCTGCCGTTCTTCTCCCGCCGCGCGAGGCCTGTGCAGGAGGAGGAGCGAGGCAACTCCTGCTACACCCCAGAAAACTTTGCGCCAATCAGTGCTGCACCTTTCGAGAGTGGTGGAGCAGGAGACGCGCGAAGAGTTCCCTTGAGTGCTTTCACCTGCTGCGGGTGTTCTTAGGGATGCCGTTGCCGCAGTGTCGAAGGGGCCACGCTGCTGACGCTGCCTTGTGTTTCACGACAGGCTTTCTTGAGGAAGCTGTAATTCTGCTGGAATGGGGCCCCCTCGAAAAAGCCGCCTGTCGGTCAGTCGCTAGAGCTAATGCCAGTGGCGCTGCTGCTGCCAGCGCAGAGTGCACGACGGATGATGGGCCGTTCTCGCTGCGAAGTGCAATGGAAGACATGCGGCAGACTACCTGCCTACCGCAGGCGGACGGGGGTGGTTCCTCGTGTTACAGCAAATGGAAGCAGTAAGCCTCGTCAGCACTCAAAAACTGCGTATTTGAGCACCCGAAGCGCCGTGCAAGGGCGCTGTTCAACGGCAGGCTGCCTTTGCCCCCAGCGACACGAAGGGCCGTGAAATTCATGTATTTTAAAAGATTTATGCGTCATACGCTACAGGCAGACTGCTGATGTGGCCTCCTTTTCTGCGGCCACAGCAGCCAGCCCCTGCTCGGCTGTGGGGCCCCCGTCTGACAAGGATCGCGAACTGGCTGTCTCCAAGCCTCAGCGGTGGCTCACTGAGAGGCACCGTTCCCCGTTTCATCCTTAGGAGGCAGCACTGCCTGCAGTTCAGTGTACACCGGAGGTTCTTTTTATAGAGTCCCGCCTGCGCCCGTGGATCCCACCCGTCGGATACCGATGAACTGCCGTCAGCCTGCTATCCAGCTGCTGCTCTCGCTCGCTGCCCTCACTCTCTGCACCTTGCTGCAACAGCAGCCAGCGAGGTGCTACACTGCAGGAGGGGGTTGGGGGCCTCGATCTCTGACGGGGGGCCTGGTTTTGACAGCAAAGCCTTATTGCAGCGGCAGCAACAACGCCCCCGCCTTCGGTGCCTCGAGGGGATGCAACAACTCCCTGTACATGGAGAAACCAGTATTGCCACTCTCTGCGTAGGCGGCATCTCGCAAAGAACCTCCTCTCCAGGCCCTCCGCGATTCTGCACATTTACATACATTTACTCAGCAGAGATGCCTCCCTCGTGTTGACACACATGTACCCGGAGCGCGGGAGGGAAATGGGGAAGGGAGAGAAGAAGGAAAAAGGGGAAGGGGGAAGCCCGCTTTGTATTGACAGAATGACGTCACATGTCGCATATGGAGGAGGAGCCTCTTTTTCTAAAGTGGTGTCATATGTATCTACAGGGGAACCGAGATTCCTGAGGCCTTGGGAGCTTCGTTGCTGCAAAGCGACATGGCCGCAGAAGAGGTTCCTCCGGTGAGCTTAGGAGTGCTCACTGTGGGGAACGGCGGGGGAGGGGGGGAGAAACTGTACTGCTGGCATCTGGAGATGTCTTCTCCGTAAGCTAACGATTCGGGCCATCTCGGGACGTAGCCTTCTAGCTTGTTCTTTAAAATTTACGATTGGGAATGTTTTTGCAGGAGACGACGGAAGAAGTGAAGCAGCAAATCCGAACGAGGCGCCTTGCCAACCCTTGTAGGTCCTTCGAAATCCTGTATGCTGTTGCCTCCTTTGAGCTGCGACTGTTTCTTTTCCGCCAACAAAGCCCAACACGTCATATCTGGCCAGTCGTCGCACGCGGTGATGCTTTGCATCCTAATTCCAATTTCCTATTTACTCAGTTCTCCCTGCGCTTTCCCCCCCAATTGCTTCGCCTGCTTTCCAAATTTTCTATGGCGCTTGCAGTGCTCGCCTCCCGGCCCCTTCAAAATGACGCTCTCCGTGTTGCCCTCATGGGACCCGAGGCGTATGCCGCTCTAGTGGCCAACGCACCTTCAAGCGCTAAGGGCCCCCAAAAGGATTCCCCGCCTCATCTCGACACTTTTGCTGTTCCAGTTTGGGTAATGAGGCAAGCGGGGAGGTATCTGCCGGAGTTCAGGGCAGTGAGAGCTCAGCATTCGTTTCTTACTGTAAGGTTACTTTAAAGGGCTCCCCCTGTTGCTGCATCAGTCTCCCTTGTAGCTGCTGGTCTCCCTCGTTCCTATGGCCTGCAGCATCATCCTCTGGGCCTTCGTTCTGTAACTCCGTCCCCTCCATCATCCAGCACTTCTCCCCCCCTTTGTCGTTTGGTGCAGGTGTGTCGAGATCCCTTGCTGGCAGCGGAGGTGACCCTGCAGCCCTTGCGGCGCTTCCACCAACTAGACGCAGTTATTATCTTCAGCGACATTCTCGTTCTGCCCGAGGTACGCGAAAAGTTATCCTGTTGGCTTCTAGGTTCGAGCAGGCCCTCAGGCGCGTTTTAGCTGCAAGGCCTCGAGCTCGGTCTGACGCCGTCTCCACACTCCACTTAGCCCTCCCTACCAATGGCGGCAGCGCTACCTGAAGCCCCCCTCATTGCGGCAGCTGCCAGAAGCGTCACATAGGCGTAGCGAGAAGGGACGCTTCATTGCCTTCCATATATGGGTGGTAGCGACACTGCAGGCCATGGGGATGCCTCTTTCCGTAGAAGGCGCAGGGCCCCGGTTTGACTGGAGACTGCAGAGCCCCGCAGACATTCGACGTCTGGACACCACATTTAACGTGGAAGACAAACTTGGTGAGGGTTTACTAATTTCTGGCCTCCACGTCCAGTTCTAGCGTCCAGTATGCCTCCCTGTTCTCGTGTACTTGGCACTTCTCCGCTTACGCCTTAGCTCGTAATTTTTGGTGGGTTTAGCGCCCCTTGCCCTTACCACCGGGTTCCTTTCGTGTTGAAAGGTGATTCTCCAGCAATCTCTGCGGGCATTGGCTCTTGTGAGCGTGCCTGCTCCTGCTCACCAGGTTATATCTTTGACGCGATCTTTGCAACCGTAGAGAAGCTGGAAGGACGCGTACCGCTGATAGGGTTTTGTGGGGCACCCTTGACTCTCCTTTGCTACATGGTTGAGGGACGTTCCTCAGCTAACGGCTGGCGCAGTTGCAAGGAGTTTCTCTTTGCGTATCCTGAGGAGTCCCTGCTGCTGCTGCAACAAATTGCTGCACTAGCAGCACAGTACCTAATAAAGCAGGTTGACGCCGGGGCGCAAGTGCTGCAGGTACGAGGAGGATGACGTCTTCCATAAGCTGGTTTGTGCAAAATGTGTACTTACTCAGGGAAGGAGAAAGACGTTTAACAGCTGGCGTCTGTGCATCCAACCCGCAGTTGCTGCTGAAGGTTGGCTTGCTGTGGTGCAGGTCTTTGACACAAGCGCGGGGTTTTTTTCTCCCGAGCAGTACAAACGGTTTGGCGTTCCTTTTATGACGCAGATTGCTGAGGTACGGGGTCCTTCAGTTCTTATTGTGTTCAACTGTGTGAAACATGCCTTCTGTGGTCACGAGGCTGTTGCTGCTGGAGCGTGTTGCAGCACCTTAGCCGTACCGAATGCAACTCTGTATACTTTTTTCAGTGCGTTTGGCGAACTTTGTTTCGTGGGGAGTACTGACTTGTTCAGCAGCTCGCCTTGACTGTATTCCAGCTGTTTCTCTTCCGTTCATGCCTGCGGCACCCCTTCGTGTTTCCCTTTGCGGTTCCTTTGGTGTGATCGCAGCTAGGGTGTTCTTTTTTCCTTGTGTTCTCAGGAAGTCTCCGCTGCACGTCCAGGTGTGCCGCTGATTGCATTCCCTAAGGACCAACCTCTGGACGCCTTTGCTGGCTCAGCTTTCTCTGCGGTCAGCCTTGGCTGGGGTTCAGAAAGGGCAGTCGCGAAGGCTCGCTTCCAGCAGGGGACACCACTGGGGATGAGGCCTCCTCTCGACGATGTGGGCGTAAAAGCCCTCCAGGGGAACCTTGACCCTTCTATCCTCTATGCTCCAGACGAGGTTCTCAAGCAGCAGACTGCGGAGATGGTGAGCACAAAGGGGGAAATGGCCAACCACATGCTATTATCCGCTACCTTAATTGCGCGTACAAACCTACCGTGCGGCTCCATGCCGCAATTTCGCATCTCCTTGCGTCTCCCACCGTTGTACCTAAATAGCCTCCGCTGCAGTTGTGGCGTCCAGGTGCGAGTGGCTGCCTCTGTGCCTTTTCAGGTCCGGAGTTTTCAGCCTGGGCGCTATGTTGCCAACCTTGGCCATGGGATGGAACCCCAGATGGACCCTGCAAAGCTGGCTCTCTTCCTACAGACCGTCAAAAATACGGCAGCGGAGATAAAGAAGGAGTATGCATCCAGGCAGAGAACGTGACTAGCGAGCTTGAGAGCCACACGTCGATACCTCGGTCTAACCAAGCCTCGGCTGCCTATCAGCCCCCTTTCCTTGGCGGTCTATTCATCTACAGCCTACCCTCTGCGGAATCCCAAAGGGGACAGGGGGACCCCCATTTGTCCAAGAGGGGTTAGCGGGCTGTATATGCCTCTTGATAAGCACACGGCCCAACACCCTTTTGTCTCGGCCTGGGGGTGTCTGTCAAGAAGCATTTCAACAGAATAGCTCTGTCGTCCCTTTGTATTCCTATTCGCAGTATCTCTTGATAGCCCTGAAGAGTTTGCTACGGGGCTTTTAAAGTAATCGGTTCTCTAGAACTATGGCCTTAAGTCTCTTTTGTGTATTGAACGCCTTGGGCACTGATGCATTGACTTGTGTCCCAATCCCAAGTCATTCTCTCTACGCCTAAACTCTCTTTTAAGCTGGAACGAATCCCCCATAGAGACACTGTAAAAATTCCCACTGAAAGAATATACTTCTCAAAAGCCCATTTTGCTAGGGATACCGAAAAAATACGGGAGCGGCCCTAAGAGGGCCCACTGGAGCCTTCCTCGGTATGACAAGTCGTATCGCCTACGTCTGTCTTGAGCCTTTTGGAAGTCTCTACGCAGTCTTCGGGGCTCATATAAAAAGCTGGGTCCTGCAATGGATGCTTTATGCGACTGCTACTACTGCCGCAATCCTTCGCATTTGCCTCCCCAACTATGGATGGGACGTTATTTCCCGCAGCGCGATGCAACACGTACGACATCGCACCCATCTCACGCAGGAGTGGACACGACCCTCGGGAGCCCTGCGCACGCGCGCAGAGACAAAAAGAAATGCCTAGGAACTTGGGAAGAGAAAGAGGTACCAGGCAGCAGGCCGCTAAGAAACACAGAAGCAAGCACACAAAGGCAGACTCACGGACAGAACTACAGGAGATGCACTAGGCCCACTGCGATGTCAGCACACATGAGGAAGTAACGAAACCTCATAGGAGAAATGCAGTGGAGCTACAAGGCAAACCAGCAGAAACACGACGCAGGAAACGAACAGGCAGCAGGTGGGCGACGGTATCCGGAAAGCTCATCGCCTAGGAGCAACCCCACCTCAATCAATACCTTCCACAGTTTTGCGCAATCCCAGCGGCCCCCCTCAAGAACTGCGGAGACTAGCCGCGAAACGCGAGAATCTTCCAGCAGCTCGGGCACCCCCCACGCGAAGTAGCGCATGCGCCGACCACTAAGGCTCGACCCCAGCCACTGAAGCAAGAACTTCAGCTGAGGATCTCCTCCGAAGCAGCCGCAGCCCCAGTTACCTGCACGCACCACCATTCTCATCAGGAAAGCGTCCACTGCACTGCAGAGGAGCCTCAGAGCCCAGGTGCTTGTCACTGAGGGCGATTCTTACCCCTTGGTGCCTACCTGTCGTAAACGGCCTCAAGAGCCGTTCCTTGCTCGGCCTTGCTGCTTGTACTGTGTAGGATGCAGCCCCTGCGGTCGGCTCCAGAACCTCTTCCCGGGGAAGGTGAAGCGCAGCACAAACCTTCTGGAGTTCGCGTAGCATCAAAGGCACTTGGAACTGACATGACGGGTGCAGGACCTCTTTCGCTGCCGCATTGCTGCCGTGCATCAGCCCCCGAACTCCCAGAATCTCGTCCGCTGCTGCAGCACGCCGTGCAGCTCTGGGGGAGCCAAACCGCCGCGCGTCTAGAGCAGTAACAACAGAGGCTATCTCGATTCGCAGTAAAGAATAGCCGCTGCAGTTTTCTTCAGACTCTTCGTCGGGCGTTTCTACCACTGTCTGCGGCTCAAATTGTCGCCTTGGACGCCGGCCAGGAAGGCCTTTATAGAGACCCCTCCGAGGTGTGCCCCACTGCACGCGGATGGGCGTGTGGTCGACGGCTTCAACCCCTTCAACACCGTCCCCCCATCCCCTCCAGCCTGTATCCCGGACTGTGTTCCCAGTGTGCTGCCTGTTACAGCAACCTGAATCTTCCTCCTCGTCATCTGAGTCGAGAGGCAGCAGCACTTGCCGCTTTCGTGGAGCCTGCGCGTCCCCCTGCATCGCATTCGACTCCCCTAGGGGCTGCTGGTCCGCGAAACAAGCCGCCTCCTCGTGGGTACTTGCAGCCTCGCCATGCCCCTGAGGCTGCGCGACCTCTCTTTCCCGCTTGCCTTGAGCATTCTCTTCTTTACTAGGATCCCCGCGAAGAATTTTTCCTGTGTTTCGGCCGCCATTCAGACGACAGCGGAAGGTGCGAGCATACCCTGAAAAATTCGAAAAGCGCAGAGAGCCCCTGCAGTGAGCGGCTTCCTTCGCGGAAAGATGTTGACTGAGAGGCCGCAGCAGCAGGAGCTCCGGACAGAGGGCAAAGAAAACTTCTTCCTGCAAACACCCTGTGGACATGCGGAAAAATGCAGCACTCACAAAAAAACATTAGGCTGCAGATAGGGGGGCCTTGAAGGGCCAAATCGTATACAAACTGATGGCTTTAAGGGGAAATTCCGAAGCGCTCCTGTGTTCTGTCAATACAGCTGAAGAGAGATGCAGGAACCGTTGTACTGTCGAGCCCAGCGCCAACCATAACAGCAATCGCAAGATCAACAGCAGTACATTTTTCGGCCCCCTACCATGGTAAAGAATGCCTCCTCCTATGACCTTATTAGCAAAATCAGCTCTGATATCGAGGGCCTCACTGCAGGGGATGCCTCCCCCCTCTACGACCTCCTGAACCACCTCTGGCACCAATAGAGGCTGCCGCTGCATCGCCACGGACTCCGAACTGCAGCGAGAAATGCCCGCTTGTGCTCTGGAAATACGGAGACATCGCAGCACGAAACAGCAAGGGAACGACAACGGCCAGGGCCTCTCGCACGGAGGGGCCCCCCTTTGTGGAACTGCAGCTATGACGGAGGATCTCCACACGTAGCTGCTGCATGCGCCGCAGCCACAAAAGGAGGCCTCGCTGCCGTTGCTTTGGCTGCTGCTTGGAGCCCTTGGATCTCGTAACTTCTCTGGCTGCTTGCAGAGTGTCGCTGCTGTGGTAGCAGGTCCATAAGGTGTAGTACCTCGCCGCGCAAGAAGGCCGCTCACCTCCTCCTCCAGCAGCAACGATAGCAAGCGGACTACCTCCTGTTCAGAAGTATCTTTGCAGCAAGTAAAGGCTAGGTGAGGCGGCGCGAAGGCGAAACGAGAAAGCCCTTTCTGCACACACTTGGTGTGGAAGGCATCAACCGCTGCAGCCATGCAGCAGCAATACCTGCAACAGAAAGAATAACAGCACCCATATTGATGCAGATGAACGGGCTCTTTGTTTCGCCCGTTGCTGCTGCTTCTACGAGCTCGGGAGTGCCTCCTCACCTGATGAAGCAGTGCAACTTGGCAGACTGCTCGGGCGCTGGAGAGCATTAAAGGCACAAGCAACAGTAGGGGAACATCGGCTCCGAACAAAAGAGCCAAGCATTGCAAACGAGAATACACTTCTTGGCCTACCTCCTTCTAGGAGATACGTATGTGGACATGCAGGTAGCAGCCTTCAGCGGGAGTGCACAAAAAGGTGGGGGCGAGGAGAAAAGGCCGCGCACATACTGCGCATTAGGGAACGACGATGAGGCGCGCATGCACCTCAGAGCAGAGTTATGCCAACAACAGAAGCAGCGACAGCAGCAGGAAAACAACAGCAGTGGCGGACCTGTGAGATCAAAAAAGTCGGCAAAGGACATATCTCCCAAGTCTGCGAATCCTGTAACTGCCATCTGCCACTCTGGAGAAGGCAAAAGCCCTAAGAAGCCTAATCCAAAGAGTACCCAACCCTCTCCTGCGCTCAGCTCGGCAGCACAGCTAGCTACATGGTCATTCCAACTGCTGCTGCTGCCGCAAGCTCCGCTGCTGCAATGCTTTCGCAGCTGCAGCCTTAGGCGGCAAGACGCACATGTGCATGAACAAACTTCTCCAGCCTTTCCCTTTTCGCCTCCTGCTGGAACTCCCGCTGCTGCTGCTGCTTCTCCTGCTGTTGTTTCTGCTGCTGTTCTTTCTGCTGCTGTTGTTTCTGCTGCTGTTGTTTCTGCTGCTGTAGTTTCTGCTGCTGTTGCTTCCGCATTGCCACCACCACGGGCATCGATCGAGGTCCCAGCCGTTGGTGGTACTGGTGCAGGTTCCATCGAGGAAGAACATGCGCATCTAGGAAAGATTTTTTCAATCGACAGGATCGCCTCAATCAGTAAAGGCAGGGCTCGAGCGAAGAAAGGCTCACTCGCTGCCTGAGGCACTGCAGCAAACAACCGTGGGACGTTTGGGTAGCTATTGCCTGACGGCCGAGTTGGAGACAACAGGCGCTGCTGCTGCTCCCACTGCTGCGCTCCATGGCTTGATAGAATCTTTTTCTTAGCGTCCTCTGAGGAAGTATTCGGGGTTGGATGATGGAGGGCTGCCTGCTGTGCCAAGGCCATCCGCTCAAGATACCCCTCATACACTGCGCATTGCAGATCCCTCAAGAGTTTCTGTAGCTTTATTGCACTGAGAGGCTGTGGGATACTCTGGGGAAGGGGCTCCTTTCCCAGTGGGAGCTCTTCAGGGGTTTGCACTGCGTCCTTCAGGACGCAGACAGCCCGCTGCCATTCTAGCGGAGGGTTCAGGTGATGTAGCAGTAGCAAAGTCGTGCGACGGTGGTTCCATAATCCGGCCTGCTTCCTTACGCACATTACCGCTGCTCGGTGAGGAGGCTTCTCTCTTTTCGGCCGTTGTTACAGGTGCTGTCTTGCTCCGCCTGCTTATCGATGGCTGCTTGCACCTTGGAAGGCTGCTACGCACACCGCTGCGGGAGGAGATCGCACTCCTGGATTCTGAGCACTCCTGGATTCTCAGAGCCCTCCGGCCCGATGCCTTTAGCTGTGCAGATATTTGCAGTGACACATGTCACTAACTGAGTAAATCCTGCAGCGGAAGTGCTCGACTGACTAAGACGCTGTAGTGGGGCGCCCACTGTACGATATCGTGACAAAGCGAGTAGCCAGAAGTCTTCGTTTCAAGTTCCGCATATATTACTATGTTGGTGCTACTTCCTTGGACTTGCTGTGGGAGTGCAAGCGGCTAACGCTTCTTTGCAGATGCTAAGGGGGGCCCCTCGTCCAGGGATGGGACCTAGCGGAGACGAGGCCGCGAGTACTGTCTCGTGTTCCCTCTTCTAATTTGTTATATCTACACAGTTTTCCGAATGCATTTTCTTCTGTGAGCGCCATCTGTGCAACGAATGAGTCTCCCTTACACTCTCTTCCCGGGCAGGCGCAGGGGGGAACGCGGGGGGAGGGCCGACCACCACCAATTTCAAGAGTCCTTGTCGCTGGGAGGCGAGATAACGAGGCCACTCGTTTTTATGCAGATAAATGAGTCGCATACACACCAATAACGCTCTATTCTCGGCATGAATGCATTTTGTTGAACTTTCCCACCAGCGCTCCACAAGCTGGAACACCCCACAAACACGTGCGTGCAAGCAGCGAGCCTGGCTACGATTCAAATATAGCTGCACCTTGCCAGCGCACGCTGCACAAAAGCTCTACTTGCCATTCAGATTCTCGTGGACGCAGTTACAATCCACCGAAATCCGCCTAGGCCACAGAAGCCCAAAAATCGCGCAACCACGGAGCGCAGCGGCCGGAAAACAACGATACTCGTAGTCCAGGCACGCAAGTCTCTTATGCCTTATTTGACACACAAGATTAAAGAACAAACCCCTCTGCCTAGCTGCGACATTGGCTGCGTGGATGCTACGGTTGATCGCACTACGAAGGCCCAACCATCTACAGGAAATCAAACTATAGCTGCACACACACCTGATGTGTGCCCTCTACAGCTGAAAGCATCTATTTCTGCGTACGTATATGTGAGCACAAACTCATGTAAGCACCCGATCTACTTGTGCAGCATATCGCTTCATACAGCCAATGCCCCCACCTACGCGATCGGAACCAGCTGCAAATGCCCATAGCGCGGCACATACATATACCTTCTGCCTTAGCACGAAGCCTCATCAAGAAATAAACGCGACTTCTTTATGCGGTCCCTATGGCCATTAACATAGAAGGGACAGCGGCCATGAGATGCCCTGTCTGGAACACCCCGCGAAACCAATAGCCCCTCTCGGCACCCTGCAGCAGCGGCACGGTTAGCCATGCCTCCTGCCTAGCAAATTGCGGGGGCAGCCGCCGAAATTTTAGGCCATAGCTCTGCACATTCCTTAGCAACAGGTCCAGTGATGGCAGAGCCTTTCATCTCGCCCTTGTTGTTGCAAATAACCCCAGCATTGTCCTCGAAGTAGATGAAATACCCCTCAGCTCGCCTCCAGGCGCGGCGCTGGCGCACAATTACTGCGGGGTGCACCTTTTTACGGAGCTCTGGCTTTCCCTTTTTCACTGTTGCCAAAACAAGGTCACCTAGGGAGCTCGACGGCAATCTGTTGAGGCAGGACCCCCAACCCTGAGATACACCCAGAAACCACATTGAGTACTCGACAGAAAAAATCCACTGCTGCACGTGGAAGGTGTCTGCGCCAAGTTGTGTAGCTAAATAACGCAGAACCAATACATGTGATACGGCTGAGACGCCGGAGGCAGTAGTAACACACACTGTACCCACCTTGACTGCAATGATGTACAGATTTTTCGCGCCACTGTTGTCGCAGCAGTTGATGAGGGCTCCCACAGGCAAACCTGCACACAAAAAGTGGCCACCTCCCATCCCTGAGCTCCCAAGCCTTATCAACTGCGTTGTTGGACCGAGTGCGCACACCTAAGAAAGAGCCTACAGCCCTCGAGAGGGGCATAATGACGCGGCATGCGCACTCACCGAGGGTGACCCTCATCTTGTTTCCACCTGCGCCACCACGTCCTGCAAATCGAAAGCACAAAAAAGGCACACACCACGCCAGTTTTACCAGGTAGAAAGACACAGCCAGCTTCGTTTCTGTACAATGTGCTCCCTAACTAAGCCGTATACTTCCGAACCACAAGCCCGCTGGCAAAAGTTGAGGGTGCGTCGTCGAACTCTCGAGCAGGCACTAGAATTTCAATTCAGATTGTGACATATAAAGTGATAAGTGGTATTGGCGGGCGCGGAACTTCAGAAGTAATAGCCTAAAGGGTTTGCGCTGTCCGCCCTTCCCACATCACAATGCGAGAAGCCCGAGCTGCTCTGACCGCGTCAGAGTTCCTACATGAAGCAGCCATGCCAAGATACCCAACCAGCAAAACGACTAGAAAACATCAATGCAAGGATTCAGTCATACTCCACTGGGGACGCTTCTAATAATTTGCTTATTTTGCAGTGCCCCACACCCACCGCGCTTCATCGTGATCTCCGGGACCAAGCACAGAAAAGTGACGAATTCCTTCTAGAAACTGTGCCCCCTTCCACAAAAGACTGGAATTTTTTGGCATCGAGAGATCCACCAGCCCGTATCGAGGGTCTTTGCGGCGCACCCACACCGCTGGCAGCGCAGTTCAAATAAAAAGCCCCCCTGCGGGTCCTCTCTCTTCCTGGCTGCATGCATTTCCCGTAAGACGAGATGCTGCGAAGAATAATGACTTGTCATGTTATTATGGAGGATCCATTTCAGCGTATACCACAAAGGCTACTAAAGAGTCGTATTAAAAGCTTCACTTCCGTACATCCAAAATCTTCGAGGCCAGGTGCATGATGATCTGTGGAAGCACCGAGCCCATGTAGCCCAGGCCTTTGTTGATCAATGAATATTTCACAGAAAACCCAGGTAGAGAGTGACTGCTAAAGCTTATTTTGTAATCGTTTAACCAGCCGATGACAGTCCCGAACACACAGACTTGCCAGAGCCGCAATGGGCACTAGCAGCACTGCGCGTTTCTAGTAGTCTGTGCAAAACACATAAAAATAAACTTTTAACTTCACTGATTATATATGCGAGAAAAGGAGTAGATCAAAGATTTTTCGCTTCGTCTTTTCAAATATCCTGTTAACTCACAGTACCGCTACCTCTATGCAACAACGCAAAGTGATGTGCTTGTGAGGTAGATGCTACATGGAACTAGCTGTAGAGGCTTAGAGTCCTTCGAAGATGCACCAACAGCCATCGTGCTTGTTTCTGCTCCCCTCGTGCAGGGAACTTTAATTAGAGAGTGGAGGGAAACCCGCGAGCTCGCTTTTAGAAGGCTCCATAGCTTTCTATTGAGTTTGCATGCAGTCTGGAGCTAAGCGTCTCCCTACAGATATCTTTGATGGAGCGCTACCGCTGGCAGCACAAACTGCTTCGACGCATCTGTTCCTCTACCATCCACTACTTGAAGAGAAAGTAACCCATTCGGCTACACAGTACAGCTGTCTCGTTTCGATCAAAGTCTTTGGCCAGGCAATGCCTCAAATATCTCTGGCGACAATCTGAGTGTGTCGGACTGACTTTGTCGATGGAATTCGGTGGAGGCACAGAGCGTCTTCTGGGGCAAGGGCCGGCCTGCAAGCCGAGGGGAATGCACTAGCTTCTGAGCTGGTCGAACGTCATTATTTGTCAGCCACTAAAATGTATCTCGATGCGTCGATGAGGCTGGGCCGATCAAAATGTATGAGGGCCTCCAAGGACGGATAAATACTCGACAAACACGTCAGACGAAAAGAAGTTTTCCTCTCTCTGCATCCCTCAGATAAAGAGAAACGAATGCCACTTGCGGCCTGGTCATTGTAGAGTAAAACACTCCTGTGATAGCTTGATTCATGCGGGAATAGAGATCTGCCTGCAGCAAATACTACAGCTCAAAAAGCTGCACAAAATCCTTGACTTATTATTGGAAGCCTAGATCAGGTCAGCTGCAAGCTTCAAGTTAACTGAGGAACCCGAAGCAAGTAAATCTATCAGTAGATCGATGTATTGAGAAGTATCAAGCCTTGGTCCACGAAATCCAGGACGTACGCCAGGCGATGGTTTGTCCGTCGTCAACCTGGATTTCTTTAAGAGGCCACCAGAGGGCAGCAGCACAACGACTAAACAGCCGGTCAGCGGAGCTCGTACAAAAATTGGACTGGTCTAAATATAAAAGTAAGTGAACGCAGCTCCTGTGTAAACGGACGCAGCATTTTTGTCTATACATGAAGCCAGAAGAGCTCAGTAGAAGATGAGGACATGTGAATGTCGGAGCTGTGCCAGCCCACCCTCACATCGAGTCTACAGGGGGCAAGAAGAGAGCCAGAGGAAACCCGCATTACCAAGCAGCTCCAGACACTCTCTCAACAGCACACTGGCTTCTGTTGTGGATAAGAAGGTCATCTAATTTGATGATGGAAGGGCACACGTACGGTAATCTAGCGGAGTTAGTGTGCTTGGCTTACAACATTGCTGCACTAAAAAGCTGAAATGCTCTGAGCACAGGCTACGACACACTAAAGGGGGCAATAGGGGACAAAGCCACAGTAGGGGGTCCACCACGCCTCGACGCTGCGCTGCTCAAAGATTACACCACTACCCAAGAATTATGCGCGTTACTGAACACTGGATGCAAAGCAAATATGTTTTCCGGAGAGAGCCCAGGATAAAGCTGCCTGTTGATTCGTCAGCGCAGTCACAAGGCCTCAAATTATCGGACACGCGGCAGAATGCAAAGGTTTGTAGGGCTGCGGCAGTTACTTGATACTATATATCGGAATGGGTCCTCATCAGCGTGGCCCAAGGCTTTTGTTTGAAGGCGAGCACCGTGGCGCGATCCTAAGTATATCAGGGCACCCAGTAGCAGGTGCACACGGGCCACAGGTGCTCGCTTTGGAGATTGGTTTTTCACGAAGAGCTAGGGGGAATTACATTCTTGTCGCCTGTACAATGCTTATTTACATCTATTGTGGGCGAAGTCAAGTCAGTGCCCCAAGGAAAAGCAGAGTCATTATGCGAGCGCCACAGCAAAGCAGCAAGAGGAGACGGTTCTGAGCATGCATCCACTCTCGGTTGCTCTGCAACCGGTTGTCTACTCAAGAACTCAAATAAGGTTTGGCAAAGGAATAGCAGGAATGGAGGAAGATTGAAAAGGAGTTCGTGGATGTGCTAAAAATGACGAGCTGCCAGCACGCTGGCCACGTGGTCATCGCCCAGCGATCCGCATGAAGCTGATTCCCAGGTCAGCGCCAACCTCTGTTGTGCGAGGGCTGAAGCCCTCACAGCATGAAGGTGCATTTGAGCGGCGGGAAGACGATTTGTTCAAGCGACTGCAAAGTTCAGGAATCGACCAACGTCTTTTGGCTATAATCCGGTGCTGTCAGTGAAAAAGGCGGAAATGGACGCGTTTGTGAAGCTTTTGAACAGGACCACCGACAATCAGAGCTTCCCGATGCCTCATCTTGGCGAATTACCTGACACATTGCAAGGAGCAGCATTCTACTTAAGAGTTGACTTTACAGCTGCCTCCTGACACATCTGGATTCATTTTAAATGACAGGCGCGAACGAACCAAGAAGCTTTCTACACTCGCAATTACAAACTGGAGTGTGACTGTATACCTTTGGTCTTGAAAATGCCCCAGGTGAACTGCAGCGGCAAGTTAACTGGGATTTCGTGAGCCTGTCAAAGAGGGCTGGATGGCTGCCCACACGGATGACGCCTCAGTACTCAGCCGAAACGCTCAAGAACAGCACCTGCGGCTTGCAGCTCAGTCTCTGCGGGACACTTAGTGGTATGTGAAGCCATGCAAATGCTCGTCTTTCAGGAGACCAACTGTGTTTATACCATTAAATGTGTTTCGGGTGCAGGAATTGAGCCAGAGCAGCAAAGTCCTAGCAGTCAAGGGGCGGCGTTTAGCTTTTTGCACTATCAAGAACGGTGCGAAGTTCCATGAGCTTGCATAGTATTTCCGAAATTTCATTTCTGGACTGGCTCTGATCGGTCTGCTTTCACTGATGTGTCTTAGGAACCGCAGTCTATGACCTGGACAGAGCAGGCTGACGTCGCAACACGGATATTTCCCAGCTGCCATACAAATTCTCCGGCAGTCTCACTCCTCAAGTACGAGCGTCGTTTCTTCCGAAAGGCCTGTGCCAGAGACATTGCGGTGGGCCATATCCTTTACCAGCAAGCTACTGCTTCTCCCAGACATTAAATACTTGTTTGCTATTCTCACCGATTATCGGACCCGAGGAGCGATATTTGTCGCGGGAAAGGGAATTATATGCGGTGTGGTAGAACGTGAAAAAAATTGTGGCTCTATTTACATGGGCGTCATTGTGCTGTCGACACCGACTACCAGCCTTAACTGCGTCTTGCCGTGACTCTTCAGAACTGGAAAATCCTAAAGCCATAGCCTGTATTGGGTGCATCATGTAGTATGGCTTTGCAGTGAACAATCTGGAGGGCACCACCAGGGTGGTCGCCGGTGTGCTCTTGCAACGCCTTAACGGTTCACTAGTGTGCAGCACAACCACTCTTCTCCGTGATGATTCAGGAATTCTGTCAACGTTGCGTGAGTCTGATGCCTTAAAACTACATGCATCCGTTCCTTTGGCCAAAATGTAGGATGGCAAAAGAGGGACGCAATATCCCGTTGAGGATGGCCTGATGCGTTTTGAGAAAAGGTGGGGACTCCACCGCTTGTAAATTTCGACTTCGCTCCGCAATATCATTCTACAAGAAACTCACGAGCAGGGGGTTTATGGTAGAATGCTATTTACGTTCTAGTGCAGAGGCTCTTCCGGTCTGTCTGGTGGCGCGGGATGCGTGCCGTGGAAGTGTAGTATGCACTCTCATACCCAGATTGTCAGCAGCTGGAGCCGCTCGATTCTTCTAAACCTGGTATCTTGGCAGAGATTTCCATTCATGAACGTGTGTGCACCCAACTGGATATGGACTTCATCATTTGGATGCCGCATGTCAAGGGTCAGGATAGGCTCCATAACGTTTTTGGAGGAGAGCAAATCTGCTCATTTCATCCCTTTACTAACTGTGCTAAAGCATAGGAAGTCCTTTAGTCTTTAAACTCTTATCTGAAAGCTTTACGGAATTCCTAGGAGTACCATTGCTGACAGTTGGAACACATCAAAGGAACGCTTCCGCTGCATCTGCGACTCCGTGCTCACGGACATTTAAGTGCTTGGCTTAATTGTTATTCTTGTCCTGGGGATGTTTATAATACAACGGGGTACTCGTTTGCCTGTTGTGCTTGGGCGCTCCTTGTGTAAACTAGGAAGCTTCTCTCCAGGTTAAGCTCAGAGGAACCTGGGTCAGCAGTCACCCTCAGAGGCGAAAGAATTCAGGCAAAAGGTAGCTAGTGCATGCGATTGTATTTCCAAACCTCGAGAGAGGCAAGCATGCAAGTGAGGTAAGCAGCAGTCAGCTCTGTATTTCTCGAGACTATGAGAGGTTCTGGTGGATTGGCAGGCTTTACGAGGCGTACTACAAGGTGACACTAGGACGATATTTGGTAGCAGTGGCTACGACCTTGTGCAAGTCCGTCATTAATTACTCTTCGTGCTTACTCTATTGGTTTCTGTGAAGGTTTGAGGAGCCACAGAACTATCTTTATTGGGTTCCTAAGGAGATTGGAAACTCTCTGAATTACTCATGGACTTTCCAGCACAGGCATGTGAGCTGTGCGGAGGCGGAGAATCCACGAGAAGCCGTGGAAGTGTAGGTTTGTAGGACAGTGAAACTCTGAGGACATACTACGTAGGATTTTCAAGTAAAATGGGGCAGGGCAGCCAAACCTACTTGATTGACAGAGAAGCAAGTTGGGTGGTTCGATGCCAGCGAGCGAAGTTGCGATTCTGCTTTGTTCACAACACTAGTCGCCTTGCACGGTATTCCTCACGTTCCTTGGTATTTTTCAGTTTCCAGCATATGCTCTCCCTGAGGTGAATACATTCATCTGAGGCCATGCATGAGAAATTCCCGGCTATTATGCTCAAGATGCTGTCTACACTTAGGTTGATGCGAAGGCACCCACAGGTATTCCTTTCCTACATTCCTTGTCCTGCCTCTTGTGAGGCTACAAAGTTGACTATGCTCCATGCACCGGCTGATATGCGAACAGAGATTGCTTGATGAGGTGCGCATGCAGTTGTGATCTAATGTATATTTCGATTTGATTGACATTTTTGGTTTTCTTCTCGTTTGCGTTGGGCATACATTTTATCGCTTTGATGACAGCGAGCCACCGCGCCGCCGCTGCCGTATTGGCTTGATCCCTAGTTCGGTGTTGTCTAGCAAGGGTTTCTTTCGTCCCTTCTAGTATTGTTGGTGGCTGAGGCCTACTCTGCTCATTCCAATTGCGTTGTACGTCGCGTTTCTGCCTGGCTGGAGAGTGGCGATGTGGGGGAACGCTTCTGCTATTCTGCACGCAGTTGGTCTTGACATCCCCGTAATGAACAAGAGGGCGTGGGTTTTTGAGTGGTGAGGAAGATATAGGGGGATGAACGGACATTTTCGACTACTGTAGTTATTTGAAGTTATGAGTCCGCAAAGGGTTGTCTAGTAGTTTGCATGTGCGTATTTCTTGTTTATTGTGTAGTACTGTTCGCTGGATATAAGTTGGCTTAATGCTGTGTGCGTGTGCGCTAGAAGCTTTTTGCACCAAGCTATGAATGCTTGCAGTGCTCAGAATACGCAGCCACATCTCGTCTACCCCCATTTTATGGAACTTGGAGGGGTTTTACAGACAAGCAAAGGCAGAAACGTTTTTGAAAACACCCAGTAACGCGCTGTTAGGTTTGTACTGAATCTGAAGTTAAGTGTCTTTCTGTGGAGAGCCTGTTGGTCGGTTAGGGCTAGACTTACAGGCGGGCCATTTTTTAAAACTCCAGAGCAAATTGTCTTCCCCCCTCCCTCCCTCACCCTTCCCAGTTGCCCTCAACCTACATCCTCCACTGCTGAAGAGACGAAGAAGCTCTGGGGAGCGGGCGAATGGGAGCATCATCTCGGCAGTCCGCTTTCACCCCCTTGGACACAAATATGTTAGCGCAAAGCCTTACTGCATGTATTCTAATAGCATGGATCTAGCTGTGCCCGGTGGCAAACACACATGGAAGCATTCAGCATATGCGGTCAATGCCTAGGGAAACTTTGGTAGCGTATAGCTATTGCAGTGGTTGTTGTGAAAGCGTAGCAAACGAGCCGGACGTTGAGAGGCTCCCATGCTTTGACATGGCCTATATTTGTAGTTTCTTCACGACTTTAGGGAATTGTTGAGAGAATTTCATCCCCCTAATTGCCCTTAGGCTACTAACCTTTTGGGGCTTTCTGCTTGGGCGGCCAAAGTCCCAGCCACATATTGGCGGCTGCGCCTTAAGACGAAGGCGGCCTCTCCAACCAGTTCGTGCACAGTGTTTCTGTCTTCTTTGGCCGAAATAGGGTGTTGTGACGCTCTCATTTGTACTGTATTGTCGGTATCCTTTCTGGAGGGGAAGGTAGGTATCTGACCTGGGAGGCTGGTAGTACCACCAAGCCCAAAGTTGGGCACAGACAATTCCAGCAGCGCTGCCACATTCTTTGAATGATATCCTCATGAGGGACCTCAAGGTCTAACCCATTAACGTTTACAGGATCTACGCCCCCTCAAACAGGCCGTTGTAGGCGGGGGGGGGCTGCCAGGCGTGTTGCCCAAATCATCGCACGCCCCCACTGCCCCGTGGCGGGGGTGGGAGTGGGGTTGTGAGGAGTGGTCTTGCACAGAGCTTTCTGGAGGAAACAGGAACAGGCGTGGCGTAGACGTTGCTGCAGCACCCAGCAGCCGCATTAGAACCAGCAAGCAACCCTGCAGTGGTAGGCCAGGCAAGAGTAAGGCTGTCTGTCAGGATGTTTGGTAGCACTTCGCCGTTCGGAGGAAGCACGACAAATCAGGGGCTTTTCGGCTCGACGCAGCAGCAGCCGTCGTCTGCCACTTCTGGGGGCATCTTTGGCTCAACCCCGCAGAATCAGCAAACAGGGTCTGCCCTCGGAACAGGTGAGGAATACGGACGGACTGTGTTTGCGCCGAGTGAAATTTGACAAATCGTCTTTTGCAGCAGCTGCCGTCACGGCTGCTACCTGTTGCTATAGTGTAACGGCGCCCTATTCAGAAGACGGCGGCGAAAGCGGCGATTTTAGAGTGTAACCGCATGTATGCCGCCGTCCCCCTAATGAAGCCTCCGAAGTCGCTTTGTTGTCTTGTGTCTGTTTGTGCTTTGTTTTTCCCAAAGGCCTCTTTGGGCAGCCTCAGCAACAGCCACAGCAGCAGCAAGGGGGCCTCTTCGGCAGCACGGCGACTCCAGGAGGGGGCCTCTTCGGGCAGCCTCAGCAACAGCAGACAACTGGAGGCTTCTTCGGCAGCACTCCCGCCAGCAACACGGCGGCTGCGGGGGCATCTGGGGGTGGTCTTTTTGGTAGCGGCATTGGATTTGGCCAGCCTCAGCAGCAGCCACAGCAGCAGCAGCAGGCGGGGGGTGGCCTCTTTGGCAGCTCCACAGGCTTCGGGCAACAGCAGCAGCAGCCCTCAGCAGGCGGAGGCCTCTTTGGCAGCAGCACAGGCTTCGCACAGCCTCAACAGCAGCAAACGGGAGGCATATTTGGGAATGCAGCGGCGACAACAACTGCGGGGGGGGGCGGAGGCCTCTTTGGCAGCAGCACGGGCACGTTCGGACAGCCGCAGCAGCAGCAAACGGGGGGCCTCTTCGGGAGTAACACCAACGCAGTTTCAACAGGTCTGTTTAGACAGCCACAACAAAGCACGGGCCTATTTGGAAGCACTGCGAGCACACAGGCTGGTGGAGGAGGCATTTTCGGCGCTTCAAATAGCACCAATGCATGTAAGTTTTCCCTCCAGGAGTCTGGTGCCTCATGTCGCCGGCCTCCTCGCTGCCGTCTGTTGCTGCAAGATTTCCCGGCTGTGTGTATTGCAGGATTTTTCCGCTTTATCGTGCGGTGGAGACTGTCATGCAGCACGCCGCTGTTGCTGCAGCTGCTGCCCACAGTTTCGCTTGCTTGCATCCTTCTTTGCGTGGCTGGCGTGCAGTAGGTCAAAGTGCTGCCCCTTTCGGAGTGGCGGCTTCTGGTCAACAGCAGCAGCAGCAAGAGCCCTTCAAGCCTCTGCGGGTTGAGGATGGATTGGTGATGACGATTTGCCACGGTCCTCTGGAGAAGGTGTGTCTGGAAGAGATACGGTGGAATTTTTACCAGCAGAATGGAAAGGGAGTGGGGGCCCCTGCAGGGCCGTTCGCCGCCAACTCCGCTCCTGCTGCCGGCACAGAAGGGCTCTTCGGATCTGCTGCGGCGACGCAAGCCGCAACAGGGAGTGGATTTGGAGGCGGGGGTCTTTTTGGAAGTACCAGCACGCTGCAGCAACAGCAGCAACCGGCAGCCACGGGCGGCCTCTTTGGGAGTACTGCGCCGGCAACAGGAGCTGTCAGTGCTTTCGGCGGGGGGGGCGGCCTCTTTGGATCGACAGGAACGCAGCAGGTGCAGCAGCAGGGGCAGCAGCAGCAGACGGGAGGCGGCCTATTCGGTAGCAGCACAACCGCAGCACCCACGACGGGAGGGGGCCTTTTCGGCAGTAGCACAGGAGCTCTTGGGGGAGCAGGGGGGGGCCTCTTCGGGAAGCCTGCAACAGGCACAGGCTTTGGTGGCATCAATAGCGGCACGGGAGGAGGCCTTTTTGGAGGAGCTTCTACGGCGAACTCGGGGGGCAGCGGCCTCTTTGGCACCTCCGGCAGCAACACGGGGACGCTTGGTGGGGGGCTCTTCGGGCAGCAGCAGTCTCAGCAGCAGTCTCAGCAGCAGGCTCAGCAGCAAGGTGGCCTCTTTGGGGCCCTAGGAAGCGGCACAGCGGGAGCTGCAGCAACGGGACAGACAGGCGCAGGTGGCGGCGGCCTCTTTGGCAGCAACACGCAGCAGCAGCAGCAGCAGAGCGGCTTGCTGGGGGGGGGCAGCAGTCTCTTTGGGGCTAAGCCCGCAGCAGGAGCAGCAGGGAGCACCCCTTCTGCTGGGGGAGGTGCTGGGTTGTTCGGAAGCAGCAGCGGCAACACCTCCACCACCACATTCGGAGGCGCGGGGGGGGGCCTCTTCGGGTCCATTCGCCCTGCGGGCAGCACACCAGGAAGCGGCGCCCTTGGAGCTCCTGCCACGGGGGGGGGCCTCTTTGGATCTGCAACAGCAGGCACTGCGAGTGCGAATTCGAATACCCCCGGAGGGGGCCTCTTTGGGGGCCTCAGTAAAACGACTGGGAGTACTGGGGGGGGCGGCCTCTTCGGATCGGGAGGAACCACCAACACTGGTGGAGGGCTCTTTGGCGGCAGCAGCATGTCGCTGCAGACACAGCAGCCGCAGAGTGGTCTATTCGGTCTAGGAGGCCTAGGCACAGGCCAGCAGCAGCAGCAGCAGCAGCAGCAGCAGCAGCTTTTGGGGGGGGGGGGGACGCCCTCAGGAGGCAACCTGTTCGCCCTGGGGGGCCTGCTAGGGGCCCCCCAGGTGACTGTGCAGATAGTGCTGTCTGCCACGAATACAACAGCCTCTCAACTCTCGTGCCAGCCGATTAGTAGTGTGGGAGAGAGCTTCTCCCTCGGGGGGGGCCCCCCTCCGCAGTTAGGCCGCCGCTGGTCGCGTCGATTCCTCTCGGGGGGCACAGCCAGGGGAGCTCTCCCTGTGCCGCTCGCGCAGAGTGCCTCCGGTTTGGGGGCCTCCTTTTCCCTTCCGTCGCAACTGTTGCGCCCTCAGCAAGAGATTCTGCAGCTCGTCGACTCGCAGGCTGCTGACGCTGGCAGCCGCAACGGCTGGCTCGCCCAGACTATCCACAGGTCTCTTGCTGCAGTGCAGCAACAGCAACGGAAGAGTCAATCACTGCTTCCCCTTTCGCTAAAGGACTACGCGCTGCTACACCGCCTGCAACGAGAGACAGGAGGAACTCATGCGACCCTAAAAGACAAGGAGAAAGAAGGGGCCTCGCGGCTTGAGGACGTGGAGGAAGAGGAGGAGGAGACGCCACAGCGCTTCGACGAGGAGCAGCAGCAGAAGGCGCGGCAGCACACGGCGCAGCAGCGGGAAGGCGATATGCTGATGAGCGCCGTTGCAGCGGCTGCTGCTGCAGCCGCTGCAAAGGCGGCTTCAGCTGCTGCGCAAGCTGGAGCCGGCAGCAGCAGTGGCAGCGGCAGGATCAGCGCCAGGGGTGACGGCCAAAACATTCCCTGCAGGGCCTCTCTGGAACTGAGACCGATCCTTACAAGTCCAGAATACGAGTGCTCGCCTTCCATAGCCTCTCTCCAGCAAATGAGCGAAGAGGAACTGCGGCGCGTTAGAGACTTCCATATAAGGCGGCCCGGCTTTGGTAGCATTCTTTTCCCTGGACATACAGATCTCAGGGGAATCAATCTGGACCTGGTAGTTCATATTGGTTATCTGGAGGTAAAGCATGCACCCACCTGCAGGACGCAGTGAATCTTGCTATCTGGGAGACGGGGGTTCAGGGGTGGTCCGCTGGTCGTGCTGCTTGCCTGTACCTCCTATTTGTGTTTTATGGGTGGAATGCAGGTAAAAATGCATTTGTGTAGGAGTCCTACATGTACATATAGATGCACATATAGATGCACATATGTGTACATATAGATACATATACAGGGCAAGCATGCCCATGTACATCTATGCATATGCATATGTGCTCTTGTGAGGACGCTGAGTCGGAAGCCTTGGACGAAGAGCCCTGTCCGTTTCTGTTTTTCCTTTTATGGTGGTGGTGATGCATGTAGTGTCTAATGCATGCAGCGCTTGCGGCCCTGTATCTATGTGTGGCTTTTCAGGTGAGCGTGTATGCGGACGCTGCTCCCCCTGTTGGCGTGGGACTTAACAAGACGGCTCAAGTGACGCTGTGCAACTGCAAGCCGAAGCGTGTCTCGAAGGAGGCTGGAGGTTTTGACATGGCGGCTGCTGGCAACGATGGTGCGGAGGCAGAAGAGGAGGCAGCAGCAGCAGCTCGTAACGAGCAATTTGTGGAAAAGGTCAAGAAGTACACCGAAAAGATGGGTGCCACCTTCCTCTCCCTAGACACCCATACTTGGGAATGGCGCTTTGAAGTCGAGCATTTCTCAGTGTATAAGTGGATCGACGAAGATGCTGCAGTGGAGGCTGAAGGCGCTGTGGCAGCAGAAGCAGCAGAAGCTACGCAAGTGGCTGCCTTTGCCGCTGCTGCTCCCGATGCACTCCCTCCGAAGGAGCTCGCGCTGCACCTTCACAGGGCCCGTATCCTTCGGTCGGCACCGCAGGCATTGCTACTGTCTGCTGTTGCGCAGCATCAGCAGCAGCATCTGGCGGAAGCTGGTGCTCGGAGGACAAGGCTTGGTCAGCGAGCGCAGCAGCAGGAAGAGGAGCAGCAGGAGGATTTTGCTGCTGGTGATGCCCAGAGGGAGTTCAACGACCAGGGAGCCGCCTTGCCCCTTGCTTCCAGTCAGGAAACGCACAACAAGGCAGCTGAAGCAAACTGTGCAGCAGCTAACCTCGCAGCCTTAGCCTCTGTTGCCAATGCTGAGGGCAAGCATGCATCGGCATCAGGAGGAGCAAATCTCCCTGCAACGCCTCGACCGTGGCTCAGAAGACCACCCTTTCCTGTCCGCTGCGCGCCTTCTTTCGGGCCTGGTGGATTGTGTGCTCTCCCCTTCTTTAGGTCTCCACGCGCACCAGCAGCAGCAGGAACAGCAGCAAGCGAGAGCCGTGGAGCTTACGAGGTTGCAGTGGTGCAGCTGTCTCCTCTGCTGCCGCCAGCTCAGGCACCTAAAGGATACGTCTGGCCTCAGCCCTTTGCCAAGGAAGCTGCGGAAGCGATAGCTGCTGCCCGTGCTGAGAAGTCTTCTCGCAGTGACGACAACTGTGTCGACAGCCTCGCCACTACCGGTGGAGCCGTCTGGACAGCCGGGGAGGTTCCTAGGGTTCGAGAGGTGCAAGAGGCTGACGCCTTGCAGGCTGCGGTTGATGTAGAGACTGCCGCGAGAGAGTACATCGCCAACTGCAGCTGCTGTGGCAACAGCGGCTGCCCCAAAGGCTGCAGTGGAAAGCCGAAGACTATAGAAGAAGAAGGCGTTCGCGTTGTGTGGGACCTCAAGGAGGACGTAAGGCTGCATCTTTTTGATTCTGGGGTGTCGGTACACCGTGGGCTTGCGGCTGGAGCGGCAGCGGCTGCAGTGGGAGTTGTCTTCGAGGCCCTCAGGGAGAGTGACGACCATATTTCTACGCAAACCGAGGAGCTGCAATTTCGGCTTCAGCTGATGCAGCACCAGGAGCAGCGGCTGCCGTTTGTGGAGGAAGAAACTGACTGCATTGATATAAACCAGCGGTAAGGCGTTGAGTGGACAAGGAAAGAAGAGCTGCTGGTTGCTGCTCTGCGCAGAACTGTCTTGCATCTTGTTTTCGAGAATTGGTGATAGCTATGCCGTGTTATCTCGCTTGCCACTGGCCGGAAGAATTTTTTCTGGCATGCATGTATCATATGGTTTCAAATATGCGCGAACTGGTGTGTGCCTCGCTTTGTACTGGTGTACGAGTATCTGGTAGATGCGCCTAGTCAGCATCTCACCCTTGGGAAGGAGGAGAGTGGGCGTTAGGACTTCATCAATGCAGAAGGGGGATGGCTCGGCAAACGATTGTCAAGGCGACTCCCGTCGATTCTCTTAGTGGAAGTGTCATTGTGAGGAATAGTGGCGGCGAAGAATAGAGCGAGCTGCTTAGAGGAGCTGCAACAAACAGGCTTTCACGTGTCTTAATGTGGTTCTGGGTACGCTTTTGCAGGCTCCTGTTGCGAATGCTGAAATTCATGCAGCAGCAGAACGGCTGCTACTCAGGCAGCAGTGAGGGGGGAATGTGGCCTCCAGCATCGCCTTGGATTCCCCCGTCTGCTGCTGTTGGGGAGTCTTGCTGCCCTCCTGCGGGAGCTTCTGAGGCTGTGGACTGCAGACGGTACTCGGAGGCCTCGTATCTTTCTCCTTACATGCTACAGACTTGGCAGCTGTTGGTGACGCTTCTGCTCAACCCTAGTAGGCGGCAGCAGCAGCACCTGCAGCAACTGCTGGAAGCCGGCCCAAACAGGAGCCTTAATGTCTCTTTTGCCGCCGTCCTCGAGCGGCAGCGACAATTGACTGTGCTGGACTGGCTCCTACAGGAAGGGCGGCCCTTGCTGCTGAGTTTCTTGCGGAGAGCAACCTCTCTCACTTGGATGCAGCAGCAGCAGCACCAGAAGCAGCAGCTGCTGCGGAACCATACGCTGTTTCTCTCGTGCAATGTGAAGGCGCTTTTTGAAGCTGCAACAGCCACTGGAGAGCTGCGGAGATTCATTGCGCTTTTGCACCTCCTTGCTGACGGCCAAGTGCGGCTCCCGTTGTCTAAGCTGCTGTTGCCTTGCCAGTTGTAGCAGTAGGAGGGAGTAGCGACGGCCGGAGATCGTGCTGCAGTTTGGGAGCAGCAGAGGCATGTTTTCAACCCTTCGAAATTCTGCCCTTCCAGTATAGCTCCTCTTTTTTCTTGTCTTGGGTGCTGCTGCTGCCTCAGGGCCTTGCCTCGATCCATCTGCTTCTACGCGAGGGGGCTTTCTACCCTCACTTGGCGTTGGCTGTGGCGGCGCATTTGCAGCAGCCTCTCGGCTGTCAGGTAAGCTGCTTCTGCTGCTGCCTAATGCGAATTTGCATCGGTCGGTTGCCTCTCTGCTCTCACGTGCTCCTTTGTCTTCAAACTGATCTCTCTAGCGCTTCATGATGCTGCCGTACCGAAAAGCACAGGAGTGTATCCAGAGCTGTGTGTTTCTTTGCGGCTGCGCTTGCTGCTGCAGCTGCTGTATGCAGATGCGCTGCAGGCTTCTGCGCTGCCACAGCCCCCTCCAGAGGTACGTCGGGTGTACAGACTCCTGGCGGGGGCACCTCCCCCTTCCCAGTCTTCTTCTGAGAGTCTGGCAGGCGCTAGCCACAAACTTCGCTGCTTAAGTGGCGCTGGTCGTAGCTCCAAGGAGACTGCTGGGGAGAGCAGCAGGGATGCATCGTCTGCCACGGCAGCAGCAGCAAAGGGAAAGCTTCCAGATGCATCGTCTGCCACAGCAGCAGCGTGCGGGGCCCTCTGGGCTGAAGACGCACCATTTCTTGACTGGAAAGCGGAGCTTGCTGCAGCACTTTTATTCAGCAGAGAGACGGCTGTGCTGCACTCTCCTCCCCACATGAGGGAAGAGCTGCGACCACCCCCGCAGGCAGCTGATGCCCCCAGAGACTTGAAACGAGTCAGTCTGCCCCTTATTTGAAGCAGCGCTCTATTTCGGTGGGAATGCGCCGCGGCTCGCTGCACATACCCGTAGCTTCCCCCTTTTCTCCTTCCCTCTATTTCTTCCGCTGTCGACTCCTCTGCGAGTGAATGCTGCTGTGCTTAGGCATTGCTCTTCCTGGAGGGTTTCGGACGCCAACGACGCTGCAGCTGCAGCAGCTGCTGGGGCTCAGCGCCCCTTCCGCTGTACGTACGCCAGCAGCAGGAGGCGCGCGCCTTGCAGCAAGGCCACAAGGGATCCTCACAGCAGGAGCAGCAGCAGCAGCAGGAGCAGCAGCAGCAGCAGGAGCAGCAGCACGGTCGGAAGGTGTTGAGCGAGGAACAATTTGACATGCAGTTCTCCCTCCTGAGGTAAGGGCGGGTGCAGCAAAAGTGGTGCTTGTTGCCGGTACTTCCCCATTGCCGTGTCTGTAGTCGTTCTATCTAGGTCTTCTTGCGCTGCTGCTGCTGCTGTACAACTGGCTGCTGCTGCTGCTTCTACACGAATGGGAAGCTGGCTGCGTATGGCCGTTTGCTTCGTGGTGGCCTCAGTGCCTCTAGACGTACTGCGCTATGTGTTTCGCCACGCGCAGCGGAGCCAAGGCCCTTTCCTTCGCTCTTTGTTGCTTCGATGTCTGTGCTCGCAGACAGCATGCTGGGATTACAAGGCCTTCTTTGGCTGCAGTTGGTGGGTGGCGGTGCTCCCCCTTCCCGCTGGATGTCCAGCTGTCTTGGCTTGCCGGGTTGGTACTGTGCATGCACTTTACCAGGGAAGCAGCAAAGCCGCTGCAGCAGCCGCCTTTGCTATGGCTGCCGGATATTCACTGGGTAGCGGCGTTGCCTCCAAGGTCGCAGCCGTCAATCCGCAGGCTGCTGCAGCAGCAGCAGCACTTGACTATCTCTTTTGCGGAGCAGCTTGAATTAAGCGGGATGTGGCCCGTTGCATGCGCAGTCCTACTTCTTTGTCCTGATAGAGGTGCGTTCTCTTCGTTTTCTTGGTGGTTTCTGCGTCAGTATCTGCATGGCTCGCAGTGCTACAGCTGCACAGGTGACTGACTGGCTTTGGCCCTTAAAGGCGTTCGAATGAAGCCTTCGCCTCAGGGGTTGCTGTGTATGGCGGGCTGCTGGACGCGTGCAGACTCCGGTGTAGTAATGGCGCGGTCTCTTGTGGAGAGGAACGGCCGGGAGCTAAGTACCGAGGTGCCTGTACAGCGGCGGCTGTGGGCCTCTAAGCTGCTGTTGCAGTACGTCGGGATCCCCCGCTCATGGCTGCAACGAGCTCACGCAAACCTTCTCAGGTGTCGAGAGAGACACTTGCAGGTGAGGTGCCTACTGTGCTGCTGTCTCTCGCTGCGTTTGCTTTGAGGACGTTACAACGGAGCAACAGCGGAATGACGCTTTTGTTTTCATGTGTTCCCTGCGGCTATTGACTAGGTCCTAGTGTGTTTTTTGGGTTCCTTTTGGGATGTACAGGCAGCGTTTCTCTACTTGGATGGCTATCGTCATGCTGCTGCAAGCCCCGAAGGATTCTTGAGCTCCGCTACCGGTCAGCCTGCGTGGCAGGCATTGCAGCGGCGTTTCCCGGTGCAGCAGGAGCAGCAGGAGCTGCTGCTGGCCGCTGCTGATTCCTTGCTGAAGGCCTTACCATCGTTTCTCCAGGGCCTGTTACTCGTGCTCCAGCAGAGGCAGCAGCAAATACTGCTGCATGGAAGTTCGTTCGCCACGTGCGGCGTGGCTGTGCGACGGTCTTCCCAAAAGGCGCTACACCAGCAACACGAATGGGATTCAACAGCAGCAGGTGTCAGCAGCAGCCTCTTGGGGCCTGAAGAGCAGATGGATTTGCTTTCGGAATCCATTGACTTGTGCTGCTCCCAGCAACTGCTGCCGCAACAGCACAAGAAGTTACAATGCTGCAGCGCATGCATCCAATGGATGCGGCAGCAGTTCCCGGTATGTCGTTTCCCGCTGCATCAGGCCGCTGCTGGCTGCTGCAGAGCCACTGCCTCCCTATGGGGCCCTCCAGAGATACACGGACACATGCAGACTGCGGTATTATGTGCTGCAGCCGCCATCCCCTGGCAAGGACCCGCTCAAAAGCAACGAGGGACTAGGGACGCAGCAGCAACAGCTGCTGCAACATCAACTGGCTGCACTACTGCAGCAACGCACCAACAGCACGGATGCGGAGAGACAGTGTTGGGCATGTATACAGAGCGCTCTTCTGGAGGCGCGTGAGCAGCGTTGCCAGTGAAGTAGCAGCACCTGCCGAAAAATTCCTTGATGCAGGTGGTGCAGCTGCGGTTGCAGCAGGTTGCAGCGTTTCGATAAATTAATCTACCACTCGCGAGCTTCCAGTGTGTGCATAGCGCTCTATAATAGATAAGGAGACAGTCCGGGAGGAAGGCTGGGGGTTCCTAGCATAGAGGCCATGATCAACCCAGGCTTTCCTGCGCGAAATCCTAAATGGTGTTAACGAAAGCGACAGACGCGTTTAAGCAGCAAATCTTTAGGTGGTTCACTACAGCAGCCGCTGGAGCTGTCAATTGAACCGAGCTAAGATAGCATTGCCTATTGGTTTCATGGGGATGATATAAGCTAGTATTGCACTTCGACACCCTCGCCTCGGATATACCCTGCACCTTCTAGGTTGTGTATGTGACACGTGATGTTTCTTCAAACGAAAAAAATCACATTTGTGGTCAAAGACCACCAAATCTTACTATTAATGAAAAAGCTAATGGAGGCTGCCTGGTCGCCTTGCTCGCGGCTGGGAGGAAAGGCTCACTTCAGAGGTTTCCAAGCAGAAAAAGCGATTACGCCAGAATCCAGAGGCTAAGAAAAGCCCCTATTGCTGCAAACGTGTGGCTCAACCCTGTACATAACAACACCCAACGGTTCCTGAGTTAATCGTGTACCATTCAGGGCCAAAATGGAGGTTCAATGTACGCGAGGGGTACAAAGCCGTTGCTGATTAGCGCACATCTACACGTGCCGGCCGCTCCTTGCATACTTTCTAGGATGCGCGTAGATTCCTAGAGTGCACGGCCCATTAGAGGATCTCACCGTGCTGCGTTGCCTCCGAAGCACTAAGCACCGCTGTCTTCCTTCGCAAATGACGCAGCTGGGCTTCCGAGAGGTCATTTTCCTCAACGCACGATAGAGCGGGCTCAAATATACCATCTGGCGTGCACTCTATCTCGTCGCTGACTCCTAGGAGCACAGATCCGGGTGGGCAGGAGAACTACAGAAGGCAGCAAACAGGTAAACACGAAGCACGTAACATCCTGCTCCAAGTTTGGCAAAAAAAGGACCTCTTACTACCTCTTTTCGAATTCCTAATTTATTGCTTCTTTATTCTGACTGTAGAGGTATCTTTGATCACTCTTCAAAAATCCTTTTCTGAGCACGTGGCACAGCAGGCTCTTACCTTCACGATAGAGCCAGTACTGTAAAAGGGCCGATCTGGCTGCAGGACTGCCCAAGTATCGCTCGGGCGCACACAAATGTCTCCTTGTTGGAAATTCTCCTTCTCCTTCATTTCTATGCAGTGCATGCAACACATAGCAAAAGCCCTACTACAGGGGAAGCCCGTCGGCGAAAATCGCCGAAACAAAAGGGCTTCGCGCGTAGAGGCTCGGAACATGTGTATCTCAGAGAAGCCTCATCGGCGCCTTGTACCAATGAGTTGCATGCCCTGCCTCAATGTTTGCTGGCTCTTCCGCTAGCATTAATGCTGATTGTGCCGTTTCAATTTGCCATAATTCACTTACCCCGAAGCTTCTTCTCCTTCTCTGCCACAATGGTTCCCCATAGAAGACGCTCTGCTGAGGGAGCCTCGCGTAGGTTCCCGCAAACGCTGGCACCACCAACGTCAGCTTCGCTATCATCTGAAGGTCCTGGCATCCACTGGCAATGGTAAGGGGAAGGCCCCAGGTGAGCAGTTGATGGGATTTTCCCGTTTTCTGGCTTTCCGTTGGCTTTCCTTTCCTCCAACTCCTTCAAGCCATGAGCATGCATCCAGTCGCATGTTTCCTTCTTCGTGAAGTGCTCACAGCCCCGGATGATGCCCTCGAATTTTTGTATCACTGCATCCGTTGTCTGATACCCTGTGAAGCAGCGGCGTCACACGAAGCACTAGCGAAACGGGAATACCATCGCTAGGTAAATCTCCCACTGCGCGGCCTCTCTATTCTCACTGTAAAGTTTCAAACGTCTGACTCTGCTATGCTTCAGTACTGCGAGGAACGCGATACCACCTGCCACTGCATGTAGGAGTACGCCTACCCTCGTTGATGCATGCATTGTGTGGGACCTTTGTCTCAAAGCGGCAGAACTTGTGCTTCTCGCAGTCTTCGGGAGTGACAGCAGTGGTGCAGTTGAAAAAGCAAACTCCGTAGATGAAGTCTTGGAAGCACTCCGATTTTTGCATGCAGGCTACAGGATCTGTAATGACCTCACATGCGTTTTCTTCAAGCTTAGACACCATCACCACTGGCGTAGCATTTCGAGGCTCTTCTGAGTCTCCCTGCTGTCCTTGAACTTTAGATGCAGCTGCACCTGCGTTTGCGTCCCCTCCACTCTCTGACGAAGAGGCTTCGTGGTGTGTGCCTCCTTCCTCCTCTGAGCTTCCCCCCCCGCTTGCTGTTTCCGAGTTTGCCTTTATCTCTGCCACATTCTCTTTGCCGTGGCTGGAGCCACTATGCCCCTCAGAGCCCTCAGAATGTCCCTTGCCTTCTTCACGCGAATCTTTGGCTTGCGTAGTTTTCTCTTCAGTTTCTGCCGAAGCCTTTTCTGACGCGCTAGCCTGCAAAGATGCTCCAGCTGGTTCTCCCTCTTGCGCTGACTCTGATTGCCGCTCCGTCCCTGCTTCCTCTGCCTCCTCAGAGGCAGAGCCCAAGGAAACAAAGGAGGCCGAGGTGGTGTTGTCGTGAGGTACAACGGAGCTGAGGTGAGGGGCATTCTGCACCAACTGCCCCCCAATCGGCGTTGCTTTTGCCTCGATTTCGACAAAGGAGCCGAAATTCGCATTTGTGAGGCCCATGCCGAAGTCCTCTTCATCTATCACAGAAGGATGGCTTGTCTCGGGGTCAGCTGGTTTGGGAAGTGTGTGGAGACCAAAATGGAATGGCAGATAGACTTCAGCAGGATGGCCGCTCGGGTAAATTTGCTCTTCCTTAAGGTCTGAACCAAAGTCCCCTACTTTGGAGAGATTTGGCGAAATATGTGATGGGGGGGGCATTGGAGGCCTTGCTGAGAGATGGTGCGCCTTAGGTTCACGCAGGTGGTCTTGCACGTTCCCCAGGAGAAATTCGAAATCCGCCTCTTGGAGAGCGGTGGGGTTGACTTGGGAAAGAGCGGAGATTGACTCAGAGGACAGTGCAGCAACAGGGCCGGTGTCTGGATCAAGGACAGCCAGCAGTTCTTCTTCTTCCTTTTGCTCCTTTGTCAGTTGTGCTGGTGTCGCCCTTGTTACCTCCTCGGTAATGCGGTTCAAGAGGACTTTCAGCTTCCCACAGGTCTTCATAAGATGCTCAGCATCCATGCCAACAATTTTTGTCGAGTAAAGAAAGCTGCTTCCTTGCCCCGGATCGAAAGCGGCCACCTCGTCCACGGGAGCCCACATATTCTCTATCTGCATCACCATGATACTTGGGTCTTCTCCTTGCTTCTCTAGCATCTTATGCATCCGTTTTCGTTGCTTTCCAAGGAACTTATGCTGCTTTCTGAGCATCTTCAGTTCTGCCTTTGCTTCGGCGGCCTTTACTTTGAGCTCCTTCGCGCTAACGACACCCTGACGGATCTTGTGGACACCCATGACGGCAGCGATGGCGGCGTTCCGTGTTCTCTCTCTCTCAATAGAAGCCTCAAAGTTCACCAAAGCGTCTCTTAAGGAGAGACCCAGCCGCCTGTGGCCTTGCCAGAGCCGTAGGAGATGCCCCGCAACGATACCCTCTTCCTCAAGACTAACGATCCCCCGCAGTGCCTCGGGAGTTTCATCCTCGGGCAGAGAGTCGAACAGCTTGCTCTCGTCTCCCTCAAGCCCAGTAGCCTTCTCTCCAATGTCGAAACCCCTTGCTAGTCGATCTATGTCCAAGGAAGCTTCCATAAGGTCAATTGCGTCGTGGTCAGGACCCTGGCTTCCGTGAAATATCAAATCGTTTAGCTTTTTCACTGCAGGGTCTACCTCCACCTTGAGGTCGAATACGGGGTGATCCATATCTATGATATCTCCAAACAAATCCTCCATGGTACTCTCCGCAGAGCCGCCAATATGGGAACGAATATGGCCTACAGCAAGGCTGCCGTCAAAAGACTTGCTGGCTCCTGCGTCACCCATTTTCAGGCTATCTTTACCTTCCTTATTAGATTCTGCCTTTCTCGGAGTGCTGTGTTCCTCTTTCCCAGCATTTACACCTTTGCGCCCTTCATCATGGGCTGTCTGGCTTTTACCTGCGTCGGCCTCCTTCCCAGACACAGATAAAGGTTCTTCCTCTGCTGCAGCAGAGTCTGCAAAGGAGTACTGGTTGGGTATGAGTCCGTCACTGGATTGGCCGAGGTCCATGGCACGCCCAGAGCTGGTGCCTAATACTAGCAGCAAACCAAACAAGAGGAAACAGAGGGGCAACATACCCGGGGAAACCGGGTGTAGTTGTGGCCACCTCATTGTCTTGTGTACTGTAGGCGAGAGGCTCGTCGACGCCTTAGGACTCCGATATACATATAGCCAACGTGTCTAAGTCATTTAGAGCTGAATGTAAGGGTGCACAGACAGTAGAGAATGTCTGGTTCTGGGAGAAGAAAAATAATAGCACGCTGTGCGCCTGTTGGGCATTGCGCCAGCTAGAGTTCCGAACTTCCGCCTAAAATCCCCCCAATAAAATGAAAATCGAGTAAGATTAGGATAGCATAGCTCTTCATGCAATGACATGGGGACTATCTGAGCCCGTAAAACAGGTCTTTGTTTAAGGGGCTACCCTCTGTCCCGCCTCGGCGCGGCCTTGGATTTTTGGGAAATACGGCCACTGTAAAGGGAAAGGCCGTCGCTCCCCAGACACTTTCCTAGAATTAGTAATATTGTCAATAGTGTCAAATTTCTTCTGAACAAATGGCATGCAGGGACGTAAAGGGACTTTCTTGGGCAGCCGGACCATCTGTCCAGCCGAAGGAGCCAATGGGCACACTGCGGGGTGCCGACACTTTTAGGGCAAAATGCCGGGTGGCTTCTAAAGCTCAAATTCAAGATATAAAAGTATTAAAATTTTGGGGGGGATATGGCATTTGGATGCTGCACACATCGCTCTTGATGCCTCGTCATTCACAGCAGTCACCAGAATAACTGCGATTCGGCCGACAATGGCCGCGCTATGTTGTGTGTAATTAAGGTAAAACCTACACTGATTAAACCTTCTTTAGCCTTATTCTAGAAGACAAAACTGTCCGCTTGCCGCTTGTATAGCACGTCCAAGGGAAAGTACATGTGTAGTACATGCATCGTCTTGTATGTATCGGTAAACTGAGGTATGGCAAGTCCGGGAATACCCCTAAGACCGGGAAAAAGTGCACACTCCTGAAAAAGTCCGGACTATGAGACCCGGAAGCGCAATTCCTTGAGATGACCTGCTTATCTCGTCAACTGGTTCCTGCCATTTTGATGCCAGGGGCCCATGGGCTGACAAAGCGTAGCGTGTCCCCTATCATTGTAGGCCGACCACGATGGCGTACTAGAGAACACACGAGGAAGCAGATGAGCCTTTGTATACCACAAAGCGTAGTAAGCTAACTTTTCGAAAGTGCTTTTCTTGGTAGAGTTGCTGGCTCTACCGAGGAATTCTGAAGATAAATCTTTCTGCTCTATACTGCTACTGCTGTGCCTGCAAACACTACTGCAAATGTGGCGATTTTCTTTCAGCTGTTGCCGTTTCCTACCTCAAATGGCCTAAGTGCTTCGGGGAGTTCGTCTGCACGCGATAATCTTAACGACGGCTCACCCAAGCAACAACGGCAGAGCCACAGCTTCCTTTGTCTTTGTGTTCGCTTGACTTCAGTTAAGAAAACTTATTGTTGATTGAAGCTCGTAAGCAACAGTGCAAAATAACAGGAGACTGCAACTCAGAAGCGCAGTGCTCCCCGGAATGTGCAGAATCTTGTGTACGCATTGGGATGTGCTTTCATCGCACATCCCGAACCGAGGGTCTAGGGCGGGCTCAGCTGCACTCCAACATTCCCTACTACACTAGTTATGCTTGACTAAAAAATAGTAGAGAATAGACTATTTGACTTGTGTGTTCGTATAAACTATTTGATGCAGAGTACGTAGAACTCGGTACAAGAGAGCGGAATCGTGTGTGCTTGTGAGCTAGAAGCTACATGCATTGTGACTGCTCAGAGTGCTTACAGGATGCACCAATGAGCAAACTACCTGTCCCTCCACCCTCTGGTCGAGATCTCTGAGGAATGCGGTCAGGGGCCGGAGGGAGCTCCCTTCATAAACACTGAATAACTTATCAACTTTGAACTGTGTTTAGAGTACAGTGTCTTTCTATGGCGATCTTAGATGGGGCGTTACAAAGACCGAAAGTCTCCCCTCCCTATAGTGAGCCTCAGAAATTTTCTTTTTGTTCGGTCTTTGGTTTACGTGGTGAACGGCGTCCGTTCCTCTTAAGTTGCACAAATATCTGCCAGTACACTGCAGGGAGAGTTGAGGTCCCAGGTTTGGCTGCCTTCTTCCCAACGGCGTTACCTCCTTCATGGGTCTTACAGGAACACACGGTCTTATAGATCGAGATGGGGGCAAAAACACGTTGTCGACACAGTGTACTGCGCTCGACAGGTAAAGTTAGACTCAACAAATGGGACTCGCTTCCTTGAGTATTACCAAAAGACGGCAACCACAAATTGTCTCCGGTATGGCGGTTCACGGAACTGATGCTGGCACGCGAACCCGGTAAACTATATACTCTGAATAGTCATAGCCACTAGCAGCCATCCCGGTGTCAATGCAAAACGCCTCAGTGTACATTTCCGGGTATACAGGCAGTTCTCCAGCATCTATGGCTTGCCCAATAATAAGACAGGCGGCGGCAGGATAAATTGAATGCATAAGAAAGGCTGCTGGGCGTACACTGCTCCTCGCAGCAGCAACGAAACGTTAGCTTGGCGCAAAAGGAACCTAGGTGCAGAACCAGCGAGTTGATACCTATGTATCCGGCTTGAGGCGCTCTGCCAGTGCCTCCGCCTCTGCATTGCGCCCCAATTTGTACAAGGTTTCCACCTTGGTTGCCATCAAGCGTTGCTCCCGCATGTCCATGACCTGCGTCGCCATAAATCGAAACCCCGCTCCACCAAGTGGACTCCCACCTCTGATAGACCCCATGTAAGACTGATAAAAGACTAGCAAGCCGGGTGCTACATTTTGAAAGGCTGCAGCCCCTTGCTGTCCGCAAACCCTTCAAGTTAGCTGTCTTCAATGTTTTAGTTTCTCTGGTTCTCTGAAGCCTTACCTTGTCGCGGTCCCGCCGCAGATTCTGTAGCTCCTGAGCTGTTGCGAGCTGCTTGCGCTCTTCCCTTAGCTTCCGGATCTCCTTCCTGCAGTACCCGCATCCAAATAAGTCAACTGCACGAGGGGTAATTAAGGGTCCACGCAATATCCAGGTGCGATTTTTATACACCACCACGCGAGTACAGAGAAGGCTTGTCAGACGCTTCGTTGTCGTAGAGACCAGCCCATCAACTGACACTCGATTAAAGGTGGAATTGTGTGGATGAAGTGTACTACTGGACACTCCCCAATGCGTTTGCCCTTGACCGGGGCACCATAAATCGAGAGGCGCAACAGATGACTGACATGCGCAGAACCTCGTCGTTGAACTCTGTTCTCTCCCTGTGCACGGGCTCCTTCTGAGCCTAAAAAGAGAGTTTGAAGCAGCAGAGCAGTCAGTAGCAACGCACAGAAAACCCGAGCAATGAAGACACTGAAGAAGGGCATAGGTGCCCTAGTGGCACAGGCAGGATCAGACTTCTCGGCAGCCCAATATTTTTCTATGAAGTTCTTATAAAGGAGTTCAACTTCAGCGAAGCAACGTCTTTTCCATACAGTTAGTCGTCAGCAATGAAAACATGGATCTATGAGGAGGTATCCACGTCGAAAACCCCGCAACATGAGTCCAAAAGGACCTCAATGCACACATGTGAGCGCACTGAACAACGTATTGTCTGGCACGTGAATATTAATATGTGCACGAGAAGGCAAGACCTACGACCACTGCAGCTCAGCCCTACCTGACGCATGCGTTCTTCTGCCTCCCAGAGTTCCAAGTTGTAGTATTTTTTGTGAGGCAAGGTTGCAGTATTGAAGTCCTCTGCAAAGTCGCTGAAAAGCCGCTTCTCCTCCTGGCAACAAGCACCACAGTCAGAAGCCCATCACATTGCAGCAGCACCAGTGCGGGCATCCCCGCCAATGAGGGCTCCTCTTCACCTTCAGCTACAGCAACGCGTGCAGGCGTGTGGACTGGCTGCAGTCATGGTGCCTAAGCATCTGAAAATTATGGGCAGCTACAGTGGCTCAGTTCTGTAACAACCCAGTAAGAAGAGAGGTGAGGTAGGGGAAGCCACATGCTCTGGAAGGGCTGGATGCGATTCCTCCTACGGCCGTTAGGCAGGATACTGGCGTTCCCAAGAGTAAAAAGTCGCGATGCAGTACCCAGTTTGCGAGCTCTTCGATGTTCCTGTTTTTCACTTCCAGCAGCCACAAAGTGAACTCGGGCCGTTTGGCCCACATGTCCGTGTCATGGATGATGCCGTAGCGGCCCCAACGATCGCCAACAGCCCCTAAAGCTACCTCTGAAGAAGCAGAGACAAGTGTCAGATGAGCGCTTAAGGAGGAGGAGCCGAATGCGAGAGCGAAAGAGCGACAGGGAAAGACTACATACACTCCTACACCTCTGCTGACGCCGCCACAGGGGGCGGCTGAACGATCACACGGCCTTAAACTATTTAGGGTCGAATGCATAATACAGACCGCTAACTGTTGCCTAGTTACCGTCACTGTCTTTTTGCTTCTTCTTCTTCTTCTTCTTCGCAGACTTTGCACTTTTACGCTTGCGCTCGGCATGGCCGCCTTCGTGCTTCTTGGATTTACTCTTTTTCGAGTGCTTCTTCGCCCTCTTCTCCTTTTTCCGCCTAAGAAAGCACATGCAAGTCCAATATATGCATGGAGCACTATAGTCGGGAATTGGAAACACGAAGGGAGTCTCTGGTTTTCCAAGGGCAAAGGAGATATCCCATGCGCCTCTGCGTGCCTGTGCATTCTACACCCTCAATTTTGTCTGTGCCCAAATAAGAATAGTAATATTGGGGCGAACCGATGGCGTTCGTCTTCTGAAGTGTCACTGCTGCTACTGCTGCTACTACTACTGGAGCTACTACTGCTGATGCTGCTGTGCTTCCGCTTCTTTCGATGACTTGTGCCACGGGGAACCATCTCCACCACCTCATCCTCTTCTGAATCGTCACGAGGCATTCTTCCGTTTGTCTCCTGTTGCTCTCGGAAAGTCCACGCACTTCCTGCCGCTGATCCTGCGGTAGCTGTTGTTTGGGAGAGCGCAGAGAGAGCGTGGCTCTTGCCGTGCTTCAATTAGACTTAGAAGGTGGGTATACGCAGCTTCATAAAAGCTCGAATTGCTAACGAAGCCATGGGTACGCCCTCCTCAACAAAAGCTAGCCTCAGATGTTTCTTGTTGACAGGCCAGTCCCCCTCGAAACAGTTGTATACACGCACACCCTTGCGCACACAGCGACAACCCCCTGTGCTGTCTGGCCATCAGTCAGCTTTGTATTTCCACTTAGTGCTTTTCGGCAGGGGACCATACAAGAAATTTGCAAGGCACAGGGCGCATGCAGCCCCGAAGGCCCAGGGGATCATCTGTTGAATCGATGCGTGATTTTTGCGTGCGCTTGGCAAGGTTCTCGCGTCCGCACACATGCGTTAAAAATATTTGCATGAATGTATTTTATTTGGTCCTCCCACTCTTGCTTCTTTACATGGCATCACCTGAAGTGTACATAGGTACAGCCCTGGAAGTCAATTTCACATTTGGAATGTGAATAGCCCCTACTCCAGACTCTTTTCCCTAACATAAAGCATTTCCGGCCCTCTATGAGCTGGGCGCATGTGGAAGGGTTCAAATCCACAACGAGACGTATCCGTTCGTTTACAATGGGGACAGATGCCGATTAGCAACTCCGCTCTGCAAGCTACTTAACTCCCTTCGCGTCCCTCTTTCTGTGGATTCTATCCCACACAAGCAACAGCAATGATGGCTCTGCCCCTTTGCCAAACCTCTCTACGAGCATCAAGGGCCACTCTTCCCAGTGTCTCTTGTGTGGGACGTAGCTGCCTTCTTTTCCAGCACACTCTGCATAAGGCAGAGTTTCGCACAAGAGCACACCTGCCTCTGGGACCTATAGATGCCAGAGGGTTTTATTCAGCTCCTTCTCTCCTGAAGAACGCATGGGCTGCTTTGAAGCAGCGCCAAATCGAGAAGTATGGTTAAAATCATGCCCACGCAGCAAATACATGCATACCTCATGAACTCCTACTTATTCTTCATCCTACGTGATCTCCTTGCATACCTTGGCTGTGTGTGCTCCTTTCTTTGATCCCTCCTTGATCCTCCACCTCCTGTGTGGCTACCCGATGGTCCATACCGGTGCGCATACGTCGTGCACGCGTCTCGTGATGTGTGCAGATTGTTACCTTCTTTGATCTTTGAAGACAAATTGCCGAGCTACGTTTACCTGGGACAGGAGGTTCTTTGGTCGCAGCCGAACGCCATTGAGGCGGAGCGCCGCGCTGCCGAGATCGACAGACATCTCCAGGTAGGATAGAATCGAAAGCTTTCTTGATGAATGTGTATTTCCGGATAGATATGTGAATTGTTACGTGCAGTACATAGATGTAGATGTGCTTGATGCATTTGTACTGATACTCTACATAGATCCCACTCACTTAGTACCTTCATGCCGAACGCTTTTTTCGCATGCTTGCTCTAGAGTGATAAGATGTGCGTACGGGGAAAGCTGTACAGGCAGGCGTGCTGTGAAATGTCAGGATGTGTGAAAAACGTGTGTGCGGGGAGGGAGGGAGTTGCCTATCTTTGTAGACAGCGTTGTGTGCCTGTGCTCACTAAATCTATACACGGCTACAGCTGTATGCATGGACCCGCCATCATACGTGTTAGGTGCATGTAAACACCTATATTCCTCCGCAAATTTCATCTGTGGATGTCCCGATGCGTGTATGTATATGTATGTACACAGATAGATGTGTGCATATGTATGCGCCCTTGCCAATACGGTAAGATGTTCGGTATTTGTGCTTCTCTGAATTGTTGCAACTAGGAAGAATTGTGTCTATATATGGGCCACTGCATAGTGGGTTATAGACTTAGTCCACAAAAACTTCCCTTGAAGAAGGCAAGAGGAAACCGATTCTCATAGTAGGTCTGATTCCTGGTACACGTTTTTGTCTCCAGGTCTCCAGAGTCCACAGGGCCGTCTGGCCTTTGCACATGTGTGGCTGCGCAGGCGGCGGCTCGGGAGCGTCCCCTCGGCAATGTGTGTTTTGAGGAACTTGAAGACCTCGACTGGAGCCTTTTGACTGCAGGTAATTATTCTGAGGGGTGCAGCAGCACCGCCCCCGTCCCTCTTCACAGTGCATGTGCATCTTCGTGTGGCTCTTCGTCGGTAGTGGCCTACCCTTTGCGGCGAGAGAATCCATTCTGATCCCTGCAGCTCGAGAATCCCGGAAAGTGCGCCTTTGTGTGCGTCTTTGCATTTTTGCCTGTTGACTGCAGTGAGGGCCGCGAGCCCTGAGGTGTCCGCGGTGGCGCAATACCTCCTGAAGGTCCCATCTAAGCGCTTTCGACCCCTGCTGCTGTACCTCGTCCACCGCTTTCTGCAATGCTCTGCCCAGCGTAAGACCTGGCAAGACACCACCATTGGGCTATGCTGCGACATCTGTGAGGCAGCAAGAAAGCTCTCGAGCCCTAGAATTTCGTTGATATAAGTCAAGGGGGGCGAAGGGGATGGCTGATGTGCGGGGAGGTTTGCTAGAAGGAGGCGATTAGTGTGAAGGGATATGGTTTATGCAGGGGAAGAGACACCCCAAGCACGCAGTGCCGCACTGCCTCTTGTGATGGTGCACGTCGCCGAGCTAATTCACACTGCCAGGTGCCACATAGCGAAGACGCAGGCAAATAGACTCCGCGATAGCCGAAGAACTCCTTGTAGCGGTTAACAATAATATCACGTGTTATGCATCTGCCTATGTGTACATACGCCTGTGTTTGCATGTCCCTACGGTCGTGTTTGTGTGGCTTCTGTATTCGGTGCATATACATGAGTGTTGAGGGCAGCCACAGCTCTCTACATGGCCATTGCCCTTCCATTTGCTCATCGCGCTGCCAGCTCACTTATTGGTCTAAGCAGTTGGCTTATGTATTGTTCTGCTCCTTAGTAGCTGCGTCTTCCCCTCGACATCCTTTTATTCGCCTTGCTCTTGCATGCAGGTGCTCTATTTGTTTGTTCGTTTACATGCGAGTGTAATTGCCAGTTTGTTGCTTACTTGCTACCATTGTACGCATTCACGTGTCACTGCTTTCTTGCAGTCTGATGCATGACGACGTGTTGGACGAAGCGGCAACCCGCAGAGGCCACCCAGCAGCTCATTCAGTGTTTGGCAACAAAAAGGCTGTCTTGGGTGGTGACTTTGTATTAGCTAGAGCGTAAGGCCTGGGACATGCACATGCAGCACAGTGTAACTACTTCGTACGAACTTGTCTTGTGCGTTCTGTCCGTATACGTGCTTCCGTCAAAGGACATCTCTAGTCACATAGAAAAGCAAGCACAGGCAATTTGTTTTCAGAAAATTTATCACCACGTCTTTCTCGGCTGAGCCGCTTTATTGTTCAGACTGTGCCGGGATATTCTAAGCATTTTATGCGTCCTGGCCTAAGCTACCTGCAGTCTTAATATGTCTTGATGAAATTTGTCAGAATGGTCTCTTTTCAGTGACTAGATGTGTGCTGATTCGCTGTGTTATGGGCCCCAGCAGCAGCATCGCGGCCACTGCAGGGTCTCCCGAAGTTTGTCTCCGCGTTTCTCAAACAATAGAGAGTCTCGTGAAAGGCGAACTCGTCCAAGCCTTCTCTCACACATCGGATATTGGTGAGCTGTGCCACATACTACTATTCGAAGGCTTTAGCTGGATGAGCGGGAGCCTTGAAGTTGCTAGCCTAATGGCTACGGGGTTGCTCTTTCCAGCTGAAGCTCGGTGCTTACTACCTGACCTGCCGAGCCGTCGCTCATCGTGGTCGAGACCACGTTGTTGGCATGCTTTGGCATTTCCCCAAGCATTTGTAACCGACTGATGTATTTTAACGAAGGGATTTTCGAGTTTATTGAGGATGGGTGGAGGCATGCACGACTGGGTGCCAGGTAGTTTAATGAAGTGGTTGCCTACCTACGCGCACTGTATGCGTACTGGAACAGAGGCGGCGAACGGCATCAGTGTATGGAATTAAGCGTATGTGACCTCTATGGCGTGCTGTGCAGCTAAGGCATTTGAAACGATGCTGACGAAGAGCTATCACAAGACCGCCTCGTTGATGGCCGAGACCTGCGCATGCCTTGCCTTGATTGGTGAGGCCTTCAAAGAGCCCCTGGCTCATTGCTTTCCCTTGCTGGCTTGTCTATTCGACCTCTTCAGTAGCCTCTACCTGTTATGTGCCCATTCCTGTGCCTTATTTTGCGTGCATGTCCTGAAATCCACACTACCCCGTCATTTTGGGAACGGGGATTGGGTTGACTGTGCTCAGGAGGACATACGCGAGAGTGGGTGGACTGGTGCCATGAAGTGGGGGCAAGCGTGGGGCTAGCGTTTCAGCTGTACGACGACGAGTTGGACTTGGTTGCCTCGACCCAGGCTTTGGGTAAACCAGCCAACAACGATCTCAGAAACGTAAGCACATGCAGCTCTACAAGTTACTCGAAGACTGTGTAACGAATTAGAGAGATCACCACATCGGAAGAAAGGGAGGAAGCCAGAGTTCAGACAGGCCACAACAGTTGTAATGCATGGTACGAAAGAGTTTATTCATGCGTACAACATCGAGTACTCTAGGATATACGTGGAATGCATCCCGAAGAACAGAGGCCTTTGGCAATGCGTTACGCACAACAGGTATATCCATCCCAGATTGAGCACAATGGGAAGGTGTGCTCTATATGCGTGCCACTTCTTGTGCCTCAGGGAGTAATAACTGCTCCGCTGCTCCTGGCAGCTGTTGAGCATTCACAGGAACTTTTGCCTGTGCTGAAACGGAAGCTGCAAGGCGAGGGGGACGCCGAGCTGGCTGCGAAAAAAATAAGGGACAGCACAGCACTCCCCCGCGCGCGCCTTCTCTCGCGGCTGTACATACAGCACGTCCTGCGGTTGCTAGAAGGGGTGCCACAAACGAATCCTGAGCAAAAAGATGCAGCTGCGGACATAGCAAGCCTTTTGGTTTGGGTATTACAGCGTAAATCTAGCTGAGTCTCTTCGTGTGGCTGTATTGCAGTCAACGCTGCAGCCATAATACTTCGGGTTGCACTGTAGTGCTGGCTGTGGTCTCGGGCATCTTCTTTTAGCATTCGAAGACACATATCGTTTTTATGCGGCTTGGCCAGATGGCTTGAGTCTAATAGAGAATGCCATTTCGTGTGTGTAGAGGACAAGGTAAGTGCTGGAGTCGGGTTTGCTTTTCTGCTGGTTCAGAGGGCACTCCACTGAACACTAGGACAAAAAGACGCCAATGGACTAGACGCGTAGCGGGCAGCATCAGCAGCCACCGCAGCAACAATTGCAAGCGGCACGCACACTGATATCAAAGTAGACTTGTGCACGAAGGTGCAAACAAAATGCACAATTGGGTTGTGGTCTAAAGGTGAAGTCCTTTGAATTCTGGATTTGGTGGTGTGGCAGTTCGTTACTGCCGGGAACGGTTACTTTTGGCCCTAATGTGATCGTGTAACTGAAGTACGTTGCCTAGCAGTGTAATAACCAGCAGATGTGACCGTAAGGAGGCATATAGAGAGCGATTTGATGAATTATGTGGGATGCATCTTTGCATAGTCCTGTGGCTGAAGGGTAGCAGTTGCGTAGCGTGCCACATAAAGCGAAGACGCATAGCAACATGCTGATCATGGTGAGGCAGACAGAGGCATCTATTCTGAACTTTGGTGAAGCAGTAAGACATGCTAAACTTGTCAGTGGTGAGTAATCGCGGTATTGACTCTCACTTCGCCGTCACAAAAGCCCGTTTGGAGGTATATGCAAGCAAAGGAGAACAGGTGGAGAGGCTAGCACAGGAGAAACAGCGTGAGAGTGCGACAAAGTGTATGAGCCTGGAAAGGTGGAGGATGTTTTTTGTGCCTATGCAGCACCACGTACAACGAAGTAGGAGTCATATTTAAACGGTGTAGTAGGTAAACACGTGCTGACTCGCATACAGGGAGGATGTAGCTTGACACTGATAAAAGGATAACAGAGAGTCGGACAGAGAGAACAACACTCTGCCAAGGGTTCTAGGGAGGGACAAAAATGGTGGAATGACACCAGTCCTTGCCGTTGCTGCAAAGTTCCAATGGTTACGAAATCAACTGTGCAGCCACTTGCGCATCGGATCCTGTGAAATCTCGCGAGCACGCAAAAACCAATTCAAGTTTGCTTCGTTCACCAAAACCCATTGAATAGAAATACCCCACCATCGATAATGTCCTCACTTGCCCAGAATGACTACCCTTCAAAGGCATACTGAAAGTGTACCATGCTTCCTGTGGCCACGTATCGAGTCCCCAGAAGTGCGCAAGGACGACATTCGCTTCTTCAATGACCCCAAAAAGGCAATCGTGATTCGAGCAAACGCCTCCACACCAAGCAGCATCCATTGCGTGTATGCAAAGAAGAATGAGCAGTGAATTATAATGCCAGCGGAGCTGCTGAGAGCTTCTTTAGCCTTTTAGCAGAGTTACAGGGAAAATGGTTTGCTGCGAAGGCAGGCAGCCAAGTTTATGAAATTTACGTATATGGAAATGTGCGTGTTTATGCTTGCACGTAGGAACATTTCAATGTCAACCCCTGTGGGCTTAATAGGGACCTTTTCTCTCGTAGATGCTGAGGCCATGTGACTGAGACTACAGGGCTCTTAGAGGCTTATTCTTTGTCAATCATCTACCCATCCACTAATTCATACACGTCTGATTACTCAACAAAGCCAAACAGAAAGAAAGGCAACTGAACAAAGAGTAAGCCGTTTTTTCCGCGATGCATTTACAGCGCGGTGCCTATCATGATAGTGCAAGCCACCTGGTGGCTTGCCCCTTCATGATACACGCTTACATCATGGATTATGTTGTCATGAGGCCTAATCGGTCGTGCTTATCTTTTCCACATGTATGCCAAAAGAGTTTGCCAGCAATTTGTTTGCTATGTTTAGGCGCTTAACCTCCCTAACTTGATGCCCCTGTCGAGTCCAGCACCAACGGCGGCAAAAGCAACAGCCGCCGTGAGATATCTGAAAACCGGAAAGAGATAATTGGACTTGCATGACCCATTCGCTCGTGCTTCTTTTGCCTAGTTGCCTTCGCTAACTAAGAAAAATGCTGGGGTGCGCATCTTAGTGGCCAGATAGAGACAAAGTCATTGCCTCTCTCAGGAGAAAGCAGCAACATTTAAACAACGCATGAAAACAATGCAATCAAGAGCCACCGCTTGACCTTGCTGGGAATGCTTTTGAGATAAGGGTTCTCTCATTTCTGCAGCCCGTAGGCTCACAGCTCAAATGCAGGAAATCCCCCCTGCTTTGGCTTTCCAGTCGAGTTCTCAGCTGAGCCTGGACTTTGAAGAGACAAGAGAAGCGTAGGGTGCAGACCCTGGGCTCTACATCGCATGGTCGCAGGCTGATGCTTATGATCAGGACTCAAACCAAGGCGTTTACTTACCTATGAGGAAAGAAACAACTGGGTCTGGAGGTCAAAGCACTAGCGTACCAGTGCCGTAAATGTGCTCTTCAGTACTCAAAGCACAACACAGGCTAGTTTACGAGATAAGGCAGACGAAAGTCTAAAAGTCCATTATGCAAATGCTACTGCTGCTAAACGACATCAGCCTAGTAGCCTCAAAGTTGTACCGATTCGATACTACAGGTGACAGACATACTAAAACATCATCCCCTAGAATTCGCTCTCCTGATCTTTGTGGATCCAGAAAATGCATTAAAGTAAAGTCGTTTCAAGTTAGCTTTGACACAACTCGGCAGTGCATCTGAAAATAGGCATAGACTTCGAGAAAAGAGCAGTTTGCCCTTGCTAGAACATGAGTATGAGCGAACGGCAGAAATAAGTTACACAGAACAAGCTGCAAGATAAGGCAAGTTACACACGGTTAGGAAGTGAAAAAAGCAGGACGCGGCATCGATGAGGTCACACAGCACCAGGAAAAGCAACCCGACTTCGGAGTATGCAGATATTTGAAGACGCAGTGGGATAGACAAAAAACTGAGAAAGGAAGCTATTGGCAGAGAAGGCAACAGAATTACTCCCAGTCAATATGACCAGTCTGCGCCTTAGTTGCTAAAATAACGAATGGTGGTTGGCGTGCTGAAGCATGCCAGATTATTTTGTATACTCAGTGACTTAGGGATATGTAATATGTTTCTCCTTGGTGTATGCGGGAGACCAGCTTAAAGTATTGTAGCAGAGATTGAAACAACAATGGCATTGAACTGTTTTGGTGTCTCGACCAATATTTCACACATATGCGGGTTCCTGATTGGCCCAGTTAGGTTCTTGCATTACGTTTAATGTGCCGAGAAACTTAACGTACACTATCATCGTTCGTGGTGAGCAAAGCCCATGTATCTACACAGTAAGGACCAGCAGTGGAGTGCACACTGATTGGCTGTCACTGCATCAGTGAAGAGGTAAGGAATCCAAAGGGTGAAGATACACTCGATATCCTTAAATGCAATGCCACCGGGAGAGATAAAAACACTTCACTTTTTGAGGCAAGCAATGCTTCCGGAACCCAATGAGGTAGGGGCATTAAATGGTCTGGTTAGTAGAACTCGATTGAGACACTTCTACACTATTCGCCGCACTGTGCTCGATTCCTCGCCCCCGTTATCTTGAATCCCTGAGAAGTGTGTGGAGCTTTTTGCGGCTCGACCAGCGCACCGAGAGGCACTTCATCCCTCGAAGGAGTCCGCATAAAGCAGAAACCACAGAAAAGCCGCGCGAGCAAGACGATAGGACGGTTCCAATACGCTGTGAGCGCACGTAAGTAAAAGCACGCAGAGAGCGCTCTTGGTTCTTGACAGTTCTCCGCAAGCGCGAATAGACTCTCCACCATTACTGAAAGCGAGGTTTGCTTGATAAAAGGTGCACGGATGAGATGGACTCTTTCGGGATTACTGTCCTGCTGGAAGTTCGCTGGCCCATTTCACAGACCACCCTAATTGCGGTGCAAACTTAGCTGAATCTCACAGGATTGCTCTCCGTCTTAGATTTCGCTCTGTGAGTCTATAGGCAAGTGCACGAGACTTTTTGCTCTCCTATCCTAACACGGATAGACGTCGAAGCCAAAGGCAACCACGAGACAGGATTTTACTTGGTGTACGATCAGTCACGCCGGAGGCAAGGTACCGCGCCTTTGTGGGTAGCGAAAGATCCCTGCCAAACATCCACCGAAACTCCATCTCCTAAACGTCTAACCCCTAAGGGAGCCCATGATAGCTGTATGTGGGCTTTCGAAAAGGATAAACGAAAGGAGCTGGAAATGTAGCACACAAGGGAAATACGTCGCAGCATCTCAAAATAGGTAAAAACGATCAGTAAGATTGGATAATCCCTACCAGTAAGTATTCAACTACACGGTATTGTACAGCAAACGGCTATTTGTCGTAACTGAAGGACTTCAAAGGAGCCAAGACGGGTCAGTACGCTTAAAGAACTGTACGATGCCTGCACCTCCGCGACTGCCTGCACCTAGGCACTGAATCTCATCTAGCCTCTACGAGTAACATTGACTACCAAAGGCCACTGAAAGATTCGTAGATGGCAAATCTCGAGCAGCAAACTCTTGTTTGCTAGCGGCGAAAGAAGGCTTCCTGCCACGTTGTATAGGGCCACCCCAACGCTTTGGCAAACATATCATTGGCCACCGTGCTTAAGTTTTGTGCCGCTTGTACCGGTGCTGCATCTTTAAAGACAGCTACAAGTAGGGGGAAGGTTCCTTACGCACGCGCTTCGTGCAAGTTGTCGGTGTAAGAGCTGGCTACGCAGCCCGGTATGGAACTGTGGCTCAGGCAACGGTTCTAAACGAAAAGGAAAAAAGTATTATCCCCCGTCTTTATTTTCACGCAATGGCTTCTGCGGGGGTGTGGTCGCCTCCTTTCTGCAGGCTTCAGGTCCAAGTATATGTTATGAAGCAAGGATAACCAGCCTAGTGTTCTGCTTGTGGTGTATTGCTGTGGCCGACTTTTGCTACGAAGCACTCGTGCTTCACTCTTCTGCCTCCCCTTCAGTGTCCTGTCTCTTCCCCTCGTCCCACTCAAAGTCTGCTTGCTGGAGACCAGAGGCCCATCTTTCTTTGAGCCTCTCCCCTGCACCATCTTCTACTGAGTTGTAGGTGTAGCCCTGAAGCATCTGTTGTACTCCTCCAGACGCCTGAACCTCGGCGGGAATGAGGGATGTGAACATTGCCCCACAGCTCGCACAGCTCGATGCTTCCGGTGGTTTCTCGTGAAGGCAGCAGGGACATGCGGCCCTGGCAAAGATCCAGTCTGAGAATAAGCAAGGCAAGAAGAGGAGCTGGATAACCACATGCAGCTTTCGTCTCAGTGTGTGAAGTCGAACCAAAGCGCACGAAACCGACTTATACACAGAAACCCAGTGGATTAAAAATAGAGATGGGAGTCTTGCACCTAAAATACTAGTAGTCGAAAAGCTTCTATTTTTGATGTACTATGCATACGCAGAGCATTATATGATTACGAGCATATGCACATAGATGGCCTATCGCGGACCACACACATACAAACCATACACTTACAGGTGTACACCAGGACCAAATAACTGTTGGACCCGTAAACAGCAGGATGCTGGAGCGCATTCCTAGGATGAAAATTCCGATGCATTAAACCATTGCCAAGATGAACTATGTTTAATTTGCAGCATGCGTTGTGCCAATGAACATGTTCGCATACACGCATCCACCTCAAGTATGCATGTGTATCCGATTCTCATAATTACACAACAGGGGAGCCCAGGGGCTACACGAGAGCAGATCCTTGAGGAGGCACAACCGCAAAAACCCATGGCCCAAGACAAATGTTGGTGTGGACTGTCATGTGCATATATATATATATATTCCAACACTTGCGCAACAACGCAGCACTCACAAAAATAAGGCACTTGCGGTTTCGGACCAATGCTGAGAGGAACTGCATCTCACAATGGGATGGTCCCACAGACTGCCTTCTCCCCCAAACCTTTAGCCACCCTAAAGGCCACACTTTATACGGCTTCTAGCGCTTACCAAGATCCCCGTCCTCCTCCAACTCCTGTAAATCGTTCTCTCCCCCCAGCACGACCCCGTCTACCAACACTTGAGGAAGCGCCACTGTGCAAACAGGCGAGCAAAAAAGGGAAGCTCCTTGCCATTGCTTCTATTATTTACCGCACCTGTTATGGATGACCCATAGTCAAGGCAACATTCTACCGAGGATACGGAAGCCGGCAGGCCCAGCCATGCCAGAGCACGGCAGAGGCCTGCTACAAAACACCTACAGCTAAACGTCTTGACACGACTATACGAAACCGTAAATCATCAATGGGATAGCAGCAGGCGTGAGACTACAGCAGCGACAGAGAACAGATAGAGGCCCGACCTTCCGGCTCTCCTGTTTCGCTGTTTGGGTTTTCTATGGTGCGAAGAATGCCTTGGGACTTCCACTCCTTGTACAACTCTGTATCCTTTAGGTCTGCAGACACACCAGATCCTTAACCCCACTGCTGTGCTACAGCGGAAGCTTCTCGATGCTCCCACGAGTGCAACCGCTGGACGCTTGCACCAACATTCATGGAGCCAAGGGAAGCGAAAATTTACGCAATGGCGGGAAACAGGCACCTAAATGTGAGGGAAGAGCACATTGGCACTCCTTACTCATGGCTACTGACAGGTCCCTATTGGTATCGATAAGGAAGTACACAACGCCCTTGCAGTCCAAAAAATGCTGCACCCTTTTGCTGCTAAAAAACTGACGCTTGATAGAGCCCAGACTTGTGGCGAGCACAACTATCTCTGCAACCTCCCCAAGGTCCGGTGCTTCCCCCAGCGCCATAGCCAAAGAACCCCCAGCCGGGGCGGCTCCAAGAGCTTCCTCTGGAGCATCGTCCTCTTGCTCTTCTTCTTGCTCTTCCTCTTCAGCATATTCTTCCTCCTCTACTGGGGGTTCATCGAATGGGGTCTCTATTTCCGACATTGCTACTCAGTGCTGTTGCTGCTACTACTGGGTGTGCTCCTCCCGCCACGAGAAGAGGCACTAGACAGAGTTTTGTGGAAAGGCTGAAGCAGTTCAGGTGTACAGGTAGCTACCTTGCAGCGACAGAGCGTAACTGCAATAGTTGGTGCGACACCGGCGGCAGCGGCAGGTCACCTGAAGCAGCACCAGCTGCTGCCGCTGCTGCAACAAAGGTCAAGAACCAACACGCTGAAAGAAAACAGTCACCTAATTCCTTAGGAACAGCAAAGGAGCGAAATGCCGCGTTGCTGTTTCCCCAGCTGCTGTGGATGCTGCTGCAGGGGGGAGATATCAAAACAGTAGCAGCCAATAGTAAAGCAGACTAGCAAACACGTATGAGAGAAAAAAGAGGGAAGCAACGGATATGCGATGAACGTATCAGGTTAAGAGTTTTGTGTGCCCGCAGTTGCTGCTAGCCGCAAATGGAATGACTAAGCAATGCCTTCGCCTGCTTTTGTTGCCTTCTAAGGAAAATGAGAAAGGTCCGCCTCTTATAAATTCGAGTTTGAGGTACACATGGAAAGCAGAAGCCCGATACAACTGGGTAGCACATGTGCATCCACTGCTGCCTTCAGACTACAGCTCCCGAATGCATGCGGCAGTGCCAGCAAACCCTAAACTCCCACACCCTAAATCGCACACCCTAAGCACTCTTAAGAATATCATCCCTAAGATCGATATGAGGCCGCTCAAGGGGAAAAGCTACTTGAATGCTGTATGTACAACGCGATAAGTTTGGTTCCTTTTAAAGATGGACAGGTAGCCCATTGACGGGCAGTTTCAGGTAGAACTGCAAAAGCGTACAAATGGCTGAATTTTCTGGATTTAGTCACCAGTTATTTCTAAAATTTACTGCGCCAGCAACATCAGGGCTTTGGAAACACTCAATCCATAAGCGTTCCACCAACACGTCATGGCAGCACCAGAAACAGCAGCAGCTAGTGGTCTGCAGCAGCCTAATGGTTCACTCTTCCGAAATGAGTGTTATTCAGCTGCCGCCTCACACTGCAGAGCCTATTCGGAGTCGTTCACCCTGCATAGAGGCTCTTTTCATTGGTAACTAATTAGCCCAGCTACGCGAAATCGCCCAAGGGCCGCTATAGTGCTGTGCAGTCAACATGGCAACATGCAATAGGCATGCACTGACCATTGAGTGACTTTTGATGCCGTGCGCATACTTCTGATTTACTGAATCACTGTGTGGCAGTGCTGAGCGCATCGTGTGTATAGTCGTGGCTCAGGTCACTCGTGTGGCGGAGTGAGCTATGCTCGGACACTTTTCGCTACTCTATATTTAACTGGAAAACAGTATTGACTATGTGATCTGTCGGATTGTATATCTTTTTACTGCAGACTGATCCTTGCTCGAAACAAGAAGACGATGGAATGTGCGTGTGTGCTAGATGTTGTATGCAACTGGCTGTGCCTGCTTGAAGTGTTTAGAGAATGCAGCAAGATGGGACCTAGCTGTCCCTCTCTACCCATGTCTGGAACTCTTAGGGGCGCAGGAAGGTGGGAATTCTCTAGAGAAGCGCATCAATGGATATATGAAATTTTCATTGAGTCTGGAGTAAAGGGTCTCTTTACACAGACCTCGGATTAAGTGTTACAACTACGGCTCCTAACGTAAGAGGGCAACTAAGGGAGACAATTGGCATCCCCCGCGTGATAAAATTTTGTATAGCCACGGCCACCTGCACTCTTCCATCTAGCTCTACGCTAGTTTCTATTTTGTGTGCCTTTGGCGTACCGGCACGTACAAATCAACACCGTGTGTACGCACTGCAGTAGCATCTATAAAACAAAAACGCAGACTAAAGCTGGGGGCCCCTTGTTCTGCCCGTGGAAGCCCGAACAGAGTAACGCTCACATGCGTGTGTAACTCCGGTAGGTACAGAGACGTTTAGCTGGTCACAAGTGCCAGCAAAAGAATTTGTCCAATGCAGACGCAGCAGCTGCTACCACTGTCCTGCGAGCCTTCTGATCCAGAACAAAGCTCGCGGCTGCGCCTTAGCGCAGGAATTTGCTACTAATGCGTGCAGCAGCAGCGGAAGAACTGCCTGCTGCGTCACGTACCTGCTTTTGCAGCAACAGGCGGTAGGTGAGGGAGGGGAAGGGCAACATCTGAATGCCCGTCTTTGCCGGCACAACCTACGCACAGAAAATTCCAAGCCACAGCCGTCGATTCTCCGTAGGGTGTGGCAGGCATGCCTACCTTAACCTGTAGGATCCGTACCCCAATTGGCTGAGGTCAAGGAGTCTCCTTGACTGACGTGGCTGCTTGAATAGACTGTTTGGCACATAGCAGGGTTAGCTCTACACAGTAAGCGTCAACGTTGTGTGCTTGTGCTCTGTAGGTTTTACAAGATGCAACAGGGTATGAATGGATGCTTTACTGAGGGCTAGAAGATACAGTGGCCCCCATACCCCGTCCTCTACCTGTTTCTCACTTTGCCCTGATACCCTCACACTATCGGGGTAGGAAGGCGGGAGGACGGGAAAGGGAGAGCTCTAAGAGGAGATCAGCAGCTACTTAATCAGCATACCCATTGTTTAAAGGCTAAACCAGTGTTCTCATGGAAATCCTAGAGTACAGAACTCTATATTGGCTGCTCACCTTCTTGAGGAGGTAGAAGATGTGTCCTGTGGCTATGCCGAGGAGGGCTGGCACTGCGCCCTGAAGACTTTGCTGCTGCACAGCATCTAGAGCAGCCAAAGCAAAGGGAAGGACCTTCTGAGGTACCTGAAGGCCCAGAGGAAGAGGTGCTTTTTTTTCCGGATTGGTTTTGCTGATGACGTAGGTGGCAGCGGCGGTCAAAGGGCTGCCATAGAAGGGCATACCCAGGGCACTTCCTGCTGCTGCCAAGAGTAAGCACTCCACAGCTAAGAACTGAAACAGGTGTGCAGTGCCAGAGGCTGACGCGGCTGCTGCAGCAAAGGCTTTGGGGTCCTTCCACTGGTGCTGTAGCTCCCGTTGCTGTTGCAGCAATTTTTGTTGCTGCTGCTGCAGGAGCTGCTGTCGCCGGGGTGACAGAGCCTTTACGTCGCTGCAGGGCTGATGCAGCAGGGCCTGTCTCTCTGTTGTTTCCAGCTGCCGAAGAGCCACATAGGACGCATAGATGCGCGTGAGCGTGGAAAAGGAGAAGGGGCCTTGAAAGAGGGCCGCCGTCAGAGGCCTCCAAAGCTCAAGGGCTCTACCGGCACGGCCCCAGTGCATGCAAAGGGCCTCGGGAGGAACCAGTGGGCGCTCTCCTGTGCCCAGGACTGACAGCAGAAAAGAGGCTGTAAGCCAGGATCGTGTGGCGACAGGTATTTCAGTGTACGACCTGAGCAGGCTGCTGCAACCGTGCCACAAGGCGCTGTCTCGTAGCCTGTCCAAAGCCCCTTTTTTCTGCTGTTGCAGTAGCCAAGACCGAGGGGGGGCACGCCCAACGCCGAAAAAGGCCAAAGGCCTTGGGGGGGCTGCTACTGCGCCTGCTGGCGTTCCTGCTGCGTAACTAGAAAGAGCAGCAGCAGGTAGTGTTACTGCCGCTACATCGGCTGTTGCAGGCCCCTTCGAAGCAGCTCGTGTAGCAATGGTAATCCCGGGGTTTCCGGAAGGCGCATCCGTAGGAGTCAGGAGAAGGTGGGATTCGCAGGGCGGTTGCTGCGCCAGCAGTGCCAACAGCAGCAGAAGGCACAACCGCAACTGGGGCTGCAACAGCACCTGCTGCATGTTGTCTGGCAGCCGGATACAGGAATGCACGACTGCACGACAAGAGAGATGCAGCGGCGGCAGGAGCAGAAGGACCGGCAGCAGCGCCGCCAGGCGCAACGATGTCTGCAGGGCCTCTGCTAAGGCAGGAATACGGAAGGAGAAATGCGGCCCTCAACGGGCAATTTTCCGGGATATCCTGATGATGCAAAGTGCGTGACATGGATTATGCGCGAGGTGTCGATACACCCTGATGACGTCTGCCGTGTCCCCCCTGGGCCCCCCAGTCCCCACTAGGAGGCCCCCAAACTCGCTGCTTCGTAGGCAGCACCTACGTGTGTGAGGACGCAACACAAAAAGGCAAGAGGAAGTCAACGACCTATTGTTGAATTGATGTAATGCGGAGCCCATCCTCCCTGGGGTATTGCACAGGCAGTACAGAGAAGGACAGAGGGCGTCGGCTGCCACTAAGAAACAGTGCACCGCACTCATACCCAAGGTGTAGTATAGAGTTGCGCAACACTTCAATATTTTCACCAACACCCATTATTTTTGGCTAAAAATTAGCAACGAGTTGACGTATTGGTCTATCTGTCTGTGTTTCTTGTTCGTTGCAGAGTCCTCATAGCTCGATACAAGAAGGCGCGAAGCTAAATGTGCGTGCGCTAAACTATAAGCAACTAGATGGGTGCTACGAGCTGCGAAATCTCGGAGCTCGTAAAGCAAGCAGCTGCGCGAGCCTAGGCTCTTTGATCTTCTCCGGCCATGCAAATTCTGTGGGCCGAGGGTAAAGAAGGCAAAGAATTCTGTTACGAATCACTCAAGGACTTTATCCCATGTTTGCATTTAGTCAGGATCCAAGTACATTCTTATCAAGACCTATTTAGAACGTTCTACAAGGGGCTGCACGGAAGGCGCGAGACTGTCCGAAAGCCCATTGAGGTCTTCCGTACGGAGAGCTGACCACGAAGAGCCCCAAAGAGATTATCAAAGTAGAAGAGGACAGAAATTATTGATGGCAAATTTGAAGATTGCCACAAGGAGCCTCTGAATGAAGGTTCCTGTTTCGGTGAAGGTGCATTGAGGTGTCCGGGGGCCTCAACCTTCGGTGCGTAAGCCTCAGGCAGAAGGTCGAAAGGCGAGGCAAACTAATTACGGACACCTGCAGCAGATTGGCGCCCAGAGGAAAAATGTAAAACTCTGTTTCGGCTTATCGTAGGAAGCACGCAGCCCCAAACACACTACAGAACTTCCTAGAATGTCACTGAGTGTACTCCTCTGCCGATCCCCCCTTACCGTGCCCTCGCCCCTCTGAATCCCCGCACGGGCGGAGAGCGGGGGCCAGCTAGTGTGCGCAATACTGCGTGCTCTAGCCACTTCAAGCATTTGCAGCTAGGTGTACTTGCTAGCAGCCTATATGTAGGGCTGACACTACTCTAGAACAAATAACATACTAACAGCGGGACTAATTGGCAAAAAATGCTTGGTTAAATATAATGCTTGTCGTAGAAAGCGCCGAAGTGCAACTCTTTGCACGCTTCACAGGGAACCAGTTAGAATTAAGAGCCGGGAGACAGCGCCAAGTGGACACGCAAGGAAATAGAATGGACACACGAGTAAACAGCTGGCCATTTACAAATGCAAAAGCACGGAGGGGGGAATACAGCCTTGGGTATGGTAGAAGCAGAGCCAGGGGCGTCGCGAGGAGAATAGCAGACCGCGATAGAAAATGAACTCTTAAGTCAATAGCACCAGAAGGAACGCATCGACCTGGGCGTCCTTCTTATGCCTGGTATTACCAAGAACAACAGCGCAGAGAACATGGAAAGATGGCAGTTTCTCACTTGAAGACGGCTAATTAGACTTAAACCGAGCGCTGTTGGACGCAGCAGATTGGATTCGCGAAAGAGAAGTACCCTTCCCCTTTCCTCTTCATACATCCCCGTAGTCCTTGATGACTGTCAGATAAGTCACGGCTGCTCACACGCCATCTCTAAAACCGGTAATGACTGGATTTTACAAACTGGTTTCTAGTTGATCAATATATTTTTTAGAACTGAGGCGAAGGTCACTCTTTATGCCAAGTGGCAAGCCAAAATTTATCGGCCTCACAGCCCTTTTAAGAAGCGCGAGGGTGGCAGTTCTCTGTGAGTAAGCCCAAACCGTGACTCCAGTTTCGCTTTGCTTGGGTACAAGAGCTTTGTTAGCTGTCGTTTGTCTGCTCCAACAGTAGCAAGTGTTACTGCAATAGCCCTCGCAGCACTGTCCTTTCGCAGTTGTGAGTGCAACTGAAAGTCGGTTCACCGCATGTACATGGAAAGCGTCAGGGGGGAGAGTTTTTTGTCCTGATAGCTTGCCTCAAACAAGCAGGCTGAGATTCACAGACATTAGGCAGTGCTGCTTCCACGGTCCAGAGGAAGCCCGAGGAAAACGAGCACATCTCTGAGGACGCCCTAGCAACCAGTAGGCTAAGCATGCAAAGAGGCACCAGGAAAGAGACAAGGCACAACCAGAAGAAAAGGGCCACTCACAAGTCTGAAAGCATCAGGTGATCAAGCACATAAGTGGACTTTAAAGTGCTCCCTCTTTCCTGCATACGCACGGCAAACCCTTTAATTCCTTCATTGCTGTGTCTCACATACCCCATTTCTGCAGCCAGCTAACACGGACCCATGTGAGGCTTAATGTAGTTAAAGTGTAGTAGTATCCACAACAATGGCAGGGAGAGCAACTTTCTCGACACTAGTTCGTGCCACCTCTGTTTCTAGCACTTTGCTAATATCTGGGCTTTTTGGGCCTCTTCGTAGCAATCAAACGCAGGTGAGTAGACTTATGTATATGCTGGCGCATGATCACAGCTACTAGAGTTGCTGCTCTTTCAGCTGGCTGATGGATACGTGGCTTGGGGGCTTCTCGAGCCTGCACGACCCCTAGGTGTCGAGAAGCCTTTTTCCCTACTGTTACCCAGGGTTGCAATGCGAACGTCTTCACACAACGGCTGCTAGTTCAGGTCACAATTTTGGACAACAGCATCCTTAGTACTAGCAAGGGACAACAGTAGCAGAAAAGCAGGAGCAGCTGTAGCAACAATCGGCGCCATCCAAAGTTTCCACAGGTATGTCGCTGTGGAGCAAAAAGGATCAAATGACTTCTGAGTCTCATTCTACAGATTCTAAATTATTCTGTTAGGCTAGGCTCAACCGTATGCCAAAATCGGAGAGGCCTGTTTGCATAGGGAGCCACTGGTCGATCCTGGGTAGTGTGTTCCTCACGCTGAACGCCGCGAAAATACCGCGCCCTTTTCTTTAGCGCTGAAACGTCGAAACTGAAGGGTAAAGAGTAGATAAATGCATACACAGGGCCGCTAGGGAAAAGCATTAGGCCTGAAGAGTGCCCTATGCTGGTCCGTTGGCTACGCCTGCCTCGATGAAACACATCCTTTTGTTGATACCGCCGATTCTGCCTTTCGTGTCTGTTCCCGCTTATATGTGTGCCCGGTCCTATGTTTCCCCTTTTCTGTGCCAGTATATATTTCTTTTTAAGTGAGCACAGGAGCAGCAACAACACCGGCAGGAATACTGCTGCAGCAGCAGTATCAGCAGCCACTGCTGCTGCGGCCGTAGTTGCTGCTGCTGAGGCCGCTGCGTCTGACACGCCCCTTACATCTAGTGTCTCTGCGGCTTCTTTGCTTTCCACGGCTCATCACTTCCTTTCGCGCTTTCTCAAATGCCTTGTTCTGCGACCTCAAGAGTCTCGTTCCCAATAGAACAGGCTGCTTTTACTGCTGTTGCTGCCGCCGCAGCCGCTGCTTCTGTCGCTTATGCAGCATCGACAGCTTGCTGCCACCCCGAGGCAACAACGGAGGCAGCAACAGCCGGCGGCATCGCCCAAAGAGAAAAGTGACATATTTCGGGCTGTCTCTGTGGCAGTGAGACAGAAGCCGCTGCGCTGTACACTCCAGATCCGCAGCAGTCTCAGCAGCAGGGGCAACAGCGACCCCTACGGAACACGTCGGCTGCGCTTCTCCCCGCTGGAACCTTGCCTTCGGCAGCGGCATTTGGTTCTGTCTACTATAAATAGTGGATACGACAGTAGCAACAGCAGCAGCTACAGCAGCAACTGTACCTGCCATTACGGGCCCGTACTCCCCTTCCTTCCAAGTGACCTCAGGGCCTGTCGCTACACTTGATCTACACACTAGTTGTTCGGCATCCCCTCATGGAGCCCATCGGGTGCTCTAACACCTCAGAGGAGGAGCCGAATGCCCAGCAGAGATTGCAGCACCCCCGACAGGAAGTACCGGTGCAGCAGTACCATATGGTGAAGACGCAGCTGCAGGAGCGGCATCAAGCCACTGGCGAACGGCAGTCTCTACAGCGGGGCAACTGCACTTCCGGCAACAGCAGTTGCCACCCTACCGCTTCTACTCCCTGCAGTACGAGCAGTGGGGCTCCACAGCGAACTGATTCCCCGGAGCAGCAACACCTGACAGGTGGAACGCGACTCAAGCTACTGCAAGGAAGCACAGAGCAGGCGCACTCGCAAACACAACAAAGTCAGCAAATAAGGCAGCAGCATCCCTCACCGCTGCAACGGAGGGGAGAGGCTTTCCAGGGCATCCCAGTGCATCCGCTTAAGGTGTGCCTCCTACGCAGGTCCCAAGCGGGCTTGGGCTCTAAAGAATTCACGGCAAGCTCTATTTGTGAGCAGCAGCAAATGCAGGAGCAGCAGTCAGTGGAGCCTCTGCCACCGTCTTCCCTGGGAAGTGAGCCAGTCACTGGTGCGGAAGCACAGGGCACCAAACGGGATGATACAATTCCAGCAGCACTAGCGGAAGTCTCCCCAGAAGCAAGTAGTGGGAAGCACCAGCAGTATCGCCAGCACCAAGTGTTACGACCGTTGCAGGAAGGACGCTGCGACGCTGGGGCAGTCTTGAAGGCACCCACTTCTTATTGTGTCAACCGTGGCACCATGCCGCCAACCACAGTGGGACTGACACCAGCGGTCACGACAGAAACACCAGTGTGGTCAGTTGCACCGTTTAGTGCTCGGTCAAGCTTGGGTGCCGTAGGATCAGGTAGAAGTCGACACCGGATACCCCTCTCAGCCACCCCACTGGACCGAATGCCGCAGCTGCAGCATCAGGCCTCTCAGCTGCAGCAGCAGGCCTCTCAGCTGCAGCAGCAGGTGCACGTATGTGGAGCAGATTCTCACTTGGAGAAAGGGTCAGCATTTCTAGAGGCAGCGGCAATCACCCGGGGAAAGAAAGCACCTGCTTTCTCCCCCGTCATCGAGGCTGCTCGTACGGCGTTGCCATCACCGCTGCTTAGCGCCTCATCTGTAAATGTGATGGCCAGCAGGAGCCCCCACGAACAAAAACAATATACTCACCTGTGCCAGCCTCCCCAGTCAGTACGTCTTTCTCCTAGTTTTAGGCGCAATCGGCGCAGTCCCAGCAGCAGGCATGTGCGTGCGGCCAGCAGCGACTGGAGCACCACTAACAACCACGGTAAGCGTGTAGCTGAGCCTGCCAGGTCAGCAGAAGCAGACCAAGACAGAGACCTCCAAAAGGGTTCACCGCATTCTGGTGCTGCCAGCGGAGAGAGTAGGCCTGAAGACTCTAGCACACTGTCAGAGACACCCTTGAGCCTTTTGTCTCCCTCGGGTAGAAGATATTGTCTGCTGCGTCCTCACCAAAAGACCCTCTTCGGGCCCCTCTACGAGGGGATGCTGCTTCTTGGAGGCACGAGTAGAAACAGTAGAAACAGCTGCCGCTTCCAACGCGTGGCCATAAAGGCGGTGGATAAGAAGTTAGTACAACTGCAGCTGGATCAGGCTCAGGCAGCAGCTGCAGGGACATCTCTTTCCCCAGGTACAGCAGCAGCTGCTGCTGCTATTGGAAGCAACAAGGAGCTTTATCTGCTACTTCACCTTGTACCAGAAACACCGCTTGCCGAGGTTTTCTTCTCCACGCGCCTGCAGGGCGTTCCTCACGTCCACACTCTCACCGAAGTATGACCCGCCTCTCTGCTTCCTGTGGTAGTGCCTCTGCTCCTGCGCGTACCACTAATGTTGGGGCGAATAATTTCTTCTCCTCACTCTGCTGGATTTGTTGTGGCGCGGTATTGGCTTTAATCTTTGTAGTCTTCCTCCAGCTTGCTGCTGCTGCTGTTGGTTCAGCAATTGCTGCCACCAGGGCTGCATCGACACCATTGCTTCTTCCTTGTTGGCATTATCTGTGGCGCGTTTTAGGTCTTTGACGATGAAAATTATTTCTACCTGACTTCGCCTTGGGCACATGGGGAGGACTTGCTGGGGTTGCTGCAGATGGTTGCTGCCCCACGCTCTTCCTCAGCTGCCCGCCCTCACTCGCCACCCCCAGCAGCAGCAGCTGCTGCTGCTGCTGCGGTAGCTGCGGCTGCCCTCTCGGCTGCCGGAGGGGCCTTGGCGCATGTGATGGCCGGAGCCCTTCCTATGAATATCCGTTGCGCTGCATCAGCTGCTCTGGGACCCCTAGCATCAGGCGCAACAGCAGCAGCACGCCAGATCGGGAGCAACGGTCATGCTGCTACGGCCATGCCTGGCCCCCCGATCACTCAGTCTCCTTCCAGCAGCAATATGTGCCACAGCCAAGGCAGCAGAGGAAGGGCAGGGGGCCTCTCCGAGGGCGTTGCTCGCCGCCTGTTGTATCAGGCGTTGCTGGGCCTCTCGTCGCTGCACCGCCGCGGCATTGCTCTGCAGGACTTTAGCCTTGAAAACTGCCTATTGTTCGTTTCGCCTCCCGCCAATAGCAGGCCTCAACACACCGATGCTTCGCAGTATGAGGGATGCCTCCCTGAAGACGACTGGGAAGTGACAGTCAAAGTGTGCGACCCAGGTCAAGCAGTTTGCTTTCGTGTCCGGCCATCGCCCCACTGCTGCTGCGGAGCAGCAGCAGCAGCAGCAGCAGCAGCAGCAGCAGCGGCAGTGCGCGAAGGAGGAGCGGCAGACACTGAGGAGGTTCTGCTGCAGTGTTGCTGCCCGGGGGCACAGGAAGAGCCAACCCCGTATGCGGGCAGCTTTGGTAAGGCTTTTCGCCCGCCAGAGAGTTTTCCTCTAGAAGACACCAGCAGCACCACATCCGACGGTGGCGAACATCCGTACTTGGCCTCTCGTGTGGACAGCTGGTGTTTCGGCTGGAGCGCCTTTTATTTGCTGACCGGTCAGGCGCTGTTTGCACGTGCTGCTCCCGTGTGGGACCTTTCTGCTACTGGCCCACCCGCAGAGGGTGCAGAGGCTGCTTTTTCCAGTCCATCACTGTCCGGAGCGACCAGATTCCTACCCTCCTTCGCTGAGGCGAAGCAGCTTTTTGCGCGCTCTACAGATTCAGCAGCAGCATCACCTCCCTGGCGGCGATGTCTGCTGCTGTGGGAGGGCCGAGCCGCTGAAGTCTGGGAAGAGCTAGGGGTGTCAGACTCTTTGTCCCCCCAGTTCCTTCAGCTTGTAGTACAACTGATGCAGCCAAAAGGCTCGGATAGACTTTCCCTAACTGCGGCACTCAAGCATCCCTGGTTTGCTTCGCTGCACGAGCAGCAACAGCAGCAGCACCCGCGGCATCCGTGGTCAGTAAGGCTGGGGGAGCTGCCAGAGGTGCTTGCAGCCATCAAAGAGAAGAGAGCTCTCGACGCATCTACTGCAACCAAGCGTCTCCTATCTCAATTTGAAGAAGGAGCACGTGCTGACACACTTCAGCTGTCTGAAGTTTTTGTTAGAGATGCTGGGGTGGAAGCCGGTGCAGATGGCTCCAATTCACGCGCGCCTCCTGTCGAAAGGCCCATAATTCCAGAAAGGTTTCAGGGGCACCTTAGGCAGCAGCTCTGCAGGGAAGGCAGGCCATCTCATACCCTGCTGATGCAGGGACAGTATAAGGCTCAGCAACATACAGTGCAACAGCAGAGGCTGCAACAGGCAGTAATAAGCATGAACGAAGCTGATCGAAGGCCGCCTCTACAGTCCATATCAGCCTTGAAGCAGCATGAGTCACATCAAACGCATCACCTAACCCCAAGGCAACCACCAAAGCTGGAAGCGCAGCCGGATCCTCAGCAGCAGCATCACGACAACACGCCAAATCCGAATGACAGCAAGCAGAAGCAGCTGCTGCACCAGGTGCAGCTGCTTCATCACCACCAGAAGGCAGAACCCCTTGCTGAACGACACCAGCCACTGCAAGAGACCCAGCAGGAAGAGCCTTCGCAGACCAACCAACACAACCTCGAGCAACAATATTTTCACCAGCCGCAGAAGCGCCAGTCATTCCATCGTGAGATGCCTAAACCATGGCAGTCGGAGGCCCAGCAACACCAGAAGCAGCAGGAACCACAGCCTCTGGAAAGCTCTAACTCAGAAAAAACAGTCCCTAGGCAGTCCCAACAACAACAACAACAGCCGCGGACGCCTGCGGCAGCTCTTCTTAAAAGCAACACTGTGGGGGAACCGCACTTGCCGTCAGGACACTCAGCCCTCAGTTCTTTGCCGCGAATGGAGCATATGCAGCTGCTAGAGCAGCGCCAGCTGCTACAGCAACAGCAGCAGCATCTCGTCAGGCAACAAAACATGCAAAGACAGCAGAAGAGTTTCTACAGGGGGCCGGGACACGAAGGTCCGGAAAGGCTCCCTTCTCTCCGTATGTCGCAGCAAATAAGCCATCAGCATCAGCTGCAGCAAAAGCTTCAGCAGCACCCGGTGCAGCGGGAGCACAAAGTGGGGACTCAACAGCACCTACGGCAGCAACTACATCAGCATCAGCAACAGATGCACGAGCTTAGGCAACTTGAGCAACAATTGGACACGTGGCACCCTTCTGAGGGTCCAGCAGGTTCACAGCAGCAGCAGCAGCAGCAGCAGCAGCAGCAGAAACTCCAGTATCAGAAGGCTCTGGAACGCTTACAGGCGTTAGTTGCCTTGCGAGATCGGCTTCAGCTGCAGCTAGACGAGGAGACAGCCCAATGCAGCGCACAGCCGCCGAAAGATCATCAGCATCAACCAAAGCCGCAGGTAAACCTGCTGCGTGTTGACTCACAGACGTGGATTGAAGACCGGGAGCATCAGCAGACGCAGCACCAGAAGGTGCAAAGCGGACTCCAGCTGTCACAGCACGCTGGTCAATGTGGGGGCCTTTTCCTGGCGAGCGGCTCCACGTCGGATATCTCCGAGGTCGGAGAAAGCGCAGCAGCCCTGTCAGTTGCAGCTCCAAGTCACCTGCTGCGCAAGCCGCGGCCTCCTTCAGCGGCTTCGTCAGCAGCCGCAGCACTTCCACCTGCACCAAAGGAGCGCCTCCGTTACAGCGGCTCGAATAAGGTAAATGTTGCGAAGGGGGATGTTAGGAGCGCAGCACCTGCAACTGAAGTATTAGAACCCGCACGACTGAGGCTGCCAGGTGCAGCAACAGCAGCAAGAGCAGCCGCACGCTGTAGACGCAGTCCTGCCTTCTCTTCCCAAGAAACTGGTTGTCACAGGGGACCCTGCAGCAGGCGCTGGCCACACGTAGCTACGGGAGGCCTTCTTGCTCCCAAGGGTGCCTCATCGTCGGTCACCAAGGTTTCAAAGGGACCGTCCTCAAGAGCGCGTTCCCCTGGTTCCCATGCGCAGGACAGCTCTTCCTGCCGTGGAGTCGCCGCATGTGTGGGGCCAGCTGCAGTGTTTCCTGCTCCAAGCTTTGCTAAATCAGAGTCCGGCGGGAGCCAACACCCAGGATGCCCAAGCCAAAAGGCTCTTCTCCCGGGAAAGCTCTCTTGCAGCTCAGACGTCTCGTCCCATTCAGCGGCTTCCCCCGGCGTTCCAAACCTTCCACGGGTTCCTGGTGCTTGCTTGGCAGCTGTGCAGCCATCTCCGCAAGAGTTTCAGATTTACACTCCTCCCAGCGTCCATGGACGCACCAGTGAATCACCGTACCCCATATCTAGTGGTCTGGGGTCTTCTCTATCCCCTTCTTCAGGGGCTGTCAGCAGAGAGGGCAGCTCCGAGCTGCTTGCAAGACATACTCCCACCAGGAGCCTCTCTCCCCAACAAGCGCCTTGTGCTACCGGCAGGCTTTCGCCTCCGCACCAGCCACAGCGGCAGCAGATCCCAGGGAAGCTCGAATCCTTGAAGCAGCGCTCTCCTGGCAGCAGGTGCTCTAAAGAGTCCGACTCGCCCTCGGTGCTTCGCTATTTTAGCGGCTTGAGGACCTACAAGCCGCGACAGCAACGACTCACCCGCTCAGGTACCGAACCGAGTATGATCTCACAGCAGACAACCTCTACACAGATCCTATCCCATGAGGGCCCCCTCGCATCGTCTTCCGTCAATGCACAAGAGGGGAGTCTCTGCACGGAAGTGGAAAGAGGAGCGCTGCATCCAGAAAAGCCACAAAAACAGCCCCTAGGGAAACTTTTGCAGCAACAAGGCATGCACAGGCGCCGATGCCCGTCGTTCGAGCTTGAACCATTACCAGCACCACAAACAAATCCAAGTGAGCTGAAGCTTCCACAGATGCAAATGCAACAACATTCCCTTTGCGGAGCTGTGAGTCTGCAAGCCAAGATGACTGAGCAGCTCAGAGAGCGGCCTCCGCCCGCTGTAGCGAGGGTCCCTTCTGACCACCAGGAGCCGGGAGCGTCCTGGGATATGCAAAACCAACAACAGCAAAAGAGTGGCATTCAGTCTGGAGCCAGAGTAGCACTGCCGGCAGCCACGGTAACAAATGAAGCGCCTGGGATCGGTCCGAAAGCAAGAAGCTCGCCGATCATCCCAGGTGCTGCGCAGCGGCTGGCCAGCTGCCCCCCTGGGGACCGCCAGCTGCTGCTGCTGCAGCCAACGACTGTACTGCTACCCCATCAGGTTCCTGTCGCCGTCTGCCCGCTAGCGCTCCAGCTACAGCAGCAGCAGAAATCAACACAGCATTGGACGCAGCAGCCCTCGCATCCATCCGCTACAGCGGCCCTAATGTGGACCCCGCAACTGCGACAGCAGCATCCCATGCGCATGTGTTGCCTGTCTCCCCTTCCCGCGGCGGCTGCTATCCCCGTAAGGCAGGCGTATGCCGGTGCTCAAACAGCCTTCCCCTGCTTGCCTCCGAAGCGTCACCCCCATCAGTATGTGGAGAAGCATGAGCAGCCAACCAAGCAGCAAAAAGGAGCACTAGCTGGGGACGCAGAGAACCATTTAGGTTACAGCCACATGCTCCAGCAGCAGCTATTGCTGCAGCGGCACTATGCGGAACTGCTGAAGCAGCAGCAGGAGCTGCTGATCCAGCAAAAGCACCAACAGATGTGGCAGCAACAGAAGCTACCTTCGAGGAAGCACATTTCCCGCAGCACTGCAAGATCGGCAGAGGTGAGGCAGGGCACTCCCTAGCTCTCTGGTGCTTCAACCGGAGGCTGGAGGGCAAGGGGGGAAATAGCTCAAGTAGCATCCACGCGGACTCCGCTTACCGCGGCTGCTCACATTTCTGCTTATATGAACACCGCGGGTGCTGATCAGAAATCTGCAATTATAATAGCCCATGCAGTCAGGCCAAGATTCCTCCAGTTAGCCTCCTGCCATATCAGCAACCAATTCTCTTCTGAAGGTCTGTTTGCCTTTTGGGTTCCCTGGTGACTTCTTGAAACGCATCGAATAGCGTCCTAGAGCGCCCGTCGCGGGCTTTTAGTGAGCTGAGGCAGACAGGGATGAGCCGTCGTCTAGCAGTTGCTTCCTGTGACCCGGCTCTTAGATTCAAGCTGTGATGTGGAAGTGAAAAAGAAGAGATCCTGCGATGTGATAGAGATAGCTACCCCTTCTAGTATTTCTGGACGCCTTGTTGGCGCTTGTTTACGCTATTTAGCTGCACGGAATTCACCATCGAGCTTGCCCCTTGTAAACGCCAACTTTCCTTGCCCCTTTTTCGCCGCTAAGTGAGAACCTGCTGTACTACCTAAAACTCTCTAGCGTTACGTGGCCAGCCAGTCGACCAGCGAGAGCCAAGTGCTCGGCCTTTTATGGAGCCAAAATAGCGAGGGGAGCAGCCAGCGAGCTGTGGGGGGCACGCCAGTGCTCAGAGGTCGAGAGCTTGTAGCTCTGGCTGGTCTGCAGCGACGCTAGCACGCGTTGTTTCCCCTAGAGGCATCATGCGGCTGTTCAGCGGCCGCGCTTCTACAGTGATGCACCGCAGATTGCTGAATCCAGCGGAGAGGCAGCAGCGGTGTCGCACCACCGGCGAAGTTAGCCATTGGCTTCCCGGACCTGCTGAACTCGATCCTCGCTCTGCTCCCTTGCCCCGAAGATCGAGTCGGTCGCTGCGATTGAAGGGGTGTAGGACGGGGACTAGGACACGGTGCAGTTCATGCCGCTCTGAGAAAAGAAGAAGAGGCAACGCAAGAGACAGCTTCCGGCAGAGTGAGAGAAAAGGCCCCCAAACCGTCCACCTTTGCCGGCTCGCCACCCTTAGTCTCTGGTTGTGCCCCATCTACATTTCGTCCAACTGCCGGCCGGCTTGGAAGCACCAAGAAGCTGCTCTCCTGTCTCACGCTACATCTCCGGCGCAGCGACATCAGCACAAAAGGCAATCCCGGCGAACCCTGCAGCGGCAGGAGACTCACCAGGGTCGCTCTGTGGCAGCCACATCGCAACGAGCTCGTCTTGGACCTCTCCTCTTCCCCCCACGAAGCAGTACGTCAATTCCAGCCAACGCCACGATTGGACGACCTCAGCCTGAGACAAGCAACGTTGAAGCACGTGGGCCTTTGTAGTCGGCTGAAGAGAAGAAATACTCCGCGCGCTCCAAACGAGCTGCAGGGGAGCCCCCCGCCGAATAACGCTGCTACGGAGAGGAGGCGGCGCAAGCACCTGTCCACCAGACTGGCTAATGATGCGAAATAGGGCAGGTCACAATCAGAAGAAAAAGGGTTTCAGGGAGAGGCGTAGAGGCATGGCGGAGAGTGCAATGCCTCACAAGGGCCCCTCGCATTTCCGCATACACGGAGACCACCGGCAGCACTTCCCCTGAGCGACGAGATGCAGTCTGCAGAGGGCAGACGAAAGGAGACAGACAAACACACGCCTCGCAGTTTTTTTCCACAAATCAGCCACTAGCTGCCAGCCCTTCACAAGGGGCGCAGTGGTGGCGAAAGCCAACGCAAGCGCCACATATGCAGAGGACTCAAGATGCGGCCTTCCCAAAATTCGTCCTGCGAAAAGCAGCAGCTGCGGCAGTAGCAGTGCCCTATGCAACGTACATCTCCCTCTACTATGGCTTGAGCAGCAATCCAAGGATGCGGCGCGGCGGAGAAGACGCGAGGAGGCAGTGGCCAACTGCAGCAAATAAGCTGCTGCAGCAGCCGAAGGATCCACTGCACCAGATCTTTAGGCAGTCCGCTTGCTGCTGCTCCTCCGCCTCGAGCCTCTATTATGGCACCCCCCGTCTGTAAAGCTGCGCCCTCTGAGTCTGACACCTGCTGCCATGTTAACAGTGGCAAAAGGTCCTCGAAAAAATAGTATGGTCTCACTAGAACACCTTCCCACGAATTTTCGCTGCGGCTGCTGGTGCTCTCCGGAGTGGAACTGTTACGCGTTGTAGCCTCAGCTTTAGAGGTTTTGCTGCAAGGAGCCTTGCTGTCTGTGTCTATACTGCTGCCACGCCTTGCAGCAAGCAGGCGCTGCTTTGCTGCGGCGGGAGACTCCGCACATGCACAAAGCCAGAGACCTCGCAGATCGACAGTCCTGATATCGCCGCTGCAAAAGACTCCTCGCAGTGGCTGTAGAAGCTCTGCCGCTGCCTCCTCTAACTCAATCAGTGCCTGCTGCAGCACCAACGCATTGTCATTGCTGCTCCTGCTAGTAGCGCTTTCTTCTTTCATGAAGAGACTTACAGAGGGTACCTGCTGCTGTTGTTGCTGCTTCTGTTGCTGTTGCTGCTCCTGTTGATGTTGCTGCTTCTGTTGCTCCTGTTGCATCTGTGGTTGCTGCTCCTGTTGCTGTTGCTCCTCCTGCTGCATCTGTGGTTGCTGCTCCTGTTGCTGTTGCTCCTCCTGCTGCATCTGTGGTTGCTGCTGCTGCAGAAGCTCATGCAGCTGCAGCTGCTTCCGGCGGAGCAGGTGCAGCAGGCAAAAGGACGCAAGAATGCGAACCGTGCGGCAGCAGCAGCACTGCAGCAAGAGCAGCCGCTTGCTCGTCTGGCAGCAGCTCTGCATCAGCTTGAGCTGCATCTGGAAACTGTAGCAGCACAGAGCATCAAGCGCAACAGCAGAAGAGCAGCGACCACTGTCTGGCATCGATGGACTCGAGGCACCCCACAAGGCGCAACAAACGCTGCACCCGTTTAGCGGCGGCCGTCACACAGAGCAACTGAGCAGCAGGAGTGATAAAGCGTAACTGCACCGCGCTGCAGAAAACCCACTTTTGCAGGGCTGCTCTCGCAGACTGGCGCAGTTTCTCCAGCTCCTGGCATCTGACGGCAAAGGTCGCGTCTTCTACTGCCGCAGCAGCCGACGCAGTACCATGAACAGCACTGCTGGATGCAACCTGAACCACATTGTCTGCTGACCTCGAAACAGCGGCATCTCCAGCATCGCGTGCTTCATCATTGGACGCGTTGTTTTGGCAGCTGTAGACGTTTGCGTCATGGAGGGCCCCAAGGCAGAAGGCAGCGAAGGAGTGCAACAACGAGGCCAGCTGCATGCGGCCCTGCACGTGCAGCAAAGAGGGTAGCATTACACAGGAAAGTGAGCGCTGCAGCTGCGAAGGTGCTCGAGTCACCTGCCCCTCAACTCGCAGAATCCCTTGCGCCTAGGTCCCTTGCAACAGGCATGCCATGCACACGCCAGGGGCAGAAGCGGTGGAATCGACGGATCAAATCCCTTTCTTACCTTGATAAAAAGCGCAAGCGGCGGCAGCGGCGGGAGGCTACTGCAGCTGCGTGGCTGCTGCATGCGCCAGATGCTGCGGTGTCGCTGCAGCTGCAAGAGACACTCCCTCCAGCACGAGAAGGCCTTTCGTACTGCAAGGCCGAATGCGGCAACTCGCCGTTCTTCAGCCGCTCCTGCCTTTGACCATACGGATGCGGGTTCGACAGCAGCAACAACAAGAGCAGCTTCCGCCTCCAGCGCCAGAGCAACTCCGCGGAGCCACACCCGCGATGCTGCACCTGCAACCCCGCATGCCAGTGCATGCAGTGCGGTGGCAGCTGCAGCGTGCTGCAGGCCCGTTATGGCTACGCAGACTGCAGCTCTGTAGAGGACGTTCAGTGGCAATCTGGAAGATGTCACTGCAGCGGCTGCCTGTGCAGCGGCGACGCCAGTGGCCGCTGCACAGGGAGGCTGCACGGCAGCAAGTGCTGGGAAAGCGATGTGATAATGCTCCAACAGCTGCCGCAACATGTACAGCAACGCGGACCGATAGCTACGGATCCAGAGAAAGTGCTGCTGCAACGACGTTGTGACTTCCTGCGAGCCTTGTTCTGGGGGCACGGCTGTTTCTTCTGTTGCTGCAGCCGATACTTCCCAGTGCACACAGCTCTCCGAACCACGCTTGTGCTGCTGCTGCATCAGAAGCGGCGGGCAGCGGGATCCTCGCAGCGCTGGTGCATAACAGCTCTTTAGATGCCTTGCCAGCTGGGGAGACTCGAAGTCCAGCAGCACGAGCAGCACGCTGCTCGTGCTGCTGGATGTATTCTTGAGGTGCTGCTGCAGAGCACGAGCGGCTGTTTCCCTTGCTCTCGACAACGCCGAGGCCGTTGGCAGCAGCACCAGATGCTGAATTTTCGCCGCGGGCAGCAAGGGCAGCAAGGCAAGGGATAAGGAGCCGTCGATCGGCAGCGATGTCACATGCAGCTGCTGCGGAGGTTGAGAGTGTGGGGTGGAAGCGGTTGATGTAACACCATCCAAGGGAGGCGCATCAGTGAACGCCTGTGGCAGAAGCTCCTCGGCTATCCGGCTCGCGAAAAATGGACTTCTCCTGTGCAGGAGTCTCAAACAGTTCCCAACTCCCAGGGCAAGGGTCTCCTGCGAGAGCAGCCGTCCACAGCAGCCATCGACAGCAGCGATATGCAGAATCAAGCACCAGCAGCACTAGCAGAAGTAGCAGCAGCATCAGCAGTAGCAACATATAGCAGCAAGAGCAGGAGTAGCAACAGCATCAGCAGTAGCAGAAGTGGCAGCAGCATCAACAGTAGCAACATATAGCAGCAAGAGCAGTAGTAGGTAGTGCAGCAGCACGCAGGCTGCATGCCCTACCCCCCCCTCCTCCCTCCTCAGCACCAACGCCAAAGGTAACAGTCCCAGGCGCAGAACGAACAGCCTCAATCAAGCAGCTTCTCACGAGCTGGCCTTCCGGTGTCTGAACAGACGTAGGACCTCTCGTGCTGCTGGTGCTGCTGCTGCTGCTTCTGCTGCTTCTGCGGAGGGTTACCACCAGACTGCCAATCGTCCTGAAGAGCAGGAGCGCCATGTCCTCTATCAATTTGCCTTCACCCCGCTTTTGACCTTCCTTCTTCCGCGACATGAATTGCTGCTCTTCGACCTGTTGCGAGAGCAACTGGCACGACACCAGCGCAGCGAGAACTCGAATTGGCGGAGGCTGCTTCGACGATTCGATGAGCGGTAGCAGCACATGCAGCATCAGCTCCCACACGCAGTGCCCCTTGCTGCTGCTGGCGCCGCCTCCGCCGATACCGCTCGAACCTCTAGATGCAAGGGATTTCAAAGGAATGAGCGTGCAACACAACTCCTGCAAGGCGGCCGCAATCCCGCGAACTCCCTGCGTGGCAGCTGCAGCGTCTCCAGTTGCTGCCCCCCTCCTCCCTGTGTCAGCTGCTGCTTCTGCTCCAGCTGCTGCGCCTTCTGCTCGAACAGAGACCAAGCAGCCCTTCGCAGCGTACCCTCCTTCGCCAGCACACGGAGACGCCACGCCGCGAGAGACCTCAAGGAGCCGCTGCCAGCGGCGATATCCCAACGCGCAAGGAACGGCCCTACAGCAGCAACAGCAACAGCAGCTGGGGCTGCCCTCACGGCAGCCTCGACTTGCGCTGCGCTGCCGCACTACACTAAGCGAAGACGCTGCATGCGCTTCGCCGCCGCTGCCATCACAATGCACTCTAGCCCGCTTGACGGGAGCGAGGGCTGCAGCTTCCATCCGCCGGGTGGGCATTTGAGGCTGCTGCGTTTGAGGTCTCGAAGGCGCAGTCTCGCCGTCTTCGGCCTGAGTCTTCTGCTGCGACTCCTCTTGCTCCTTTTTTGTTCGGCTTGGCTTCGGCGGCTGCTGCGGCTGCTGCTGTTGCTGCACGGAGCTGCACGGAGGCAGCGACTTGGCCAGGCTCAGCAGAGTTGCTACGGCGTCCGCTGCCGTATGCACAGTGCCTGTCGAGGCAGCAGCGGCAGCGGCTGCGGCTGCAGCAGCCGCAGCCGCCGCTGCCGTCGCTCCCGCCTGCGTTGCTCCCTTGGAGAGAGAGGCAGCCTGCCCCGCAGAAGCGCTTGCAGCCTTCGCTCCGACAGCAGCTGACAGCGCGAAGGGCCCAGCAGCAGCAGGAGCGGCAGTCTTCTTGGAATAACCCCCCTGCAGCTGCTGCACACTCTGTAGGCTCTGCCGATGATCCCCCGCGCTACCAGAGCCCTGCCGAAAGTGCTGCAAGCTGCCTCCAGCCCGAGAGGCCCCCTCCAAGGATAAGCAGCAGCGACAGCAGGCGCAACCCCTCTCCTGCTGCAGTGCACCGCTGAGGACCCCCAGAAGAGCAGCAAGAGCAGCGGCGTCTGAAGCGGCAGCAGCTTCATGCAGCCACTGCACAACGTCTTCCTGTGGAATAAGACACAGGGCTGCGGCTGCTGCCGCTGCTTCCGAGAGGACCACAGGGGTCTCCTTCTCGCGCTGCTGCTGCTGCTGCTGCTGCTGCTGCTGCTGCTGCTGCTGCTGCTTTGCATCAATTCCAGGGACTGCAGCTACGCGCGATGCCGCTGCTCGAGCCAAACGGTCCTTCAAAAGTTTCTTCCAGTCGCCACCCGTGGTGGTCTTGCTGCTGCTGCTGCTGCTGCTGCTGCTGCTGCTGCTGCCAGGGGTCGCAGAGGCGCTTTCGGTAGCAGCAGCAGCAGCAGCAGACGAAGAAGAAGAGGAGCAGCAGCAGCACGTGCAAAGCCCACCAGCAGATCCGCGAGCCCTTGCAGCAAGGCGCGCCTGGGGAAACGCCGTCCGAACTGCAGAGCTGGCGACTCGAAGCATCTGTTGCTGTTGCAGCAGCAACAGCTGCTGTGCTGCTGCTGCTGCAACACTCAGCAGACCATGAGGAACTGCTGCTGTTGCCGCGATCTCCGCGCCGCTGCTGCGGTCCCTGCCACATAAGGAGCCAGCCAGTACGTTCCGCAGGCAGCGCACCTGAGAGCAGCACGCAGCAACAGCAATTGGCGATAGCTGCGGAGTCAACACAGCAGCAAGTGCATGCACCACGGGCTGCTGCGGAAGCCTCTCCGGCGTTCTCGGCTGTGTTTGTGGTGCTGGCGGCCTGCCTGCAAAGTCGGTGAAACAGCTACTGCTTTACGAGCGCCTCGCAGCTGCTTACGTGGAGGGGGGCTAAGAAAGAACTCGTGAGGCTCAGCTGTGTGGCTGCTCTGAGGCAGCTGCCAATCACGCAGACAAAGCTTCTTCTGGCTCCCTCGAGGCGGTGCTGGTGCGGCTTCTGCTGTTGCTGAAGCCGCAGCTCCTGCAGCAGAGCAGCTGCGCGCTCGGCTATTGACCAAAGGACTCGAAAGGACCACATCGCCACAGCCTGAGGAGGCAGACACACATTTTGCATGCAGATCTACCTCAGAGGGAGTAGCTGCATCCGCCCCAAACAGAATCTGCTGCCGCTGCGATGCGGCGACTTCTGCAGGTGCCCTTCAGGGCACCATGTTTGGCCGTTACAGAGAGGCGCTGCGCTGTCTGCTTCTCTTTCTGCTGCTCTTGCTGCTGCTCTTGCTGCTGCTCTTGCTGCTGCTACAGCTGAGTTTGAGCTGCAACGAACTTACCGGGAGGAGGGGGGAGACAGAGCCAAAAGCGGCTGCGAGGAGAGAGAGGCGGTGCGCTAGAGGGGGTAGCGAATCTAGGGTGAGGCAGGCAAGGTCCTCCTTCTCTTGTTCTTGCTGCTGCATTTCTTGCTGCTGCTGCAGCAAGAAATGCAGCAGTTCGTCCGTGCTCGCTTGCTCCGGCAGAGCGGCAGCGCGTCGCTGTAGTTCTGTCGCCTGAAGCAGCGTTCGCTGGTGCTCTGTTGCTGCAGCAGAGGGCAGCACTGCTGCAAGGCAGCGCTGCAGAACTGTCACGCATGTATCCCCTGAGAGGTAGGGGATCATCGCAGCAACAGCCGCAAGAGCAGCTGCTGCTTCTGCCGCTGAAGCAGCAGTCGGCATGTACAGCAGCTTCCCGCTGCCTCTGCTGTCGGCGCTTGTCGAGCTGCGAGAGTCGGTGTTGCGTCTCTCGTCTGCCGCGATTGGGTAGCCTCCTGCTGCTGCTGCAGAACCTGCTGCAGCAGCTGCAGCTGCTGTTGCCACCGTAGAGGGAGAGACCGCTCCCCAGAAGCCGTAGAGATGCTGCAGCACGAGCTCGAGGAAGTGTGGCTCTTGCAGCACAAGGGCTGGAACCATGCGGAGCAGCGCGAGGCCGATGAGCCTCGCCTGCGGCTGCTGCTGCTGCTGCAGCAACAGCAGCAGCTGCTGGCGAATGAGAGCAGCAGCGGCGTCTTGCGTGGGGAGCAGCAGCGTCGGCAGCACATGGCTGCAGCGGTGCAGCTCTCTGTAGACGCCAACTCTGACAAAGAAGTGCGGCCGTTGCTGCAGCAAGTCCAGCAGAATGGCGAAGCACTGCGAGGGGATCGAGCCTCCCACGAGGCTATAGGGGCACCGCGGAGCATCTGCAGAGGCAGCAGCAGCTGCTGCCGGCGCTATGCTCCCCTCCCCCTGCTGCTGCAGCAGCTCGAGCCGCTGGCGGAGAAGCAGCTGCTGCTCCGTTGCCGTTCTTTGGGGATCTCGAAGCAACAGGAGAGGGGCCCCCCCCCGGCGGAAGGCGGAAGTTCCCGCCGCAAAGAGCAGGTGCCCCAAGTCGTGGATACACTGGAGCAGCAGCGGCAGCGGCAGCTGGCGCTGCTGCAACTGCCGCTTGACGTGAAGCAGCAATTGCTGCTTCTTGCTGCCTTCTGCAGCGGCAGCCTCCGCATCTTCCCGCTGCAGCTGCTGCTGCAGCTGCTGCCAGTCACGCTCCGCGGCAGGGGGGGCAACGCTCTGCTCCATGGAGTTGCCAGTGTAGCAGCACCGCGGCAATTCCTGCCTGATGTTGCTGCACGCTTCCCTGCAGCACCCACCTGCCCGATACAATCAGAATGCCTTAGAGCTCTTCCACTCGCTGCAGCTGCGTAGCCTGCAGCCCGTAAGGGGAGTTCCCCTTCGCCATCGGATCCCCCAAGGAACCCTTCGCGGCTACGAGCCCTCCTCGTTGGTTTACAGTCGTAGAGGCAACACGCACATGTCGATGTACACACACACGCGCACGCAAACAAACCAGCTTCGAGGCATGAATTAAGTTTTTATCATTGAATTCCCACCCACTGATTTGTGCCTTTCCCGAAGACGGCCTCTCCGGCGACCAATCCCGTGGCAGGGGCCCCCCGGAGCGCGGGGGGCCTCTCGGGGGCCCCACTCCGCCCAAAGGCTCGTGTCACCACTGCCTCCACGAGACTCGTACACCTACCTTTAAAATACAGAAATTTCCTTGTTTGCAGCGACAGGAGTTCGCCTGGAACTATAGCTGTCGCCTCTTCCAGCCACCAGGCCTACCCACCTGTGGCGCTGCATCAGTCAACTCCCCGCCCCCCTACTGCTCTTGCACCGGCTCCTGCGGATGCCATGGAACTGTTCTCTGTACAGTCACTGCAGCAGCTACCAGTGCTGCTCACGGACGTTCTCCTCCTTCCAAGCTTCGAGACGCGGAGTGAATAACTACTGCCACTCCCCTGCACCCCGCAAGGTGAGCCCCCTTCCTTATAGTCTACTCTATCGGCTCCTTCGCTTAGCCTTAAGCCCCTATGGTCTACACTCTGCCTCAAAGAGGCGTGACTTCTGCGTGTGTAGCAGTAGCTTAACGGCAACAGCGTTCGTAGCAGTGCCAGCAGCCCCAGCTGCAGTACACGTAACGCCCAACAGCGACCTCAGATATAACAGAGCCATTTCCAGATGTGCCAACTCAACAATTAAATACCTACAGCTATATTATAAAAATATCGCTTTCCTAAACCTTAGGGCCGAATGCGAAACGCCCTGTTCTGACGGTGGAGCAGGCCTGTTGGCCATTACCCCACCGCCAACGTATTTCCAGCCACCCCCTCCCCCCCAGTCTAGATGAACAACTCTCCCCCCAAACCTCCCCCCTTTGCCACCCAAGCTTATGCCATGGGGGCCCTCTGCCGCAAGCACCGGGGTGCCTTCTAGAGGGCCTTCGTCCTAGAGGTCACCTCGCCGTGTGAGGCGCCTCTGGAGGGCCCCTTACCCGCAGGATTCCCTTGGAAAACTGCGTAGATAAAGCTTCTTCGAGGCTCAAAATACGTAAACTGCGTTATAGACCAAAGTCCACGAGAGCACGAAGGTCTGAACGCAAGGGCAGAGGCAGTCCGGTGAAACCCGCATTTTCGACTGCAGGACGCCTTAAAATACGTGCCAGAGAGAGGGAGCCAGCCCGTAAAGAGCATGGATGGAAGCGCAAGTATGACTAAACGGCTCCGGCAGATACACACGACACACAAACACACACATACATACTCACACATACAAGCACATATATATATATATATATATAAACACATACAGCCACCGACGCGCTGGACACAGGAGCACCAGGAGGCAGTCTTACCATAAGTCCAGAGAAAAGGCTTCCGGTGAACGGTTCCGTAGGCTTCAGAAAAAAGGCATTCAGGCGCATCTTGGCCTCCAGAAGAAACACGAGCGAGCCCATAACCGTCAACAGCATGTACACCCCAAATCCTTCGGCAAACAGACCACAAGCTCCCGCCACTGCTCGCTAGGGGAAGGGAGGGTGGGGGGCCCCCTACGCCGGTCATTGGTGGTGCGTACAGGGTGGAAACACGACGGAAAAAGCCTAAAAAGTTTGCGGTTTGGGGCATACCTGCGAGGTTCTCCAGGCCGCATATGCCAGCGACTGCCCCCGCAGTGAGCGCCGTCATATGACGACTGAGGCAACAGAGCATACGAAGCACAGGAGAAAGAGGAGGAGGATCTGTGCGCGGGGATGGCAAATAGCGGTACAGAAGGCGGGAAAGGATCAAGTGAACGCATCACGGCGAGGGCAGAGCCGCAGAAACACGTTTCTCCCACTACAGCAGTCCCACAGCACCCGAGGAGCAGGGAGCTTCTCCTAGGCTGCCGTGAGAATCGGAGTCTGGAACGCTACAAAACGGCCAACAGACAAGAGACGAAAAGAACAGCACGCGCACTTGAGGTGTATCTGCCTCAGGTTGTGGGAAACATTCTCCGCCACAACAGGGCGCCAGGGGGCTGTCGCAATATCCCCCGAAGTAGTAGGGAGGCCTGAAGGGCCCCCGGAAGAGGGCACGGTGGGTAGCATCATCTTCTCGAAGAAAGCGATGGCGCTGGTGTGGAGAGGCGTGACACTGAGTTCCGGAAGCTGCAGCTGTCGGAGACTGCAGATGCTGCTGCACGGGAGGCGCAGAGGGCTGCTGCTGCTGGCGGCTGTCGTCGGGCCCGTTGCGGGGCAGAGGGAGCAAAATTCGAGCCGCGTGAGGGCTTTGGCGACCAGAAAATACCAAAAACAAAGGAAAAAGACTTCTGCATGCGGCGGAGGACGGGCAGGCAACGTCGGCAAGGCAACGACACTGCAGCGGCGGGTGAGGCGCAGTACACCACAAGCACCAGCAGCAGCAACTGAACACACCCGCCTCGAAGGTAAACGTGTGCTCTTTTTAGCACTACGCAGTAAAATACTGTGAGGCTATGGCCGCAGTATCACCGACGAGGGCTCTTCTTCCTTGCCGCAGCCAATCCGCGAAGGGGACGCCACGGGAGAGGGGGCCCCCGGGGACGGGGGGCCCCCTCTCCCGTCGGCCCTCCTGCCCGTTCCGCGAATATTGCACCGTGAACCCTCCAGTAGTCCCTATCTTCCAAGTAATTGGGTGCTAAAGGGGGCACCCTGCTTCATTCCTTCCTTGCCCTTCACCTTTTCTCTGTCGCGGAGAGGGGCCTTGCAAGACACGGAGATGCTGCGGGATTCCTCCTACGCAGCAGTTTTCGCAGTAGCGGCGTCGCTGCTGCTGCTGCTGCCACTACTACTGCTGCAGGGCCTGCAGGATGCCTCCGCTATGCGCGTTTGCCGCAGCGGCTATCGGGGGGCCCTAAGGCCTGGGCCCCCCCTCTCGCTGGGGTTTCTCGTGGTATTCCCACCTTCCGGTGTATCCCCAGTCCACAGTCGTCGCCAGCAGCTGCCTAACCCCCTCAAGACGGTAGCTCGTTTCGGAGCAACTGCGGGGAGTTCCGCAATCTCGAGCGAGGAAGGGCCCCCCGGGGGGGGGCCCCAGGGGGCCTTGTCGGAGCGGCTGGACAGTGCGGCGAATGCGCGCCTCAGGAAAGCCATATCCGCAGCAGAAAAAGAACAAGATCCAATCGTGTGCATCAGCGCGAAGGATCAGGATGCAGAAACAGCAGCAGCTGCTGCTGCCTCCGGGCGCCTGACAGGAACTCCAGACTCGCTCGCAGAGGCTGCTCGGACCTTCCACCTCGGAGGGCCTCTAGTGAAGGGCCCCTTGGCAGGAAGGGGCCCCCTCGGGGGCCCCCAGGAGCAGCCAAAGATGAGGCCTGGGGGCCCCCTGGAGGCGCTTGCGCTGACTATGCAGGGAGGTCTTGAGAGGGGAGGCGTCTGGCTGCGGCGATGGCCTAGAGACGAGGAGAGGGTTCTTCCCATCCTTCTCTCAAGATTGGAAGAAAATGCTGCTGTTGTAAGGCTGCGGTCGCTGGTGCATGCGCTGCTGCTGCTGCTGCATCCGAGTAGCTATACTCTGCTCCTGCCTGCGCTGCTGGGAAGTCGGGTGTGTTTAGCTCTTCTTGCTGCTGCGGCATCATTGTGGGGGCATGCTTGGCAGTTGCTGGTTTCTTTGATTCTTGCTTTCCGCGTCCTCTCTTCCTTCTGCAGACCCTTGGACAGAAGACAGTAATTCAGCTGCCCGAGGCGCAGCGCATGAGTTTTGTTGAAAGCATACGCTCCGTGAGGGCCGCAGCAATCGTGTTAGGGTATGCCGATACAGAGGAGGACGCGGTGGAAGCAGCAACAGCAGCGGGTGCAGCGAAAGCAGAGGGAGCAGGAGGAACGCCAGCGGAAAATATTGTCTTGGTGGGGTTCGCTGCCGTTGCTGAGCCTATCGATGTACAGTTCCTTGACTCGAGCGGGGAGGTCGGTCTGAGGATTGTGGGGAGAATTAAAGTCCTCGGGGTGCAGGAGGCGGACGAAAAGGGCTTTAAAGTCAGTAGGATACGCGATTTCAGGAGCTCTTGAGCTCAAGCTCTACGTATAGAGGATTACTCCTTTCCAAAAAAAACAGTGTCATGACACTTTCGCCCGTATCAAGGAACAGCTGTTACCAGTAGGCGAGCAAGTACGGTGGTGGCTCGTATATGGTCTTAATTCGAAGCCACTCAGCATCTTAAGGGCTAAGGGTGTGTGTTTTATGTGTAATCTATGTATTTATGTTGTTAGGTGCGGGCGGTGCCGTGGTGGGATGAGCCGAAAGACTTTGAAAATCCTTCAGGAGTGCGCGAGACGCTGGGGGCGCTGCATTCCCTCTACGATCGCTGCAACAAGCTAGAACTCAAATACAGGTGCTGAGCTATATATACCTCCTGCTGCAAGTGCTGTTGGCGTTGCTCTGCCACTGCCGTCGCATCCCCGCTCCCACCCTGCGAATTACCCTTGCCTCCTTCGCGAAGCAGGCTTTTTTCTACAACAGTCGCTCTTCTGCTGCTTTTGCAGGCAGCTGCAAGGGCGCTTCAATCAGGCCCATTTAGTGTCGCTCCGCCCCTCGCTGGGCTCAACAGTGTCTGAGCACCTCGCGGATTTGGAGTCACCCTCAGAGCAGCAGATTGCCGAGGTCGTCTCGTTCTGTGCGTTGGATCACCATCTGGATGCTCGAACCCGGTAGGAGCCCCCTACTGCTGCTGTTGCCGAGGGGCGCTTCAAGTCCATGCGGCCCCTGATAGAAAGCAGGCAGTCAACCTGTGAAAACCTATGGAGGAACTAGGAGCTGCACGGGCTGCTTGTGCTGCTGCCGAACGATGCGCATCTGCCTGTGTAGGTGTTGGGCTAACTCTCAACAAGACACGGAGGTGCGCCTCGATTTGGTGCGTCGCGCACTGGAGGCCAAAGTGGCGAAGCTGCAAGCCGAGATTAAAGGCCTCAGAGCCATGCAGCAAATCCCCGGAGCGGCTGCTGCCGCCAGTGAAGGGGGGCCTCCTCTGCACCCAGCAGCGCCGCTTGGCATACACCGGGAAGATCCTGAGGATATTTATGCCGGACCACCAGCCACCTATGGCTAGCCGCCCCTGCGGAGACCCTGGGTATTCGTCTGGCTAGCTACCGATTACAAATACCCAGATTTTTTGAGGGGCTGGCTATGCCCGTGTGTGAAGCCGGCCCCTCGGGATAGATGTAACGGGGTGACGTTCCCGTGGCTTGGCTTTGGGGCTTTCTACGCTTAATTCAAAGCGACTTGCAGTTTGCAGAGCTGAAGCACGCAGCAGAAACGCTGGTCTCGCGCTACCTAGCTCCCCAACTAGCTAGCCGCTGCGCTCTCGCTGACTGGCTAGCTTTTTGCCGCTGGCCGCCTATAGATCCCGGTACAGCCGGGAGGAGTTTCAAACTCTTTCCGCTGCAGCAACGTAATTTGATTTCAGCAACTTGATTTATTTTGCATGTATATATATATGTATAGTCATGCATACGGATGCAACGTGCGTGGCGAACCATCTGCGGCTCCAGCCAGTATATGTCCAGCACTGCTCGCTGGCATACAGCCAGTCCCTGCTGCACTTGTCCGTGGTAGATCTGATGCGCAGATCACAGGCATATAGTAGGCTCAAGTCCAGCAGCTGTTGGCTCATTCAGGGGTACCTGATTATGAGTCCGTTGCGCTTTTTCGACAATGGCTGCTGACTCCTTAGCCACGTCCGTTTCTGCTGCTGCTGCTAAGGGTTACACGGTGGGGGCCTCCCAGCCTGGAAGGGGTTTGAGCTTTTTCGTCTTTCGGTATTTCCTAGTCCATGCGTCATGCACTGGCCGACAAAAAGCAGCAGCTTTGCTGCTGCCATTACTTTGCGTGTGCTGCAGCACTTCCTCCAAGAGGGGCAACAAGGGTCCCATGTTGGCTGTACTGCTCTGGAGTGGCGGTTGCTGCTCCAGCCGCTACCACAGCGGCAGCCCACGGATGCATCTGCAGCTGCTCCAAAGCACGCATCAGAGCAGGAGTTGCTGCACCCGACAGCTGAAACTGCTTCATCAGCTGCGCCTCTTCCAAAGCAGGGCCTTTGGAGGCGCCTTGGACAGTGCTGCTTTCGCTGTTGTCGCTGCTGTTGCTGCCGGTGCTGTCGCTTTTGTTGCTGCTGGCGCTGCTTTGCTTGGGGGGGGTCAGCGGAATATCCCTCACCGCCGCTCTGGAGCAAGAAGCTCCTGACGCAGCCTCCAGAGGGGCCCCCCCAGTCGGAGGATTCGCTAGCGAGTTCCCTAAGGGGCGAACCCCCCGCAGGCCATGACGCGCACCAACGGAGGCAGAGGCTTGAAGAGGGAGAGGCTCACTTGTATGGCCTGCCCTGTCTGCTGCTGCTGCTGCTACTGCTTGTGCGTCTCCTTTTTCTGCGCTCCCCTCTGCAGCAACGGGGGCCCCCGAAAGGGTCATTCCTGCAGTTCCTTCTGCCCTTGCTGCTTGGCCAGGCGCTGCAAGTGGAGCGGTGCTTTCGAAGCGGCTTGCACAGTCCGCACTGTCTAGCAGGGGGAAAATCTGCAGCGGCTGCTGGTCGTGTTGCAGTTGCTGCTGCTCTTGCTGCAGCAGTTGCTGCTCAATGAAGAGAGTCGCCTCCTCGGCGGTAAGGCCCTCTTGCTGAAGAAGCAGCGACAACTGTTCGTGCTGCTGCTGCTGCTGTAGGAAGAAGTCCTCTGACCGCAACAACAAGTCATTCAGTCCAAGCAGCTGCTGCTGCTGCTGCTCTTGCTGCAGCAGCTGTTGCTGCAAGGTCCCTTGCAGTAACATGGCATCCCGTAGGCTCCAGGGTACCCCCGCCACTGTTGTTGCGAGGTCACCGTAAGCTTCTTGTGGCAGCGGCTGCGCTGTTGCTGCATACTCCTCGGGGGCCCCTGGGGGCCCTCCTGAGCCGAAATCGAGCGGCAAGCCACCGTCTGCGCTTCCATAGGGTGCCAACAGCAGCTGCTGCGCATCGCCTTCTCCCGAAGCTCCCACGTGAGCGAACAAACCCTCATCGACTGCAGACTGCACGCTCTCCCGCTGCTCCTGCAGCAAGCGTTGTTGCTGCTGCGGGTGCAGCACGAGCTGGCGCTCTGAAGGGTGTGGCAGCTGCATAAGTTGCTGCTGCTCCTCTTGCTGCTCTTGCTGTCGCTGCTGATTGTGACTGTGCATAAGAAGCTGCTTCGGCTTGGAGGGCGCGTCGAGGCAGCGCCTGCCATGAGAGGTCTGGCGGCTGACGCGAATGGCGAGCTGTCGAACCCTTGCACTGTCCCTCCAGAAATCGTGAATACTCTCGCTGTAGCACTCCAACACACAGTTGTCCATTCCCTGAAAAAGCAAAGAGACGACGCACACGGTTTGGCATTTGCAGCTTCGGGTTCGGCTGCGCGGGTGTAAAGGTCAGGGCTTGGTGCATTCAAGACGGACTTCGGCTCGAATCATCTTGGTTCGCCGAGAGATGGAGGTATTTTTTGAGAATCGCGTCTCGATGAATCCGCTGAAGCACGACCCCACACCGCATAGGCGTACGACTTGAGGAAACTGAGGCAAGGAGGGAGGAGGGGGCGGGGGAGTTGGTGACTGCTTTCGATACGGCCTTTGCAAGCCCTAGGATCACATCTGTACCCGCCAGGTTGGCAGGTTGGCTCAGTACGGTTTCGACGCCGCATGCACACATCTAAGGTTCTTTGGCCGTACAGGTTGATGGTTTTAACATCGATCTCAAGGGTTGGCACATGCTGCGACACTTCATCGGGGCTATTCCAATTGATATCACTTCCTGGGGCTGTTCCGTAGCTGCCAGCCGCCACACACCGCGGCACCTGCGGCAGCAGCAGCACAGCGGCGAGGGTGGGAGCGGCGAGGGTGGGAGCGGCGAGAGGAAGCGGGGGAAAGACTTTGTCGAGTGCATCGCGCTATTTGAGACGCAAGACTCTGGCGCTGCCTGCCCTGTTGCCACCGTTCGCGGCAGCACCTGCACAAGCGCCTCCGCTAAAGGGTGAAGACAGTAGGTCTTTGACTAGGGGCTTACCCAGATAAGGGCGTTCTGTTTTGTCTTGTTCCGCAAGACGCTCAAGATCTGTACCTGCGTCCGCAAGTTACGACACGCAGAAGGCCAGAAACAGCAGTGTCTCCAGCTGCTGCAGAAGCAGGAGGAAAAGCAGCAAAGGCGCACCACTAGTCTTGCCACGTCGGGAGAATCGATGGCGTCTTTGTGGAGCACAGGAGCAGCGGCAGCAGCAACAGCAGCCTTCTCGGTATTAGCACAAGGAGGGCACACGCACCTGCATCTGAACGCATCCTAGGACGTAGATGAGGACACTCTCCGGCCTGGGGATGACTCTTTCCTCCTCATCTAGAAAGCAGGAAATTGAGTGTCTGTACTCCGCTGCCCTATCCGTCGTAACCTTCAATCTGTTGCCGGTGGAAGACCCCCCCACGCCTCCAGAAGAACGGCACTTTGTGAGAGGGCCCCCTCCATACGTCGTGTTGTTCGGCAGTATCCAAACGTGGTTCAGTGAAGACATGCGCTGCAACACCAGCAGCACCCACAGACGTCGTAGAGAGTCTCAGAATGAAGAGAAGCCAAAGGAGCAGCATCAAACAGTGCAGCAGCGCGAGTCATACGCGACATCAAACTATCTGCATGCGCATCTCTGTTGCGAAAAACTTTGCGAAGACGACAGCCCACTGTGTCTGCGCGCCCTCTCGTGTACTTTGCTGGGTGTGCAGAAGAAGAGGGGAAGGGGGAAATCCGCGTCTGACCTCCTCATCCAATCCAAGAGAGATACAAATTATTCTGTGGAGGTTGAAGAGCGTCATTCCCGCGTTGATGCCGAAAACCCGGCGAATGGGCACGAGGCCCTTTTGTCGCTCGGCAGTTTCGGGGAGTTCAGGGAGGTGCCACTCTACAGATATTTCGCACATGTCGTAGTCATTTAAGGCAGCGTTCTCCAAGCGCAGCTCTTCTCCTCTCGCCGCAGCTGCCGAGGAAGACGAAGAAGGGCACGACGGAGCCATGCTGCTGCTGTACGGCGAGATAGGGCACTGGAGGACGTTTGGGTGTTGCTGTGGATGAGGCAGTGATGCGACGAGGCTGAAGGAGCTGAGAGAGGCACTGCATTCCTCACCGTGCCGCTGCTGCTTGTACTTGCGTCTTGTCTGACTCGCATCAGCACAAGCAGTGGCGGAAGGGGAGCTCGGAGAGCCTGCAGAGGCTGAGTCAGCAGAGGGGGACCTTTGTGGTCGCCAGTCGCTGTCCTCTGAATCGCTTGCCCCTCTTCTCTTTCTCCTCCTCTTGCCTCTTTCTGTGCACCGTACCCTCAGCTGCCTCTTGCGTGGCTTTGGGTCGCTGCAACAGAGGGAGGGAAGAGTTCGCTGATCGGAGAGTCTCCTAGTGTCGAATGGATTCGCACAATTCTCTGCGTCCGCGCCACCAAGGAAGCCGTCATACGGCTGCTCCTGCTGGTACCCTTGGTGCTGCCCTTGGTGCTTTAGAGGTGGCTGCTTCAGAGGTGGCTGCTGCCCCGAAGGGAGCGCGAATAGAGGGCCCGTCTCATTCAGGGGGCCCCAAGCAGGGGCCCCCAAGAGGGTGGACGCCCCCATATCTTGGGTGCTCCCCCCGTGTAGCATGGAATCAACGATGGCTGCCCAGCCCTCACTCTCCCAGTCAGCACTCCCCTCGGGGGGCAAACCACCCCGTCCATACCGCGAGTCGGCGGCTCCGTAACTCATGCTGAGATGTGGTAGCTCCACTGCTGTGGCTGCTTACGGGGTCTATGAAAACGGAAGGTCCGGACGGCCGGCGTGTGTCTCCAGCGCCACTAGTCTGCTGCTGTGGCGAAGGGCGTATCTGTAGCCAAGAGAATCAAGGAATGACAAGGTCAAAACTGTCCAGAAAGATAAAACACGCAAAAAAAGCAGACATAAAGAGGGGAGAGAGTAATGTTGGGGGCAAGAAAATCCAAGACAGTGACCGACACGATAAATAATTCCATCCAGTGCCGCCTCTTGAACCCGAAAAAGCTCTAGGCAGAGCGCCAACGTGAAGCCACCGGAGCTCCAGGCGTCACCACACAAGTCATACAGATGAATGCGACAAAGCAAAGAACGTATCCGAAGTAGGCGGGATACAGGGGCTCAAGTCCTTTGTCCTCCTGACGTAGCATGGCTATTCTGAAGTCAATGGAGGCCAACGGCTGAGGAACCGACTCACAAAGAGGCTGCTAAAGTCAAGAAATGTGTATACGGACGTGACGGAGATTAATAATGCTGCGGGTCGTTTGGGCGCGTAGCAAGCGATGGCTGTACCTTGTAGAGAGCGACAAACAAGCAAGAGGGGCGGTAAGGAAGATGCCCCAAATTTGAAATTGTCGGTACTAAGCCGTGAAACCTGAACCCCAGAAAAGTGGGAAGTTTAGTGAAGAGGACACGGCGGTCGCACGAGGCGGTGCACTGACACAGCAACTTGTGAGGGGGTAGGGGGCAGAACGTCTCCTCCTTTCACACTTTGGACAAAGGACGCAACTGAGAAACAATCGTGCTGCGAGAAAATACCTTTTTACAGTCATATATGGTCTAACACGCTGGCAGGAACGCAGACAACGAGGGATGACGCCGACCCGGGGGACCTCCACCGCGCACAGAACACCACCCCCGCCGCGGAAACATCCTTGTTCCTCCCTTCCCCTCTTCCTCTGTTACTATTCCCTTTTCCTCTTACTATTACCATTTAAATGTCAGAGAGAGCAAGAATATTTGCCCTTAGCAGCAACAATTCGCTATCTTTTACAGAGCGGCGTGACCAGACCAGACCAATAGCCCCCAGTGTGTACCTCCATAGAAACACCAGCCAAGGAGGCCTGTGTTTCAAAAAAGCCCTTTTAATTATAAAAGAACTAAGATGCGTTTTTTTACTGTGAATTTTAATATTGCTCGCTGTCCGTTTCAAGCACGGCGCTAGGGCATCCGCCTTTGAGTTACGCCTCACCACCACCACACAGCAACGCGTGGTCGTTCCCGAGATACCCGATTAAGCAGGGTTCGCGATTTGATTGGCCACCAGGAGAAAAAGCTAGAACTTCAGCTTTGCCGTATATCTGCAGCCTTTAAAGGGTGTTCTGTAATCTGTGTTAAACTCCTTATGATTATGAGTAGTTTGGATGCGCACTCCCCCTCTCGGGAAGACCGCACAGAGTAGCTGGTTTCGCAGCGATACTGCGAGCGGTGTCCGTTGCCCCTCAACAAACGCAAAGCGCGCAGTCCTTGTGGCAAAAGAGCAGGCGGGGAAGGTCGACCGTGCAACTTGCCCCCGGAGCTGCAGCAGGCTCAGTTACACTTCAAGACTTTCAACTACACTAAAAGTATTCAATTGAGAATGGGTGAAGAACTCAATAACTGTGTTTGCTTTTCGCGCACCCTTTTATTTAGAAGTAGCGCTAGCTGGACACAATAAGACCCACTGGTTTTAGCGTGTGTGTTGGACGATATGTGCTGCCAGCGGGGAATGCCCAGAGTGCATAAGGAAGGTTACAGCATCCCGTACCCTAGTTAGCCCTCCCACCTCATTGCTGACCCCTGGAAAACTATGGCAGGGGAAGGAGCTCTTTTAAATAGCACTCAAAAACTGATTATTCTTGGAATAAGCCTGGAGCGGTAACGCTCCTTAAAGGTATCCGTAGGGAGACGCTCAACTCCAGACTCAATACAAAACCAGTGGACGCCTACTGAGTGATTCTCGGAAGCGATCCCGCCTTCCCCTGCCCGCTCCCATCATAAACCCCGAGACAAGGGGAGGGACAGCCCAGTTGGGAGTGGCTGCACCCTTTCAGCATTCTGAGCATTCACACCTAGTTGAACACACAACCTGGCGCACACAGGATGAACACTGCAGCCTCTTGTATCGAGCTAACACTACTATGCGATTACAAATTCGTAGTTCAAAAACAAATCAATCAGTCGATTTTCAACTAATTCTGAGTCTATTGAAACTCGTCAATTTAAAAAGGCCAACTACTTGTAGCGTATCCAGAGAAATCTTCCCCCCTTTCGAGATGCGCACTTTCTTGCTCCCTACCTGTGCTTTGAGATTACCCGCGTGTAGAACCTCGGGACAGTCTTCGAAGTATCGCCACTTTCCAGGCAAGCAAAAATGAGAAGGGCGAGAAGAGGAAAAAGCGGTGCATTAACCGCTGAAACTGCCTTGAAGGAAGACAGACACACTAGCCAACAGCGAGCGAGCGATTCAACCAACACACCTGCTGTGAGACATTTGCTCGCTGTCGTCCAACAGCTAAAATGTGTGATCGTATTGCCCACAGAAAACATGTGCTATGTTTAAAAGAAAATTAAAGTGCACATTAGTCCAATAGTGCTCAGCGCTTCATGAACGATTCGTTGCATGCAACACAGTTGACTTCAAAACTCAAAATGGGCATAGGAAGGAATATAGGGGCAAAATACATGGGCATGTTTTTGCATGAATCTGAGTGTGGGGGATATCTCAGCCCCAAGCTTCTAAAGCAATATTCGTAGATGAAAATCAGTGTGTTTCGCGCAGAGCATGCCTGGGGAACGGCGATTACCAAGAAACGCAAGAACTACTCGCGCTGCTAGTTATATGGAGCTGCGAATTCTCTCGCAGGTTACAAAGCCCGGACGTCCTCATCGCATAGCCACTGAGACTAATGTTCTTACTTAAATTCCAATAGAAATTCCAGTTTATCGCCCTTGGTGCTCAATAATCCTATAATTTAACACTAATTTGGCTCTTTGTGGATCGTCGGCCTCCATATGGCTCACTCAACTGCGTAGCGAAGCCTGCGAATCATTCGGAGGGCTTGGAAGCTTTTTTATAGGCCAGAATTCGTAGTTCTGTGGCACCTGCAGCTTTCAGGACAGTCAATACATTTAAAAGAGCATTGATTTGTGAGAGATTGGCAGATGGTCCGAGCCATCAGGCTGCCAACTCCGCCCTCGTCACGTTCTGATGCACCTTGTAAAACCAACCCTTTCCACCAGAACCCATAATATCGGCACGACAGACACAGCCGACCGTCGCATGACAGGATTCCGTGAATAAATCTCTTGAGAGGATACCGCTGCGTACACTAGCCAGCTTTTCTTTGGCTATTTTCCCTGCTAAGGTGGCTGCTGACTTCAGACCACCAGGTCGAGGCCCAGATCGGAGCGTGGATTCTCAGTGTGCACCAGGGTTGCTGGAAGGTAGCAGATGTACATGTATACTGTTGTGCTATAAACTCACGCAGCACAACGAAGAAAAGCAAGCCAAACAATTAAACATTTGTGGGCGTTGGGCCCAAAGTGATGCAGAGGAATATAGTTGGTGGACACTGTCCATCTGCCTCAGGATTATTTGCAACGCTCATATTAAAGCCTATGTGTAGGCTGGTCACAAAGGCATGATAGAACGCACGAACAAATTTTGGTGTCTATCAGTAGTGACCTTTCCCAAGAATTCATGAGCTTATGGACTGAAGCTCATAATAGTTGAGCTACTTCCTGTGCCGTGACCTAGCAGGACCAAGGAATGAATGAGCATATTTGATGGGTCTGCCGAGAGAGATAAAATCCTGACGCTTGAACTTTGCGTTTGATGGTAAAGTCCACGGTGGCATCAGCACGAATTTTCTTGTGAGTCGCAAGGCTTTGCAAAAGGCCGAGTTTCGGAAAATTTGGTGCCTTGAGCCACTGACAATCTGAGCATGACAGTGCCTACTCCTTTGCCTAAGCACGCGTCCAAGGCCATTAGATGGACTGAGAGAACGCAAGCAGTGTAATTTAAATTTCTTCTGGCCCAAACAAAGAGGACCATTTGCTCTGTGTCAACTGGCACTGTGGAGCGCAGTCTGAATATACATGCGACGGGGTCCCCACTGTGTTTTGAATCGCAGCCGGGCATTCTCTAAGTGGTAGTGATACATCCCTCTACCCTCCTAGATTGTTGCCACGATAGTGAATGCGTGGGTGTTAAGAGCATATGACTCACGCAAATTTGATAAGTTCATGAATCGCCACAGATAAGAGCAGTTGCCCCGCATACTGATAAGGCGCTCGGGCGTTGCGAGAGCGCCTTGGCAACTGCACCCCTGACACCTTTGCTATCCTGTATCGTGAATTCGTTCTTCAGGGGGATTTCGTTCCAATCCTTGCCAGATCACACTCAAATCTTGCAATCGCAACACGAAAGCCAGGCGACACAATGTTGTAATAAAAACGAACATTGGCATGCCTTCACATTCCACTGCTTGCCCCGCAGCGACTGACGAGCACGCCGTAGGTACTGTAGGCGCTCTTGAGCCTGTCAATTGAACTTGAGACATCTTCCTCGTAGACAACAGCCCAGATCTCCTTGTTGGGCTTATTAAATTTACTCGCCTTTGCAGGTGAACTGGAGTATCAGCTGATCCAAACGGCATACAGGTCTATTCGAGTTTGCGAAGGAGAGTGTCAAGCACCGTTTTGTTCCAGTCAACAAGGTGACTGGGGATTCGTAAGAAGACGTCTGTAAAGTCATATGTCGTGACGACTGTTAATCCATGCAATTCGTCAATGAGGCATCGGGAACCTCTGTATACCACCGATCTTGCTTAGGGGCTTAGATATAACGTACATACGCCCTCTACTGTGCGTTTCTGGGACTAATACCGGGTTGAACAAAGGCGCTCGTTGTTCCCTGCACTTGGCCATTTTGCAGCAGATCATCCGCCTGTCTCTTAATCTCCTCAAAATGCCGTCTAGACTTGTGATTCCGCGGAACATGATCATGAGCTAATTTGAGAATTAGCTCAAGGCACTGCGCTGGACGGTCAGCAGCTGGCCAGCCTGCTGGGAGGCCCTTAATATTAGAGCTTCCTCGAATTCTTTGTTGATGCTTTTCGTTGCCACTATTCGTCGAGCATATTTTCAATCAAGTTTTCTGATAGTAAATCCATCGTAGAACCACTTAAGCAAGATGAATTCTCTAAGCCGCCTCCTCCAACGGTGCTGCTGAACCGCCCGCATGAAGACTTTAGCCCACCTTGTCAAGTTGCCGACTCTACTGGGTCCACCAGCGATGATGGCGTTGTTAAGAAGACACACAGTTGCTTTTTCCCACAGCTTTCTGGCGCATTGCTTACCACAGCGCGCAACTGTGGGCGAAATCGCATCTTTCATTAGATCACGTATGGCATAACCAGGTTTGCGTCGAAAGAAATTACAAAATTTACCGACAGGACCGAATTCTGATCAGAATTGGTATTTAGCTGCTGCACCTCTCCAAGTTTCTGCGCTCCGCAGTTCATCAATAGACCTTAGTCTTTGGGGCTCCGCTTACGAGTGAGCTGACAGTTTGCACGTCTACCCCTGCTCTACGGATAAGAGGTCCGCTTCGCATTCGTTGACAAGCAACGCTACCAATCCCCGGCGACTGAGTTTAACTTCTATCAGCGCAAAGTTGACCCGTGGTGGGTTCCCAACTGCGGATATACACACTTTAGCACCCTTACACTGCGCAGCAACGTGCGTGGGGGTCTCTCCGTTTCCCAAACGCGCCTGCTCTGCCCAACCAAAAAAGGTGCCTTTACTGGGCTGAGTCATGTTGCTCAGGTTCTGTACTTGTTTGCATGGGCTTGCAGTTTTAGAATATTCTAACCCACTTCCTACAGCAGAGGCCGGTGCGTCGTGAGGGAGCACTTTGGAGTTATCCAGAAAGTTGGGTTCCCTTACCCTGTTTTACTCACCACATGCTGCACGCTAGGGCCGTTCGGTACCACAGCGACATCCATAGGTTTTGAATTTCGTTTCGACTCCTCCTTTTCAGGTTACGATGCAGGGGCTGCATGTATTCGCCCTTGAAACATTATTCATTCATTATTGGTGGAAGGCTTACCAGTCGGTTGTCTACTTGCTGAATTGCTCCCACCCTGCGACCACCTGACGTGACACGTCAAGCAACGCGTCTGTTTGTCTACATTGTAGCTTTTGCGCATCAGAGTATTTCATTTCTTGATATGTCGACCTATTGATGGGTCCCTTCGCGCTAGTTTTCCCAGTTCTTTCAAAACTTGCTGGTGACCTGATCCCGGCACAAAACAATGTGTTGGGGCCTGCATTGAGGTGTGAGCTGTATTAATCCCTGCAGGCACACAGCTTTCCCTGCATGAAAGGTGCCCCAGCTGATTTGCTTTTTCCTGCAAAAACTACGCCGTGAGGACCACTTTCTTGTCTTTTTGTTCGTGGTACAAAGCGAGGTACATCTTCAACACGCCGAAAAAATCTTCGAGTGCTTGCTCACCCTTACAGTCACTATACCTTTTTGGTCAGCATAACCTCATTCACTCATCCATTAGCACTTACCAGCCAAAGCTTCATGCCTTTCTACCAGCTGTGGAGCTACTGCGTTCACATCAGCTTGAAGGCCGACCCAGCCGACCTAGCCGACCCAGCCGCCCCCGACAGGTATGATACAACCGACAAGTTCTGGAATTTTCCTATTTCAAGCTCTTTACAAGGAAAATAAGATCACTAAATCACCGAAAAGTTGGATAGCATTTACCCAGATGCTGTAGGGAAAGCTGACATGCCACTGCATTCACAGCCAGTGGATGAGCGGGAAACAGCTGCATCGAACCATTAGATGATACTACTTGTACGGCTCAATCTTAGTTCTCTGGAGGGAGACGCTTAACTCCACAGCACACCGCTAACAGATTTACTACAGCATTTTCAAAAAAATTCCTCCTTTCCCTGCCCGCTCCCTTCAAATGCCCAAAGATTAGGGGATAGGATAGCCAAAGAGCGAGTGGCTGAGCACCTCTGAACATTCCAAAGTTTCACACCTACTTGCATGCAACGTCTGGCACGCACGCCTGCATTGTTGCATCTTCTTTTATGGAGCTAGCAATAGTCTGCGAGAAAAACAGTTATGAATAGACACAATCCAGTATGTCAATTCTTCAGTAAGTCGTAGATACACCTTAAGCAAGAGAATATGCTTATCTAGTTTTGCCCGCTGCAAGAGCTGAAGGTCTCCCTACGGAGGACAGAAATGAATCTGTACGCTCAACCTGGAAGTAAGGGTATTCCGATTGACTGACTTGGCTGAAATGTCTCCCCGCCGGTGATAGGCCCCGTGAGGCAAACAAAGGGGTACGGGCAGCCTTGTGGCTCGAACGGAAACCGCGGCTTCAGTGGCTTGAAGTGTCCAAAAGAATCAGGTTTGTAGTAGGATAAAAGTTACACTCGATCATTGTCTACAACACTAGTTGTGTATAACCAAGACTTTTGTAGAGAATTGACAGCTTGGGTTCTGTGCTCTTAAACGCGCGCTTTCCTGCATTGTGGAACTGTCCAAGGTTAAACGTCGATTCTTATTGTACGTGTGCCCCACGTATTGCTACGTGCAGTTAGGTGTAGAAGAATGCTGGGTCAGTGCTAGGGGGCTAAAGCTTCACCAATGTAGATTATCTGTCTCTCTACCCCAATGCGGAAACCCTTTCGGGTAGGAGCGAGAAAGAAAATGGCGGAGAAAGCTTTTTTGAATGGACTTGTGAGAACTCTGAGCAAGTTGTTGTTTTGACACTTGGGGCTAAATATGTCCTATTCGTACCCAACAAGAGGGATTAATGCAAGGTGGGTCCCACATCAGCGGGAGTCGAGCTGTTCAATATGCCACCAAATTCAACTCAATCGGCTGCGACCGCTCGAGACGAATTTCGGAGCATCATTTTCTGAATGCTTGCATCAAGCCTGCCCTTGCTGGCCAGTCCTCGAGCACTCGCATAATCCAAGGGGGCGGGAGTCTAGGGATCCGAGTTTCGCAAGCACGCGCCCTATCTATCCCCGTGTGCACGTTTTTACGGTGTCTTTAAGAATGCACAATGTTTTCAACAAAAGTAGAACAGAAGACTCATGGAAAGGGCAGCTTTACACATTCAGCACAAGATTAGCGCCCCGGTAGGACATGATTCTATGTTATGATTTTGTATTTTGGGTTGAGCATTTGCTGCTTAGCATTTAGTGCTTGAACCTTCTTAGAAACGGCAAGGACAGTAGTGTGCGTGTAAGGAGTTGGACTTACGGAATTACATATGAAGGCATATCGGATATATGGCTTGAAGCCTTTTGTGCTGTGTTAACTGCATATGAAACTGGACTTTAGGGTTGGGGTTTCGTCGTTTGAGAATCTTGTGTTTTTATGGTCAAGGGCTTTTAAGGTGTACGGCCCCAGGTTTCTCGTTCTGTGTTCGATTGCTCGTTGCCGACACAGTGGGTCGTCTTTGCGGAAGCTTCCTTCAGTATGTATAGCCCCCGGTATCCCTGGCTCACCGCACTATTTTTCATCGGTTTTGAGCAGTCTTCTGTAATTCAACCATTTTCTGGCTTAAGAGCTCGCCGTCAATAGCATCAACTGAGCACGAACAGCAGCCAGCATAGTCCGCATCACGGGCCGCTGCACAGCACAGGACACCGGGAATTTGGCGTCAAGGGTCGAATTATCATCGATTCTATGCAAATTCTCAACTATGTGGGGCAGTAGGACTCATCAAGAGCAATTTTGGGGCCAATAAGGCTGCAGCCCTCTCTTAGTGCGCACACGCGCTGTCTTCTCGGGACCGCTCCGTCATTGCTGCTGTAAAAACAGCGGCAGTGGTAGCCGCAGCAGCGATGGACGAGCTGGACCTGGGCATTGTAGAGCGGAGGATCGCAGAGGGCGATTACTTGGCAGCGAGGGTTATCAGTCCCTCCTCCACATACACCGTGAGTGATGTCACAGCACCTGCAGCTGCAGTTGCAGCTGCAACAGCGGCAGCAGCTGCTGCAGCAGAGGTCGCGGCAGCTGCGGCAGCTGCTGCTGATATTGTATCCCGTCCAGTGAGCAATGAGGAGAGACTCAACAAACTGTTGCCGCAGCTTCAGGAGGGTCCCCTTGGGATCTCGCGGGAAGGCTCTCAGCCGAAAGCTTCTAGGAGAAGCAGCATCGCCTCTTCGTTGCTGAATTGGGGGCGCAGTGGAGGCCTCCCTCAGCGGGGGACTGCCTCAGAGGAGAAGCGCTGGGTGGCTTCAGAAGTTGGAACCCCCCAACAGCGGACTTTCTGGGGGTGCTCCGACGAGTTGCCTGCAGACGAGGAAAGCAGTGCGCTGCCACCACACTGGAAAAATCACGCAGCGGGTGATGCGGCGGCAGCAGCAGCAGAAGCAAGAACAGCAACAGCAGATCAACATCGGCGTCAGTCTTCCCAAGACCCCGCGCGTTTGTGCCAAAAGCAGCAGCAACAGCAGCTGCAGCTGTCTGAATCAGTGCTTCAGGCGATAGCGGTGCGGAAGTTACAACTTTTGCCCCTAAGAGAGTGGGAAGATGAACAGCGCGCAAGGCGAGAAGACTTCTTCAGATCCATCGGTCAGCGTGTATGAAAGTCTAGGGCGTAGTATCTAATTTTTAAAAGCTTTTTCGTGTGCCAGAGAAGCTTGTCTGACTTGCATCGGTAGGTGCAGTTACTGATATCTGTGAAAAAGCGTTATCTTTTGCTCGCTCTTCGCACGTTTCTCTGCCAGTGTGTTCGCTTCTGCTGCTGTAGGCGATGTGGTGGAGACCGTGGTGTCCGTCTTCCAACACAGCGAGAGGGACCATCAAGATCTGCTCAAGTTTTTTCGTGTAAGAAAGAGACGAGGACTCTGCCCAGCGGCGGCACTGAAAGGGGCAGGGGTAGCAGTAGAGGATGCGCAGCCGGTTTTTCATTGCTGCTTGCGCAGTAGTGCTGAACCCATGGCAGAAAAAGCGGCGACTTGGCTTTGTTGCGGTCTCAGGGGCGAGCAAAGGCGGATAAGGAGGCAGCGAGAGCGCTGAAGCATTGCAGCGTCCGTCTCTCCACCCGCTGCACTGCAGTGCAGCAGCAGCAAGGCAACTGTGCTAGCAGCAGCACTGCGCACCCGGCTGCAGCAGAAGCAGCAGCCTCCTCCGTTGCGCTATCATCAGACCGCTCTCCCGAGGGGCACCTGAAGGCGGATCTCATTCGTCAGGCCTCTACTGGCAACAGTAGCATTTTGAGCGAACTGTCGCCACGAAGGCTCCCTGAGGCTCCTCTTTGGGAGGAGTGGGATGACGCGGCACGCGAGGGCTGCGGCACCAGCAGGAGGAAGCCAGCGGGGAGCAACGAAGGCAACAAGAATTCTGGAACCCCTCCTTGGGTATCAGAGGCGTTCGAGCAGATGCGCGCTGACTCGGGGTCAGGCCCAGACGCCATCTCTTCTGCGTCTGTGGCTGCCGTTTCGGCGACAGGAATAACATCAGCTGTTTCGCTGGCAGCAGAGCCTCACGTATCTGGAGGGCAGCAGTTTGTCGAGGTGCAGGGTGTGTCAATGCTGGCAACAGCCACGCCAGAGGCCTCCCGCGGAGGAGACAGCATCACGAGCACCAGCAGCGGAGGCGGAGAGCAACACCTTCACAGCACCTGCAGCGACTCAGGAGCAGCAGGGACGAGAGCTGCTGGAGATAGCAGCTGCACAGCTTTGCAGCAGCAGCTGTGTGGGGGCCCCCTTGGTGTAGGTGCTTGTTTGTGCTGGTTGGGGGGCCTCCTTACGTGGACGCGCCAGCAGTCTCTACTGCAGGACTCACTGTCTACGTTTGCTGAGAAGGACCTCATAAGAGGTGAAGATTGGCCTTAAAAAGGCATACATGTGCACTCGCCGCTCACGGCTTGGGGGCAGTACCAAGGGTACCCTACCTCGTTCCTTGCAATCCCGTAGGGGGGCCCCCTTGTGTTTCCACAATTCTCTACGGTTGTCGCACGTGCGTCTGCCGTTGCTGCTTGTGCGGCTGCACAGCGCACCTCGAAGAATTGACGCTGCGCTACACGAGGGAAGGATCGAAGGAGATTGGCAGGCTTCAGCAGGCAAGGGCCCATTATTTTCCCTGCTGAGCCTATTCTCCTTCCTATGGCTGCTCCTCTTCCTGCCGCTGATGCGCATGCTGATAGGTCTACACACGCCGTATTCGGCGATTTCCGCTCCTGGCGTCAGTACTGCGAGTGATATCTGTTGCTGTGAGGTGCCTTTCCCCAGCTGTTGGCGGCAGCCAAGAAGGCAGATGACGCCACTCATGAGGCCTGGAGCGCATATGTGCAAAGATTAAATTCAACGTCTGAGGTCTGTTGGCGCGTCTCAATGTCTTTTAAGCTTTTTTTCACGGATATATCAGTGGTCGATGGTCATGATTTCTCACATAATTTTGCGCCTTCCTCCATCTCTTTATGGTTCGCGTGTGTCTCAACCCTCTCTCTCCCCTTACATTCACCTTTCTTCCTGTCTCTTGGGGTCTGTGCGTCTCTCATCTTCCGCCACGGTCTGTCGCCTCGCCCAGCTTGCTAGCTTGCTTCACCACTCCTGCTGAAAGAGAGCACGGGACGTTTGCGCGCGCTTCGGTGTCATGCAACGTTTCCCATGTGTTCGTGTCCATCATGCTAAGAGAGGCAACGACCCATTTCTTTTACCGAGACTTTGCAGTTGACAAGGCGCCACTCCATCTATCCCTATGCTTCTTGCCGCCCCTCCCCGTAGCCTCCACTTTCCCACTTTCGCCTGTTCTGTGCCTCCGCAGCCTGCTTCTTTTGCCAGGCAGCAAATGCACAAAAAGAAGCCTTCATGCTGCTGGTTGAGCGAACACAAGTACAGAGCAGCCGTGAGACCTGCTTCCTCACACCTTCCACAACTATCTGCCGTCGTGCGCAGTACCTCTCTATCCCAAGCACGGATAATATTAGGGGGAGAGCTACTCATCCTTGAGGCGTCTTGACGGATATCCGTATAATTAATCTGCTCTCCTGTGTGAAACCATGCATGTGATGCAGGCACGGAAGGCCTCTGCCGCCGCCCGCCAGCTTATGAGATGCGCTCTTCGCTGTCTTCAAAGCTTTCATAGTCTCGAAAGTCCGCACCAGACGCATGCAGCCCCACAGAACCCCAGTGGACTGGCAGTGGCCACAGGGGAACCGCCAGCCTTACAGCCTACTCCAATCTCATTGTGCAGCGTTGCCGCACACGGCGCGGCCTCGGTCCGTGTGCAGCCATTCACTGACAAAGCAGCCAGTGCATGTGCGTGCTGAGACTGCCATGCTGTTGCGACTTTACGCAGCGTGGCGCTCAGACGCCCTGCGTCAGATCTGCGAGGCGTTCATTCTGAAAGCGTACAGCCACTGCACAGCAGCAGCCGTGACTCTCGAGCGAGTTGCAGAGACACTGGGTTAGTCTGTTTTGCCGTTGTTGTGTGCGTGCCGTAACGCCTTATGTAGCTTCCTCCTCCTCCCCTCATCAGCAGCCCCCTCTTGATGCTGTGGTGCGTCTGTGAATCTCTTTGGCGACTTTGCCGAGTGCCTGCTGCTGCTGTGGCAGGTCTTACCCTCCCTGGCGTGAGCGGCGGCGAGTCAGCTGCCGCTGATGCCTCTCGCCAGTGTCTCTCCCTTCTGGAAAGCCTGCAGCTGTCTGTTGCTGCTGCTGCTCCTACGCTCCGAGAGCAGCCCAGTGGCTTGGCCAGCGATGAACAACCAGTCGTCCAGCAGCAACAGCACCAGCACGGGGCAGCTGATAAGCGGAAGAGCGTGGCCTCGTTTACGCTTCTCACGGATATGCCGGGGCCCAACGAGGGGCCCCCAGGGGGCACTATCAGGAACGGCAGTAGGCCTCTTCAAGGCGAGAGTTGCCAGGTGTCTCATGACTCCGCGAATGGCCTGGGGAGCTCACAGACGCGACGGCTAACTTTCAGTGACTGCAGTAAACTGAAGCCTTTATGGCTCCTTCTCAAGGAAGAAGGTGAGGGAGGCAGCATCTCGTCAAAAGGATAGCGATGCTGGCAATAGGGGATATGTAGAGAACAGTAAAAGACCGGAACGAGGTGGATTACCCTTGGAAAGCAAAAGGAAAGAGACGCGGCGGCACTCCTGTTTCTCCACTTATCTCTCTCTCTCTCGCTTCATGAACAGCCCATTTTCCTTGCGTCAAGTTGCAGCCCCCACTATCTACGCAGCTTTTCCCCTGCCTGCGCCCTCCTTAGGCTTGCTTCAAGAGAAGAACGCTGGTCAAGTTCCACCTCCCTTTCGCTGCAGCCTTCTTTGTGCAGCAGCGGAGACTCTAGCGAGGGAGGAACCGCCTCCAAGAAGCCCTCTGCTACTGCGCAGGGGCATGGCCGAGCTACACATTGGAGGCCTCTCCTCGTTGCTCTCGCGCTGGCAGCCGGCGATTGTCTGTCTCTCGAAGTCCCGACTCCTCCACTTCTTTGCTTGTGCAGAAGAAGAGGTTCCCATTAGAACCTTCTTCGTTGGAGGCGCAGAGGTCAGGATTTGTGGAGGCGGGTATGCGGTTCTCGGTGGCACTGTAGGCCTTGGGCCTAGTGCTGGCTATTTTTTTTACTGTTTAGGGTTCTGTGCTTAGCGCTGGAATTTAGATGACGCTCGCCTTGTTTCTGGCTGGTTCAGGTGAAGCGCACAGGCAGCAGAGAAGGGGCGAAAATGGACATTCAAGTGACTGTGAGCGACGAGGGCTGAGGCCTGAGGAGGGGGACTGGGGTCTAAGAGATTCGCATTCACTGCCTATTTTGCAGTGCAGCTGTGCTGCTTTGTCTGGCCTTTATGGTTCTGCGTTTCGGGTTTGGGGTGTACGAACAGGAAAAGAAGAGAAGAGGCTTCCTACCGCGGTCTTCTTTGGTATTTAGGGTCAACGGCAGTCGGGAGTGCAAGGAGTGGCTGTCTGTCTTGGAAGTCCGTTGCTAGCCTCCTTTTCCTCGTCGCCATGAACCAGCCAAACCAATCCCTTGTCCCTGAGTTTTCTGGGGTTCTGCCTCTAAACTCCGTCTATCCCGATCTCTGCGACCAACTTTCTTTTCTGTTCGTGTCTGCTCTCCCTCCATTGCCTCCCTGTCTTTGCCTGCCTAGAACACTAGAGAATTATCATTTGCGGTAGAGGATTAGTAGCTTCGGACTTGCTACTTTGGCCTTTGTGCAGATGGCAGCAGACGACAGGGCCTTCCTTGCTTCGGCACAGGATATAAACACGGGTCATGCGGCTCCCGTAGATGCGTGCGAGCCCCCCTCTTACGCATCCAGGATCGTTAAGGGGACCCCTGGAGATCCCAGTGCGACATTCTACAGCAACAATAGCAATTCTGCCGAAGCGTACGGTGTGCAGCATCTGATGCCATATCCTGCTGCTACTGGAATGCAGCACTTAGACGTAGGGGCACATATTCCTTCTGGGAGTATGGATGAGGTGTCTCTTGATGAGCCACCATCTTAAGGCAGACTTCTCCTGCACACAATCTCCCCATAATGCACGTATGTTGCTGCATCCGCTATCCCCATATGTTTTTTCTCTCGAAAGCTGCATTCTTGGCCCTCCCGCAGGGAACTTCTCATGGCTTTCGCGTGCGGTTGGCTTTTTTGTCATTTGAGGCTCCAAGCTGTGGCCCTTTTCGTCTAGCGGTCATCCGCTTGTCTCAGAGATCACCGTAGGCATCCCTTCCAGGGGCTCTTTTGGCATGGCCCGCCTCGCTAAAAGCCCATTGGGCTGGTTTACCTACCCACATTTGTCTAGAGGATGCAGATTATTCGCGGTTACTCCCTATATCTTTACGAGTATTGAACCGCCCAAGCAATTGTAAAAGGTCAAGCACTGGCTACCAATACACTTTGAGAAGCCCAGGGCGGTTGCGGGTGGGCACGAGCACAGCGCACATTAGAAGAAGGGAAATAAAGAAAGCAGCGGAGGCGCACACTTGTCCTCCAGTGTGAATTGCAGCAAGCACTGCTTCCGTTCAGCGCCTTAAGGTGGTAGATTTTGCGTCAGAGACGCTGTCGGCTAGGGTCAGGAAGGAGGGCAGCCGCATCAGAGAAAATTAAGTGTAATAGGAATCAGTAGATGTGATAGACAGGGGCTCACTTCGGGGCAGGGCAGCCTTCCTAGCTTTGGACACCCCGGGGTCTTCAGCCAAGCGATTTACCAACAGGAGGAAGGCGCATGCTGGTGTGGCGGTGTAGGGCGAGAGTGGGCAATGACCTCTCTATGGGGTAATCCTTAGACCTTGGCAACAAGAGAATAGTGATACTCTTCCCCCTTATTACTCGTAGAAAAGGGTATCAGTGCTCATAAACTACGTTGGACCTCCCACATGTTGATGCTCCCTTGTTATACCATTCATGATGTAAAGAGGCCATTTTCTGGTCTATCTGGCGGTCATCAGTGTATAATGATTGCTTCACACTGCAGTGCCTTTAACTTGCTTTTGGAGCACAGAAAAGTGAAGGAAGAAAGAACTTCTTGGCTTTGTACATAGATACTTGTGGCTAGAAATTTGTATTATGGTGTAATCAGCTGCCTTGATGGGCTCTTTGGGGTATGACACAGCCTGAAGGTATGACTTATGGTTTACTTGCTGTTGTTTCTCTCTGTTGCCCCGTGTTCGTTTCCTCCTCCTTACCTTTCAGCACTCTTGTACTTGCTTGAAGCCTCTGACATGCTTGCAGAGAGGATCTGTAGCAGGCGGGGTCCTGGGACCAGTGGAGTAATGTAGCTGTTAGCAAGGCTTGTGTAGCAGGCCGTTATGACTATGCTGACACTAAGTTGGGTCGATTAAGGATATATCCGAGTATTTTTTTGCATCGGGTAGGTGTGTTATCTTCTATTTGCCGAAGCACTGTAACGGGCTACCCTACATCCTAGAAACTTCTACTAGTAGTCGTGTGCCTTCGTGGAAATTTAACTGGACTGTCGCTCATATCTACTTTTATTGCAGAATGTGGTTGGCTTGATGCAAGGAGAGGCAGCGTTCAGTGTGTGCGCACTAGAAACTGTGTGCAACTACCTGTAAACGCTCGGGGCGCAAAAAAGATGCAGCTAGGTGCACCTCAGCTGTTTCTCTCCCCTCGTATCAAAATTCAAAGGGAAGTTTGTGGGTGAAGGTGAGAGTTCTTTTGAGAAATACTTAATAGATTCCCATTGTGTTTTTGTTGTCTCAAGTTAAGTGTCTCCTTATGGAAACCTTGGGCACAATGATATAAGCAATGTGAGATTTACATTGTCAGAATAGGAGTTCTGAGTACCTATGCGCGGAGGCGATATGCTCAATTTGGTGCACATGCTCAAACGTTTCGATTAGCGGGAAGCTACACTTGGTCTCGCTTTATTACCGCTGCTATCTTTCAGTAAAAATAATTCGAGTGCTGGTCGGTTGGCTTGACGGTATGCACATTCTATTTGTTTTCTCAAAAGATTAGATAGTAAATTTCATGACGACGCCTACTGTGCGCGTGTGGACTAAGCAGCCATGTGCAACTGCGTGCGAACAAAGGCGCTGAGAAGATGCAAGAAGGTGAACCCTAGCTGTTCTCTCTCCTCATGCTAGAATATTGTGGGAGGAGAAACAAGGTAAGAAGATGGGGAAGTTTCCTGGAAGGGACACTGGTATTTTTAAAATCAAGGTTTGGCATGTTATGGGAGCTAAGGATCTCTTTCCAGAGACCCCAAACGATGGACTGCGGCAGCTCGTAGGCTGCAGCTCCTTGCATCCTAGTATGCCTCTTTTCCCCTGTGTCCAGAACCATGTGGCCCGAATACCGTGGGAAGAGAACCCTTCTTGTTAATGCGCTAAGGATCTTCCTTTATGTTCTGGGCTTTGTGTTGAAGGTATACGTACAGCCGCCTAGAGAGGAGTGCTACTCTCAGAGTGCTTCTTCCCTGAAATAGCAGTAGGCGAATTCGGCAGTTCTAGTTGGGTGCAGAGTGCTACGGTCATGGGCTGACTACCTTGCCCTAAAAGGGTTGCGGGAGTCTGTCGAGGATTATGAATTACTGAGAGGTCTCCCATGGTTGTGCTGTGCCTTATGCTGCCGGAGTGGCGCAGCCTCTCACAGCGAGTACGCCTCCAACTGAGTCTCCTTTTGTCAGCTTGAGCAGCTATTGTATACCTCGCTTCTTAGCGTGATTGGATTACGCCCATACGATCTCTGCAACAGTACAGGAGTGGATTTTTTCCATGTGTGCCATGACGAATGCCGTGTGGCTCTAGCTGTAGCTAGAGCGGTGGTAGCATAGTCATTGCATAGCTAGCAAAAAGGCTCCAGTTACAGTGATGAAACCACAGCAGCAACATTAGAAGCCCCAGAGGCCACGAGCTGCTGCCGTCCTTTGCCGGGGTCCGCGTAAGCAATGGGCAGCCACTGGAAGGGACGCATGAGGCCTTCTTGCCTCAGTAATGAAAAAGGGCAATCAACAATCAAAAAAACTGTTTCTATTTAATACACTTCACTGGTAGAAAAAGCAAGAGGAAGAACTACGCGTTATATCCTGGCGCTAATTCCTTGTGCGGTCTGTGTAGAGTGTTCGGCCCGTAGTGGCTGCTCCTGCTCCAGCTTGCTGCTGCTGTTGTTGCTGTTGCTGCACTGCAAAAACAGTATATTATTGCGCATCTTATGTTCTTATTTGGCTGTTCTTGATTAAGAGAAAGGGGTTTTCCCTCAAGCAAAGCTCTTGTGCCTCCCAGGGGGTCGCCAACACAGACGCACCAGTCGCTGCCACAACCGCGGACCGTTGCTGCAAGTTTCCGAAAGGCCAACTCGTCTATCTCTTTTTCTTCTCAATTCCAGTAAAAACACATAGTAACCACCCCATCGGAAGCAGTAGCAACGGCAACAACGGCCACTGCTGCTGAAGCAGCAACAGCAGCAGTGCAGGGACCCGGCAACTCCTTTGAGGTTCATATCTAGCCTTCTCTTTCTTCCACATCACCAGGCCGTCGCTTTGAGGTATCCCCTGTTAGATTACGTAGTGTCTCGACTCCTCCCGTGCAGTGACGGCAGCATCAGCAGCAGGCGCCTCAGCAAGTGCTGCTGAGGGGGGCCCTGGCACGGGGAAACTGCGTGGAGGGCCCCCGAAGGTTTCTTCCCTTCTGGGAGGAAGGTAGGGATTAGTGGAGGGCATTCGCTTTCTCAGTAGAGGGTGAGCCGCCGCAGCCACTAAGGCCCCACAGCGGCTGCGGCGGCGGATTGAGCTAGCAGCGGCCTTCAGCAGCAATAATCCAAAGAGCGGCAATGAGTCTGTGTCTGATTTTGTTTCTGGTTTACGTGGTGTGCATGGGCCTCTTGTTGCCCATCTGCATGCACCTGTACCACCCGAATCCGCGGCAACTTAATAGGGAATTGCAAAACACCGATGTGGGAGAGGGGTTCGTGGCCACAACCCTCAAATGTATTGATAGCAGCGTCTGGTGGTTGCTTTAGCAGCAGCAATAGAACAAGCCTTAGGCGCAGTCTTCCGCAGCAGAAACTCTTTCATTGTATGAAGTCTCTTGACAGCAGTCTGAAGTCATGTACATGTGTTAATAGCAGCAGCAGCAGCAGGCCTAAAGCGGCAGCTCGAACTGGTGGGGATTTGCTGAATAAAGCACAGTTAAGGTCGGACTATATTCACTATATACATGCGATATCTCTTCAAGAGAGCCGCCCCACCCCGTCGGTTGTGGGACTGTCTGCAGCAGCGGCAGCAGAAGCCGCTGTCGCTGGCGTAACTGTTCTGAGGGAGTCTTGCTCCCAGAGGGAAGGAGCCTAGCGTATGGCTTGGCCTCTTTGTCATCTACACAGCAGCAGCAGCAGCAGCAGCAGCAGCAGCAATAGCGCTGTGGGGGGGCATTTATTGTTGGCTTTTTCTGTGCCTCCTGTATTGTGTTCATTAATTCCTGTGCTGGCCTGCAGTGGGATACCCAGCCGACCAATTTTCTGGCTAGCTGGCTGCTTGGCTTGCTGTCTGCTTGCATCATTACTAGGCGCGCGGCCTGACTAGCTAGCTGGCTAGCGTGGCACTGTGAAGGCGCTGCTGAGGACTTCATGACAACCCCACCTCCGAAACTGATTTACTGGTGACATACTGGTTCGGCAGGATACCTGTGGCTTTGATAGCCGCACATTCTGCGGCGGCGATATCTCGCTATCTATTAGACAGACTATCTGGGTGTGTTTAGCTAGGTAGCTGCTGGGGAGTCCAGCGTGCTCATCGTGTTTTGCTGGGCTTTGCTCCCCAGTCATTGGTACTGTTTAACTTTACTCGGACCTGCTCACCTTACTAGGTTTTTTGCTTTCCTTGAAACGTTGTTTGTATCCCCGGCCTGGTAAGGCGTTCTTTGGAAGGGCCTCTGATATCGCCTGTAATTTCCAGGAAACCCACAAGTCACTGTATGTTGCATTTTGTCCCTAGGATTTAGGTATTTCGTGTAGGGATGTGGCGATGACGCCTTGGGCCCTACGGCCTTGCATGGTTCTGTCGAGTTCTTTTCCGCTTCTGCACACGCAGGGGTTTTGTCATGCGTACTGGGACATGCGTGTCTCCTAGGTTCTAGCTGTTCAGCCAGCTGCACCAGTCTCGGCGTCTGCTCGCCTCTAGTAGCCGCACCCTTTAGAAAATGGCAGCCAGCATCTGGAGGGACAAACAATGTCAAAAGTTGCAGAGGTTGGAAGGCTGCGGTGTATCTGCATCATAGTGCCTTCGGCCCCCGAAGAAACGACCTATTGTGAGGCTTGTCAGGTACCGCGCCCTCAGCTCTAGCCTCCTCGAGGATTTTCTTCTCGTACGTGGTTAGAGGATTAATCCACTATTGCAAATATCCTTGACTCTTGTGTTTGTAGAATGTACTCGAAGGGACGGCGTACTGTTGCGGGCATGATAACTAGTTTCTGCAAGGGTGAATATAGCCAGCGACGCCTGAGTTGTCAGTGAATTGCCATACTTCAAATACCACCAACGGGCTCAAGCATTTAATTGGTTGCATGAACTCTTTCACCTCTTTTTATGCTACTGAGAACCCTCCATTACCACCAGGGGGATGCAGGGGGGGCAAAGATGAGGCGGACCCTTCCTCTGCAGCTTTTAGGGTCTCTTTGCTCGAGAAACTGCGCAGCAAAAAGGTAGCCACACGGCCATTGCTGCTAGGCATAAGCGCTTTCCTTCCAACTCATTGGGCGCACCGAGATAGAAGCGCGCGTGATAATCCAGGCAATCTTGCGCGTCTTGCAATGCAATAACAAGCACTGGGCAGTCAAGAAGTGACATTGTACGTAAAGAGATCCCATCTCATTGACGTTTTGATGTCAGAGGCTCTTATGGGTTTAACTACACTTGGGGAAGTGGCCCAACCAGAGAACTCTTTGGTGCTGCAACCATATTTATATATATATGGCATCGCATCTTCCCTAAAAGTCTCTCCTGATGTCTTTTTGGCTATTCGAGACCACCGTCTACCTCATTGTGTGGTGAGACACTGATTTCGCAAGGTTTGAAAGAGGGTAAACAACACCAAGGGGCCCCTTGCTAGGACGGCGGTGCACCACAGAATTCTTGGAGCAGGGTTTTGAAATAGAGCCTCCATTCGCCTCCTCCCTGAATCATTACACTGGCAACCTGCAGAATGCCGTATTCACTAGTTGGATGCATGCAGCTACTCTTCCACCCAATGTTAGTGGGGTGCCCGAAAATTCTTTAAAGTTCTCGTAATGCTGATTTAGAAGTTGCCTTGCCTAGCATTGCGCCTTTTTGTAACAACACAGAGCTGTTTGGCACTTCTCCTACTTTGCACGCACTAAAAGAACCCAACTCTTGCATTTCTTCTATAGGCTAGTTTTCGATTTTTCGTTATTCAGACGCTGTAGCTGTGTATTGCTTAGCTAATGGGGGGATTTACTAAGACCTCAACTAAACTCACTCGCGGGTAGTACTACTGTATTGCTCTACCTGAGCTCTTGGTACGGAGACACTTCTCCCCTCAGCTAGTGCAAAACGGTAAAAGATACGATGTGGCGTTCCACGTGAGCTCCCCAAAGTCCCTGGCCTCACCCTACGGAGCTTCGCCTGAATGAGAGAGACAGCTGCGGTTTGCGCTTTTTCTCCCTCTAAATAGTCCGAGCATTTACAGCTACTTGCACATAGTGCCTAGCCCGCACAGCCATACTGCATTTAATCTCATCGTATTGTGCTAACTCCACTGTGCAGCAGCTAACAGATACAAATGGCTGGACCGGATGGTTAGCTTTTTACGAAGTCGTAGATCACTATAACTAATATAATAAGAGTTCCTTAGTGTAGATTGTCCCGCTACAACGACAGGCAACAAACTCTGTAAAGTATGCAACGGTTTATAGCAGATCTCCATAAGGACACTCCTAAACTAGTCTGTTTCCAGCTCATTTCTGGCATTCGCAGCCACAAATGCGCTGACGGTCACTCGCACGAAGATCTAGACCGGCGCACAAGCTCATACACACACAAAGGGAATAAGAGACTGAAAGCGAGATGCGCACCCACGTGCACACAGAGTAGGCTCATGGTGCTCGGCAGGCCTATTATTGGATACTGTGGCGAACTAAGCTACACTTGAACACTTTCTTCTGCACTACTTATGTATAGTTAAGAATTAGTAAAGAATTGACCGGCTTGTTTTTCTGTTGTAATATCTTTTATTACACCGTACGTTTAGCTCTATACAGGAAGAAGCATTGTTGGGTGCATGTGTGTTAGACGTTATGTGCAGCAAGCTGTGAATGTTCGGAGCGATTAAAAGGTGCACGTACGCGCACCTTTGCTGTTCCTTTTCCCCCATTGCGGAACTCTGAGGGGTTGCGGACGAGGAGAGACGGGAGCCTTTCTAAGCAACACTCCAAAACTCTCTATTAAGTGTGTATTGAGTCTTGATGTAAGCGTCTTTTAACGGAGACCGTAGAAGGAGCTTCAAGGATGTGTTGCTGTAGAGGCATCCAAAATCCGCGTTCGACTAAGGCATATACTTTAGCATTACACTATATAAGAACAAAGGTGTACTAGCGACCCAGAAGCAACTTTGTTTTTGAAGGTTAGGAGAAGGGTCGGCCATAAATTGCTCTCAAGACGGCAGCCTTGCTGCTAGTGATGGCTAGCCAGAAAAGTGTTTTGAGAATCCGTGCCTTCTGTGTGAATCAGGCATGCCAGCATGAAGGCACACGCACCTCATTTATTATCCCTCCTGTGTGTAGTACTCTTAAGTAGTGCATGACCAGTTTAGCAGCTTTCTATACGCGGCACACCCTAGATTCTAGACCCAAACTTTGCGCCCTACTGGGAGCACTTGTCAACCGCCAACAAATGTCAGATACTGCTAAGTACACGCCCTACCTCGGCCTTGAGACGCACAGATAAAAGCACGAGCAGTACAATAAAAGACGCGTGTGTGGTGCTGCTGTTTGCGCTGCATAGCAGCTACGCGGGCAAGAAGAGCACCATACCAAAGAGGAACATAGGTATAGAAAATTCCAGAACAGCATATTCCTCAATCTGAAGATAAATATAAAGATAAATCTGTGATGTACATGGACACACAGCCTTTGTTCCAGCCCCAACTGCTTAAAGTTGCCTGGTGTCGGGAGCACTCAAAGCCCTAAGCCCTAATTCTCAGTCCTTATACCCTAATGGGAAGCCCTCAAGCCCTAATCCGCAATGCTAAACTCTCAACATTTTCACTGCGGCTTGTTTCTGTGCGGTAGCGCACATATTTTGGGAAGAAGCACTGCCCTGGGTCTCTCCGGGAGAGTTGCCCTTTGCCATCAATCACTGCTTTCACAGCTATTGGAGCCCCACAGGCCTCCATGGCTAGCTGGTTACCAGATGGATAGCCACCGGGGAACGGACACATTTCACAATTGACAGGCAGCATGGAAAAACAGCGGCTGAGCTTGCTTGGCTACTTCTTCCCGGCGAGGCTCTACTCATGCACTGCACTGCACACACAACGACAAACACCCTCTACGAGACCACAGAGCGAGCATAAACAGGAGATTAGGCGCCTTACCCTGCGTTGCCGCTCATATGTCCCGCCTAACGCCGAGGGGCCTCACCCAAACCTGCCTGTCCTCAGGAGTGGTAGGCATGCCGCCACCCACTGGTTTTTAACGTATCAGCACTGCAGCAAAAGTGTCTCTCTGCTTGACTCTCACTGTATCAGAGCCCTTCTGAGAGGGAGGGACGCCGTTGGAGGATGGCTCCATCCCTCCCAGGTGAACACGCACCAAAATCCCTTTATAGCAAGGGGGACCCCTTGGGGGAGCCTCCGCAATTTCTGCTCTTCGGTAGAAGAGGATGCATCTGGCCATGTGACGCTCAGCAAGGAACGCCTGGGTAAGCGCGCAAGGGCTTCTCTAGAGTGTGTGATCCACCGCGTATTGTAAGGCTCCTTCTATACGGCTCAGGATTTCAATATGGTCTGTCTGCCACCAAGGATTCCCATACGCTCTGTGTGCCATCTTCCATAAGCTCGAGCCTTTCCCAGTGCATTGAGGACTTGTTGGCAGCCTGCTGATAGCTTGGCCGCTACTCCTGGGTAGATATAGTGCATTGCTGACCAGGAAACGCGCACTTAAGACAACCGTTGGCTCGCTGCAGGAGCTCGTAGTGAATGCTTCACACCGGCCTAGCAGGGTTCTTCTGCATCAAAAAGCCAGCTTTTAAACAGCATCTGAATGGATGCGGACGGACTAGTTCATGCCTAACCTTTTGTCTTCAGTAGCTAGCCGTGCATGCGCCCTTCTTCGTAATCTGTGCAGACCAGTTGCTTTTGGCTGAAATAACGGAATTCGCCTTACGGCCCTCGCGTCCACTCACTCTGGAGCAGATAGCTTTCCTTAACAGGCCCCGGCGACACAATCAGCAGGTGCAGCCAGAGGCACAAAAGCAGCAGCACGGGCAGGATGGCAGCAGCAGCGGAAGCATCTCACCCGAGAGGCGCGACACTCCTCTTGAACCGGGTAGTCCCCAGACCGCCTCCTCAGGAGGAACCTCTCAGGAGCATGGCTATCGTCGGTCTTATAGCCTAGGAACTGCTCTCGGCCCTGCGCTTGGAGCTTGTAGTGAGAATTATGCGGGGAGTGGAGATTTGAGGGGCCATCACCTCAACACAAGGCCCTCCGACCTTGAGGGGGGTGCCCCTCTACAGGACATATCGTTTAGTGAGTTCTTGTATCATGAACTGCCAGTGCGCTTCGCGTCGCGAGTGAAGCAGTTGGAGTCCCTTCCGTTGTTCCACACGGAGCCTTTGGTCATGCAGGCGAGCCGGCAACAGCGACTGCCTTACCCATTGTTGTATACCCTTGCAAGACAGCTAGCCAGCTAGCTAGCTCTCTGGAGTATCCGGGCACGCACAAGGGTCTTGGGTCGTGATCTGTTTTTTTCTCAAGGCAGGTCTAGCTTATTACTTGGAGTCAGCTTTAGCCAGGAAGTGCGACTAGGGCAGGTGGTGTGCCACGGGGAGCGGGCTAGGCGTCAAGCTGGCAAACCATGGTGGACGGGGTGCACTGTATGTATCTCTGTGTGCAGGTACGTCACACGTACGTGGAGAGTTTCAAGCAGCTCCGGACGACTTCAGCCAAGGATCTCGACGCTTTTAGAAAGGTCAGACAACACCTTTCTCCCTTGGGTGGCTTGTTTGTGGGCATCCGCTTCATGGCTTACTCTCTGCAGTTTACATTATGTGGCTTTGCGGTGTACTAGGTGGTGCTTAACTTGAAGCAGCGGCACGCACCGATAGTCCCGATGCTGGTGACCGGCATGAGGAATCTTCGGAAAGTCGCTCCCCAGTTTTTCGTAAGTTGCAATAACAGAGGTTTCGTGGATAATGCCCTTTGGAGGCTTAAGGGGTACCGATAAAGGCTTGAAGATGTGTTTCTTTTGATCTATGATGCATTGGGAACGCGTCTTTGTCTAGAGGCGGCGAACGAAGGGATATCGCAAGGAAAGCACAAGGAACGGGAGGCAGAGATAGAGAGACGCGAGCAGTACCCGGATGCAGACCTAGATGCACACCAACTGGCTTTTTGTGCTTCTCTCAGACTGAGGAGTTTGTCGATGAATTTCTCGATGGATTTTTTCTCTCTCGAATCGGTATGCTCCAGATTCTAGCCCCAATTTCTTTTCCCTTTTTTGCCTGTTTGTGGCAGCGGCTTCCTTACGCTTTTGATGCGTGTACGCACAACAATGTGCTCGCCCTTGTATCCTCGTGCTGTTTTTGGAGTGTTTGCGGCAGTTCTCGATTGGCCGTTATAGTTCTTCATGTGCTGCTTCCCCTTTTTGTGTTTCATTCCTTCAGGCACTGAGATGCTGACCAGCAGTTACCTCACCCCCAAGGGTGTCGTGGACATGGGTACGCGTGTGTATCTCACATTTTTGGTCCTGAGGGGTGTGTGGAGAGCTAGCTCCAAGGGCGCAGAGGACTGGCTTGGATGAAGGTGTTTGTTCAGATTCGTGTTTCGCTGCAGCTTGCGATCCGTTTCAAGTGACGAAAAGAGCGGTAGAGGGTACGCTGCATGCAATTTTCGCACTCTTTTGCTGCTGGTTGGTTTTGCATGGCTGCACCTTTGTTGCTGCTGTGTACCCCTTTTGCCTCCCTCCTGCTGCCGTGTGCGCCTCCAGTGTCCAGCATACACACAGGTCTTGTTTCCAGGAGGGTTGGAGTGCAGGAATGTGGTGCTTGAGCTACAGCGCTGCCTGCTGCTGCGAAGGCTGTTGCCGATGCCATGCGGCTGCAGATACAGAGAAACTCTGCCATTCACACTACGGCCGGTGCCCAAAGATCAAGGTGATGCACTTCGTACCCCCCGTTTCTTAGTGTTTCCTTGTATGTATGCCTTTCTTCTGTCCGGCTGCAAACGGCTGAGGAATAACCCATTCTTTGTTTTTTGTTCACCCGTGTGCTTTTGATGTGCCGTTTGGACGACGTCCTGCGCTTCCCGTTTCTTGGTTCGTGCAACATTTTGCTGCAGGTTTGGAACTTTAACAAGACACATTTCGCTTCCGTTCCTCAGTATTTGTATTACATCCTCTCTGAGCTCCTAAAGGTGCAGTGCTGCGTTTATCGTTCCCTCCCCGCCCCCTGTCTCTTTCTGGCCTCTCCCGGTCGCCTCTGTTTCTCCGTGCCTGCTCAAGTTTTGATCAGGTCCCCTTGCCGGATGCGTTATCCTCCTTTTTCCCGCTTAGCGCACGGACGGACGGCCCTCCTGTAGTGTGCTGACGCCCTGTGCATCTCCCCTTTCTTCACACCACGCCTCGGGGCCGCTGCTGGCCGTGTTCCTCTTCCCGATTTTTTCTCTCCCTCTTACTCGCTTCCCTTTCCCTGTGTCCGTGTGCGCTGTCTGTATCCCTTTTTGCAGAACGCAATGAGGGCTACAATTGATCGGTATCCCGCACCCTCTGGGGGGACTGTAGATAATTCCAAGGCTCTTAGTTGCTCTGGGGCCCCTGGGGAGCTATCCACTGAGTTGCGCCGTATGCAAAGCTGGACCGAGCATACGGAGCCTCCGAGCCGCTGCGTTACTCCCCTCAACAAGCATTCCGAAAACCTGGTGGAAACAGCGAGAAAAAGTGCAGTGCCCAAGCCTTACCTGCACGCTGAGACTATTAGCCAGGGAGAACCGCAGTACGAAACGGCAGACGAAATCGCCGACCCAAACCTCCCACCTGTGCAGCTCCTCGTAGCAGGAGATGATCATTCCGTCTCCATTCGCGTAAGCCTTGAGGTCGTTAGAAGCTGCGTCTTGCCCTAAGAAGACGCTTCAAGGGCTCTCACACTAGTGTAGCTGTGTGGGTGTGTAAGGGCGCTTACAGGTAAGGCTCTTTCCTATGCTTTCGTTGTGCCTCTTGTCTACGTTTCCCGGATTCAAGGATTATGGCGTGTGCCAGGTCCAACTGTGCCGTTCCCTGACCCCTTGCTTAGCGGTGTGCCTGCTTGACTCGTTTGCCTTAGCTGTCCGACATGGGTGGAGGCATCACTAATGAAGCCCAACCCCGAATTTGGAGTTATATGTACACTACGGCGAAGCCGGTTAAGTACGACCCCTTGAGTGGCGCGGTGGCTAGCTTGCCTATGCCTCCATATCAGCCGCAGCAGGAGCGTGGCCCTCAGGCTGAAGGCCCTCCGAGCCAGTCCGTAACTATTGGATCTTTAGACTTCACTACGAAGGAAAAGAAGCAATTGATGATATCTCCCCTAGCGGGTTTTGGCTGTGGGCTTCCTCTTTGCCGGCTTTACGCATCGTACCTCAGGGGGAGCCTAACGGTTGTTTCAATGCCGTCACATGGTACTGATGCTTATGTCCATTTAAAAAGGATAGGAGATCAAAAGGTGAGGGAGGACTTGACTCGCAGAGCACTGAGCGCTGTGCAAGCGTCACCTAAGGCGGGTTAATGTTCATGCGGAAGTGCTGTTCGCCGATCCTTTTCGCACGGATCCCACCCAAGCCAAATGTTCACGCTTCTAAGTAATATATTTTTGCAAGCTCTATCGTTGTGCCCAAAATATGCTTTCTACGTAGCTCCGCACATCTCAGAATCGGTGCCTCTTCTCCCGCCGCATGTGCGTCTCTATCTCTATCACCCCATTTGTTCTGCGGTCTTGCATGTTCGCCCCTTGGTAGGAGCTGATGCCACCCTCAAATGCCTGGATTCGCCCTCGAACTGACGGCCTTTCGGACCAACAGGGGATCCTTCTTGACGCCCCGCCGATGCACAAGGATCATTTTGGAGGCTCCCAGGGGGGCCACTGGTGATATGTTGAAACGGGTTACAAAAGATAACCCCTTGGGAAAGGCAGTGCAATCGACGCACATGGAGAGAAGGATATTTTTGTTAGATTGCCTCGATCCTCCCCTTCCCTCGTGCATCCGTACATTTATATATTGCTGCAAGTCAAGAGCAGCTTTTTTGATGTGTCTGTCTCGTACAGCATAGGTTCATGCATATTTGTTGAATCTTTGAAAAGTTCAAAAAGTTCTCTGTAGGGGGACTTCCTGCCTTTCAACGCAAGGCACAGCAAAGCGTCAGTGTGGGCTACTACTGAATGTTTTTGCTAGACAAGATCAAACCGGAGGGTGCGGTATGCGGTGCACTGCATAACCGTGAGGGCGTTTGCCTTTTATATCAAAGGACCTCGTTAAATGCCCTCGCCCCCTGCTCACTAGTACCCGGTAGCTTCGGGTCTTGAGTCAGCAGGTGTTCCAAAATCGTGCAACAGAAAGAACAACCTGTATCAACTTTTACATGAATTGAACACTCAAGAGACCGAATCAACCTGCGGTCCTCCGTGGGACGAGGGCGCTGCTTGGCTACATACACCCTTATTGGCAAGGTCGGAGTAGAGACACTGGCCAGTACCACGCGAAGAGTACAAAGCTAAAGGGCAAGCATGAAGTCGGAGAATTTCACAATTACAACTAGAGAGATCTACGGAGTACTCCTACTTCACAGAGAAGCTCCAAACACACACGGCTCCTCACGTTATGGCTGCACCATATACCCTTTTTCACATGCATGCCGCGCACACATGGACTCATGCTCCGTCGGTTTAAGGCCGACGGGCCCGGGTAAGGCAGTCCAATCTACTTGTCATAAAACTTCATCGCGCCTACACCTGGCCTGGTGCACAAACAATACATCTACAGGATGTCTAAAATTGCCATCACCGCCACAATGTATACCGTGCCACCGTGCTCATGCCAGTAGCACGCTCTTTCCCTCCTCCGCCTACGCATCCGCTTCCGCGCGGCTATTTCCTTCTTTTTAAACTAGCATCCCACCAGAGGACATCTGTGAGCGGGCCCCGGTACCAGGGCTCTTGACACACTGGCATTGCCTATATCCCATTGTATGGCTACAGCTCTCCGTGTCTGGATGTGTCGTACAACTTCTCAATCGCATCAGCCGCATCATTAAGGAAATTTGGGTAGTGAAGCAGCTTCCTCTGGATGCGCGAAGCAAATGCGGGAACCAAGCGACGCCATGCAACCTCCAGCGCGACGTCAAAATCTGCATCAGGGCCAAAAGAGATGCCGACACACACAAACACTGGGTTCAAACCTAGATGCCCCTCCCAAGCAGTCTAGCTATACACCTCCTCCAGCTGCAGTTTGCATTCTAGTATTTTGCCACTCTGTCTGCCTCCCTGGCCACCCTCAGCCGTTCTCCTGTACTACAGTATCTCTGCGCTGCACCCTGATTGACCCTGTCTCCCCGCTTTTTGTGTGAATACGGATATGATCTCTGCCCACATGGCCCCTCACTGCAGTCTACTCTCGAAGCCGCCGAACACCTTTCGCTTTTGATGTGCCAAGTCCCACTGTTTCCCAGCCACAACCTACCTGGACTTGCAACAAACGGACGACCGTGCCAATGCTTGAGAAATGCACTGCTGCAATAGCTGCTCCACCCAGCCTCAGGAAGGAGGTCAGCAAGGATGGTAAAACTGCAGGGGAGGGTGTGCAAGTGGGCCCACATGACTGTGATTGCCTTTGTGAGCCTAAGAAACTTGTGCAACCCCAATGCACGGGATGCAAACCCCAACATTCTATGCAACCGACTTGGAGACTTGAACGTGTAGTCCAACCAACTCAGCCCAGTGAACAGGAGCTTTTTTGTCTCCCGGTCAAACACATGGGCACGTGCAAAGGAATGCAATGGGATCTGCAGCGCACAGTGACAAGAACAGTCAGCTGGATACTAAGAAGTAGAATATGGCTTAAGTATAGCTACAAATTATGAGACTCTTTCTTTGGTGCTTTCCCACTGCAGGTTGAATAAGGCACTAGGCATTCCCTAGGAGTGGCAACAATAATGGACCACGTCATATAAATTATGAGAGCCTTTCCAGCAATACACCTGGGATATATTATGTATAGCCAAACTTTTGCTTGTAAACCCACGAAAATGCACTTCGAACAAACAATACAGTTTAACCCCTGCAACATCAGTTGAGGGCAAATGAATCATAAATAAAAGTACAAAGAAACAGAATCATCAAGGCATACGTGCCCACAGAGAAAGAAGGCTAAGGAGAGTACTTGAAGCCAAGAGAAATATAAGCAGACGCAGAGTGAAGTCGAGAGAGGAGAGGGCGGTTACGCACCATCAGAGTGTGCTCGTAATCCCTCTCCATGTATTGTTCTCCTTTCGCATGCCGTAAATCCGGAACGGGGTCAACATCTAAGGCTATATGCTGTATGATGGCGCCGTGGCGATTAAACTCCTCTATGGCAGCTTTATCCCCCATCTGCAGACAGCAAATTTGAAAAGAGCCTGTATTTTCAAAGGCATTGGCAACCACGCTAGCACTACCTTCATGGCCATTAAAAACAAAGCAGACAACCAACGGTGAAACAAAGGATGCAAACTAAATGCATCACTTGAGCAACACCAGCAGCCTCCTCAAGAATTTCAAACCTTACACACACCGCCAGACCGTGCGTGTAGGCCTGGACTGCCTGTAAGCCCAAGACACTGAGACTGTACCAGACAAAAATTATTCATTTGCAGCGTATGCTGCTTCAGGGCGTGCCCCTACAAACATATCTGATGGTTTTCTTGCAGCCTTTTATATGCCTACTCACCATCGGCGCAGCAAACGGAATGCAGTATACCACGACTTGTCCGGTCTTGATCTCAGCTCTCAGGTGTTTTGAAACGAACCACGCGGCATATACAGCGGAGGCGGCGCCCTGGGAGTGTCCGGTAAAGACAACTACATATGGTTTTGGGGGATTCTCCGGATGCTGTGACGCATTTCTCCGCTCTAGCAGCAGCCGGACCTCGTGCACAAACCGCGTCATCGGGCGCCTTATCACTTGATGGAACAAAAAGTTCATGCCCGAATGCACCAGGGCAGTGGGGGAAAAGAAGGGGTCTTTTATCGCTGATACCATGGTATTAAATGTCCATTGCTAAGGAACAAATGAAGAAACAGAAAACCAAGCTCAGAGCACAAAACCTTAGAACACTCGCATATATAGGTGAAATGTCCGTGGGTATCGCTTGAGCCCTAGCTCATCTAGTCTTCTACACCACTGTAGTTAGTTAAGCCCATAAACCCTCCCACACACCTGCTACCCCCTCTCCCCCCTCCCCGCCAGCGTTCAACCCTTGATCCCCAAGTCCCCCGAAGAGTTCTATGGAAATTCGCAGTTACACCCAGAGTGCCTCTGAAGCCTAGAGCATACTTTGGAAGATCCAGTTCCCTTGAAGGCCCAGACGACGTCTGCTCTATGTATGGGGATCTCCGAAGTTTGTCCCTCCTGAGGCTGACGATGGTCCCTATCCGCCGGGCCGATGCCCACGTCATCATCTAGGTGCAAGATGCGGGAAGGAAGAGGGCTTGGGAAGAAGCTCTGGTCCACATTCTTGGGAGATCCTGATGACGCAGGCTCTTCCAAAGTGCCGCCTGATGGCTTTGTTTCTTCTACACTTCCTGCTGTGGCTGTTTCTGTTGCCACTGCTAGCGATCTGTGCTCTTCTGCCGTGCTCTCTGGAACGAAATCCCAGCGGTACAACAAAGGCATAGGGAGGGGCACTTGAATGGAGGCGTCGTTATCACAGGCATCGGAAGTGATAGGGTAGAGGCGACGGTCTTCCACAAGAAGTTGATTGTGCTTCAATGTCGTGTTGGGCCTCGTTCGTTCGCTTCCCTCCTGAAGCTTCCATAGTTCTCTTGTGCTCATGTCGAATACAAAGGCCCTACCAGGCATGTCGAGGGCATTTCTAGCAGGCTTGCTCTGGGCGGAGCCCCGTGAGGACTTTCCGGCCTGTTTACTGGAGGACGCGGTCTTGGTCAATTCGACTGTCATCTTTCCTTTAGCTGTACGAAGCGGTACTATGGAAAGGCCCCCAGCGGGTAAGCACACGCACACAATCAAAGTCACACTCTACAATCTTTTTCAAAATTGCAAAGCAACAGAAGGCCTCCGCTGTGGGGAGCAACTCTGCGAGTCTCTGGCTTCGAGCCTTTCGTGCTTCTTTGCTACCCCATAGTTTCTGCTTCTGTAGCTTCTGGCCTGCAGTCTATCCCTCTGTCTACCCCTGGTTGTACCTCCTTACCGTTGTGAGTGAGCAGGGCGGTGCCCACGTAGGTCGGAACCCAGTGTTTGAAAAGCAACTTAGGAAGAGAAAGCCTCGCGTAGTCTTCAAATTGATCAGAAATTCGATATGCGTGAAAGGCGAATTGCCACAGCACAAGTACGCTACGGAAGTACACCCGGTTGATCCGGCGTTTCTTCGGTTCTCCAGCGTAATGCCTCCCGTCCACAAAAATCTTCTGGGGTGCAGTCATCTCCAAGGGGAGATCCACCGAGGCCCTGTGGCGATTAAAGAAATCCACCAAAGGGCTTTCCAACTGGGCCTCGAAAGGAACGGTCTGCATGCCAAGATTTCCCACCTGTCGGTACGGCAAATGGGCACGGCAGTTGAGGACTGAGAGCACATGACGAAACGCACGAAGAAGCAGCCATGTCTCCTTCCCCCGCCACAACAACCCAGCAGGAAACCGAGGCATAAAGAGAATCAGGGAGTGAGCAGATGAAGAAACCTCTACCGGATAACGGGAATTATTGAACTATACGAAAAGAGCACTCATTCCTAGGAGGTAGAAGCATTTTACAAACACAAGCAGACAAGAGGTTGCCAACAAAGCACCCCGAATGGCCCGATCAAGACGACGCTATGAACGCAGCGAGGCAGAACGCTATGAGTCACCCTAGCTGAGAATCAAAGTACCACAAAAGTGCAAAGACGAAAACCCCGCCGCACACCCATATTCGAGTTGACCCGTTGACGAGCATAAAAATAGAGGCGCACATTGTTAACCCCATAGATGGACACCAAGGCAGAGGGGAACACGACAGGATGTAGTCCCAAGCCGACTTCATCAGCCACACTAGGTGCCACGGCGAGCAGACACAGTGGAAATATGAGTTGACCGGATGACAGGAAGCACCGATACAGGTGGACACACTGCCGCAGCTGAGCCTGAGCGTGCAATGTGCACGCGCAAACACGTTGGAAACTATAAAGTGGTGGAAACGCCTACGGGCGGAGCTCAGGGCGAACATGACCGGCTCTGTCCCCCTCTTTTTCTGCAGGGTAGTAAGCGCCACGACCGGAACTGCAAGCTCTGCCGCGTCCATCACCTCGTGCCAGATTGAGCCCTTCACCTCTGCGTCAACGCAAACAACTGCGCTCACGCTGCACGAGCATCCCAAAAGCCCCATCAAACCACTCCTTTCGGACACACAATATATGATGTATGCCCAACCGAGCCTCCGGAATAATCACATGTGCCTAGATGAGGAATAAGCATGACCAAAGAGGGCTTCCCCAGTCCCTGGGACCTCTAGAAGGGGGAGACCGAAGACCTCTAGCAACGTTGGAAGTGACTTACGAAGGAGGAAACCTGCCACATTGCGTCTATCTGCAAAGGGCCCCACAGGGGAAGTAAGCAATCCGTGCCACCACCTAGAGGTAAACTCATTGTTCACCGGCCCACTATTTACGAGCACAGGGACAGAAGCTTCCGAGTCCTCGGGGGCTTCCACATAGTCCTCGCCCAAAAGCTCCGAAGGTTTCCCTCCCTCTGTGTTTTCCAGTTTCCTATTGCTTCCTTCGCTCGGCCCAGCTGCTTCTAGGGCACTGAGGAGAGAGATACTGAGAGGCACTTCCTCTGTATATCCAGAATCGGAAGATGGGGGGTCTACGGTTGATGGGGCGTGCTGTAGAAAGGCAGGCGTTGAGAGCACACGCTTAGCTTGAGGTACACCTGAAGAGTTAGCTGTGCTTGCGTGCGCCGTTGCCAACTTTGCAACTTTCTCTGCAAAGGCAGAGAAGTGCTTGAATGAACAGGCGGCTGCCCACGGGCTGAGGGGTTTGCTACGGAGGAACAGAGGGGGGTAGAAGCCCTCACAATGCAAATGCTCCTCAAAAGCTTCAGGATGAAAGAGGGCAGATACACCGAAACCTGACATATCGAATATCTCCATCACATCGAGCATGTTCATGCCTGATGGATCCTTTGTATCAGATGCAGGAGGCACTGTTGGGGAGGCCGAAGAAGCCCATGTCTGCTGGGACGGAAGTATAAAAGGCCTATCTTTATGCCACCAGCTCGATGCTTGACGCTGGGCCATTGGAACAACGTACCGCTGTTTCTCCTTGCTTCCTTCATGCATTCGGGCTGATTTATCCTCTAAGTTGGACGCCACGAGAGGCGATTGCGCAAACTCCGGAAGCTGAATGGGGCACAACTCCTTGCTGAGTTGATTGTTGAGTTCTTTTACCTCCTCTGGCCCTAGATGAAGACCGGGCAAATGCGGTCTGTGAGTGTGGTCTACAAGGATTGGATCCTCGGCAGACAAGGCCACGGAAAACAGCTTCTTATGCGGCGCTATAATCGTTAAGGGTTCCCAAACCTGCTCCCACACGTTGAGGGATGCTTTGTCCTCAGCCACATGATGCGTGGCACCCCTAGTTCCAGACTCACCTCCACTCTGCTGAGCTGGGAGGGTAGCTGGCGACACCCCCACGGGTGTGTCCTGCTGATGAACAGCCTCCCCGATTGCATCTGCTAGTGCCTTTGTAGGCGGCCCAGAAGGAGGAGAAGCGGCTTTATCCTCTTGCGGTGCTAAATGCTGCACCAAAGCCTGCCCAGATGCGCTTTTATGCTTGACGCGAAGGCGCCCCCAAGGGAACTTGATGGAAGGCTTCTTGAAAGGCACAGTGGGGGTTCCAGCGGGGACATTGATGGTTGACTTCGAAGAAGAGCCTTCTTCAGCATAGCTGTAGTGCAATGGCTGAAGAAGTACCAGGATCATAATCAGCAGGAGACAGCCATGGATGCCGGCTACCACCGATTGCCGTATCTCGCTGGAACCCATCTTACTTTTAGAAATGGTTACTTGCCTGCGTTGAAGAGTCATACTGCAGGAAAGACTTATCCCAAAGCCCTATCCGGAGGGCTCAAAGGGCCAGCACTAGCCAGTGAGAGAAGAAGCCTTCACTTCCTGGCGGTCAGCGGAAGAATACCAGCAGTCAAAAAAAAGGAAAACAAGGAAGACAGACCGGAAAACGGGACAGCCAGGCCCTTGTCATGAACCTATTACTCATATAAAAAACGTGTTTTGGGTTCTATTGTGTGAAAACGCCTCTGCTGAGGAGGCTGCTTTCAGGACGCCTGGTGCGATCCTATAGCTGTGAATCCACGTGCTTCCGCTAGGGCTTGAAGTAATGCGAAACAAAAAAACAAAACAAAAAGCTCAGGGATGGCTCTTCCCGGGTCGTCTTAATAGTGCAGTAGGGAATTGCAAGAAAGGGCTCAAAAGGAAGGGGAAGCAGCAAAATAGATCCCCGAAGGAGGAGGTCTCATCTGGTAGTTGGCTCCTGTCCACATTTCAAAGCCTACTGTTTTTCAAGATGCTTCATATTGTGCAATCGCGCGTTTTCCGGGTTTGCTAACCGTATCAGGGACGGTCAATGAGGCTCAAGCTGGTAAATTGCCCGCTCAACGGCGCACACATTGCAAAATTCTGGGCTGCTTGCATTCTGCAACCGCCTGTTTGCCAAAGTCAGTTCATACCGGAAGAGTGGCATAGTTACACTGTTTTGTCTCAGATTCCTAAATCACGCTTCGTGCATAAACAATTAGCTTAGAATTAATCTCGGCAACACGAAGATGTGGGGGGCAGCACCCTGCAACAAGCTGCGACTTCGTCAAGGTTTTCTGGAGCAACTTTGGTACCATTCGATAGTGTTAAGAACAGTTCAAGTACGATTCGCACAATTCTTTATTGCTTGTGCGTGCCACATATGTAGATATGTGCTACGGGTATCTGGGCTTTCTGCGCTTTGAAGGATGGTCCTTCTCCGCTCTGTCCAGGCTAACCCGAGACACGAACCCCAATTCACTTGATGTAGCCAAGATCTTTGGCATGTCTCAGCGAGTGGTATCACTATCTTCTACCGCGGCTTGATTCTTTTCACGGGCTTCCAGAGTGCACTTAACAAGATTCTCAAATTAGTCCAAATGTAGCACTTCATCTGAAGTTGTACTGCGGAGAAAATTAGCTCATAGTTCCATTCAAAGCTAGATAGAATGTTACTGAGTACTGTTCTACGATAGCTGCTTCCTTTCCCTGCCCTCCTCCTCAGCGTTTCTTGCTATATGCAATGTGAGCTGTTTAAATGAAAGTTAGTCAATGAGTGGTAACTTGGATTGGATTTTCTTATAGCGTACTCCTGCATACTAGCTAAGCCCGACACATAAAGGCGAGATTTTTGGACGCGTATGCGCTGAATGTTAGGTGCATCTGGCTCTGATTGCTCGAAGCTCCACGGGGCGCATTTGAACTCACCGTATCCGTCCCTATCCCCCCACATTGTGACACCCAGGGATGCTTGCAGGGGAAGGAGGGAGCTGCCTTAGCAAAAAAAACTCAAGTACTTTCTATTCCCTTTATGAAATCTAGAGCTAAGTGTCTCCCTATGGAGAACCAATCTGGAGGCATGCAGTTAATAGCACCGCATGACTCAATGTGGCCATTACCCCCTATCCACAAGCTCTAAAAGCAGTGGTATTTGAGGTTTCTGTAGAACGTATGTCTGGCTTCGATCAAATTATTCAGTATTTTAATAATCTGATTTTCGCTAGCAACAGTCTAGAGGATAGACCCTTTGGCAATTGAAGCGGTCGATGTCAAAGCGTTCGCTGGAGTGGCAGATACCAGTTCGCAAGCTCATGTCAGCGTCGTAGCTCTACAGTCTATAGAAAGGCATGAGTTGTGTTCATGAATGCGTCGATGAGACTACGCAGACCTGAAAAGTGCGGCAAGTCAGGAAGGCCGGATGTGCAAAGATTTCATCATCTGGTTGGGATGTACCTCGCAGTGCAGCCCCCAGATGAAGAGGATGGAGTGCTTCTTGCGGCCTGATTACTGGTGTGCGAAGCACTCCAACAGTGGCTCTACTTTTTCAGAGAAGGCCGCCTGTCTGCAAAAATCACTACAGTTCGAGCCCTTGCATAAGCTTTTGGTCATTGGCTTCTGCCAAGATCACCTCAAGAGCAGGGTTTCGATGAATTGAGGTTGCGAAGGCAGGGGACCCTACCAAGCGGTCTGATTATCGAGGAATATGTGGAACTCTGATTAGCACAAGCCAAAACATAGTAGAAGAAATCTTGCTTCATCAATGATTCATCTCAGGTGTAGCCGAGGTGCCACATCAGGTGTTCGCAGACTGAAAGCGATTCACCGTTCAAACAGCCGATTGATGTGGCTTCCACAAATGGTGAACTGCTTGGAGTTTCAGAAGCAGCTGAGCACATCTCCTGCGCCTTTGCCTGTGAAGGAAGAGCCAAATCGAGATTTATAAAGTGTTGATGTTGGGGTTGTGTCAACCGCCCCTAGCGGGGGAGCTGGGATATGGTCTGGTGCGTACGCCGCCCTTCTACTCAATAACATGCAGTCCCCCAACTTGACACGGAGCAGGCATGAAAACTTTCCGTTCATGAATTTGCTAGGATCGCCTTTTCTTTGAGTGAACTACTTCAGAAACTACAAGCTGTAATCTGGATAGATGATACCGACGCCGCAGTGAGGACGCCTATCAGCTGCCTCACAACTCCTCCTGGACTCATGCTGCCCAACTATGAAAGCACTTAGTCCTATCGGCAGATGCTCGTGAAGTAGTGTGTGCATTTCTCTCCAAGCAAGCTACCGGCTCTCCAAACCATCAAAGTATTACTTCATTCTCAGCCCTTCTGCGAAAGCATGCAGGGCTATCCAGTGCGACAAAAGGGAACTCCATGTGGTGTGGTACGAGGAGAAAATGCGGAGCACTACTTACTTGGGCGTTACTTTACAGGCCGGGCTAACCATCCGAGTTTACAACCTTTTGCAAATATTTCTCACTTTTGATCGTCTTAGCATTGTTCGCTGGTGTGACTGCCTCCCGTAGAACGACTAAACGCCAGAATATTTGGGGCATCACTAGCGCGGTCGCCGACGTGCTCTCGCAACGCTCCAGCGGTTCCTATTATGTAACGCTTCACGGTTCCTATCGAGATTGCGTGCGTCGAATGCTTCTGACATCCATGCATCAGTTAGTTATGCCAAAATATAGGAGGGAGATATAGTGAAGCATTACCACGCGGAAAAATCGCCTACTGTAGTTCAAATCAGAGAAGCGATCCCTAATTTGTGCATTCTGACTTCGCCTCGCTGCAGAGCACATCATCGTCGCATTCTGGGTCATGCTGGACTTCACATTACACTACAAAAGCTCTTGCAGTCCATCTGGTGGCCTGGGATGCGTCCCAAGGCAGAGCAGTACACACCATCATGCCCAGATAAGTAGCATCTGAAGCCACATGTTTCTTTACAACCAAGCTTTTGCAACGCCATATGGACCTGTTGAAAAAATTTAGAGTGTCCTGACTATGAATTTGTTTTTGTGGACTGGCAGAGGTCAATGGCAAGGAAAGCATGTGCGTCGCTGTGGACAGACTTAGCAAAGATGCCCATATGACTACTTGTGTCCAGCCTTATCACAGTTGAAGGAGGCATCCAGTTACCTAATTTTATGTCCAGACGTTGCAAGGATTCTCCAAAAATGTAGTTACAGCCAGGGATTCGAAGGTGCTCAGCATATTCTGGGATGCCTTTATGACGTGCCTACACATGGAACATGAAATGACCAGTCCGAACCACCCTCAGATGGACAGACCGACGCACCAACTGCAGTCTTCTGTAGGATTTGCAACTTTATCTTTAAAGCTCCAGACGGTTCGCCTTTTTTCTAAGTAGGCTAGTGATATAAAAGTACTCTCGTCTATCCGTTGCTTTCCTGCATCCTACACTGAGAAGCCTCTTTCCGATCCGAACCTGGACCTAAGGGTCCAGGGTCAGCAGCCACACTTAGAAGCAAAATGATTCTGAGCAAAGGTGGCTAATGCATGCATAAATTTGTGCAAAGCTCCAGAAGGCCTACCACTGAATTACGATGCATGGCTGTCGGCTGTGTATTTTGAGCCTGACAATGTGATTTTGGAAGTCGGTCAGGTTTTACGAGGTGCACCAGAAGGCAGCCAGAGGAAGAAGTTTGTTTTTAGGCGGCCAGACCCATTTGCTGCCTCCTCACGAATCAATGCACTTTCTTGATCTATCAATTCTCCTGCAACCTGAAGTTTCCAGAGCTTTTAGTATTGTCCTGCTAAATGATGGTTCCATGCTCCTCCAAATACTAGCGGCGTGCTAACAACCTTTGCCGAGCAGGGAAGCGGCCCGTGTGGACACCGCCGCGTATCCACGGGGAGCTGTAGAGGTGCTCGAGGCTAGAAATTTCGAGCTTCAAGTACACGCAACAAGGCAGTTTTTACGCAAATGGGGTGGACAACACCAACCTCAATGATTATGCGACGCATGGATGCAGGCTTCCTTGCCTAAAGAAGAATTCACGATTCAGTTTGGCTTGCAACACTAGTTTCCAGGAACAGCACTATTTGCGTTCCTTCCTAACGATCGTTTCCTAGCAAATTTCCTTTCTGAAATAGCTAATTATATATTGGCATTGCTGGTACGGTCACTGGTGATTACTCTGAAGGCAATCTAGACAAGTAAATTAGTGCGGAGGCGCTTTCACGTAAGTTGCCCCTGTATTCATGCTTATTCGTCAATCAAGGCTTGGAATTTAACCACATTGCACGATATGGCTGTACGGGCATGTGGAGTCTGTTCGATTAGGCTTGGAGGCATTCGGAATTAGTACTTGGATTGCTCTTGCAGATCTAATCCGTATTATCCGTTCTTTCAGAAGGACCTCATATTTTAGCGAACAGCCGACAGCGAGCCATCGCGCCACCGCGGTTCTGGTGGTGTGGTCCCTGCTTTCTCGCAGGGCAATGTGCCTGTCTTTTCTCTTTTTGTGTCCACTTCAGCGAGTTTTCGCCCAATTCGCCTTTTCCATTCGTATTGCTTTCCGCGTGTGCCTGCCTAAGGAGTAGCGTAAGGGTGGGAATTCTCGCGCTATTCTGCACGCAGTCCTTATCTATGCACAGGTACGGCAGACGAAGGCCTGTAGTTCAAAATGTGGAAGGCAAAATGCAACGAGCTAAGTTACGCTTGGTCAAATGCTACTCAAAGAATAAGGCACGAAAAAGAAATATTATTCAATCTTTTGCTAATTCTAAATTATTGCAAAGTACTATTTATCTGATACAAGAAGACGTGATGTGCGCGTGGGCTACACGCTGTGTGCAATTAGCTGTGATATATCAAGATTTCTCAAGAGGTTGCAGCTACGCGCACCCTGTCTATTCCTCTCTTCTAATGTCGTAATCCTGGAGCTGAGCGTCTTTATTTAGACACCTTGAATGAATCGTTTCAAGCTTAATTCACTGCCTCCGCGCCCTCGCACAGAAGAGTCACAACGTTTGGAGGGAAGACAGCATTGCTAGGATTTTTCTTCTTGCATGCCCTATGCACGCCAGAGCGGAAGCAGAGTTGTCTTTCCTTGAACATAGAGCTAGCTAATCGATCTCTGCAATAACTAGAACATTCGGACAGGCCAACTGGGCAGTCATCACGTAGCTAGGCCTCAATTCAAAAGACAAAGATGGTCGAGCTTTCATACCTGTTGCTTGACATGTTGTAAGGTTATTTGCTACTAAAAGCTACGCCAGGGCCTCTAGTAAGAACTTCTGCCCCCTAAATGAGCTAAAGACGGAGGGAGACCGACTCAGGGACGAATGCAAGTGGTGATAAGAGACAAATATTTGTTGTATGAGACCTTGCATGAAGCATTGGCACAACGAAAACAATCGTCCAGTGCTGGAAGCAGTTCCTTGATGCTTTACCACAAATCAAAAAAGTGACAGGGGCGAGGTGAGACTGCATCAGGCAAACGGCCACTCTTACTTCGGTCTGACACCCCGCTAGAATCCCGCACTACCGTTACCGCATTAGCGGAAGTTGGTGCGGCTCATAGAAACTCACCGCGTCTTGCTGTGCCCCCTTTCAACGAACTCCCTCCAGTCGTTCAGCTCCCCATCCAACTTCTTCCTATTTGTCAACAAGGAGATTTCAAGAGCACCTCGTGGACGGCCATAGGCACAGTGGGGAGCACAGTAAGCCCTGCGGATAGCTTTCAAAGCCTCGTTTTGCTTCACGACTTATGCATACCCCAAGTAAGATGTCAGGAATTGAAGCACCGCCACACATATCACGGTAATCTTGATAAAGCGGACTGGGGCAGTGGATGCCTGTGATGCGCGGTAGGCGAACTTTGGCTGACGAATTCGCTGTAGGGAGGCTTGGTGTCCTCAGACTAGACTTCACGCTTTGATACTCCCGCTCAAAACTAGTTTGTCAGTTGCTACTGCACTGTGCAGCTTCCCCAATTCTGCCGGCGGCGAGCCCTAGCGTTTTCTCTACGGGCATGCTGGCTCTTGTACGAACACTCATTCCACCCTTCAGCCTATTGTATCCTTGTGAGTGACTCAGTCCCACCTTCCCGCCAAATGTCAAGGGATCCGCCCGGGTTCTACACCCCATCCCCTACAGTCTTCTCATCTGCATACACACTGAGCCGAATTCCACCAAGAAACTGTCAAAGAAACATGACAGTCCCACACCCCATGACAGATGTGCAGACGCACTATTTCTCATACTTCCAATCGTAAAATTGGACAATAAAAAGCTGCGCAAGGGTCGGCAGAGGCCGATCGGGCCCTCCATCTCACCAACGTCCAAGAGACAGTCTGTGTTGACCTTTCTTGCCCTCGCCGGTCAGAAAGGCTTCTTTAAGCCCCCTCTTGGAAGGCCAGAGAGCTCCCCCCTACAGGCCCCCATGGGCCTTCTCCAAAGGCTCCGTAAGATGGCTCTGAGCCATCCCTATGGGGCGCAAACTCAGTAACCGGATGCACATTTAAAATTTTGAAAGTTAGATTGGAAACCGCCAGACTCTTATGGGGCCTTTACAGAGGCTCCTTTTGTGAGCATCCCCGTTTGGGCTATCGTCCTTGTTTGACAGCCTCTGCCGCACTGGCAATTTTATCTCGCAGTTTGTTTGTGATTGGGGGGTTTGCCCTGGAATGCATTTCAAGGTGCTTTAAAACTTGAATTGAGCGATACCACGAGATGCCCGTATTTTGCTGGAGGGACATCATGAGACTCTTTCTGCCCTCTAGCAAAATCCCTTTTGACTCCTGAAACGAACCACACAAACCTAAATTAAAGGCCTGGGGCTCTCAAATGCACCGCTAGAGGCAAAAAAATAACTAAGCCTAATCCGAAAAGTCCAGTTTTTAAAACCATCAAAGACCGACTCAAAGCTCAAAATCGCCAACAAGTTAAACCAATACCAAAACGCAGAGGCGGCCAAGTCTGGAACAAACAATTGACAAGATCTACACCGCTAGCAAGAAAACCCCGTAGTTTCGGTGTGTTGAAGCACCAAATTCTAAAGCGCAAAGGCTTACCTTCATTTTTCTCGCATTCCGAGCTGCGGCTCGGGCTTGCTGTTTGGCCTTTTTGTAGGCCTCGGTCTGCACCGCAATACAACTGCGCAGACCTCAAACCCTGCTCACTCTGCCTAAAGCTGTATGTTTAAAGTGCACACATAGTAGCAGAGCTGCCTATAAGTCTGTTCCATTTAGACAGCACAAATACAATCTACGAAAGCGAAGTCTCAGTGCATGCTTGAAGCCCCCAAAAGGGCGTTCCCCAAGGAGGCCCACTAGAGAGCTCTTGCACTCGAAATTATATCACACCTGTTTGACGCCATAGGGGACCCTCTGCCTGTAGGATATAGCCTGCAGCACTTGCGAGAGCCTGAGGGCCCCCCACATCCTGCCCCCTATGCCACTGCTGCAGTGCTTCCCAAGAGGGCTGGAAACACTGCTGCTGGTGCCGCACCTTCCTCAATAGAATGTGGGCAGGGTGGTGATACAGCACGGTTATTCCGTGAAGTGTACAGGCTGTTGTCTCGGGGTTATCCTGGGCTCAACGGGCAGCAAGGGCCCCCAACGCATACATGCCTACGTGAGTGATTAGCCAATTCCTGAATGCCAAAAAGTCCAGTGAAGGCTGCGTTGCATGTATGGAAATCCAATATATTCATTGGTTTCCGCTGTTACTCTTTCCTACAATGTAGGAAAGAGCCAGTGGCAAAGAAGCAGCAACGGCAACATGCTAGTGGGCCCGTGAGCTGCTGGCCTTACGCCGGGCACAGTGGCGGACGCAGGGGCGAGTTCTGCAGGGTGCTCTTTCTCTCTTTGTGTTTTGTGGTGTAAAAGTTTACTTTATGCTCTAGGACTACTGTCCTTTTCCCAATCTCGAAATGCAGTAGAGATTTTGGGATGTATGTGATGTCGGGTATCGGCGGTCAGTTTTTGAGTTGACGGCAAACACTGTATTCCCTCAGGTTGGTGACGGTTGAAATAGTTCCCACGCATTTGTTCGCCAATCCTGGCCTTAGTAGGCTGTGGCTCGTGCGGTCCTGAGTTCCTACGACCCCACGCTCCACTTCCGTTCACCTGGCTCGCCCTCACATGTCCTGCCCTTGTACGGCTCTCCTGTCATAAATGAAACTTTGGCCTTGCACTTGGCAGACAAATCAGCCTCAGTGACACTGTCACCATCACCAACAATCGCACCAGCGAGTCCCACAACTCGATCAAACAATGGAAGCTTTCCCTAGGTTGTTCCGCACCCTCTCCCCTCCTTCTCTCCTCCCTTTCTCCGTGTTGTGTCTCCTATGTCTCATCTCGGCGCTACAAAACAGGGCCGGGAGCAACGGTGGCCTCCCGCACCTGTCCTCGGCCTCAGCCCACATTCACGTGGCCCCCGAGTACTTTCAAAGGTGCGACGCTCTCCCACCGTCGACCCCCTTTATGACAGGGGGGGCTTGGCTCCTTAGGGAGATCTCGGCCTCAGGATCCCCACAGATTTGCTCAGGGTCCCTAGGTGTCCTCTTCGGGTGCAAACTCCAAGTAGAGCCAGACATTCCAGCTACTTTCCCCAGACAACTCGAGGCCTTGGAGGAGGGGATATCCCATACCACTGGCAATGCGGGAATGCCGCATGCAGGAGACGAAGCGACAGGTAATATGCCGCGACCTGAAGCAGAAATACAAACGGAGGAAGGGGCTCATTTTGGCTCGCATAAAGTGAAGGATGCAGAGCCCCTCGTACCCGCCTCGAAGAATCCCGACCACGCCGGTCACTCAGTGCACTCGTTCTATAGCCATGACGAAGAAAAGACAAAAAAGCAGCAGCACACGAAGCACCAACGCGAGCAGAAGCAGCGGAAGACGCAGCAGCGGCGCCATCATGACGGGAACGATGGAATTTTTTCGTTTAACTCCTTCGTGAGTTCGGTGGTATCGTCTGTCTCTTTAGTTGCAGCAACGGAGTTGGGGGACAGGACCTTCTTTCTGGCAGCTCTGTTGGCGGTGAAATACCGACGTATTTTAGTCTTCATCTCAACTTGTGCTGCACTATTCGTCTCCTCAGTAGCTTCAGCAGCTGCCGGGTACTTACTACAAAACGCTGCAGCCTATAGCTGGATACCGGGGCCAGTCAGGGCCCTGCTCCGGGGAGGGCTTGTCATCCAGATAATTTCAGCCCTTGCGTTGCTCCTTTTCGGAATTTGGCACCTGTATAAAGCGAAGGCGTCCTTCCCAGCTGCCGGTAGAGGTCCCCACCGTAGGGCGTCGCGACGCTTCTCTGTGCAGCTCTCAGCCCACTCGGAGTGTATGGGGGACCTGCGAGAGAACCTTCCTGATGGGGCTTCCCCTGTTGAGGCCAAGAAGAATCAGGGGACGTCGGTAGATGAGGAAGAACAGGGTGTTCTCAGGGAAGGCTCCGCAGATGAGTCCGTATCAACTCGCCCCTCTCCAACGGAGTGGCCGCTTCAGGACGAGGAGCTTCAGTGCAACCTCGAGGAGGCGCAGGAGGATCTTGAAAGGTTGCAGGTAAAATTAGAGTTATTTCATCCGAGTCTAGAGGCTATTGCAGGATTGGGAGGGGCCCTTGAAACGTTTTGTGGGGCTTCTGCTTTGACTAATCTGGGAGGTGCCGCACAGGGGTAGAGCCCTGCTGACTCTGCCAGTGGGATGCGGTGCAATGTGCTGGTTATGGATTTGCTGCAGTATAGCCGTTTGGGTTTGGCTCCGGAATCGTGGCAAGTATTGCGGGAAGTGTTTCTGTTAATTCTTCTGGCCGAGTGGGGTGACAAGTCCATGTTCACCACCGTTTCTTTAGCCGCGGCTCAGAACCCGTGGGGTGTTTTTTTGGGTAAGAAAGCAAAGTTGCAGCACCTGCAACAGCCTCTGAAATGTACCTTTCCGCTTGCTTTACCTCAGCGCCGGGCATCTTCTCTTTACATGTAAAGACTATTAGGAGTGTTCCCCATTGTCGCCACTGCTGTGTGGGCTGCTGCTTCAGGGAGTTGCATCGGTCATGCCCTAGTTACGGCGGCAGGTGTAATGGGAGGCCTTTTGCTTCAGCGGTGGCTCAACGAATTTTCTCTCAATCTTGCAGCCGGTATCATAATGATCGCCGTAGGGCTAGGTGCGGGCCTCGAAGCCATCTTCTAATAGCGAGGCTCCCCCATAGTGTGGGCCCGGGCCACCCCCTGGACAGACCAGCCTTCATTGTTCCTTGGGTGGCCCTAAGAGGGATTGTGCGAGAAACATCATGACGAGATAGTGCTCAGAAATAGGACAATCAGGAGTGCATATGCCTGTCCGCTGAGTTCCGATATCAAGAAATGACGAGACTCCACAAGTGGCCCCAACAATTTTGAAGAAGCGATCACTCGTAGTGGTAGCAGCTGCTCCTTCTTCTGCTACTAAGAGTCCTCACAGCGGCTCTTGATGCTTCAGCTGAGTACTGCTGCAGCGCTTACAGGGCACCTCGGTTCACTGTCACTGTCACTGCCAAGTTTCATAGCCATTTGCGCACAAAGGGGTCTTAGAGTAGCCGCTCGTTCACGCGCGATAGTGGCTCAACTGCGGGTCTGCCTGTCTGCACGTCATTGAGAGCTGGATTTTTTCTGCTGCTTCATTGCCGGTGCTGCTGCCTACGAGGCAGCAGTAGAGTTGCAGAGTAATCCAGTAGCACTGCATGGCAAGAGGGTGGTCCAGGTCCACTGTGGCCCATGGAATGCTTTTCTAAATTCGGGTAAGAAAGCAGACGGTGTGGCAATTTAATGCAATGCGTACTCGTAGGTTTGGAGCACCACAGACAGGCAATCAGATAGTGAAAATCGAGGTGGGCAGACAAACAGAAAGTCGGGGGAGCAGAGGCCGGAGTTGGTAGACAGAGAGGGACAACCAGAGGGAGATGCACGCAATTGCACTGGAGTGCCAAACTAGGCACAGAAAGGCTTCGAAGGGTAGTTATATGGCAACTCCTGATATAGGGAAGCCTTTATTTCGTGGGCTCTCAATATATGGCCTCAATCAGTTGTTCCAGCTCACGGTCACCTCCCGAAACTTTCTGCCGTTTTAATTTGTTCTACTGGGATAGTGCGTCGCGAACCAGCCACGGGATGGTCCCGAGATGGCCCCAGTAAGAAGGCTCCGGCGCAAAGACGCGTTAGTGTCGGATACATGTGTTCCTTTCTTACCACACAAAGCCATTGAGACCTCGAACAGCGTCTGCATTTTGGCCACCACGTAACCTTACGCTGCCAAATGCGAGCCCTCGTTGCCGGGCACAAAATGCTCGCTTCCGCAGTTTCCTGAAGGCCACCCACAGTTAGTAGAGATCAGCGTTGCCAGATCTTACTCCGTGCCTTAGAGGGGTTAAACATTTTAGAGGAGTACGGGGGCAAGGTGCCACGAGGATGAACCAACGAGCGAATTCAGTTTTGCTCTCACACATGAGGGTCACTGATGTCAATAGAGAAACACGAAAACAGGATCCCAAGCTCACCAAGAATTTGGCAATAGCTCGGAGCTGCGTCCTGTGTAGGGATGCCCAGAGCTGGATGTTCCCTGTGTACTCCGTGGATGCGCCAGGAGGCCGCACAGAGGAACTAAGGGTCAGCGAAAATCAACCAGGGCTTGTGCTTCCACCCATCTACATATCATGCTCAGCTATTGATTTAAAATGGTACTTGAAGCTGCCCGTGGGACCACTGTGGTTGCTACAGCCTGCTGCCTCTAGCGCTCCTTATGTGATGGGCTTGTAGAGGTCTTAAACTGCAGCTTGGTACTTTGTTATTTCACCCCTGCATGTCATCACGCTTGCTTTTAAGGGTCGTCGGGTTTCCCTTCCTAGGCTACTCAGGAAAAGTTTTTGTATGCTCCCTCGCAAACATGCACGTATCACCAGAGTTCTCCGGTGGTGACGAGGACATCACCCCATTTTTTGAGAATGGCCCATTACTGCAAGGTGAAAACCAAAGCTTTATGCAAGATAAGAAGCAATTTGGCGAAGATACGCCTCTGGCATATTCCTTGGCATGAATAACACAGCAAGGGCTCATAGGATGAAGAGGCTAGCTGGAGAGCGAATATAGTCTCTTGGACACGAATGGAGCCAACTTTACACTTCCATCTTATATGTCCACTTTTTGTGAACCTACCAGGCCCCATCATAACAACAAGATCCTTAAAGCAATAACATGGGCTGCAATTTTTTGAGCATGAAGAATGAACCAAGGCATAATTCCCCAAATCAAGCTCTTCACGCCATGCCTCAAGCGGATTTCTCTACACTGGCTAATAAATGAATCAATAGAGCAGCACAGAATCTAACTTTACTACCTCTTCCATCATCGGACCGCTACGTGGACCCCCTTGAGTTTCCCATAATACCTCTTACGTGCATTCTGTTGGACATCGGAGATTAGAAAGGAAAACATACCATTCGAATTCCACACCGGAGCCGCGGTGTTCCACGTTTGCACCTTTTTACTGGCAAGAGCACTCTGCATGCATGTAAGTGCTTTATTGTGTTTAGTGAGCAAAAGTATTGCTCATAGGTCGCTGAGCATGAGCGGTCTGTAGCAACCCTTCTACGGTCTCCGAGGGAGAGTTGTACAAACTGACCAGGAGCACGAGTGCGCCCCGAAAGCGCTCTTTCCTTACTGTGTTCCCCCCGTCAGAGTTCTGGTATTAGGTGAAAAGATCAGCATGGGTCCACTTAGCTGCATTTTCTAACACATTCCGAGCATTCATAGCTAATTGCACATTGCATCCAGCAGACACGCACACAACGTCGCGTTTTATTGTATCGAGCCAACGTCGGTCCGCAATAGAAAGGAGAAACTCAGCTGATTCAATAGTCAACTTTTCGTTATTAGTTAAATGGACATAATTAAGGCTGTGGGAAGTGCCTAAGTGTGGCTTCACGCATTGCGCAGCCGGTACAGTGCGGTCTGTCCAATCGTCTGAATTGATGTAAGCACACATTTTCGTGAATACCTAAACAATCCCAAGTTTTTATCTATGAGTTGAAGGCATATAGGTTTCTTCGTATGGCCTTCAGCAGGTACCAATTCCATTGAACGCCGAACTTTCAGTGGGCTAAGGCTGCTGTTGCGGTATGAAGAGCATCTTCAGCTCCACATACGAATTGCCTTCATGTCTCTTAAGGACTTTCAACTATAGCACCGGGAAGAGAAATCTTTATACATAAATTGACAGTCCTGCGAGATGATGGTACCACCAGCAAGGAACTGTAGTACAAGCTCTTGCTCCCCTCCAACTTCCTCGAGGTCAAGTCCCCCAAGCACTTTCTCTTCTAGTCTCAAGGCAGATCAGAAAGACCGAAACAACCCTATCCCTTCCTTCAGTTTGCATTCTCTCCGATGTTGCTGCATGCAGTGTGGTATACACAGACAGCCGACTATCCATGTCAAAAATACGGCCACTACGGCTAAGCTTTGCAATTCAGGCCTTGAATATGGATGCTACGGCACTATAGATATACCAATACACTTGCTGGGAAACCTTTCACCAGCAGCAGTGAACATTACTAAGCTCTGTCGACAAAGGTGGCACAACGCTTTGATGGTCCGATGGGGTTCTTACTACTCATGCAGAAATGTGACATGCGGAATCCCTGCTGCCCGCTCCAGATGCCTAATTATCTTTGCCTCTAAGCCTTTGGAAGACGACTTTACTGAGGCGATGGTACTAGGGAAGAGAAGCATTCAGTAAAACAGGGGAAGGACCCTAGACAGCGGGTGCACTTTGGCGCCGACGCTTCAATCGAGCTAGTCGAATCTAACAGGATAAATTGGGGGCATTAGACGCATGTTCGGATGAAGCGAAAAGGCCACTGCTTTCGACCTTATTCCTCATCGGTTCTCATGCTTATGATGCTGCTAATAGGGGAAGAAAGCCGAAGCGGCACCTAGGATGCCGTGGGTTGTCTACGACCTACATCAACTCGAATCGTCTCCTTAAGCGCACTGTATCGACAGAATTGCCCCCCTGTACCAGTAAACTTAACCTTGTTACTAAATTTCAAAAGGAAGTGAGTGGCTGGGAGTGCGGTATTTGCATTGGATTTGGTGGATTACACAATTTAGTTGAATGTGCAAACATGGCTTTTGTCTTAGGAGCATAAGTGCCACCGTGACCATATTCGGCCACAAAATGCACTGTAGAGCAATTTCCTCTAGCACTACCGCCTTTTATGGGGACGGTGAATGAACGGAAGAATAAGTCGAACAAGGTTTTGGCTCTCGACCTGATTGGAGAAGGTTTTATATAAATCGCTCCAGCCGCATGCAATCTAGCGTTATATAATTGTCCTGAGTTGATAGTGGTCACGATATTTTTAAAAAACTTTATTATTAGGCACGGGAAACAACAAGCCAGCTCTATGAGGGGACCCTTGACATGTGGTGCTTTCTCTGTGAAGGGGGGGACTTCTCTGTCGTGTTAGTGGGCCGGCGCTCACTTAGTTGCGGCGGCAGAGCATCACTGTCTTTCGTTCTAAGTTTTGCTCTAAATACGAATCGCGCTGATTAGTCAGGCCGCTTAGTACAGCTTTGAGAGATCCAGTGCAGCACCTCGATGGGTCGCCTGGCTGCTTGCGGCCGCCATTTCAGATGCTTCCGCTGCCCCCCAGTTCCACGTCCGTCTCAGACGAGGACCAAACAGTAGATGCCCAAGAATGCGCCTCAACAGTTACACGTGTCTCGGCTGAGACTCAAACTCCAGAGGGCTCGCAGTCTCCCGACTTTTCCCAGACTGTGCCTAAGGTGGCACCCAAGTCATTGCTATTGCCGGCGTGTCATGGAGTAGATCGCCGTACCTGCCACTGTATACAAAGATCTAGCATCGTCTCAAGATGCTCGGCTTACTCTCCAGCGGAAGTAATGACTACCGGCGTAGCTACCAAGGTGCACATAATGCACAGGGCGGATCCGTATCGTCGTGAAGGCCACTGCTGTGGTCTTCGCGAAGAAAATGTTTGCATCTCTCATACCCGTGGCTGCTGCTATTGCCAAAAAGATGGCATAGAGGCTCCGCAAGCCAATAAGAGAGCTCCGACGCGGCTTCATGACTGGTGTTGCAGCTGCTCTGCTGGGCGAATCGATCGTGCTTGTCACCTTCCGAAGTGGGAGAAGGTCCTCTGGAAGAAACAACGGCATCCGGACTGCTATGTAGACGAGACTTTCTTGAATACTTTAATGAGAAATGCAAACCTCACACGATACATATATTCTGAATTGTGCAAGTCGACTGTGGTGCTGACGCAGCACCTGAGCTGCATTTTGATTTTCTTGTTAATATACCGAATGATTGTTAAGAGATCCATAGAAGCGTCAACCCTTGTCATTTTCGACGTCATCGCGCTTCCTTTGGGATACGCGCTTCGTTGGTGTCTGCACCCCGCGCCTCGAGGTTAGCATTAGTCACCGTACCTCCACACGAGATTTATTTGTTAGTCCTATTGTTTAGCTGTTTCCAGTTGATTAAACTTGCTCTAGCGCATAAAATTTTGAGGGTTATCTCGGCTTCGTTTTTTTAGTGTGTTTTGTCTTCTGCTTTGCTTTTACTTGAAGTGGTTGTTGAAATGGTGTGCGAATTTTGTTTCTGCAGCTCCACGGCAAGTCCTGCAGAGCGCTGTTATTGTCTTCGGAGTATTACGGGTAAGGAATAAGGCCCCAAATTAATCAGTAGACATTCCACCAGCATTATGTGTGTTTGAGGGATACGACGTTAACTAGTTCGATGTTTCACGGGTGTTCGCTTCACTTCAAGGAGAAACTGATGAAATAATCAATTAGCTTATTGACTCGCGAAAATTGGTTTAATTGAACTGCAACTAGATGATTCGGTTTAAAATATGTGCTGTAGTGTTTGCCGGATTTATCATGTTCCAATGTCAGCGCACCAAGAAGTGTGTACGCTGTGAGGCTTGTTTTTGTAGATCCTCGCCCCAGTGCTCCAAACTTTGACGCAGTCCTTCAGTGACGATACAGTAATTAGCTTGACTTCCAGTGAGGTTATGCCTTGAGCTCAGGGATTTTTTGACTTGAAGTGAAGTGGGGGGGCATGTAATGTGGGCAGTGAAACCTACCACTACCACACGCGCTTTGGGTGCCGCAGACGAGTCAGTGTGCTTCCTCTCGACCATCGTTCTTATTGCTTGCGTATCTATGTGTTGCAGTTTGTTTGCTTATTCACATTGCGCTCAATGATTACTCTTACGTCTATCGGTACGCCCTAGGCCCTGCTCCTCTATAATTGTTATGGCCTATATTCCATTTAGTTTGTATTATATATTCTCTCATGGATTGTTGTGCTAGTGTTCGGAGTATCTCGCTCTGTATCTTCACCAACGTTAATGTGTTATTTTTCCTTGTGTGTTTGCCTGCTGCTGCAGTAATCATGGGACCATTGACGAGCCCTTGGGTCGGCTAATGAGCTTAAACGTAGCCCTCTTTGCAAGTGTCCTATTGGCATCCCGTCTGAGCACCTCCACTGAAGTCTTTGCATTCCTCTTTTTTGGTATCGAGTCAGTGCAGATACCCCACCTGCCTTCCCCTTCCCCTTCCCCACTGCAATAGGTCTTCACATGTACAACTATAAATATGCAGAACCAAATACTTGCCTCCCAGCGCCTAAGTGTAGATAAAAAATTGAGTACGTAATTACACGTATGTAATTACGCATGCAGTAGGGAAATAAAGGTGGAGCATGTGCATGGTAGAGACCATCACCCGTGAATTATTTTCCTGAAGCGACATGGCTTGTTTTCCCACTGATTTTCGGTAAATTTTGCTGTATCTGTGCGATTATGTAGAATTTTCGCCCTTTCTCCCATGGCCCGGCGTTATTTGTTGGTAAGCAAGTTCGTACTTATCGGCACTTTTTCTTTGCCTGGATGCGTTGTATCTCTGCCTTCCTTTGCCTGTACCTTTCCCTTCTTTCCCCACTGAGTGTACTTCTTTGTATTACCATAATGCGAGTTGCTTTCTTCGTCTCTTTCTGTGATCATTCTTGTTTGGCGGACTGTCTACCGCTTGTTCCTGTCGTACCTTTGGCTGCGGGTGCTTACCCAAGCTTTGCGTCAATCAAGTAGTACAGCTCTGCTTGTTCTCGATTTGTGATGAGTATTTCTGTCTTAATCAAGCTCACAAAGCGTGAGATTAAATGCCTTTCTCTGTTTGACTGCAGCTGTGGAACCCGTGGGCTTGTACATACGTTGTCACTCCCGTCCTTCTTCTCCTCACTTCTGCTCTGATGTACATCGAAGGATCAGCGAGTAGCGTCGTTCTCTACTTGTTCCTGTGAGTACACACTGTGGACTAAGCCTGGTGCGGACTCCTCGGAACTTGTGGGCTCTATAGCATACCACGAGTATACAGTTTGGAGGCAGACTGTAGATTCAGGCTTCTAATATTAGTGTGTAGCTACCTGTTGAGGATACTGGGGGTGCGTCATTTTGGGAGCCCAGGCTATTGTTGCTGTTTGCAGCATGTTCTTCATAACATTCATAGGGCCATATTGGTTAATCAGGTCCCAGAAGTACAAGAAGTAAGGGTAGCGCAAACAGTTCTATCTACACCCCACCGTCACCAATATGTTCGGTTCACAACTCCATTGCCCAGTCATTTTGGACAAATTCGTCTTTCCTGAGACAAACACTGTAATGACATAGCAGACTGAAGATTTGTTTTCAAAATCGACTGAAAGGAGGAGTAAATGACGACTGTGCTAATGTCGTTATCGTTACCATAGCTGCTATTTCTGTTCTGTTTTGCTGCAGCGAGATCAGCGGGCCGTGGGATATTCCTTCTGTCAAGAACTACACTTGATAGGAAACTCATTTCATCTGTGGGATTCATCGGCAGCCTTTTCCTGCGAGCTGCTCGTCTGCTTGTCTGAGGAGGGGCCGTGGGAGCGGCTGCTACTTGTCTGCTTTGCCTCGATGGTGTCATGTAGGGCCTTTAGTGCTTGTTCTTCTCAGTTTTTTCCATGCATGTCATCGTAGGCACTTTCTGTGGGACTGGCCTAGGCCTTGGCTTGCATCGCGCTTAGTCTATTTCTTAGTTGGAGTGACAGCGTAGCGCATTGGATATCGGCACCCTTCTCCGACTGAATGATAGCCTCATTGCCTCGGGCAGGCCGTGCAAATGCAGTTGGGGTGTTGCAATTTCTTGCTTTGATACTAAAACTGTTAACGTTTAGGCATTTTTTAGCGTAACAATGTTTTTGTCCAGCGCTTGGATTCATAATGGCTACATTCGTGGACGCCCGTATGCACGCACACACGTGCTGATGCTCCTAGGCATCTTAGTCTAAAGCGTAAAGTGTAAATAAATGGCTTTGCACGCCAAATACAGGCTATATTTGTTTTCTCCTGTATCGTTTTCCGTTGTCCCCACCCCCTGCTGCTTTTTGTATGGGCGTTCAAGCTACACTTAAACAGCTTCTTCTGCACTGGTGGATGCCGGGTTAAAATTTGCCGCCACTACTGGCTGCATCATTTAGCTATCTTTACACTCGATTGTTTGCCAAGTAGGGGTAACCTCATACGATGAAAATGGGCGATGTCTGCCTGTCCCCGAAACTAGTATTTGCAAATGCATACGAATGCTCGGGGCAGGAGGAGGGTGCAGCAACGTGCAACCTTGCTTCCTTTGTCACCCCTTGGGCTGAAAGCCCATGAGGCAAGGGTATAGAGAAAGTAGAGCAATTCGGACTGAAAACTTGAAAGATTTATTGATATTCATGTGGTTTGGGTGACGGTTACATTTTGGAGGCCACGAGGTGAGCATTGCTTCTTTCACTGAGTTTGTTTGTGCTTACTAAATAAGCGAACGTGTGCTAGTGCTGTCGCTGACTTGTTCTTCCATTTTGCATTCCAGCTATCAGGTGGATTATTGAAAAGGAAGTGCATTAAGCATCTTAGGTTATCCCGTGACCACTTCACTCTATACAAAACTAAAGAAAGTTACTGAGTGTTCCTTAGAAGGAGCTTCCTCCTTTTCTTGCCGTAGGGGTCATGCATGGGGATAGGGACAGCAAACGTGCGCGTTGCTACAGCGGCTGAGCAGAACGAGCATTCGCGGCTAGCCACGCACTGCACATAGCGCACACCTTGTTGAGCTGCCACTACTGTGTAAGGGTAAGATGTATGTTCAAACAGTTCAACTAGTGCATTCCTGTAGAATTTCAACTAGTCCATTTAGTTTAGGAATTCGAATGTAGTTACTAGGGTAATAGAAACTGCCTTAGTATACCCTAGAGAGCTACACATGTCGTACCATCTCGGGCTGTATGGCAGGCACTGTGGCTTCCAAGCGTTAAAAAGGAAAAATGCAGAGGGTATTTAAGGCTAGTCAACAGAGGGTTGGATCCACCTTCAAACTCTGAGAAACGGTGTCATCGATGCTATGTTGGGCATACGGCCAGACTCTACGTGCTACTCTTTTAATTGGAACGTTTTAAAAGGCAAAAACAAGCAAGAGATATACAAAGTGACTGCATGCTTATCGGATTGCATTGGACTGGATGACACACCTTAGTGAACTCTGCAGAAACACTTCCTACTTTTTGGAATGAACAGGTCCTTACATCCGCAGCCAGAAGGTAATAATATATAGTGAGCTAAGCTACACCGCTCTCTATTATACCATTTATATTTAGGTGAGAAATGGTAATTAGTTCACTAACTTTTTGTTTTACAGTATCTCTTGGTATTGCAGTGTAGTCATAGCTCAACTTAGGAAGACGCAATGTTGTGTGGATATGCGCTAGGTGCTAAGCGCATCTAGCTGTCAATGTGTGGAGTACGTAGAGGGTGCAGCTACGCGGAAACTGGCCGTCCGTCTCATATCAGATCGGAATTCTGAGTGGCGCGCGGTTTAAGGAAAAATGTATAGGGAACATTCAGTGATGTGTTATTAGGCTTGTATACAGTCTGGGGCTATGTGTTTCGGTATCTAGACTTTCAATGCAGCGCTACAGTTTTTAGTGCCACATGACTCATTCGTTCCATTACTCGCTTCTCCATGAGCTGTGGATGCAATGGGGTTGCATGTCCCGCCAACAGTTGTCTGATTTTGTCCGAATTATTTGGTGATTCAATAATCTGGTTATCTATGACAAGGGTCTCAGGGGATCGACGCCTTTGGCAATTGAAGTGGTCGATGTCAAAGCGTTCGCTGGAGTGGCGGATTCCGGTTCGCAAGCTCATGTCAGCGTCGTAGCTCCACAGTCGATAGAAAGGCATGAGTTGTGTTCATGAATGTGTCGACGAGGCTACGTTGATGAGGCTACGCAGACCTGAAAAGTGTGACAAGTCAGGAAAGCCGGATGTGCAAAGATTTCATCATCCGGTTGGGATGTACCTCGCAGTGCAGCCCCCAGATGAAGAGGATGGAGTGCTTCTTGCGGCCTGATTACTGGTGAGCGAAGCACTCCAACAGTGGCTCTACTTTTTCAGAGAAGGCCGCCTGTCTGCAAAAATCACTACAGTTCGAGCCCTTGCATAAGCTTTTGGTCATTGGCTTCTGCTAAGATCACCTCAAGAGCAGGGTTTCGATGAATTGAGGTTGCGAAGGCAGGGGACCCTACCAAGCGGTCTGATTATCGAGGAATATGTGGAACTCTGATTAGCACAAGCCAAAACATAGTAGAAGAAATCTTGCTTCATCAATGATTCATCTCAGGTGTAGCCGAGGTGCCACATCAGGTGTTCGCAGACTGAAAGCGATTCACCGTTCAAACAGCCGATTGATGTGGCTTCCACAAATGGTGAACTGCTTGGAGTTTCAGAAGCAGCTGAGCACATCTCCTGCGCCTTTGCCTGTGAAGGAAGAGCCAAATCGAGATTTATAAAGTGTTGATGTTGGGGTTGTGTCAACCGCCCCTAGCGGGGGAGCTGGGATATGGTCTGGTGCGTACGCCGCCCTTCTACTCAATAACATGCAGTCCCCCAACTTGACACGGAGCAGGCATGAAAACTTTCCGTTCATGAATTTGCTAGGATCGCCTTTTCTTTGAGTGAACTACTTCAGAAACTACAAGCTGTAATCTGGATAGATGATACCGACGCCGCAGTGAGGACGCCTATCAGCTGCCTCACAACTCCTCCTGGACTCATGCTGCCCAACTATGAAAGCACTTAGTCCTATCGGCAGATGCTCGTGAAGTAGTGTGTGCATTTCTCTCCAAGCAAGCTACCGGCTCTCCAAACCATCAAAGTATTACTTCATTCTCAGCCCTTCTGCGAAAGCATGCAGGGCTATCCAGTGCGACAAAAGGGAACTCCATGTGGTGTGGTACGAGGAGAAAATGCGGAGCACTACTTACTTGGGCGTTACTTTACAGGCCGGGCTAACCATCCGAGTTTACAACCTTTTGCAAATATTTCTCACTTTTGATCGTCTTAGCATTGTTCGCTGGTGTGACTGCCTCCCGTAGAACGACTAAACGCCAGAATATTTGGGGCATCACTAGCGCGGTCGCCGACGTGCTCTCGCAACGCTCCAGCGGTTCCTATTATGTAACGCTTCACGGTTCCTATCGAGATTGCGTGCGTCGAATGCTTCTGACATCCATGCATCAGTTAGTTATGCCAAAATATAGGAGGGAGATATAGTGAAGCATTACCACGCGGAAAAATCGCCTACTGTAGTTCAAATCAGAGAAGCGATCCCTAATTTGTGCATTCTGACTTCGCCTCGCTGCAGAGCACATCATCGTCGCATTCTGGGTCATGCTGGACTTCACATTACACTACAAAAGCTCTTGCAGTCCATCTGGTGGCCTGGGATGCGTCCCAAGGCAGAGCAGTACACACCATCATGCCCAGATAAGTAGCATCTGAAGCCACATGTTTCTTTACAACCAAGCTTTTGCAACGCCATATGGACCTGTTGAAAAAATTTAGAGTGTCCTGACTATGAATTTGTTTTTGTGGACTGGCAGAGGTCAATGGCAAGGAAAGCATGTGCGTCGCTGTGGACAGACTTAGCAAAGATGCCCATATGACTACTTGTGTCCAGCCTTATCACAGTTGAAGGAGGCATCCAGTTACCTAATTTTATGTCCAGACGTTGCAAGGATTCTCCAAAAATGTAGTTACAGCCAGGGATTCGAAGGTGCTCAGCATATTCTGGGATGCCTTTATGACGTGCCTACACATGGAACATGAAATGACCAGTCCGAACCACCCTCAGATGGACAGACCGACGCACCAACTGCAGTCTTCTGTAGGATTTGCAACTTTATCTTTAAAGCTCCAGACGGTTCGCCTTTTTTCTAAGTAGGCTAGTGATATAAAAGTACTCTCGTCTATCCGTTGCTTTCCTGCATCCTACACTGAGAAGCCTCTTTCCGATCCGAACCTGGACCTAAGGGTCCAGGGTCAGCAGCCACACTTAGAAGCAAAATGATTCTGAGCAAAGGTGGCTAATGCATGCATAAATTTGTGCAAAGCTCCAGAAGGCCTACCACTGAATTACGATGCATGGCTGTCGGCTGTGTATTTTGAGCCTGACAATGTGATTTTGGAAGTCGGTCAGGTTTTACGAGGTGCACCAGAAGGCAGCCAGAGGAAGAAGTTTGTTTTTAGGCGGCCAGACCCATTTGCTGCCTCCTCACGAATCAATGCACTTTCTTGATCTATCAATTCTCCTGCAACCTGAAGTTTCCAGAGCTTTTAGTATTGTCCTGCTAAATGATGGTTCCATGCTCCTCCAAATACTAGCGGCGTGCTAACAACCTTTGCCGAGCAGGGAAGCGGCCCGTGTGGACACCGCCGCGTATCCACGGGGAGCTGTAGAGGTGCTCGAGGCTAGAAATTTCGAGCTTCAAGTACACGCAACAAGGCAGTTTTTACGCAAATGGGGTGGACAACACCAACCTCAATGATTATGCGACGCATGGATGCAGGCTTCCTTGCCTAAAGAAGAATTCACGATTCAGTTTGGCTTGCAACACTAGTTTCCAGGAACAGCACTATTTGCGTTCCTTCCTAACGATCGTTTACTAGCAAATTTCCTTTCTGAAATAGCTAATTATATATTGGCATTGCTGGTACGGTCACTGGTGATTACTCTGAAGGCAATCTCGACAAGTAAATTAGCGCGGAGGCGCTTTCACGTAAGTTGCCCCTGTATTCATGCTTATTCGTCAATCAAGGCTTGGAATTTAACCAGATTGCACGATATGGCTGTACGGGCATGTGGAGTCTGTTCGATTAGGCTTGGAGGCATTCGGAATTAGTACTTGGATTGCTCTTGCAGATCTAACCCGTATTCTCCGTTCTTTCAGAAGGACCTCATATTTTAGCGAACGGACGACAGGGAGCCATCGCGCCACCGCGGTTCTGTTAATTTAATCCATACTTCGGTGTTGACCAGTTTACGCATTTCTTTTACCAGCATATTTCTTTACGCTTGTGGATGCTTAATTCGCCTTCTCTATTTTCTTTTCTTTCGCATTCCTGCGTGCCTCAGAAGTGGCAGTAGGTCAACTGTCGTGCATGCAAGTGGGCTCGACGCACTGGTACGAGAGACTAGGGCGAACTTTAAGGGGGCAGGGGAAAGCTGTTGTTGGCTGATCTACAGATCAGTATTTACAGCTAAAATAACTACAATTAACGGATTAATAAAGAATTGAGCAATTGGCTTGTCCGTTTGTATACCTTGTTTATTGTAGAGTATTGATTTCTTCATACAAACAGAATCAGTCTGTGCTTGTGCGCTAAATAGCACGTGTAACTGGCTGTGAATTATTGGAGTGCTCGTAGGGCACGGCAACGTGCAGCCTAGCTGCGCGTCTACCCTTATTTTGGGAACTCTACCTGGTGGGGTAAGGGGACCGCTGAATATCGTTTGTAAAACAGAGGAAAGCTTGCTCTTTATTTTGAATTTAGTCCGGAGGTAAGTGCCACCTACGGGGACCTTAGATGGAGCTTTCTAAGTGGTACTACGGCGCTACTCCCATGTCCTTTCAACCTCACAGGACACTGCACCCCTTCGAATAGTAACGGTTAGACATAAAGGGCATCTTCTCTCAGTGGGGGTAGATAGTGTAGCGTATTTCCTCTTGACTGGCACTTGCTGCTCACTGCGCCAACACACTCGCCAGAGCCCCAATAACCGCTTTGCTGTTGCTGCACTCGAAGGAGTATGACAGCCACTAACACGAAGAAAGAGGCATACAGCTATTGTAGCACAGCGGATTATTGATAAGAAGAAGCACGCAAAAAGGAAATAGATTTTTGGGTGCGAGCGCTGTGCAGCACCGATCGTCGAGCGCGACTGGAGAGCTGGAAGCAGTCCATGTAGAGCAATGCAAGGACCTCTTATACCTGCAAAACACGCAGAAAAGCACTTTAAATGCTTCCATAATCAGATGCACGCTCTTCAATTACGTTATTGTATCCACTAAACACCAACAGCTGTGGCAGTGTCTGTTGTGTCTATGGCACCGCCGACTCGGCAGTACCACCTCCCCCCGCAGTAAGATGCCCCCCACTAGCTTTGTCTTTATCCTTCTCGGAAAATTTTCCACTACTTCTGGAGTTAGTCCCCCCAATGTTCATCATATTGGCCGGATATAGGCCTTATTTAGCGCTGTTTTCACGTCTATTCAGCGCACATCAATACCTGCCAGGGGGGCCCCTGTCATGTCCTGCTTAACCGCTGTTGCGCCTGCAGGAATTCTTTCCTTATTCTAAATTTGCGAGCCATCTCAAAAGCGTATAATCAAGCGCCTCTCAGAAATCGGGGACCCTATTAACGGCGTTAATACCACCAATCCTACGCGCACAGCGGTGGACACACAAGGCAGAGCACTGCGTCCTCCCTGTCTTTTCTTCAATTTGCTAGGTCTGTTAATATCAGCAGCATCCACACCCTGTGGCTACTGATGGGATACGAAGGTCTAACGGCATCTATATACTCCCTCAAAACTCCTTCTGATCCAGCAAATATCTCGGTTTTTCTCGCAAATTCTGTCTACTTGCCAATAAGAAGTCACCTCTGTGTCTTTCCCTTTCCTCTATGCAATCTCTTTAGGGCCGCTCCTTGGACCCTACTGCCAGCAGCGCCCTGAGGATGGCACGCCCTCCCCCTCCTTGCTCTTTTCCCCGGTAAATAGCGAAAAGCTATACATTGAAAGTAACGCCTCTGTGACCATCGGCCGAACTATCCACGGGGGAAACCCTTTTGGGTTCTCTCCAGCTGCCTAACTATGGAGCAAATCAACCAGGATGCTCACTGCAAGACCTCAGTAAAAGGTCCTCGTGGGCCCCTGTTTCCCCCAGACGCAGCGCCATGTGTTGTAGGTGGCCCTTCTGCAGAGCATCAGCCGGTCCCTTTGCCTTGCACAAGTGCCTCCGAGGCCTCCACAGGGGCCCCTTGGGGCCTTGCAGCCTGTTTGTCAGCTGTCAGTCACATGAAAGGTTCAGAGTGCAGCAGCACTCACTGCACTGCACGGCCTCCTGTGGGAACTCCCTCTTCGTTTCCGACGATTGAGGGGGCGGCAAGAAGAAGGGGGATTAGCCCCACTTATGGACAGCCTTTGTCAGACACCACTGATTGCGTCTTACAAAAAAGCAGGGATGAATGGCCGTCTGCTTCACGTGACCCAGAGGCTCCCTTGGCGGTGCCAGAGGACTTGAAAGGAATGCATATCTTCTCCCTTTGTTCTGGTAAAGTATTTGGCCGGGAGGAGAGGAAGGGGCGTTTCAACTGCGCGACGCCGCAAAACTCGAAAGAAGAGGTCTCGGGTGCAATGACTACAGATAGCTCTCTCTCCGAACTTGCTGGTCACCCTACTCAAATCGAAGGGTCTCTGAAAAACCTTGCTGGGGTTTCTTCTCAAGCGAAAGGTGGCCTTTGTGGTTTCTCCGACTCCACAAATAAATTACAGGAGTCTCAGCCTTCCACAGCGTTGGACGCTGCTGCAGGCGAAGCGCCTTGTGAAAATCCTCGGGTGTCTTCCAGTGTACTGAGGCCCCCTGGCGAGGGTGCAGGCGGGTCAGAAGGCCCACTCAGTGTGGGGCCCCGTCGTCCATGTTTGGTGCTGCTGGACCTGGACAACACGCTGATCCCTACGGGGTGGATAATGGGATGCTGGAGGAAGATGCAGCTGTATTTTGGATTGCAGCAGGCTGTTGCGTGCATAAGGAAAGGTCTTGAGCAGGCGGAACTGGTGACGGCGTTAAGGGCCTTGTTTGACGACTTGCGGCGATTGAGAGAGAAGAGGCACACGCAGATTGTGATCGTGACGAACGCGGGTCTTAGAACAGTGCAGGAATTCTACCTCAAGATGTGCCTGCCAGAGCTGAAGGAACTTTGTGAGAGGGAAAAGGTGTATATACACTCAACGGAGCATTTCGCCAGGAAGGTTGGGCCTATTCCTCCGATGACAGAAGAAGAGGCCTTCTGTGAATTTTATACAGCCCTAAAGGCAAGCTGCTAGCTTTTTCCTGAATACATTAGGATTGATGCCTGTGCACAAAGCGATTACTCTTGGGACCAGACCCTCTTTATGTCGATACGCATCGGCTTTAGGGTGTGCTCCTGCTCGCTAACACACGTTTCGTGTCTCCTCTGGTGTTGGTTTTTCCATCTCCGGGCAAACATAGATTTAAAATGCTTCCAAGTTATCGGAGGCGTTGGAGAGTTCCCCATGGGCTGAGGCTAGCTGTACTCCTAAACGTGCTGCAACCCTCTCGGCTGTCATTCACGCCTCTAGTCGCTCCCTAAGTGGGCATCTCTCTATTTTCCCGCTGCTGCTAGCCTCGGGTTTCGCCAATATCTGTTTCTATGTGTCGCTTGGCTTCGTTTTACCCCCGTAAATGTCCGTTTGCGTCATGCTCTCTTGCCAAGTTTCTCTGTCTCTATGTGCAGTACCACGAGTTCGACTTCGTCATTCAGCGCTATCTAAACGCTCTCCTCTGCCAGGCGCCGATTCCTTTACAGGGAGCCGTTCAGGATGAGGAAGCTCGTTCTCCCTGTAGGGCCCCTTCTTGTTGTGTGGGGGCCTCTTGTCAGCTGGAAGGAGGTCCCTCGCATCTTGCACGACGGCCAGTTGCTCCCTGCTGCAAAAGGGCCCGGCTGTCTGCTCAGCTCGAATCCACCGCAGCAGCTGCATCGGCGTCGGAAGACCGCTGCGTTGGTAGTGGGGAGCCTCACGCCAATTGCTGCGCCTGGTGTAGGTCTGAAAGCAGCACTCAGGCCTCCCTACCTCGCGAGAGTGTTTTGGAGCGAAACCCACGAGAGGGCTTCAGTTGCCGCTCTCCTTGCAAAGCGGAGCCTTTGAGGGGGCAGACGAGGCCTCTGCAGGCGCAGGAGCCAAACGAGGCGTGCTGCTGCTGCAACACAGCCACAGGAGAAACAGTGGATGTCCCCTGCAATGCAGCCTTAAGTCTGCGCGACCAGCTGCAGGCCGCTGCTGCTGTGTACGCACAGGGAGATGGAAACAGAACAGAAAGCAGTCCTGCACCCTCGCCAAGCGAGAGCCCAAGGGGCTTTGATCCATTTCCTGTGGACTGGAGGTGCGACCTGGTTAGCGCTGGGGACCAGGTTTGCGAGATACACGCCGCGTGTCGGGTGGCTAGGCATTTTGCAGGACATGTCAAGTTTGCCAAGCTTCTCTTTCTTAGGGACCCAGAAGATCCTAGGTTCCTTGCTCAAACGCCAATAAGGTTTACTGCAGTAAGGCATTACAATGGGGAGATGCAGACGCATGTCGTAGACAGAGACACACAAAGCAGAAAGTGGCAGAGAAACTTCGTTTGGAGAGTATTAGAGGGACGCAGATCACCGAGTTTGGCTAGAGAGCAGCACGCAGTGCTATTTGTGGTGTATGATGCTTTGCAGCAACTGAAAGAGCTTCACGCGTCTTTGTTACATATAGTTTCGTGTGACGAGGAGACTCTAGACGAGCAGGGCCATCCCCACTGGATAAGGCGAGGCTCCTTTTCCCAAGTGACGATCATAGCCCCCGAACGGCTAGAAGCACCACCACGTCACTGCTCCGCTGCGCGTGTCAGGCACGCCTTCGAGTACCTGCGAAAGAGGCGCATCAAGAGCAACAGGGCTGCCACAGCCAACGCAGCACTCCGGCTTAGGCAAGACCTGCCTCTTCGGCAGGCAGGGGGAAGGGGTGGTAGCGGCAAACAGGATCAGGGAGGGGTCCCTATACACACAAATAGGAGATACAACCTCTCATGCCCCTTAGAGTGGGAGAGAAATGCAGTCGCAAATCCCCCTAGTTCCCGGGCTATGTGTACGCTTCACGATGCACGGGGACCTCCCCATTTCCCTCAAACGCAGAGCGACGCATCACAGGGCGGGATTGAACAATTTGCTGTGGCTTCTGAGAGCAGAAGCCTCTAGACACCCCGCGCCCGTAGAGGCATTTGGGGTCCCCTCTTCTTTTGCCGCCTCTGGCTCCTCAATGGCTGTTGTGCAAAACTGCTAAGCCCCGCATGATGAACTGCACGAAGTAACTTCAATATGTGGAGCACTGAGGTTACTAGCCACAGCGCTTTATATCCCGGCCAGCGAGGTGGAATGCGGTTAGTGCGTTAAATAGACCTGAAACGCGCGGTGGCTTAGACCAAAGGGGGAGCTGGGGCCCAGGATAGCCATTCCTCCCTGCATAAGGTAGAAAGGAGAATAACTCCAGTACGCTCTAACTGTAATCTCTTTGAGTCTTGCTGATAAGGCAGAACGGGAAAAGGCATGAAGCAACAAAATATGCCGAGGAGCGGAGCTTATGGTCACACATGAGTGGAGGGATGATCATCGTGCTTCTATAAGCATACTTTTCGAGGCTCCGACACAATGCCCTGACATCAATTTTTCCTCACTGAAATGCATGTCTATACGATTCGTGCAAGACAGCGCCATAGATAGTGATTTCCAGGCAAGATACCGGTCCTCCACCTCGAAGAGTGGACCAGCACCTGGGGTAGCAATTCATGTGCTAAGGCTTGTGCCACAGGGTCCCCTGGAAGGGCTAAGGATGACCCCTCCCCATTGCCTCTTTCAACAGGTGCGTACATCTGCTCTTTAGTTTGCAGAAGAAAGGGCCTTCAGTATTTTTGAGAAGGCTTAGAAGTGTCCAGTTGCTTGCTTATTTGGTCCGGACCCTGGTAAGACCCTTTTTGGAGGAGTAGGATTTTGCATTCTATGCCTCGCATTTGTGCCCGCAGAGGCAGCTCTGCATGTGCCAATGCATAGTACAGACTAAACGAATGGAGGATCTTCACCTCACTTTCTGCTTCCAGCATGCACATGGCCGCCCCCTGACCTAAAAACACTGCTCCGAGGCGTTTCCAAGTTTTGAGTCAAAAGCCTTGTACATACCCACGACCAATTCACTCTCCGCTTTTCTACAAAAAGTTCGATGCTAATGCAAGATCAAAACGCAAACGGCGACTGAGAATAGGCATGGCATGTTCCCTAGTTGTTGAGTCGCTGCAAAAGTTGAGAGGGCGCATTTTGAAAGTCGCATTGCGTCAAATGCACCAAATGCTCTTCGATCCATCTTACGCAAGTGAGCTGCCGTCACCGCTGAATGGCGAGCTATCTGAGGGGGGCAGGGGGAGTTCGGAGACCCGCACTACAGCACAGGTGCCATCCCCTTCTTGACGCTTGGCTGCTACAACCACCGCAGCTTTCTAAGCATAGAGTAGTCAGCATCCGACGGCCAAAAGGGGGGCCTGCTGCACTGCGTTTGAGGAATAAAGACTTCCTGTCCCTAAAAACTCTAAAGCACACGTGGCGTCTAGGTCCCGGGCCTTCGCGGGACCCCTTTGTGTACGAAGACGCTCAACGCACTGTTGATTCCCTCTCGTCTCCTACTTTAATTACTGCCGACCCTCTGCATCATAGGCCTGAGCTACAACGGAAGGTTGTTGCTGTAGCTGCTGGCTTGGCGCCTGAGAGTAGTTGGGGGCGGAGTACATGCCGGCCCCTCCGGTATGTTCTCCAGTGGGGTAGTAGGGGGACATGCGAGCGAATTTTTCGACCTGCTGCTCCACGTCGTTGGTCAGCTCTGTCTCATGTAGAGCAGGAGACACGTTGTTAACCTCTGGCTCGAAGAAGATAGCCCAGGTGGTGGCAGCCAATAGTGCAAACCAGATGGTAAGCGAAGACGCACCACCGATAGGCACAAAGAGGACGCAGAATTCTGTAGCAGCACGCATAGACATACAGACTAGCAAATGTAATGCGGAAGGCCAAAGATGTACTACCCTGGATCGTATTGCTTTCTACACCGTGTGCACGTGGACCCGCGATTCCATGGAGATACATACCAACAGCACTGGCGAATCCGAAGAGGGCAGAGTTGATGTACGCGTGTAGATCTCCCGCTCCTTCATCGTGATAAACCTCTAGGAGGTAAGTCGCTGCTGCATATAGCGCGAGGCAGACGGCGTGAAGGCAGCGAATATAAGAGAAAAAGAGGCACTCAGGCCCGCCTTCAGTGAAGTGCATATACCACTTGGGCTTGTAGAATTTGGCAATGTACAAAAAGAAGATGAATTGCATCACGCTGCTCAGCAAGTCAAGGAAAGTCGCAAGACGAAGAATCTTGCTTCCAGCGCGGTAACCGCGAGCCCAGCTGCAGCCAACACAGGCAAAAATATACAGCAACATAGGGCCCAATGAATAGAAGGGGTGAGAATCTAGACCTACCCTCCAGGCGCTCCTCCTAGGAAAGCTGTTCCATACTTCTCTCCCACAACCTATTTATCCTTGTGTGCTGCTTGTGCTGTTTATGGAATAGTTCCCTTACCACGCATCATCTGCCGCAATTGCCTGGAAGCAGACGAGGTACGTTGCTCCGAGCATGTAGAGCCCAGAGAAGAAGGCCAATGCAGTGTGGAATCCCTCAGAGCTGCGGGCGGCCTAAAAATTCAAATCATACAGTCTCATAAAAAGCCAGAAACTACATCTTAGACATAAATAAGCTGAATTTAATCGAGCTTCCGTGGTCTGTGCACAATCGCGCGCTTGTTCGCAACAACAAAGTCTGTTCGAGATGTTTCTGTCGACACCGACGCATCGAACATATCGAGTGTACGCTAAAGGGCTAGGATATGTTGTATCGGATATTTATCATCCAGGAATCGCAGAGTATCTCGATGGCAAGCGCGGTGTGCACACCTCGCTCATGCCCTGGAGCTCATAGCCAAAGAGACCGGAGCCGCCGGAGGCCCAGTAAGAGATGAAGAGGCCAGTTAGGGAAAGAAACTGCAGGAGAAAGCCACCGCGTAGCAAAAAGCTGTTTCCGCTGATCGAGCCACAAAAAATGGCGCCGGGCAGATCGACACAAGGTCCGCGCATAGCCGGTCTGGGGTCATCAAAACCCTCTTGCCGTGTAGAGAACCACATCTTCAAATTGTTATGAAATTGACTGCTCTATGGACAAAATAATGCAGCAACCAATTGGCTGAGCCTGCTCTGCGGAAGAGCTTCTCAGGACTGCCCGCAGTGTATCCAATGAGGTCCGCTGCCGACGTCCTGTGCACTGGAGGGAGCGGCAACGCCAACAACAACGCAATCTGTCTCCGTGTCTCTCAGCAAAACTGCTGTACAGCTTCAATCTTTTAAGACTCAGAAGAAGCTGGCGCCCAGTCACTTTGTGAGAGAAGAGTCGCAGCTTCAGCTCCGCAAGCCGCGCTCAGCTCAGGGCCTCGGGCTGTCGCTGGCGCCCTTGGCTAGCAAGGCAGCATTCGCTGCCGAAGGGTAACAATCTGGAAGGTTATTCTAGTCTCTTTGCTTGGCTTCTCCACTCCCCTTTAAATGAGAGAGAATTTGAGTACTAGAAGGCTAAAACTTGCGTGCAATTTTATTCATGCATGATCTGTTGCAGGGGCAAAACGGCACACTGGCGGTATAGTACACGGATTATGCGTTTTGGCAGAATGTGGCGAACTAGAGAGCCACTAAAGAATTGAAAATATTGCTCTCAATATGAGCGTTATGTTAGAACAAATACATCAGAGTGTATGCTTGGTACAATTGACTCCTGTTTTGACGGAGATAGAAGGAGCGCCACACGCCACAGGGCACGCGGTCCAGTGAGACACAATGTTTATGCAATAAATGAATGGAGATTATTACTCAACTGCTTTATTGCAAGTACACTTGGTTTTCGGGGGTGAACGGAGTGTGCCTTCCCTGCCCCAAATAAGCTATTCCGGGATGGGCTCCTTCGGTGCAGCAACCCCAACGGTTTCGTATCGGTCACCCGGGGCTGTTGTGTGCGCTTTTATTCAGTCTAGCCGTACTTACTGCGGTTTAATGGTACCTTTTGTGGGTTTTACGACCCATTCGCACCTTTAATTTTCCTGAGGGCTTCCCATGCGCCACCCCTCTTGAAAGTGCTGCAGCGGGAGGAGCAGCCGCAGCTTCGGAGAGAAAGAGGGCGAGAGGGAAGGTGCCTGTTGGTAGACAGCGTTAATACCCAAACTAAAGCAGCAACTTTGTCACTAAAGCATGGCATCTGGTATTTTGATGCTGACAAGCTGCAACAAGCAATCGCATTGATTGCCTAACGGACCAGGGTTGCTCATTGTGGTGGCGCTTCTCAGTCCGGGGCTGCAGTGTCTGTTGTTTCTTGACCTTCACGCGGCACACTAATGAAGCTTTTGGTGGTGTGCATAGTTCCTGTTTGAAGAATCTACTGGGAAACTGCCCGTTCACTCATAGGGCAGGGCCCGAAGGGCAGAGGGCCCCCAGGGGAAACCGGTGGTCAGCTATTGCGACATCAAGGGAGTTGCATCGATTGACGCTCTAAACCACCTGCACTCTGCGGGTGCAGTCCATGTAGAACGCTACCGGAGGGGCGAGATGCTCTGGTTTTCGCCCCGGGGCACCCCCAGTCACCCGCTTCCGTTTTGTCAAGATGGCGCAGACACAAATATCATCCTCCCGCAAGCAGTGCGACTTTGCCAAACTGTAAGCTCGTACACTTGTCCAATTGTGCTTCTCCTATTCCTCTCAACTTGGTTGCACTAGTGAGTTAAGCGCCACATATCCTTTTGCCTTCGGCCGCAGCACGTCCTTTGTGTTCGAGTAGAAGGGCCTTCCAAACGTTGTGTAGGGAGTCAACGATGTATAAAACTACCACTTCTGTGTGTGTTTTTACTTCGGCCTTCTTTATGTGATTCAGGCTGATGGCTGGATATGACTTGGAGCTGAACAACAAAAATACTCAAGACTTCAACGTCGTCTTTCATGGGCCTAAGGAGAGTAAGCGGAACAGCCTTGTCCTGAATATACTTTTAACCTTCTCATTTGGAGTTTTAATGCCTCGTTTAGACGCGTACTCTATTTTGTCTTATCCTATGTATTTTCCACGCTTTCTCAACATTTTTTTCGTCCCACCGCCCTACAAACTTGTTGTTGGCAAGAAATCCTGTCCACGCCTCTATGCGCATACTTCTTTACTTTATGAAGCACAAAGACACTCCAACAATAATAGTTAAGCTAAGGACTAAGCGTTTTACCTCCCTCCTAGATACAAGTCTCAGACGCGCTCAAGTATTGAGTTAAAGGGGTAGTTTTGGACCACCCACGACTGCTGTCCTTTTGACCTAACCTTCGTTTTGCATCAGTCAGGTTCATCAGGTTTACTTCACCCATACTTAGGCGTTTTCTTTTATTTGAATCTTTGCCTTGTGAGGTCTCAAGCATCTGGCCATCAGTAAAAATGCACGCTATCTTGACTTCTCCTCCACTTGTTTCTTGCAGTGCTCTAAGTTTTTCCTCATCTTTCATTCTTTTGCATGCGTAGTTTTGTATGCGTTCAACCGTTTTGTGTTGTTTGGTCTTCCAGCGATCTATGAAGGCGGCGTTTGGCGAGTGCACGTTACGCTGCCAGATGACTATCCCTTCTCTTCGCCTTCCATAGGCTTTTTAAACAAGATCTTACATCCAAATGTTGACGAGGCTTCAGGGTCTGTGTGCCTCGACGTCATTAACCAAACTTGGACTCCACTATACAGTGAGCGAGCCGGAGGGGGAGGGAGGGAGGGAGACGGTGGGAGCGAAAGAGGGCGAGACATCGAGGGCAAGACAGGTGTGGCTGAAACTAATGGGGATTAGCTTCAAGAAGGTATACGATCGAGCAAGCTGTAGAGATGGCTGTGGTGCAGTCGCAAATTGCAGCTTACACTTCAATTAATGGTGCTATTCCTGTTCCGTATCGTGTTTATGCATTTTCTGCCATGCTCTCAATTACAGCCAAACTTTACTTACTTTACTATGTCAAATTATAGCCGTTCAAATGAAAATGCATATTGCATTGGAAGTTGCAACTAGTCAACATGAAAAACGCGAAACTGTAGCTCAGCCTTTTCCTCAAGATGACTCGCTGAGTGCAGGTTTAGTTCACCCCTTCATTGGTCAACACATTGTCACCACATGCCCTTTGTGCTCTTCGTCTTTATTTCTTCATTCATCTTTCTTCGGTGTTTCTTCTTCAGGCCTTGTAAATGTATTTGACGTATTTTTGCCCCAGCTCCTCACTTATCCAAACCCACAAGATCCGCTTAACAGCGAAGCCGCATCCTTGCTTAACAGAGACAAGGCTCAGTATGAGCAAAAAGTCAAGGGTACGCCTGCACCTTTCCCGTCACTTTAGGCATAATTCACATCTTTCAGTGACCTGTATTGTCCTGACTAGACAGTGGCTTGATTATAGTGTTGTGGCCGGAAACATCTGCAAAAGGGTACGTGTTTCCATTTTCCAGACATTAGCTTCTGGTATGCTACTGTAGCTAGACTGTTTTCGTGGTGCGTCTCTGAGCTTGTGCTGCAACTATATTTGCGTACAGAGCATGTGATGAAATATGCGAGTCGTGACTCATGGGAGAGGGAGCAAGCGAGAAAGAAAGAAGATGAGGCACCTCCGCAGCACCAGGAGAGCAGCGAATCGCAAGCCAGCGAACTGGGCAGAGTAGATGAGGATGCAGACGGTGCTGGTATTGAAGACTTGTAGTTAGAACTAGACTGTGGAAGAAGAGAAGAATGAAAGGCGCGAAGAGAGACATTGCAAGGCATACTGTTGTGCTAAAAGTGACTTTCTGGTACAGGAAGATTGCCATGAAACAACCTGCTTGTGTCATGCTCTGAATCTCTCATTCGTCTGCTGAAACTCTCATCCCTTCTCCCTCCGTTTGTTGCTTCTGTGTAAACTGTGCCATCCTCGTCTTTCTGCCTTTTGTTTTTCTTTGATATTCCATCGAAAGCATTCCGACAGCGTTCAGTCTAGTACATGAAGCATTTGCGAGATATTGTGCTGTCTGTGGAGAAAAAAGATGAGCAGACAAACGGCTTCTGCTGTTGTGTTTTGGCTTGGCTTAAGACAAGTTCTTTACCTCATTAGCTTCCGAGCCACAGGAAGGGTGCAGAGCCTGCTCTTGGGTGCTGTGGTTCGGCTTATTTTGCCCCTATCATACACATGTCGTATGACAAATAGTGTACGGCATACGCTACGTTATATGATATGAGGTAATTTGATGTTTTCTGAAAGCTGCCGCACTAGGCATGAGCTTCAGAGTGTTAAAGTGCGTCAAAGGGAGACGCCTGATGGAGTAGCTGTCCAACAACGCCTGGTTCGCACCAACGAGAGGCACAACAGCAAAAGCAACAAAATAGACATATCGCCTGTGTTGCTGACTGGACTTCCCAGATGGTCAGTGAGCCGCGGAACAGGATCTTAATGGAGACATGGGCATCGAGGGAAAACCCAGTATTGGTCAAGATTGTTTTGTCTGCGACATGCATTGCACCTGCTGTGTTTGCTGCACTGGATGCAGCTGATGACGTGATATATCTAAAGCAGCAGGTATCAATTTGTGTTCAAGGCAGCAGCTAATTTTTGTGGCGGCATCATTCTCTGTCCGCTGCCCGGGACCCGTTGCAATTGCTTATGTGCCTTTGCATTGCTTGTAGTGTACAACAATGCAGTGCGTCTTCTGACTCGCAGTAGTTCGTTGCATAGTTCTCCTAATGCTCAGGGCCTGCCATATCAACGCATGACCTATGAAGTACTAGGTAACATATCAAATGATGTATTTCGATAAGCGGTGTCGTTTGTACAACTTGGCATAAAAGAAAGCATACGGCCTGTGGAGCACGTGCTATAAAAGCCATAACAGCATATAACATGGTTGTATGTTGTATATACGATTTATACTCCACAGTGGGCTTTCTGTGGGTCTGTTGAACGACCCATTTTGCATTTTATTGGGCTCTGTGGCTGTTCCCTGAACTGTGGACTGTAGGCGATCTAAAGGCGTTGAAACGAGGGCGAGCTGCGCCTATAGTGGAGAGCAGTCAACATAGAGTAGTCAGTGCGGACCATATGCATCCGTCTAGCGAATTTATGCACTCGTAGCTGCTTGAAACGGAAAGCTGAAATGCAAGTCATTGGCGGTCGTAGCCTCCGTACGTTTTCAAAACTCTGTGTATTGCCTGGATGCTGCTTTTTACTTTTAGTAACAAGGGTGAACGAACAGCCATGCAACGGTGCTCAAGCATTCAGACGGCCAGGGCATTGTATCTTTAGCCCCAATTCCTGAATGGGTGAAAATTGTATCTAGACACAGAGAGGTCAAACACTCTTTCTGGCTTGCAACAGCTGTTCCCCCTCACTTGCCATCCCGGCACAGAAGATGGGACGACAAGGTTCTTTAAAGAAGGAGTACTTTGTAGCTTATTGCCAATGTAAAATTAAACTGTCCCCTGATGCAGTGGAAAACCTGTGGAAGAAGCATCGGAGGCAGGATAGGGAGGGGAAGTAAGGGGTAGACCAAGTACGCTTAGTTGCTCAATCCCTCTCGGACTTGTCTCCCTGCTCCATTCATGCGTGCTGTGTGCGGTATCGAGAGATAGCTGTGTCCCCACGCACACAAAATGTTATAGATTGTTGGCTCTACCACTTACAGGCGACCAGCACTCTTTGACTTACTTCAGCTGTTGACCGTCGTTGACCTTTCCTAGGAGGCCCCCTTCCAGACCGTACTGTCATCGTGGTACTCGTTTTGTACTTTATAGAAACGACCTTAGGGCCGATGAGTTGTGATGCATTGCAATGGTGCCAAAAATAGTAGTCATGTCTCCATTTAATCTCAGTGATCTCCCTGTCCAACAACCAGTCATCTAACACTTTCGATCCTCCCCCATACTTTACTAAACCCCTTCCTCCTGCATATCGAGCTGGTGCCGTATAGTGGAAAAAGACATCCTACGTGTTTTGCTCATTGGTAGACGCGTAAGTACAGATCATTTGAAATCTAAATAGACGGTATATGAGTAATAACAAATAAACTTCCTCCCTTCCATACCAGTGCTGTTCAGACTTGAAGACTCAAGGGAAGCAGGGACAACCAGGCTGCGCGTAGGTGCACCCTCTAAGCATTCCGATCACTCAGAAAAGCAAGCGCTCATAGCTTTTAATGTGCGCGCACATACCCTTGCGTTTTCTTGTGTCGAGCTAACAGCACTTCGCAATCAAAATGATATGATATACGAAGAAGCAAACCAATCAGCCAATTCTTTACTGTGTCCTACTTAAATATAATTAGTGTGGTAGAAAGTGTTGAAGTGTAGCAAATAGAGCCCATTATATGTCCTTCCCTATTTTAAAACATATGCCCTCGTCTTCTGTACCTGTGTATCGAGGACGATTGCATGAAGTACTGTGAGAATTTTCACACTACCGCCACTCCCCGAACAGGCAGGAAGGCAAAAATAGTGCAAATTAGAAAAGCGCATGTGTGTAGAGGCCGCTAAAAAGAAGCCGACGGGCATGATAATGCACTCACAAGCCAACAACGAAAGAGGGGGTAAGCCAACATTACCGCGGTGGAGCGATGACTCACTGTCGTTCGTTGGAATGCGAAAAAGTGTTAGCGTCCTACTACAATAAAATAGAGTGCAGGTATAGTATATAAAGGATATTAAATTACACATTTTCAACAGTGGAGCTATGGCGCCATGCAAGTGCGGCTGGGACATGCAAGGGAGTCTACCACAAAACTCGAAAAGATGGATTGGGGAAAAGGCAGAAAGAAACATACCTGAAAGTTCCTGTGCATAGATCTGAATGTAGAGAAGACACCGAAGTGTTAACCGAGCAATTTCGAAGTGATACCCGTGGCGCTCGCCCTTCCACAGGGCATATGCTGCCTGAAATAGCTCTCTACATCCAAGGATCGCAAGGAGTTCCTTCCATAGAATTCTATCGTCACGAGCCGAACCGAGCCGTAAGCCCTCTTAACGAAAATAATGCCCGCATTTATGCCTCCTTCGATCACTGAATTTGCCTCTCTACATCCCATTTAAGTAGAAACTGCCATCTAGTACCCCCTCGGTGCTCAATTAGCCTGGACTTTACCACTTCTACGGTTCCCTGTTGATCCTCCGGCTCTATACGGGTTACTTGACAGCGTAACAAACTCTGCAAATATTCCGGAAAGTCTAGAGCTTAGAAACTTCTCTAAGCTGCCACTGTTGATAGCCCCGTGGCCCTTCCAGCCATTAAGACAATTGATATAGTAAGAACAAGCGTTGATTTGTGAGAGGATGGCAGATGGTCCTAGCCACTTGGCCGCACACATATTTGTCTGGACACCTCTTGGTCCACCTTTTAAAGCCTGTCTTGATCAGAACCGAATCGCTGTGGTCAAAACGTACAGGCGACCACCGCTCATCCTAATTCCGCGCTGCTCTCTCTTGAGCTCTACGCAGACATAGCGTGCACTGTCCCGCTGCTGTCTGAATCCCTTCGCTGCTCATGGCGGATTTTGATTCCGTACCACCACCAGGTCCTGAACCGGGCCGTAGACGGGATCCTCAGTGTAGACCGGGAATTATGAAGAGCCTGGGTAGACGAGTGTACTGCTGCATTATAGAAGGGCTCAGAACAAGGGAATCAAGCCAAGCATTTGAACTTTGTAAGCATAGAGCCGCAAGTACCGCAGAAGAGTGAGCTTGCTGCGGTCGGTCTGTCCAGCTGCCTCAAAGTGGTTTGCAGTGGCCCTTGTATACTCAATGCGTAGGCAGGTCATAAAGACACGCCAGAACAAAATTACGAGCTTAGTATACCTGCATAATCGTGACACTCTTGGGGATTTTATGTAGCTTTTAGACATGGATTTAGAATAATTGGAAGAGCCTTTGAGTCGTAATAGAGCTGGGACGGGGTGTGAAATAGGGATGTTCGCCAAGATTCTCGACAACGACCTACATGCTATCCTGACCATTGACCTCTGCCAGTCCAACAAAATCATAGTCAGGACAGTTTGAATTTTTCAACATCCAGATGGCTTTGCAAAAGGCTGGGTTGTAAAGAGTTGCGTGCCTTTAAATTCTTGATCATCTGGGCATGACAGTGCGTGCTCTGCCTAGGGACGCATCCCAGGCCTCCAGAAGAACTGCAAGAGCTTTTGCGCTGTAGTGTGAATACCAGTATGGCCCGAACCAACACGATGGTGTGACTTGCAAAACTACACTGCTAATCAACGCCGGGATGTACAAATGACGAAGTCACCGCCTTGTTTGGAGCCACAAAATGCCATAATCAGCGTGAAGGGGCTTCACCCACTTTTTCCTTCTAGATTTTGACTATAACAGTTGTTGCATGAGTGTCAGAAGCATACGATACGCAATCTCGATGTTCACCTTGAATCAGCACAGAAAATCAATTGTAGTGCACAATAGAGAGCCGCTGGGGCGTCGCGAGAGCAGGTCGGCGACTCACTATAAAGTCATACTACCGGAGGCACCAATACCAGCGAACAGCCCTAGGATAATCCAAGTTTCAGAAGCCCTTTGAAAGATACAGAGACTCTGATGATCGGTCTGGACAGTAGAATCACGCCTTATCAAGTAGTGTCCGCACTTTTCCACCCTCCACCACACCGCATGGAATTCCTTTTCCTGCACTGCATGCCGCTACTCGGTGTTTGTGGAACGATCAGAGTAACAAGCAACAGTGCGGCGTCTTAGAGAGCCCGTAACCTCTAGAGGAAATAACAGGTACTGCTGTGTTACTATCAGTGGCCTTTGTCAGGATGTGCTTTTAAGCGGGCATTACAAAAGCCGGAGCAGCTTCAACAAAGCCAACATGCGTCCCTCCTGTGGCATCCTGCGTATTTATTTCGGTCGAAAGGGCAGCAATTTAAGAACGCCAAGAGTGAAGTTTCGATAGTAAGATGCAAGCTGAGAGCTTCATGTCCTTGGAAAGGTCTTCAAGTAAGCACCACGGCATTATTGCTTCAATTTTCTCGGAGACAGTTAAATTCCTGCAAGTGAAACACGAAAAAGTTGACACTAAATTGTTCTCAAGCCAACGATTGTTGTGTACCTTCACATACCACTGCTTGTTCTGCAACAGCTGAACGGCACTCCCTTGGTGCTTCAGTCGCTTCTAAAATTTTTGGCTGAATCGTAAGGCTTCTCCCATGTAAATCGGCCATCCAGCCGTAAGTGGTAGGCTCGCTACAATTTCAGTTGACCTGTGGCTAAACTCGGCTGGGGCTTTGACAAGTGCAAGCGGCGTTCGAGTAGGCTCGCGTTGGCGAGAGTGGACCGTGATTTTGTGCCTGTCACCAGGGTGAACAGGGATTTGTAAAAAAGCCTCTATGATGTCAAGTGTCGAGCAGACTGTTGATCCGCCGCAATCTGTCAAGCAATTTGCTTTGCTAACATGACGCATGGAAAACCTCCGTTTTACAGTAATTTTGTTCAGAGGTTGTAAGCTAGCGCGCTTGCATTAGGTCCGTCCCTTTACGGTACCAACACCAGGTTTTGCCATGAGGCGCTGGTCCATTCTCGCATTACGCCTTTTCAACAGGTCATCCGCCTGCCTCTTAATTTTCTTTTCATAAGCGCGCCTCAGCATCGCGCACTAAGCGAAGAATATTACGCAACCTTTCGAAAGAGCGTTACACTACGCATCCCCTCCATGCAGACTTTGCTTCGGTTGATTGTTGCCTACCCCGACGCCTAACTCGCTAAATCTTGGTGATCGCTGAAGTAGAGCCTTCACTGCTGTTGCATCACGACTCAAACTTTCCTTCTCTTTTTGCGCATAGGAGTCTACCAACGCACAAGGCGAAAGAGGAACTATACGAATTGGATGTAGGGTTTTAACTTGCACAGGTTGGGTTGCTAAGGGCCCTGCCAAGAAAGCCACAAGAAACTGGCTCTGGGATTCACTGCTCAAGTACCAAGCCACAAACAGCAAAAGAAAAGGCCATCACAGCGTCTCCCATCAGCGCATAGCACTTATCCAAGAAAAATCATTCTTCCGACCAACGGAAAGAGATCGAGAGCAGCACTGGACGCGAAAGAGGCAGTGCTACAGTGAGCTTACAGCCCCATACATGGGAAGAGGAACGCAGTGGAGCGCAGTAAGACGGCTCGGCGTCTCCTCTTGTACTGTAGGCTTGAAATTTGGTACAGTCTGGATGTCGTGTGTCACAACCCTTCCGATTTGTGCGAGGGAATCAGGTTGCGGCTCAGAATGGACTTCAGCGCAGATCGAGCAGAGGCCGCTTTGAGAATAACAACTTCCTCGTGATCCAGGTCGAATCTGCAGAAAGTAGCACGAGAGGCGGCAACGGGTAGGATCGCGTATGCACAGGCTTTGCCGATAGAGATGATCAAGCAGCACGGCTGACCACAGCTCAACAAGCCGCAGCCGAAGTAACCGCAGCGCAAACGAGAGCGATAACGGAGACACGGAAGACGGAGTGTCGCCACGGCAGGCAACCAGTAAGGGACGGAAGCACTAAATGTGAGGAAAATCGGCTTGCCTCCAGTACTCGTCATTGGACGCTTCCACGAGCTCATTGAGATGGCGTAGCGTGCGGACCGCTTGGCCATTAAACGCCATGACCTGCAAGTTGTGGAGATGCTCGAAGCCCACTGCACACGCAGAGACAAAACCACAATGCAGGCACCGAATGCATGCAAAACATGCCATTGGTAAAACCACAAGCTGTACTGTGTTGTTCATAGCCGCATATCTACCCAGATCGTCGACGCCCGCGCTCTGGGCTTCGAGCCAAAGACAGAGAATTGCGCTTCTGTCAGCACTGCATTCAAAAGGCAGCGGCCCCCCTGCTAAATACTGCCACTGCTTCTAAGGCTGGTGAGCCGACGTGCTGCTCCAACGTGCAATGCCGGCACACACAATGATCCTTTCCCGAATTTCGCAGCAGTGATACAAAACCCGGCTACGGAATTCAAAAATAGGAGCCTGCATAAGCTGAAGGCTCGTAAAAAACCCAGCAAGCAGGCAATCGGCTCTCACCCGTTATTTCGTGAGCAAGGACGTGCGTGAGGATCACACATTGCTGTCCTGGGAACTGTTGCATCCCGTGCTGCCATCTGTCAAGCAGCCGCACCTGCGTAGCAGCAGCAGCGCGAGCAAAAAGCAAACAGGCTAGTGGATCTACTCTACAGGGCCATACGAAGACGTCGAAGAAGCACAAAAAGCAGTGAAGCAGCAGCGACGGCAAGCGGCCAACCAGCAGCACAACTCGCAGGGCAAGCAACGCCTCACTGGCGCTCTGCTTTCGAAGTCTTCCCCATATTCGCTTTTCAGGAAGGGCTCGCTGAGAGGTACGAAGACCAGCCCCCCTACAATCAGATACTCAGGCCGAGGCAGGTCGTTCGTGGCCGGCACCAAGAGCTGCAATAAACCAAGGCAAACCATGAGCATGTGACGGTTAAAAAATGCGAAGGAGACAAGATCGATCGCATCAAGAGCGGGGAAAGACGAGGTCAGACAGCTATGACGGAAGAGAGCCAACTGCGTGTATGTCGTTTTGTGGGGATCTCTATAATGTTGTCAGTTGTCCCTTGACGCATGCAAGGTCTTCTAAATCAGGGCCCAGCGGCTGACGTACGTTGACCTTTCCGACTTGGTACGACACTTCAAACTGCCGGCCCCTTCTGAGGATCGTGAGGGAGCACCTGTCTCCCACAAACAGCTGAGCAAAGAGCCAGGAGAAGAGGATGCGTTCGCCGTTCCTGAACGGCACGCTGCCGTCAGAAGCCACGCGGTTGCCATTTACCGCCAGGACGATATCGCCTCGCTGCAGGACGTCGCGCGCAAAAGAGGCCCCGTCCACCTATACATACGACACGGCAGCACCGCAAAGGCGCAAGTGCAGGTGAAGTGCTCTCGCAAACAGCAGCGTGCAGGTACACGCACTGAAGCAGCCCCCCTGCGCCTCCCGCCTCCTCCCCAGCGAACTCGATTGGATGCGCGTGCTGCAACCGGCACGCTCCCGGCCAAGCAAAGCAGAGTGGCAGTCAGATTACTCGCCAAGACCTTGTGTTCAAGAAAACCACAGGCCTGTCAACTGCGTCCTTGGCATACGGACCTTCTTGACGAGTACACCGTGTTGCTTGGTCTTGAGGCTCAAAGCGCTCCTCATAAAGCGGTTCTCCAGCTTTTGCCAGGTAAACCCACAATCCCCGAAGCCCGTATACTTCTTGTGCCGCTGAAAGTCCTCCAAGAAGTGGACAACCACCTGAGAACAAGCGCCCACACCTACACGCCGCAAGGCATCATCCTCTACTGCCCACCATCGTGACAACGAGTCTCCGTACTCAGCAAGAACTCCATGTTTGTGCAAGAGATTTTACCGATCCCGAGGGAAGGCACTTCCAACTGCGTTCACTGAAATGCCGCACTCTCTACCACCCCCCCACGCAGTCCAGCGAGCTGAGTGCTTGTGGTTCCTCACTTCCGAAGGAATAATATATCCGATGTTCTCAGTGTCTCCGTCCTTCAGGCTTTGGAAGGCTATACCAACACACTGCTTCTCCTTATTCAACGCCGGGCCCCCACTGTTTCCCGGGTTTATTGCAGCATCAATTTGGATCGCCAACAGCCAGCAAGACCCCATCGAATATTGCTGGAGGTCTGTGCGAGAAACCACCCCCTAAAACCCACAGCAACCCACAGCACCGGAAACTCGTCCAGATACATACACCACATCCCCACTAATACCTTCTTTCAGGTCGTCTCGATGCAAACACGCTTGGAGGCGCCAAGGCTGTGGACCGTCACTATCTCACTGGGCAAAGGGCTGCCCACGATTTATAAAGACACCTAGTGGCGTTTTCCGGAGAAAGAATACGAAATTCCACACAACATTAGGCTATTAAAAACTGAATGCCCTTTCAAAAGCACAGAAAGGAAACAAAGACTGCCTCGAGATGTTCTGAACTTTGTCGCGACATGCTGCGTTAGATCCCACAGCGAAGGTAGCGCGTTGTGAAAGTTGAATCCTTTACAACGGCCTCTATGTGCTGGTCTTGCCTGTGTGACAGAAGAGTTGTCACCTCCCAGGGGATACCCTGCTACAGTTACTGGGTCCTCTAATGACGGGGAGGGGCCCCAGGAGAGCGGTGGGCCGATACCTGCAGACGAAGCCGAGGAGAACAGTAGTTCATGCATGCACGCATGCATGCATGCACTCGAGCAATCTCACACAAAGCCGCCGCAGTACCTCTGCGAGAGCCTCATGAGACTAAAAGAAATACCCTGCACCCGCAATCCTCCCCAGTCGCAATGCGGAGAGGTGTTTCAAAGCGAGCATTCGCACGCCGATTGGGGGTCTACAGCCACTACGAACAATCGCAAGCAAGACTACATACACCCAACAAATCACCACACAGGCAAGGAAATACTCGCAGAGTATTACATACCCTGCCAGAAGTCCGGATCGTCAACTTGAAGCATTGCCAAGTCGCAGTCGAGGCCGATGCAGATAACACGCGCCTCGTGCTTCTGATGATCTCCCCGCCGTCGGACCTGAACAACAAGCGAAAGCCCCCACATACACGCATAATCTGAAGAAATACCTCGGAATGGCTCAGGTCAAGACAGCACGCGATAATACCTAACAAGAAGAGCGAAAACAGGGTGCAGTGTAGGCCACAGCGACACGCAATGAAGGAACTAAGAAGAATACTGCCGAAGGTGCCGCCCGTTACTGAGGACTGCAACTCCCCCCCCCCCCCCCCCCCCCCCCCGACAAAACCACACAACCACAACCAACACCACAGACACAAGAACACACACACACAAAAACAAAACAAAACACACAAAACCAAACAAACACACACACACACACACACACACACCAACACACAAACACACACACACACACACACACACACACACACACACACACACACACACACACACACACACACACACACACACACACAGACACACACACACACACAGACACACACACACACACATATACACACACAGACACACACACAGACATACACACACACAGACGTCAGAATTGTACTTCGTTGTCGTTGGAGAGACTTCGAAAGAAGCCATGTGGTAGGTATCCCTACTGACCGAGCATGTCTGGAAACAAAGGATACAGCAGTCGAGTCAAGGCTCCCGTCCCTGGACCAACTTCTACAACGCGACTACCAGGAAGGCTCTGAGAATTTTGTAGTTTCTGTTGTTGTTGTTGTTGCTGCTGTGGCTGGTGCTTCCGCTCGCGTTGCTCTGCCGCAGCATGTGCATTCTGGAAGGCCTTAACAATGCGGCTGCAGATATTTGTGTCTGCCAAAAAGTTTTGTCCCAAACTTTGTTTCGGCCTGTGGCGAACGTATATACACCGCAGGGAGCCTCCGAATTCCGCGAGTGAATCTTGAAAGCAGCTGGCTTGCTTAATGCCATATTCCCACCTACCTGAGGAGACCCTTCTTGTGAAAGGGAGCACCATAGGAGAGTGTATAGAAATATGCGTATGTATGTAGGTAGGTATGTATGTATATACGTATGTATATATTTATATATATGTATATGTATACGTGTGTGTACAGGTGGATGTGTTTGTTGAATGTGCGTCTATCTGTTCCAGCTGATGCATTGGACTGTTTTAAACAATAAGCAGGTGGGTGTGGAGATAAAGGGCGTTCCAGAAAGGGTGGCATCGCTATGTGTTTATTGTGCTTGCTCATCAAAGAAAGCACCGGAATTCTCCTTTGGGCAGTCGAGCATTGGGAGGCCTTTCGCTGAGACGAAGTGCATCCCCCTCCGTCTGTGGCGATTCATCCGACAGGGGAAAAATCTCTAAGTTTTGCAAGGGCCTTAGCGGGAGTCGGGAGGAGGCGAGGAGGCCCCTGTTTCTTAAGGGGCCCTCAATCGGGGGCCCCCCTCCTTCTCCTGACGCACACCGAGAAAGACAGTTTCCTGAGAGTCTATCACCCATCGGGCTCCTTCGAGGAGAACACGCAATCGGATTACGCAGAGGCCTCTGCGAGTGGCGACTGCCTGCCCGCAAAGGGAGCAGAGGGTCTAACAAAAGAAACAAAGGTTCCCTACACGCCGCTAGCCGCAGTTGCTGCCGATGCGTCTGCAGCTGCGTGGAAGAAAAGTCTGTGGCGACATTGTTACAGGAGCGGGCAGCTGCTGCGAACGCCAACGCAGCGATGGCGCCTGTAACAACAAGGGCCGCGCAACAAGCCAAAGAAGTAGCCCCCTTTTTGAAATCTCGCATCTTGGATGTCGAGGGTTTTTCCCTGCGCTACACACAGCGCCACTGCACCACCCACTGGCCCCATCAGAAACTTCTAACTCTAAAAAGGCGAATCTCCTTCTCCGGCGCAGGGGCCCCTCCTCGATAGGGGGATTCCCCCCTTCTCATGTCTCTGGAAGGACTTGTAGAGTACTCATCGCTCCGAGGGGCCTCCCAGCACCCCCGCTGTGCGAGAAGAGAGCCACTTTAAGTAACTGAAAATCGACTATTTCTTCGAATGAGGCTGGAGACATCCTTGGTTGTATTTATGGGGAGGCCCCATACTCGGGGCTCTAAGCCTTCCAGTGGGGCCCCCGTTTTGTGGCTTCGCCAGGGGGAAGGCAGCAAACAATGCTCGCCTGTTTCTTTCTCTTTTCTCTTGAAACGCATGGAAACCACGCCTCACCGAACTGGGAAGCCTCAAGCAGATGAGGAGGGTTGCTTTTAGCTGCTGGGCAGCGCTCACTGCAGCAGTCTTCAAAGGGTTCTCGGGGGGGGCCCCCATTTCGCTCTCTCTGCAGTCTGCCTTCTTGTGCTCCAAAAGCTCCCAATTTGCGGCTCCTGTCTCTTTCCGTGCAAGAAATCTTCACTGCGCAATAGGCAAGAACTCGTTTCCCGCGGGTTGAACACCCATGGGGGCCCCCCTGCCGAGGGGGCCCCCTCCTCTTGACCGGGTCGTCGCAGTGGGGCGTTTCCCGTGCAAGCGCTGCAAATGCAGCGGCAACACCTTTCTCCAAAGCTCTCCTGCACATTTATTGATCTTTATTTTGCAATTAGACTATTCGTTGCATGCGTATCGCCGCATTCAATCTTGCCCCCTTGCTTTCTTGCTGCGCACAGATAAGCGTCTCGCCTTTGGAAAATCCCTGACACGCGCTCAAGCGAGTTGCCGCTGCAGCGGCTCCAGCAATTCTATCACTCCTCATTCTCCTTGTCTTGGCTTGTTCTTCGACAACCCTGTCTGCTCGAGGCCTCTCAGCGGTGTTTATTGGCATTTAAGACGCAACTTCCTTCGGTTGGGGAACAACCCTGCGGCATCGGCTGCCCCTTCAAGCACACATCTGTCTTCTCTCTCCCGCCTCCTTGCATCGTCGTTCCCCGCATCCACTTCGGCAATGGCAACTGTATCAGGTGCCTCGACTGCTGCAGCAGCGGCAACCACAACTACTGCTCCCGCGAGCGTGCAGCAGCAGCAGCCCGAGTCTCTGGTGCTTCGTCCGACAAAGGCCCCCAAGGAAAAGAGGCGGCTTGACTACAAACCAACCGACTTTCTGATCGACCGCGTGCACCTATCGTTCCAACTGGACCCTCTGCAAACGCTTGTACGTCATGGGAGGGGAGGCGGGGGGGCCAGAGGGGTACCTGCACATGCAGCTTCATCAGCGCAGTAGAAACACCCTAAAGGGGTAATAGCTTCAGTCCTAGACCGGCGGGGAAGGCTCTGCATGCACTGCAGGCGTTGCTTCACAATGCACACACGCTAATCTCGTGCTAGAGCCTATGGGGGGAGCAACCCGGGAGTCAAGGCCTTAAGAAACATGCGGAGGGAGGGGAAGGGCGCTAATACGGGCTTTGCATGCATGCATGCAAAATTGCTTGCAAAAAAAGCCATTTATAGACTTGCATCGAATCGCGACCCTAAGACACGCCAACGGTGCATAAACACGCCTGTTACGAGTTCCCCTTCTGCCCTCCTGTGGGTACCCTTGCCTCACATGTTTCCTCCGTATAAAGTGCAACTGCCTCTGTGCCTTCTAAGTGCGACTGCCCGCACAGGTTACCTCGCGTCTCTCGATGCGGAGGCGTGTCGGAACGCCTCCTGTGGACTTGCGCTTGGACGGCGAGGGTCTGGAGCTGAAGCGGCTGTGGGTAGACGACGCGGAGTTGGAGGGGGGCCCCCAGGGGGCCCCCCCCTCCACAGAGGGCGGCGTCAAGGAGGGCAGCCCAAGGTTCAGCTTGGATGAGGAGGGAGCCCTCTACATCCCCTCTTCGGTGCTGCCTGCAGAGGCGAACAAGCCTTTCGAAGTCAAGAGCGAAGTCGCGATCAACCCCAAAGCCAACCTGAAGCTCTCCGGGCTGTACATGTCGAACGATCTCTTATGCACTCAGTGCGAAGCCGAGGGATTCAGACGCATCACCTTCTTTCTCGACAGACCTGACGTGATGGCACTCTTTACCGTAAGAAAAATTCCTCAAAGGCCTCCTCTCTAGACTGCGCGCGCGCTGCTTTGCTTCCTTCTGCTCCTTCTGGGAAGCCAGCCGCGTTTTTCGAGGCCATGTCTTCTCCTCGAAAGAGCCTTTCTTCTTGCGATGCGGTTCTGCTCGGGAGTTTAGGTGAGGCTTGAGGCGGACAAGACACGCTTTCCCACCCTCCTGAGCAACGGCAACAAGATCGAGGAAAGTGTCGTTGAGGGAGCTCCCGATAGGCACTATGCGGTATTCGAAGATCCCCACAACAAGCCTTGCTACCTCTTTGCGCTGGTAGCGGGGCCTCTCGCCTCCGTCAAAGACACTTTCACCACCAAGGTGAGCAGAAGAAAGCCCTTACTTAGACTGCTCAACAACAGCTTCACAGGTACACCTGCGCTTCTACGCTTCGGGTGTATCTGTCTACACTTACACACACACACACACGCACACACACACACACACACACACAAACCCACACACACACAAACACACACACTCACACACCTTATCTCAACCCCTCATCCTTTTTTTTTATATTCAATTTCCTTGTACTCAACTTCCTACTTTTGCTTTTTTCTTCTTTGCTTAACTCTTCTTTTCTTTTCTTTT